TTTTTAATATTATTTCTTATATTTTTTAGAAATATTCTAGCTAATTTTATCAAATCTCTTTTAGTTTAAAAATAATCTTTTTCTAATTATAATAAAGATTATTTTATTTATACTTACTATAGAATTATTTTAGATATTTCTAATTATAATAAGTATTACTCTATATAGTTTTTATTTTTTAAGTCTATTACACAATACTTATTACTTTAAGTATAATAATTATAAGAATTATTAATAATAAAGCTGTTAGTTAAGATTATATAGTATTAAGAAAGATAGTTATACTTATAAATTTTATTAAATATAGGTATAATAGAAAGATATAGTTAAAGAGAAAAAATCTATTTTATCTAGATAAGACTATAGCTTTATATTTTTAAGAATAAAAGCTTAAAAAAAAAGAAAGTAATATTATAGATTCTTATCTAGTATATCTTATTAAAAAAGTAGATATATAAGATAGAAAGTAATAGAATTATAGTAATAAAAGAATAGATAATAATTACCTAAAATAAGATAGAGAGAATCTCTAGATTATATAATATTTATTCTATTATTTACTTCTAAAGAAATATATAATAAAGTATACAGGACTATATATAGTAATTAAATATATTTCTAGATTTATTTCTATAGAAATCAGTCTAGCTTTAGCAATAATAGATTTAGAGTTTATAATATATTTATCAGCTAGTCTACAGTAGTTAAACCATTTAGTACTGTATTTCATGATATAATCTACAAACCCGTCCAAATTATCTAGCAGGAATAACAGTCGGGGGACAGCAGACATGGTAACAGGTATATTAACTCTGTAAAGAGAAGCTATATAATATCAGGGTGCAGGGTCGGGCAGGCAGGCTAACAGAGCTAATACACAGGCAGGCTACTGGTTAGGCTATACAGTCAGATAGGCAAGACGTAGCTTGAGAAGCTACAACAGGATCAGGATCACGCGGGAAGATAAACAGTCAGAATCACATGATGAAGCGGTGGGGGCAGGCAGAACAAGCAGTCCAGGCTGGCACCGTGACACATCTTGTTGTTGAGATATTGTGATTATAAACGTTGCCATTTTATATGGGATACATAGGTAGCCGACTCGCTTACGGGATACGTTATACCAAATCATATACCATGTCATATATTGTATTATGTAGTGGCTTATTCGGGTAAGCGCTAGTGCTGACAATATCTGATTTGTAGAGAAACATGTGTACTGGATGTTCTCTAGCGTCTTCTGATTGGTACTAGTGCTCAGTGGGGCGGGTGAGCACTCAGTGATCAGCTTAGTCCTCAAATGCCTTGGGTGGTGTTGGGTGCTTCTGATTATGGTGTCGAAAGATTGATTTCTTTAAGCTGCAGGAGCAGGATGCTGGTAAGTTCTACATAAAAAGCGGTGAAAGGGGCGGTACAGCAAAGTAGGCAGAAAGGAACGGGAGCGACAGCGAGCGGAAAGATAGTGGCGTGGAAGCGCAACAGGTGGTCATCCTTGTCCACTAATTGGCTAATCTAATCTAAGATCTGATGGAGATTTGATAACTAATCTGCAACTAACTCAAGTCCAAAGGCAACGTCTATCGAGTAACAATAAGGATTAATCACAAAGAACTAAACTGAGTATATAAATAAGTATCCTTATATATCTCTATCCTGTATAGTCTATTTGTGATGTCCGATCAATATGATGATATAGGTGCTATCTTATCTAGAATTTCAAGCGTGAGGAGAAAGAGAAGGAAGTGTTGTGGGGGAACACAAGATGTGTGAGGGGGAATAGCAAGCTTGTACAAACAGCGCAAACACCGGTGAATTCGTCACATATTCCCTTGAAGTGATATGTGATATATTATATAGTATATTATGGTCCATGGTGGTATATAGTATACCTCGTCTTGGCTTGTTTGTCATACCACGTGACATCGGTTGTACTCCATAATTGGCTTCCTTTTGGTAATCCCGGTTTTTTACCTTCTGACAATTTTAGCCAATGCCTTTCTGCCTATTGCTTCCGCTTTTCTGATAAGGCGCGCTAGACAAGTGTCTGTAAACGCAGCTAACCGGTCACGGAGCTCCAGCCCGAAGATATATTCTATGTAAAATAGCACTTTTAAATATCCTACTGTCTCAATAACTAAAAGCTGTATAAAAATAAAACTAATGTATAAAAATAATACAATGTGCTATTTTATATAGAATACAGAGATGGTCGGCTGGGTTGTGCGATCAGCTTGCTCGTGAAATATGTTAATTACTCATAGTAACTAATTATAAATCTATTTTATATGGAATACTATATAAGATTAATTTAATAATTATATTAATCTTTATATACATGTATATATATATCTAGATTAGATTAGAAAATCAAATCTATTAACTATCGTTACGGGTATCTAGAATCAGCGCTAAATTACTAGGCAGAATAGACCTGCATTTCTGATACATACTTAAAGCAACGTGGCCTCAATCTCACCTAACATACCCTTTATTAGTTACACCACCTGATAAGCTAATCTTGAGTATACGGTCAACACAACCCCAAATGATCAAGTGAATTCAAACACATACCACGTGCTCCGTTATAATATCTGTTTCTCAGCCATTCTTGTACCTCAAAGCTGTGTGAACCAGGAAAGCAAGATGGCAAGTTCCAACCATGCGCCTACCGGGCTCCTATAGATGCTAACTTGGCTTCTCTAGGCCCAGACGCCACAGCAACGGAAGGCAAATGAAAAGTACGCGAAAAGCGAAGCTGCAAAGCGTGGCAAAGGAAAGACTATAACGAAGCAGAAGCAAAACATGAAGTCTCCGGTATCTATTGGGTGGGTTGGTAGGTCCTGACATGCCTGGAATCACTGCCAACATTGTGTCTAAGGAGTCGTCAATAGTTGTTCTTGCCTTTGCTGTCTGTGGCGGGCTTGCATTCGAGGCTCTGAGAGTTGTTCCAGAGTTATGGTCGGCTGCAGTCACGATGTTCAACCGCATGCTGGCATAAATTCTTGCCAAACAGTTGCTACAGAGAAGAAACATGTAATCGCAACTCGGGTACTGGGTTACTTGATCTAGCACTTGTTTTGGTCTTCCGTCACTGCATATATTGTACGTGAATTGACTTCTCCCATTGGATCAATTGTATCATAATCAGAGACTTTGAATCGATATCCATCTACAATAATAGCAGGGCCGCTGCACGGAAAAAAATTTCGGGACATAGATAGGGGGTTTGGAATAATCCTTAACATCCTACTAAATTACCACTGTCAAATTCAAGCATAGGGTATACGCGGGAAGAATTGAGTGGCACATATGCCGGAATATGCTAGCTAATATTACTGGGCCAGTTCACAGATTCCTAGATAGATGAAAGTGTTACCCTCCAGTGTTCCTCTGCTTTTTCGCTTTTTTTTTCCTTGCTTCCGCAGGCGAAAGCAGCCCTTGTTGAGTGCCGCCCGCTGACGACTCGTCTTTGGGATGTAACAACGTAGCGTCCGGGGCTCTGTTGTGTGAAGCCTTTTTTACTTTTCTTTTCTTCTTTACCAGCGTTCCTTCCGCAGGTATGCCGTTCGGATGAACTCGTTCCGACGCTCTCTGCATTTCTAATCGCAGCTTTTCCACTTTCTGCACAGCCATAGCCATTTCCGCATCTTGACAGGCTCTCTTCGTAGAAACCGTAGGATCTGCAGAGAGATTGCTTCTAGCTTCCAACGATAGATGCTCGAGACCACTCGAGTCGACCTGTAGTAGAGATCGTTTGACTTTACTAGGCTCATAATCTAAGTTAAGATGTGGAGAATCTCCTTGCCCGATCATCTCGTCAGATGCGATCTCGTACTTTTTAGGACGTGACCTAACTTGTCGATTCCCACGAGGTACACGTGCCAAAGTGCGAGGGTTTCCCACGTCATTCACTTGGAGATCAATTATTGGAATAGAGTCAATATCCAATACACTATCGTTTGAAGCATTGAGAACCTGATGAAACGGGGTCGACGTGCCAGAGGATTCATCCTCAACGCCAATGTAGAAAGGGTCATCTCTGTTACGTTCTTTGCGCTCCTCTTTCCGCTTCAGAATGGCAATGCCGCCCTCTAAGCCATTGGTAGAATTCTGATACGATGGATTAAGCTGCAAGTCCACAGGCACAGATTCAGTGAGCTGCTTATCCAGCGCCGAGGCGTCCCTAACATGATAGAATCCTTGAGATGGCAGTTGGCCAACCGGATCCGGAAGCCCGTTAGCTCGATTATTAAAAAGCTGTGAGATATTCTTGTTAAATTCCTGTGCCAGACACAGTTGTTCTGGTAAAGGAACCTTCTTCTGAGCGTTGGCAGCGACTGGATTGAGCTCTAGCCCATGGAACAAGTTTGAAACCATAGATGACAGCAAAATTGGTGCCTGACCCGGATCCTGAGATCCAGGATGAACAGCATCTGCTGTTAAGCGCATGACCTCCAGAAATTCGATAGCTCTTTCTTGTACGTCCAAGTCAGGATGGGCAGCCAAAACATCAAGAAAGTCGATGATCCGAGCCAGAAAGAGGGATATTTCACTATTCTTCGATTTGTCACACGCTTCACCCTCAACATGAATGAGATTGGCCAAGATTTTAGGAATAGCCTGAATATAAAGGGACAATGTTCTCGCCGATAAAGACGTGTTCGACATATCTATCAATGAGTGAAGGGTCTGGCTAGGAGACGCAAGATGTTCTGCAAATTCACCTGCGACCCAAGCAAGAGGCCCTAAGATATTATTGATTCGTCTAGGGGCAGCAGAAAATAGGGCCTTATTTTTGTCAACAAAGATCAGAGACTCTGCTGCTCTGGTCGCCTCCATCCTGACGTCCCTAACACGGATAGCGATGTTACGTATCTCGGATCCGATACGGAAAGCAACACAATCCCTGTAATTCTCCAAATCCTGGCGTGGGTCGCATTGAATAGGGCGCTGTTCAATGGTTGGGGGAAGCAGCTTAATTAATTGCACTAGAACATCAACATACCACTCGAAGTCAGGCATCTCCGAATAATTATTGTAAGAGCATATATCTAGTATTCGGTGCATGACTTCAACGCTATAGTCATCCGGCAAAGCAATCGATTGTCTGTGAGGGTATGGGCCTTCTGGCAATGCATAATCCTCTATGTCAGTGCGCATACCCGCTTCAGAACTCTCGGCTTTGAAAATATCGTTCGTGGCTTGATGGGCATTAAAGAGTTGGCCAACGAGCCTGTTTACTACTAGCTGAAGCGTGTCGCTAGTCACCATCCGAGCCACGAGGTCAAGGGCTCGCAGCCGTATAGAAATGTCTGGATCATCCAAACAGTTCATGATGACGTCCTGATGAGTTGACACTAAGACAGGGTGGGAGATCACAATTCTATTAAAGGCAAGGAGGGCAACATATTTTACTATAGTCTTATGTCAGGCTCACTGTCATATCCTAACTTGAAAGAACTTACAGTTGGGATCGGATTCCGTGACAACCATGCCTCGGAGTTTCTCCACACAGAGACTCGCGATCTCGTTCTTTTCATCAAGTCCACCATCGCCGTCAAGGATACCACCCTGAATAATGCCGTTGATACATTCATAGAGTAGTGACATTGCAGTTGTTGTTTGGATTATGCTCATCAAGGGTCGAAGAAGCTTTCGGATCAAACGTGGTTCTACAGGTGTTAATGTAGCAAACTGGGCTTGTTAGGACGATATTTCTAGCATCCAGGGTAAGGAGAAACATACCAGCTTAATTATTTTTATAGCCATCCAATTGTTCCCTCCATCCACTAATAAGTCGAAGAATCTTGGGGCTAGCGGCAAGAAATCATGCGGCCTCCTCCACCCCAGTTCACACACAACGTTGATTACTGCCGTTGTGACGCTGCTGTCCTCTTCATCATCCATAAGGCGATCCTTGATTTTGGGCCACCCCAACTTCAGCGCTTCAGGATAAACCAAGGCAAGTCTGTAGAGACAAACGACAGCCTTCTTACGAGCCACAGCATGTGAGTGAGAAAGGCGGGACAGAACATCTGGAAGCAAAGACATGGCAAGTGAAGGTGTGATGATGTTTGGCAATGTTATCAAAGGTAGAGACATGTTAGGGATACTGGGCGACACTAAATCCTATGAATGAATTAGACACTGGAAATGATACGTATCCATTTTTCATTCAAGTACCTTTTTTAGTAGATTTGTAGCCAGCATCAAGACCTCGGTATCTGGCCTAAAGCTCTGTACTGCCGCAAGGTAGCCAGCTCTTTTCTGCAGATATTTGGTAGATGACATGACTTCCAGTACATGGAAAGAAGCCCAGGACATGTCATACCCAAACATCTCCAAGTAGATCAATTTCAACAAAGCCGTAGCTTTCTTATCTAGAATGGTTTAGCCATAGAGCTGGTTGAGGTAGAGTTGAGGACTGACATGCACATACCCATATCCTGCGACTTGATCTCGACCTTACATTCACGAAGACTGTCCTGTATATAGTCCTCCTCTGCCCCCTTGTGATTCCGCAGACCTTTGATAAGGTCGTAGAGAGACTTTTCAAACCTGCATTGTCTATTGGTTAGCGACATCTTCAAAGAAAAACTAAAATGGCGAGGCACGGACATTATGGCTGGCTCTCGGACACATTAGAACATTGACAGTGATTATTGATATTGTATTTAAAAGTGACGTTTCAAATCTGTCAGTACACTTCGCCTGCAGTTCAACAACAAATCAATCACATATAGATTAAAGTCAGCGTAATATCCAGTGCAGCGTTGTTGTGAAAATAATCAATGAATTGGGTTAAGATCTATCTGCTGCTTCATGTGGAGGGGGATAAGTGCATGACATCTTTCTATCAATTTGGTCACGGGAACAGTTATCAAAGATAACTAACCGCAGTAGGTACAGGGTCCATGAGGTCACAGCATTACCCCTGGCTGTAAGATACTACGATCTCAGATCAACGTCCTCCATGCCCCTATTCCAAAAAGTGTCTTCAGTGTTCCGGGATCGTTCTGCTTATAATAACACACGAACTAGTGCTCTCGCTTTCTTTTGAATGTGCACTATAATGGACCGTACTACCGCCGAACACCATGCCATTCAGAGCTCAAATCTGATTACTACTCTTCGCTTCTCCCAGCAGGCGCCGATGATCCTTGAACGGCAATTGACTTCAGATAAAAACCTTATCTCTTCAGTAATTGCTAATCAAGAGGAACCAGGAAAGTATGGCATCCTAGAGCAATTGTTCTTCTCTTGCCTGCAAACAGGCGATGATAAATCTGCTCTACTATGCCTTGAACAATTGACTCGTCGTTTCGGCTCTTCAGATGAGAAAGTTATGGGGCTGCGTGGTCTGTATGAGGAGGCAATCGCCAAGAATCAGTCCGACCTGGAGGATTGCCTGCGTAAATATGATCTTGCACTATCAGAGAACCCACTTAACTTGGTTCGTCATGATGTTTTTCGCGGTAGACCTATTGCTGACTAGTTTTTCGTAGCCAATTTTGAAGCGCCGTATCGCTCTTTTGCGTTCAATTTCGAGGCCTGCGGATGCTATATCAAGCTTGGTACAGCTTCTAAAGGCTATACCTACCGACGCAGAGGCCTGGTGTGAGCTTGCAGATTTATACCAATCCCAGGGAATGAGCTCTCAGGCAATATTCAGTCTTGAGGAGGCTCTGTTAATAGCGCCTAATGCCTGGAATGTATGCGCTACTGCTACTTTACTTGATCTCAAAATTGGTTTAACCTCTACACCAGATCCACGCTCGCCTCGGGGAAGTTTTATATATATGCGCTAGCGCTGCGGAGGCAGGGGCTGTCTCTGAGTATCTACAAAAATCTATCCAGTATTTTTGTAGAAGCGTCGAACTTTGTGACGATTACCTGAGAGGGTTTTATGGCCTAGCATTGGTAAGTCCCTATTGGTTGCATGGGTATTTTTTCATACTTACCGCTACTCTTGTTTCGTCGTTTCTTCCATGCTGATTAATATTGACACCTGACCTTCCAGGCCACTTCGCTCCAACTTAGGTCAATGACTCTTTCGCGGGACTCATCGACGTCAACCAAAGACTTCTTATCCGCAGAAAAGGTCAAGAAGTTAAATGTTCTCGCCGAAAGAAAACTTGAGGCTATTGTAAATCAGCGGTCTGCAAACCATCAACTTTGGGATCATGCGCAGGGCGAGCTCATTGCAACCAAAGAACTTCTTGACCGCATTAATGAGTCACCTTAAGACCTAGAGTACATTAAGTTGCCTCGTATAGGTAGACGGAGGTGTGGCTCTAATTTCAGTCACCTTTATTAATATATTAGTTGGGGCAGGTTTTTAGAGAGTTAGAAAAAGTGCCTTCCATAGTACCACAATAGTACAGAGGTGTGCACCAAATGTTCTTGCGCGGCGCTAGAAATATAGGACCCACCATTCGGTATGCGGCCTGACAGTGGCCCTAGTAATTATATTGCACCGAGTCAAATGGCAATTCTGATCGACTTGAAAAATGCAGAAAAATTGAAGGTATTCCAGCTTATTCAAATATCTAGATATCTTAACTATTCTAGCCCTGTTCGGGCGTTGGAGATAATATTGCATGCGCCAAAAGCTGACCTTTTAAGTGTTTGCCCTGCCAACTGCGGGTTTCTTTACCTGTTCGACCTTCCTTATATTCATTGCTTCCCTGCAGTTCTATTGCTTCCGTTATACGGCGTATCAGGTGTTCAATCCACTGCTGAATTCGCTCCTGAGGGAGCTTTTTCCAGGCCTTATACCAAGCATTTCACCAGTCCTTTTGTCTCGGGGGGCGCCTCGGGAGGTTGTACAGCATTTTAGGAAGAGCCAACATGGCTCAATAGCGTTGAGATCGGGCGAATTTGCAGGCCAATTTAGAAGACGTTGAACTGTATGAAAATAATATCCTCGCTGCTGACTATGGTATATATGGGCCGGTGCCTTGTCTTCCAAAACTATAGTAGTTGGCCGTTCCTTTTGGCATTCTAATGCAAACGGTATAAGCTTAGGCAGCAGAACATCCTATAGAAAAAATAACAGTATTAGTAGAAGCTTCAAAATTTAGTGAAATACTTGCCTTTTGATACCTCCACCAATCTATACCTTCTTTCTTAGATTTTCGAATATATTTGCCATTTTTCTCGTTCCAACGCTATGTAGGCTTACGCCCAGGCTTATTATATAGTTATACACGGCTCTCCTGGGTGTTAAGGTCCCATTCTTCCTTACAGATAGGCTCAAATTTTTAATATAAGACTTTAATCTCTCTTTCTGCTTCCTTCTTTTGTTAAGAGATTTCTGGCCGCCATATATGTATAGGCCTTCTTATTATATGAAAAACACGCCCAAACCATGAAATCAGATGTTCCTTCCAACAGCTGTGTGTATACGTTGCATCATATCGTGGTGTGGTACGCCAAACTCTTAGAACTCCACGGCAATGTCCAAGAACCACAGAGGTTTCATCAGTCCATATAAAATTTTTTCCAATCGTCCAGGGTCCAGTGTTCGTGATCTAGGCAGAACTTCAGGTGTTTGGCCTTGCAGCGTCAGTAAGTCCAGGTTTCCAAGAGGGCTTTGCAATAACAAATCCATAACACTTCAATATGCGCAATATAGAGGAATGAGATATACTAGCTTCATAAGCTAAGATCTCTAAAGATCTCTCTCTACCGGCTCAATCCTTAGTAACTGATTAAATCATGGCGTTTCAATCTGTTCAGTGATCTCCTTAGGCCGACCAGATCATTTGGCGTCTTCCACAAATTCAATTTTGATCCTTATATCCTGGGTAGAGTCGAATCCTCCGGCCTTTGCACGTTTGTAGATTTCTTGGATAGTTCGCTGGGAAAGTCCTAAAGATGCAGCAATCTCTGTAGTAGAGATCCCCCAGGCCGCGAGAGACACAGCTTGAATCCTTATTTCAACCTGGTGGAATCCCATAGCTCCTGTGGTCCTAGGCAGGCAGTCCGATAGGCAGTCTAGTATGTAGGCAGGTAGGAACTAAAAACCTAAAAAAAGTAATATAGCTCAAAATGATGACATACAAAAAGTTATGTTTTGATTAAATAACATGCTCGGAGACGCGTCTCCTAGTAAATTACTAGGACTGCTGTCAGGCCGCATACCGAATGGTGGGTCCTATATTACTAGCGCCGCGCAAGAACTTTTGGTGCACACCTCCGTACCTAGATGGTGATACTGCAGATGAGAGAAAAGCTGTTGATTCACTGTCTAGACAGATCGACAATATAGCTCTACATCCTAGTACTGCGATTGTAGGATCTTTAAACTAGGTATTTGGGGCTAATGTACGAAGTAGGATCAAAGACTCTATTCAATATATTTTATCATCTCGGAGGGGTCATGCATAAGTACATACAACATAAATACAGTACCTCCCGTACTGGTTATTTCCCGCGTTTTTCGTATATAGTGAAAGGTTCTGCTAGAATGCTTCATACGTACAGAGTATGTATTGTACACGTACCGACTAAAGATTTTTCAATCAAATATTAGATATCAATTCTATTATAGACTAGATAAGGTTCTATACACTAAAAGCAGTAACATGCCATTCCACTCATGCCCCATACCCATGAGGTCAATCAGAGCTTTTGTCTTCAGCGCCATTTCAGAGACAATGTATTGTACCTGCTTCAGCGGTGGCCTGATTGTGGTTTCTCGACCCGAAGGTTGAACGGTGATTGGGCACTTGGGCAGCATATGCAGGTCTGCGAGGGTTGCCAACTCAGTGCCTAATGATATCGATCTGAATCATTTCCCTATGGCATGCCCAACGATCAACTTATCTGATCAGGCAGTTGACCAAATTAGTTAGGTCAAGTTCTTCGACTTTCTCGTCTGGTATGTTTCTTGAATCTTCGCTCCAACCCCTCCTCACACATCAATCACTGAGGGCTATTTGTCTTGGCTCTTCCCACCAAAAGAATTTCTGGCAACTCTTCCCTTTCGCTGGAGTCAATTCGCGCCCGACTTCCTATCCTGGACCACATGCACGGGCTTTCATCTAAGTTTCAAATTTCATCTATCTCTAAGAACACTGTCTTGTGCAGCCCTTGAAAGATGCCCACTATCTCCATCGCACAGAACTTCATGTGCTAGCGAAATCACCTATACGCAATTACAAGGTCTGCAAACCGTCACAAACATATTTACGAAGGTACATGGGGGAGCATCCCGCTCCTCCACGTAATCCGTGCTGTACCTCTACAAAGTGGGAAGTCACTTTCAAGATTAAACCTGACGATAGTTTGGTATTTCTTTGATTGTTTCACGGGAGCAGTAAGAACACCACCTAAAGGTCTTGTTTAGTTACTCCCTATGGCGTACGTCTTACATGGTACATCCCCATAGCGTTTGGTACTAACTTCTGTTAGGTTCAATATAACAATTGGTCCCAGTCCTCATGGTTCGGATCATTCCTCGCTATCTGACGAAGAAGACTCCTCGGGTGTGCAGGTCTCTCCACCTTCTGACTCAGGAAGCCATGATTATCAGGACCCTTATGATGAATGGGCGCACTTGCCATATCCAGACGAACTAAAGCCATCTGATTCCGCGTCTCGACCTAGGACATCGCATCGTACACGCAGCCGTCACCCGGTCCACGGATCGTCCTCGGCCCGTCGCCACCCAGGTAGACGTCACGTTGTGCAGGAACGGGAACATTTTACTCGTCGCTCTCGCCGTCAGCCATCTCCCGAGTCCCCAGAGAGCATGGATTCGGGAGATGAATATGGCAGCCCTTATGGTCGAGTATCCCATGAGAAGAGGGTTTGGCCTCCCGTGGCTCAGGGCCCAGCCTATGCTCGCAGCTCCTCTCCGGTGCCTTCATATGTTTATCCCAACACTACTACACCTCATGGGGCTTTTGCGCACCAGAATGGTCATCATACTCCGTCAGACCAGCTTATAAGGCTGGGCCCCCACGGTCACCCCGCTCAGCCAACCCCTTATGGCCATGCAGGCTATGCTTATAATCCCCAACTGCAACAAACTCATGGCTCCTCTATGCCGCCCTTTTTCGTTCACGACCATCATTTGGGGCACCTTCCGCACCATCCGCCGCCTTCCAACACTCGGAGCGATGGGCATAACCCATCTCAACACCCAATGGCGCAATCTCTCTCATCTCATGGCCCCTCTCCCTATGGGGGTCCTCCACTGGGACCCCACGACTTGATTCCGTATGGACCGGGGGGTTATTATTCATTTAGGGAGCCATATGGTATGCTCCCTGGCATGATCCATCCGTCCTATTTCAATCCATACCCCCGCGTACCGTCTCCAAGTCAGGTTGAATCAATTGGCTCCTCACCCCCGCCACCTACGGATACATCAAAGGACGAGGCAATAGCAAGGCTGGAGAGATTGATCCTGGAGGAAAGAACAGAGCGTGAAGCGAGGGAGCGACGAGAAGCGGCACGGCAAGCGGCATTGGAGCAAGAAGCTGCTGAGCAAGTTGCAAGAGAAGAGCGTGCCGCTCATGAGATGAGGATCGCAGAGGAAGCGGCTGCTCGTGCTAAAGCAGAGGCAGAACAAAGAGCTTCTGAAGAAGCAGCGAAGGCAAAGAAAGAGGCGGAAGAAGCTGCAGCGGCAGCGGCAGCAGAGGCGGCAGCGGCAGCCACTGAAGCTGCCAATGCAGCGGCGGCAGAAGCTATTGCTGCAGCGAGGGCTGCCGCATCTGATAAACCTCTCCCAGAGAAGAAGAAACCCATAAAGTTCAAGGATGCAGTCGGGCGGAAGTTTAGCTTTCCCTTTGATTTGTGTTGTACTTGGCAGGTAGGTCTTTCTTCCGACCCACTGATTAAGCCTATTTCTGACTGTTTATTAACTCTAGGGCATGGAAGAACTCATCCGGCAGGCTTTTCTCCACATAGAAGTAATTGGGCCCCATGTCGCCGAGGGACATTACGATTTGATAGGCCCCAATGGGGATATCATACTTCCTCAAGTTTGGGAAACTGTGATCGAACCTGATTGGACAATTACTATGCATATGTGGCCTATACCAGAGAAGTCGAAGACCCCTGAACCCGCTCCACCTCCGGAGCCCCCTATCCCAGAAGCTGCTACTACCCCTGAAGCTTCGACAGCACCGGATGTGGTTGTCGCCGTTCCTAGCGAGGAGCCAAAAAAGAAATCTGAGTCAACAGGTGCGTCTTATGCCCGTCATCTCATCAGCAGTTCTTCGAGTCCACTTGCATTCGCCCATCCCATACATCGAACTGACTTGGTTCTCTAGGAACAAAAAAGCCACGAGCAAGGGCTCCTGATCCTGGTGCATTTGCCATGTGGATGGTAGGTGGTAACCGCAGGCTGAACAAGGCTTTAAAAGCGGGAAAAAAGCTTAGAGTAGTCCTGCAGCACGGATTTTCTTGTCGTGTCATGCGGATATGATCTCTTAATCTTTTAGTTGCCTTCAGACTGCGCATTGTGAGGAGTATTGGCCCGCACCTTGCAGGGTTCTCTTTAGCTAGGCCTAGAGCCTAGATCGCAGTGGAGCGGAAAAGCGAAGCACGTCGGAGCATTTCTTGTTTTTCCGCACACTCAACTTTTCAAAGTAGTCTTGGGCGAATTCTAGAAGTTTCAATTTGATCTATCCTAGGCTGCTCTAGGGGGAGCATGGCTTTTCTCTCGCATAGCCGAGATGTTTCTCATGCTCCAGGGTGGGATTATACGTGGATGTTACTTCTCATCTTTTTGCTTGTGTCTCTTTCCCCTTTTCCTTTTTGGTAGCTGGAATTTAGGAGCAGGGAAGGTATCTGTGGTTACCAAAAAGTTATGGCATGGTTTCATCGTGTTTTGAACATTGTGGGTGTCGTGGCGTGCTAATATACCCATAGAGCGTTGATTAACATCTCTTACTACTTTCATGTATGCATATCTCTTTATGTTTTGGTTTCAAGGTGGGTGTTCGTAAGTAACAGGCAACACAAGCCAAGTGATTCATCTTATGCTACCAACACCTTGCAAAACATAACTATGATCTTGCATTCTACATTACGTATTACGTACAACCTGACTGAGGCTTATGCTTTTTAACTTCTTCATTCTACCGGGCCCGAGGCGATGTGACCTGCACGATAACATCATTGGGGAGTAAGGGGCTTCCAATTGATTATATCTTCCACAGTTCCGTCGAGAAGGCCGTTGTTTTCATACGTAGACTTCAGACGTGATCCTGCTGGTGGGTTGGCATGGAGATTTCTCTCAACTTCATGCTCCTGTCTGCCGAGGTAAAACTTATCAGTATCTGTCGAACTCTTGGTCGAAATACATGGTGTACTGATTGTGTGAGCCTTGCTTTCAAGATTCTGTACCATGGGGCCGAATCCAATGAAGATAGGGTTGTTCGTGGTAGCAACGGTTTGTGGCATGTCTATAACTGGGCAGGCCCCAGTAGGGCATTGCCTTGAACTGAGGGAAACCGGCTTTCGGGGTATTGGCGGTGCTGCTTTCCCATCACCCAAAGGTCTGGTATACGTATTAGTAGAGCCGAGATGACCTGATATGCCCAAAGAACTCGATGGTTGGGGCCTTGTGTTCCAGCCAACTGATTGATGCTGGGCTTTAATTCTTGGGGGAATTTGGGGCTTTGGTGGAAGAGGATCCCGAGTCGGAATACTGTTTTGTCTCTCGGTGGGATTATCTGTGTTAATCCAATATGTATCGTTGCTGGAAGAGAAAGGATTGGGACTGTGATGGATATTAAGACTACACCAATCCTCAGGAGGTCTCAGAGCTGATTTTACAAGCGCCCCTTTGATATTGTTGATCAGAACGAGTAAAGCAAATGGAGAGCAACCACGACGTACCATTTTCTAACCACCACTTATGATGATCGGAACTAGCTGGTGGTAGACCAGGGGCAATAGGCGTTGGTAGCATAGGCTCCTCACTTTCCAGACTTACTCTTCCTATTTTACTTGAGAGCATATTGTATGGGTTATCTCGTCTCTCTTTGTAGAGTGTACGCCTGAGTTTACTCTTTATGCCTTCATCAACAACGTTGATAATGCAAGAGAAAGTGGCCCAAACGGGACGATGGTCCGAGAATCGTAGGTTTGCAGTACTATAGTTCGTCTGGCGAAGACAAGACCCTCGCCAAAGTATTCTATCGCACCAAGCAGGTATACGTGCTTTCTCCCTGCAGCCAGTTAACCTGTTTCCTCGCGTTATAATTGGTGTTGGTCTTACGAGGTATCATATGTATCGCTGTCAATGTCATATTTGTATGTTGGGGGAAACGTAATGAGCCCTTCAGTATAAAACGCAAATGCCTTCCCTGCTAGCATTTGTAGGTTTAACTGAAACATGTTAATAGACGAAGATTCCCTGGTTAAATGATTAAAATACCTGGTCATTATCGTAAAGCTTTTGATAGTCTTTCTGCGCAACAAGCTCCTTGACAAACTGATTACCGAGGCCAATCCGATAATTGAAATCTCCAAGCCATACAATGGCATCATGGTCTTCAATTGATCTATTCCTCTGAAATCGGAGTCCGTGATATATGGTATCATAGTCTCTATTTCTCTCATCGTAGTTTGCGAATCCTGCGGCAAGATGGGCCGTAACAAAACAGATCCGTGTGTTGGAGTACTCAAAGCGTATGGCACAGCCACCTTTGTTACCCGCTATTCCGGAAAGACCTGTCTATAGATCATAGTCAGACATGGATTGATGGAGAACACGCAGGGACTTACTTTCTTGACACTTCCCTCGACATTCTTGACGTCCTTCAGTGCATCTTCCCTAATATATACCAAAAGTGCAGCGCCAACCAACTGACCACTGCGTAGAAGGATATAATCCGCAGTCCCTCTTAGCCTTGCACGCTTGTTTAAACAGTTCCTAACAGCAAGCTCCCATGCCTTACGAGTTGTAGGATCCGTCGACATTATCTGCTGTGGGCTTAATGAGACAATTTCCTGGAAGCCGACAGCAAAGATAGTCGGGTCTTCAGTTTGAGTATCAAGTCCTGCTAACAACCATGGCGTTAGGTCAACATCTGGCTCACGGTGTCTCCCATTGATATTGAACGTCCCAGTCCAAATTTTGATAGACCTTGTAGAGGAATATTCTGACGCTCGTCGATTCAACTCATCGGAGACTAGATCGTTGATTGGGTCATAAAGGTGCACCGGTAATTGATTCGTCAGCCTTCCTAATAGAAGGTCTATTGTTTTCTGGCGAGCTTTGTCGGAAAAATTGTTGACATAGAGCCGTGTTGCGGTTTTCCGTGCATCTGCCAGCGCGCCGGCAATGGACATTTTTCCATGTCGCGTAAACGAGCTTTTTAAAGCGCCTGTACCCGCGTAGATTTTTGACAAAGCATCCCCATTATCAGCCCAGAGGGTTGAATGCCTTAGCTGGGTTTCTGAGGCAAATCTTCCATTTTGCTGCAGTATAAAAGCTTCAAGGGCCATGGAACTGATGATGGTTTGTACGAGGTTAGTCCTGTCGAGGCAATCCAAACAATTTGTCCGGAACACGCCTTCCTGTTGAAGAACAACAGAAGCACTTCTCGGTTCACGTTCATTCTCACCCCGAGTTGCTATACCAATATCTTCAGACACAAAGTAGGCAAATCCATCCAAAGAATGGGATATTTCGCTCTTGATTTGGTTACTAGCTGCATAACCCAATGGACCTCGGGTCTCCGCGTGGAAATCAAATTCAGTCGTTCGTAAAAGTGCATGATCGGATAGGATACCAGATCCAGCTTTTTGGCTAAGAGAGCTGTTCCTAATCTGGTTGGAAAACTCTGCCGACAGCTCAGCCTCCCCGGGTTTGAGCTTACTTAAGAGGTTAACCACATGAATTGCACCATACTCAAATTCAAGACTCTCAAAATGGTTGTTGAAAGCGTGCTGGGTCGCCTCGCTAGATCGAGTTATCTCGATTTTCTGTTGCCCAGGGAGAAATCCAGTAGCTTGCTCCCAGAAAATAGGCACGGAACCACGTATTTGAACGTAGGAGAACGTTATATTAGGCGGGATCCAAAGAATTGTCTCTGTTTCAACAAAATTGGCAACATGGCCATCATCATCAATGCCTCGAGTATTGAACCTTGTGCCTGCGCGTCGAGAAGACTGTCGAGAGATGATGGTTAATGAGGAAGGGAGATTCGTTCGCAGCTGGGGCAAGATGGAAACTGAAGCAGGAATCATCAATGTGCCAGAAAACCCTCGTATAACACACGTCAGAACCTGGGAAGAATCGAGACGTAGCTTCTCAATAGGTGATAGGTGGCTTCTGAAAAGAAGAAGTGGATGAATCATGTACGAATTCCAGAGCATATCCTCATCTAGAGATTCGATATCGAAAGCTGCCGACTTGTCCGAACTAGCGTCACATCAGCTGGGGCTGGTCACTCAGTCAACCGGTACCCTGTATCGACTAACCGGTCCTGTAGTCGATCGGTAAGGTTGAAATCAAGGCTATAATAAAAGCTCCCATCACCAAGAAGCTTTTTCAGAGCCAAGAAAGGATTATCGCCAGCTATATCTTTATTCTCAAAGCTAGGTCCACGGTTAAACTCTTCAGCTGCAAAGGAAGATTCGGACTCGTAATCAAGTCCATTTTCATAATCAGAATGATTGAGGCAAACTAAAGTCGTTAGCTTTAGTTGGTCGGAGTAGGTGAGAATGAAATTGTACAGAAGTCAACGTTGTCGATTCTTGAAACAGTTTCCCCGGGCCTAACCGCTGCGGCCCTTGAGGAAGCAGTGACGACGCAGATGAAAACTTCCTCGCCCAAGGCAATTAATCCGAGGATCCCATATCCATCACCCAAGGCTCGGTAGCCTTTTAAGTCGACAGATTGTAAACTCGCAAACTCAACAAAACAGCGTGGCGGGCCACTACTGCATAATTTATTGATCCCTGACTCTGTTGAGCTGTGTTTAAAGATCAAGGCGAAGTCAGTCGTGGTTATAGCAAGAGTGCGGTGAGGACTTTCCCGAGAGAACACCCGAAAACTAGGCATTTTCTTTCTCTAATCCATCTGGCGCATTCACTGATAATTTAGGTACAGTATCAAATCATGACGCGCCAAAATCCACACTTCCGTGGACATTGATATGATACTCCGTACTATGAACCAAATCATGCTCCTCCACTGATTAGGAGTGGAGCCACCAAAACTAGCAGGCGGTCAACAAGATTTGTTATCAGGGCTTAATTTTTTCTCCATTATATGAACCCTTGGTGCCAGTCACTAATCATTTCGCTGCTGTGCTTTTCTTATCCCTCCTTCCTTTATTTATCATTTTCTTTGAGTGCTTTGGAAATAGAGGTTCAATATTTGTGCCATTATATTCACCACTGCAAATGGGCTTAGCAGCACCTCGCAAGTAGGTGAAACCAATACTCGCCAAAGGCTTAAATATCTGAGTGCTGATCTCGTTGGCTTTAAGGAAGACAAAGATTTCCCATGACCCAAATAATACGAATTGGTCCCGATCAACTAGCGGCTATGGGCACAAAATTATGAGTTCTCAGGGATGGACTCCCGGCAGTTTTCTAGGTGCACGCAATGCTGCTCATGCGGATATGTTCACTGCTGCGAGTGCATCTCATATCAGGGTTGTTGTGAAGGACGATACGCTTGGACTTGGAGCACGCTCAAAGCGTGACCCTTTAGATGAGCCTACTGGTCTCGATGCTTTCAAAGGGTTATTAGGTCGACTGAATGGAAAATCTGATGCGGATTTGGCAGCCGAGCAAAAACAGCGCGAAGATGCGAAGCTAGCCCGATACACTGCGACAAAATGGCATACTGTCAGGTTCATCAGCGGTGGTTTGTTGTCTCAGGAGAAGTCTGATTCTCTTTCTCCTCGGGAGGAAACTCAAGTTCAACATGACCCACACTACAATCAGGGCGGCCTCAACGTACAGAGAAACGATCAAGACACAGGCTCTACTGCTATGGATAATCTACTCAAATCAGCCAAAGAGGAATGTATCCCATCTATCCAAAATTTGGAAGCCGCCAAGTCGGAAAAGCAGCGACAGAAGAAGGATAGGCAGGGGAAGAAGCATAAGAAGAAAAGGAAGCATATGGAAGAGTCTAGCACAACGGACTCTAAATGCTTAGATAGAACGATATTGGAAACTGGCTCAAAAGTCACTATCAACGAACCCTCAGTTGCCGAGGCGTTATCAAAAGAACGCCGTCCAATGGGGAGACATGTCTTCAGGAGTCGACACATTGCACAAAAAAAGAAGGCTCTCATGGACGACAAATCCCTCAACGAGGTAATCATAGCACACTCACTACCGTTAATTCGAGATCCCGAAGCTAACTGGCACAGATATTCATGGTCAAGTCATAGACTTGAATTTCACTGGATGTTTCTTTCACGTTGGCTGCATGGTATTGTCGAATCTAGCATCACAGCATATAGTGCTTGTCGAATAGCGCTACTGTACGGTCTCATGCAGGAAAATACACCGACTTCCTGCATCCACTATTAGCGGGGGCAACTGCATGTCACGACGCTCCTTAATCAGGTGCCTTTCCCTTTCTTCTGAAAGACCGTTCTATAGACGTGTGACGGAGAACATCTTATATTAACTTTAGTACTGCCCTAGCTTGAGTTTTTATGCATATATGAGTCTTCATCTTGGTTAGAATAGAATAGCGTGATATGTTGTTCATGATTTGTCAACCCAATGAATTGCAATACGAGTATCTCCTAGTAAAATTTCTAGTGATCATCTTGGCTAGGCTGACATATCCTAAAATAGCATAATCATGGTGAAAGGACTTGGGGAAATCTTAGGTATGTACATATATAATAGATATGTACATCAATGCCAATTACGAGGTCTATACGGCGTATGCAAATGACCGCCCACATCCCTCGATCTAATCAAGAACGTGTGGATCTATGGCAAAGATTAAAAATACTCTTCCACTAGCGCGTACGTGCCAACCTACAAATTCCGCCTTCTGGTAAATAGGTTAGGCGGGAGCACCCGTTCGTTAGAAATCTTCCTCGTAAGGATATGTACTACGTGCTCCGTATCTGTACAGTACAAGCATTGTAAATTTTCACGTGAAAGTTCAAAAGTATTTAAATATTAAACCTAAACCCACTCATTGAACATGGATCAATACTTTTCCATAGGGCAACGGCAACTATACTTAGGTCCCAGTCATCCTATGCATAACTACACTGTTACTTAATCTTTATACTAATCTTGGCTCAAGATTTCTGCAATCGACCACTGAATCCTGCACATGCCTTCGGACCTGAAATGGAGGCGAATACTGACGTAACCCATCAAACCCGAGTGACTTCGGGGATTCAACATAGCGATAATGAACGGTGCCAGAATTTAAGTGGACCCAATCAGTGTCAGGGCGGCAATTCCAGTTATGGCTCTTTGGGCAAAATGGCTAGTGCTACTGTAGAAAACGGTTTCCATACGCTGCAGAGCGAACTGGAGTCAGTATCTTCCCACAATCGCAGATCGTCCACAGTAGCTGGAAGTTCGAGTGCCCCGATTGAACCTGGAAAAGTTAAGAAAATGGGGTAAGGGAATCCAGGAGTCCATTTTCTGCTGTAGGGGGTCGAAGGAGGCTAACTGTAGGTTTAGTATTCACTGGGCACCGCTAAATATTGGTCTGGAACGTCGCCTGCAAACATTCGTGGTTTTGTGCCATACTTTGACCATCGCCATTTTTCTCACGGGCTTCTTCTTCACATGTGCTATCCCCCTATCTTGGCCTGTTCTCTTGCCTTACCTAATATATATATCACTCTTCTCGACGTCTGCTACGTCAGGCACGTTAAGTGGCCGGAGCAACTACTTGCGGTCTCTTCGCATCTGGTCAATTTATGCATCCTATTTCCCGGCTCGCTTACATCGGTCTGAACCTCTTTTGCCGACACGGAAATATATCTTTGGATACCATCCCCATGGAATTATCTCACATGGTGCTTTTGCGGCATTTGCGACCGAGGCACTCGGCTTCTCTAAGCTTTTCCCAGGAATCACCAATACTTTGCTTACCCTCGATTCGAACTTTCGCATTCCTTTTTACCGAGAGTATGCTCTTGCTATGGGTGTTGCTAGCGTCTCACGTGAATCATGCGAGAACCTTCTTACTAAAGGTGGTGCGGACGGCGAAGGCATGGGGCGTGCCATCACTATTGTCATCGGTGGTGCCCGCGAATCCCTCGATGCCTTACCGAACACACTGCGCCTTGTGCTCAAAAGGCGTAAGGGGTTCATAAAGCTTGCCATCCGCACTGGTGCCGATCTTGTCCCTGTGCTAGCCTTCGGCGAGAATGATCTTTATGAACAAGTGCGTTCAGACCAGCATCCCCTCATACACAAATTTCAAATGCTCATAAAACATACCATGGGCTTCACAATCCCATTGTTCCACGCTCGTGGGGTCTTTAACTATGATGTGGGCTTGATGCCATACCGTCGCGCGTTGAACATTGTTGTTGGTTGTCCTATACAAGTTGTTCAGCAACAAGATAGAGATAAGATTGACGACGATTACGTTAATTACCTGCATGCTAAGTATATGCAGGAGCTTGAAAGATTGTGGGAGCAATGGAAGGATATTTATGCCAAGGACAGAACGTCAGAACTTGAAATCGTTGCGTGATATAATTGCCATTTACCGAATAACCTAACCTTGTCGCACATTTATGCGAATACCATACCTTTTGCTGCAATAGATCATATAGAAGAAAGGGTTTGTTAACGTCATCTGTCGAACATGTGACCCCTCAAAGTCGAGAAATTTTCTAGTCCCCAATCAAGGTCCTGCTAAGCTGCACATTCGTAAATAACATAGCAATGTATTGTATATAGTTGCTTGTGCAGTCGCGGTGTTCAAGAACAAGAGCCAGGAGATGATCATAGGTCGCCCACGCAGAGAGCTTGTGCGTGAAGTACGAAGAAAGCTGGGACTGACACTACATGCTGGTAGGTAAATCTCTTTTAATGTGCCTGAGCTTTTCTAATGGTGGAAAATGCGAAACAATTGGATGTATTGGCCGATTCATTCCAACTCATACTAATAATATACTCCAAAGGGAAAAACCAACCAACAGAAATAGCAGCCTGGGTATCTGAGAAAACCGAAGCAAAAGGGACAAACTTAGGGATAAAAATATAGAGCCTAGGAGGCGGATAATGAAAAGAAAAGAGGATTATTAACGAAGGCGATTATTTCAAGGCCATGGTTCCATTATAGCATCCCAGGAACATAAAACAACGCAAGATAAACAAAGCGAGACCTCTTACCCCGATTGGAGGTCTTGAGCAATGTTGTCTGGATTTACACTCCCTGGGTTTAAGCCCTGCACAGCTGTCGTAGGTCCAGAAGGCAGTCGACTCTCAATAGCGACACGGACACTTCCATGAGAACCTTTGATTAAGTGGCCACTATCAACCCTGTCCTGGATCATTTCATCGAGCATTCGCGACATTTCGTCATCTGTGCTTTTTCTCCCATCCACCTCGTTCTCCTTATGAGATAAAAGGATGCTGGCTACCGAGTTGCTAGCTGGCGAGTCGTCCTCATCGGGATTAGTACTTCTACGCTCGCTTTTCTCCTTTTGATCTATAGGGCATGCATCGGCAGTGAGATGTGCAAGGTCCCGATGTCGAGCCGCAGAGCGGAGCGCAGCGAGCATTCGATCCTTATCATCCAACTGTTGACGGAGTTCGTTGATTTCCATGTCCTTTTCGCGAAGCAAAGCAGCTATATCTGAGCCCTCGGAAGTTGCGCTTCCAGTTTTAACGCCTATTGACATTCGGGAATGGCTCGACCGCCGGGCTTGTAGTAAACGTCTCTCTAAGGTGGAAATATACCGGTTTTTGTCACTCAGGTCGGCCTGGAGGGCTGAGATTTGCCTCTGAGCACTTGCATTCCCGTCTGCAAATTCGCCCATAATATCCTCCTCCTCATCATTCCCAAGTGATCCACTCGAGAAAGGCGAAGGATCGTTGCTATTGACGGAGAGGAATGATACAGGTCGGACAGAAGAGGCACCATATGCGCCCAAGGTTGATTGACTAACCGAAGAGCGCAAAGATCGAGCCACCGATTCGGCAGCAGACATTCTAGATAGCCGGCCAAGAGCAGACATTGCTCCCTGAGTGTTCACACCAGTAGACTTGGAACAAAGGATAAGTCGATTGAGATGTTCTATGCGTTCTTTAAGAGCAGTTCGAGCCAGTTGCATTTCCAGCATTTGTTCTTCGTGACGTGCATGCGCCTCTTTTTCTAGCTGCTGCTCTTCTAATTTCAACTCTTTCTCAGCTTGGGCTTTTGTTTGACTCTCGAGCTGGCCGCGAAGAGCCTGGATTTCCATCCGGTAGCGTTCCAGAAGAACACGGCTGCCTGCGTCACCACCACCACTACCGAACGCTTCTTCCGCCCGTTTGGCGTGGCTGACGATATTATTCTTAGCTCGAGCAGCAAACTTCAAAGTATTGAGCGTTTCACCGGAGTGGGAATTTCCTGTTACGCCAAGATGGACGGTGCAAAGAATGCTGACTAGTGAGTTCCCTGACAAAGCTGGTTGTAACAACCTTGTGAGTTTACTGTCACGATAAGGCAGATGCCTGCCCTCGCGATCAGTTGGGTTACCAGCCTTGTCTTTAGTCTCCGAAAGCCTAGAGATGATAGTCCCAAGGGTAAGTAGGCTTTTATTTATGTGGGCACCTTCTGTTCGGCGCTCTTTGTCATCTGCTGCGCGTTCTGATCCAGCCAAGTCTATCAAGCTGAGCGTGGATACTCTGACACCTCCAGGGGCCATGCCCGATCGCCTATCTTGAGTGGCACCTGAGGGCACTCGTTCTCTACTCTCGACAACAATTTGAACAACTGCATGACTTCGGGAACTGCGCGCATTGAACTGCGTGCTACCAGTTCGTCTTGCATGATCACCCCTCGCAATTACACGAAGAAGTTGCGTCGGGCTCTGCACGATCTCTTCTTTCAGGGGACTCGCATACACGCCTCGCTTGCTGTCTTCACGCAACTTTATCTCTTCCTGCTGGAGAGACGCACCACCAGCGGAAGCTGAAAGAAGGTCATGAATCTTCTCGTTATAGATTTCAAGGTAGCTAACGCGAAGCAAGAATTCTCGATGGGGTGTCTCCCTAATAAAAGAAAAAATGTCGGTTATCGCTAATGGTATCACCCCTGGAGAGGTAGCAGTTCCCTGCATTGAGAAGGTTTTACCGGTACCGGTCATGCCGTACGCAAAGACGGTACCATGATAACCCTCCATTACCCTCCTCACGAGACGTTTTGCCGCGGCGTCGTAAACTTTAGCATTATGTTCATGGGGAGAGAAGACGTTATCTAACACAAAGGAGTAAGTATTCTTATCCATAATTCGATCGTGGGATTATTGTTACCATAATAATAATCTCCTCCTTCTTTTCCATTAAAAGTGATGAGACTTCGACGTGCATCCATTGTCCATTCGCCGTTGTTTTTTGAAGTATCAGTTGTGTGCACATCAGGACGTGCTCGAACGCTCACTATGACATTTCCTTTGGCCTCCTTAGGCCTTGAGTGCGGTTTGGATGTACCTGCTAGATCATCTGCATCCTCGAAAGTGGTCGCGCTTGTTGAGTATGACCCTTGAGCGGAAGAGCTCCTGCTTTGCGATGGAGAGGCCTCAGGCTCACGGGTGTCTGTGCCCGCAATTGTTCTAATATCACCAGAACCATTCAACAAAGATGGTGTCTCTGAACTCCGGTAGCTGCTGGTGGTCCCCACGCTGAACCTGGAGCTCCTTTTGACCTTCATACTGCCAGAGGAATGAAGGCTTTGAATCCCCGAGAATGACGATGCAGTAGAAGGACGGCTGCCTGTTTTCGGTGGTTGGGGAAAAGCCGCAATACTTATAGTTCTGCGCAGTGACTTATCGGGACTGCTTGGAGTACGGCCAGCTGAGATCGACCTGGAGGGATTCATGTTGGAAGCAGAGTTGGATAGTGCAGTCTTACCAAGTGATGGTCTCGGGCTGGGAGATGCACGCGTTTTGGAAGACATTTGAAATGGGGAAGGCGCCCTCACATGGTCAGGTGAGATTGGTAAACTCTTTCTTGATTTCGGAGCTGTGAGCGGGGGGAAGGATCCTGTCGAAGGGTTCGCGGAAGGCCGCGATGGCTGGGGCAACGTAGACATGAAAGCGTGAAGAATTCCGCACAGGCACCTCGAACACCGCTATAATTGAGCTTGGTTGAATGCGAACGCCTGTAGATGTGTATGATGGGTGTAAGTGAGGTATGCGGCGGCCATACGCGAAGTATGGCTTTAGTAGTTGAATGTCAAAATAGGATATCTCTGTAAAACGAAAAGCTGTGGTCAGTGTCTGCCAACGGGGTATCGCCATCTTAGGGGAAGACGAAGTCAAGAAGCCCAACTTAGATGCCGGCTAAGTATAGATGGATGTACCTGAGGTGAATCCCAAGGAGCATTGTCTTGGCGGTCCCCGCGCACGAGCGGTTCTTCATCTCATGCTATACATAATATACCGCGAAAAGACACATGTATGTATGATATATGGGGAAACAATGAACGAAAATCTAAGCCCAAGGCTTTTGAAGGTAAATACTTACTGAACGTTGATTCTTGTGAAGCCGTCGTTGGTGTCGCTCGTTGTGACGGCGGAAATATCCGCAACCCAAACGACAGATGACCACGGTCCAGATGTTCGATTTCCACAGATTATTTGAAACTGCTATTGTTGCCGCCGTTCCACTCTCCCTTTCAGTCGGGCGTGTACTAACAAGAGACGTTGATAGTAATTCGACGGTAGCTCTGATGTAGGAAGCAAGTAGGAGATCGCTCGACGACTGGACAGGAGCGCCGTGTTAGCACCGACCGACCCAGGATCGCAAGGAGTTGGTTTAGGAAGGATTCAGTGTGTACTTGTTGGTCCTTCAGTCGCGTCTGAGCGGGACGGAGGGCAGGCGGCCCCTGTTGAAGGGGCAAGTAAAAGTGGTTCCCTCGAGTCTTTTTTTCCAACTTCCGTTTTCTATCTCCCCCGCCCCCAAGGAGTTGAAGGGATGAGGACTTGGAAGAAATGAGGACGGTGAACGAGATAAGTAAATGTTTGAATGTTTGTCCTTGGTGTATGTGATCAATATGGTTTTGATAATATGATAATCGTTTAGAAAGTTGACACCCCACAGACAGTTGAGATTTGCTTGCCTGAAAGGCTGTAATACCTCCGGTTGTTATACCTACCTAGTACCGAGTAATTATGTTGCTGTCTTTTGATAGGTAGGTATTCGGTAGTACAGATAGTAGTACTTACCTAAGTCTAGGAGGTTATCGTCGTCCGATCACAGGTTCTGATCATGCATGTTTCACATATCTATAATACTAGGCTTTTCTGCACTCCTATTTTGGAAGGATTGTTCAAGGGCCAGAACAATCCCTCTCCCTCTAGAAGTCCAACTCGTAACAACTCACGAAAATCTCACAAATGGTTCTATGTCTTACTTTGTTCAACAGTGAACCAGAACTTTTCCAGACAAAATTTGTCCAGGTGGCTACTAAGAGCAAACACAGATTAAACATTCGGCTTGTTTTGCATCTATAGATTACAGTACTTACATACTGGTCTTGCGTAACAAATTAATAAAATTAAGATTATGATGATGCGCCTGCCCCAACTCTGAGAGACAAGCAACCGTGGGCTAGGACACTTAGTGCAAGGAAGCGGGAAAAAGGGGACCAATCAACGTGTAAAATACCTCTTAACTTTAAGAGCTCAGGGAGACACACCTGCGGCATCCAAGAAACTTTAGCACTAAAGGTAGTTTAGTGGTCTGGCTTTCAAGGATACACATACTCTGCACAAATATATCCATGGAATGACCCTAATTACCCATATATTAGCAGAGTGGACGCAGCTTACATTGCAACCAGTAAATAGAAAACAATTTTTAACTGTAGCCCACTCATGTTGGGGTTGAAAGTTCCTAAACACGCCTTACGGAGGATTTACCCCGGCAGGGGGATGGACAAAAGGCTAGATCTCCACTGACAGCAAGGCTCACTGAGCCTAGGCTAGAGCTAGACTAAGGAGTCGAGTCGCAGCTGCCTGATATGGACTAGTATATATCAGCATTGCACTGAGAAATTGTCATTTATTCCAAATCCCTACAGTAATGTCAACACCATTTCATGGCGCTATCCACCAGTTGATACCAAATAAGCTTGAATCTGCTGATATAAGAAAATCTGCAATTTGAGGAACATGACTTACTCTTACAAATTTTTAACATTCCAAGATGTGACAGGAGGCAACCAACACTTGGAATGGGTTACAACATCGCGGAAAAGTTACTGAAGCTGCGTCCTTTACCCCATTATTATACAGTGTAATATAGGAGCAAATCACCAAGGATGGCCACAGAATAACTTCAATTATTCGGTGAAAGTGAACTGTTAGACGAAAAAAACCCTAAACTAAAAAAAATAGGGGGACACATTGCGACGCGTAACAGAAGGCAGATGCAGACTTAAAACACTTAGATAGCCTAAGCATCGCTATATTACATACCAGGCATACTCTAGGCTAACGGTTTGTGCAGCTACCTACCCTAATAGAGCAGCATTTGTATATCACTTGGTGTATCTTTAGAATGACCGAGACGTCTGTTTCGCGTTGGGTCCGTTGACGAGCGCTTGTCGCTAGTCATGAACAAAGCATGTTACTGCCTCGTGTTAAAATCCAATTGTCGGGCAGCGTTCTTAAAGGTATTATCGTCAATATCTCCGCCCCTTCTCGTCAAGTCATTACCCATTTTTTGGACCCCATCCAATTTTCTGGGAAGATTCTCCTTCTCTGTCGGTTTAGGCTCAGTAAACCACCAGTTGTGTTGTAAAACTTGACATGCCGTACTCCGTTTTCTCGGATCCAACGTACACATCGACATAAGCAAATCCGCGCCGACAAGACCAGCAGTCGGAAACTGCCTTAAAAAGAATTCTCGACCCTGTATTGGAATGATATGGTTCTTATCAGCGGGAATATAATTCGGCAACCTAGAGACTCCTGGCCAATTGTCTTCAGTGGGCGTGCCAAATGCTTCACAGACCTTGGAGATCTGATCAAGATCAGAGCTCCCTGCGACAAATGGCACTCGCAAAAGCAGCTCCGCAAAAACCATGCCCATGGACCAAATATCCACAGCTCCCGAGTACTGTCGTGCCCCATAAAGTAATTCGGGTGGTCGATACCAGCGGGTGATAACCTGGTGTGTCATGTTCAAATAAGGGTCAGCGAATGATCTAGCTAGACCAAAATCTGCTAGTTTCACTTCCCCATCGGTAGCAATAAGAAGATTGTTTGGCTTTATATCTCGATGAAGAATATAATTTTCGTGGCAGAACCAGACGCCTCTAGCAAGCATCCCCATCCATGCCTTAACATCAGCTGCACCGTAGTGAACATTCCCATCTTTAATGAGCATCTCAAGGTCGCCACGCGGTAGATACTCCAAAACCAAGTTAAGATTTTGGTCCTTAGAGGAAAAGACATCATGGAGCGCTATGATGTTCGGATGTGACAATTCTTGTAAGTATTTGACTTCTCGAATTGCGTCCATCGAAAGCCCGTCTCTGTATTCAGCATTGACTTTGATCTTCTTGATTGCCACAAAGGACGAAGGATCAGTTCGAAGATGACCAAGATAAACGACAGCGTAGGTTCCTTCTCCCAGTTTCTTGTCTGTGAATTTGCTTATGAGTGTCATGACATACTTGAGAGAGGAGAATCATGTACAAAGATGGTGATATAGCTTACCTTTGATATACTTATGCCGCACATCATCGTTTAATTGTTCGGTTAGTTCACGATCCGTGCTGTGCGTGATAAGAGGTGAAGGTGCGTTGTCTTGGAGGTTGATCGAGCTCTGAGTAGCTGCACATCGTGGTTTAACTGCAATGTCCAAGGCTGAAGTTGCGGCTGGTGATGGCTGGGGAGGCAAAGGTGAGACAGCCATAACTTGAAGTTGATTCCGGCTATACGCTGAGATTATATGTTCGGAAAGAGAGCGCTAAAGTGGTACACAATGGTGCATGACAAGTTATACACTAATGATGACATTCCCTGTGCGCTATATTAAGTATAAATCGAATCCAATTGTCTTGAATAAAAGAGTCAGTAATTAGTGCTCCATCTTTTATCCCCTGCTCCCATACATCAACATACGCTTCTTGATAACATTTTTCCTACAGAAGAGGTAGACAGGGTAAGAAGCATTATGGGTCTCGGAGTTTTATTGATCCTGAAATTACCGCCGTCACCGAAATTTCTCAAACACCGGAAAGCCACCACCAATAGCAATGAGTTCAACCAGGATAGCCAACTTTTTGCCACTCTTGATTTAGCAAAGTCATCTGGTTTCCCTTGGCCCTCCGTTTCCTAACTCTTTCTATCGCTTTCTGTTGTCCTGCCTGTAGCGATCTTGGCACCGCCGACCATCGAAAAACAGCGACGCGACTGACTATGGCGATGCGCAACTCGTCCCTCTTGTCTTTGCGATTCGTTAGACCTCTGATTATCGGCAAACAATGTGTGCGATGCTTTCATAAACATGCGGCTACACCTTCTGTGCCTTCACCGACACCATTTGTCCCCGATGTCCCTACATTTCTTACGTTGATCGGCCGTGGCATGTCTAAGCATGCGAGTAAGCTGCCTTCGTGGGAGAAACTGTTCACCCTTAGTTCCACTGAGCTGCGGGATCTGGGTATCGAGCCGCCCCGCCAACGACGTTACCTACTTCGAAAAAGGGAGAAGTTTAGGAATGGAGATTTTGGCCCTGGTGGTGACCTGGAACATGTAGTCGATGGTACAGCGCAGTTACGAGTTGTTGAAGTCCCATTGGTCCCTAAAGATTCAAGAAAAGGCGTTCAAGCCTCAGATTCCTCAAAATCGTCGGCGACTTTGTCTCCGGGGATGCGGAAAGTGATTGTCAATCTGCCACCGGATGCTCCAGAATATACGCATGATCCATCGAAACCGCTGAAAAAGTTCGCGCACATGAAGATTCATCGTGGCTCCATGCTTAGGGGTCCGTTCCTACAGCCAATCAAAGGCACAGATAACTGTGCAGCTCTAATAAAAGTCCAGGAGGGCATGTGGGAGGACAAGTTGGGACACAAGGTCGATGGTGGTGAAAGGAGACGTGCTGAGGTTAGGGCCAAGAAGAGGAGCGAAGAAAGGCGCAAAGGAACAGCATGAAGCAAGATGTGAACGATGGTAGATAACTGCATTGCCATTGCCTTATCTGTATAATAGTTTTATGTGCTCGTGTTTGAATATCAACATCATTTACTGTTTAGGAGCTGCATACCACGGAAGTGTACAGGTCCCTGGCACTGCAAGATCCAGATATATCGATACGTGTCGTAGAGATGTCTTCTACTTGCTAATTTTTGTTCCTATTGTGGGATTAAAGTGATATGGTGGGATAACAGGACTGGAAGCCAGTCCCAACGATAAAAAATAAAGGATACTTTACAGTAAAAAGGCCAGAAATAGATCGCTGATGGCTTGATACGGGAGGAGAGTAAGAGCTCATAGTGCGAAAGTGCCAGATGCTCTTCAAGTCTCTAACCTGCTCGGTTCTTCCCTCTAAGCACCGTTCAGGCTATTGCCGAACCCCCCTTCTCTAGAGCTATAAAGCTCGAGAATGAGATGGCGGACATTGTACGCTGGAGAAATAGAGGACGAAAAGTAAATGTACTATGCCTTGGCAACGGGCTCGCGCTTCTCGAACTGTATGACCGATTTTCCTAAGGGCTTGGAAAACAGTGACTGAAAGGCCGTTAGTTACAAGCTCTATACGTTGCATGCTAGCGTAGCTTACTGAGTAGTCTGTCTCCGGAATACTATTAACACCCGGGAGGTTGCGAAACTTGAACAATCTTACTAGAGCCGCAGTTATCGCACCGAGCTGGACATAAGCGAATTGTTCGCCAATGCATCTATGCCGTCCGGCGCCGAATGGAAGATATGGGCTGTTAGTACCTTTGGTGACCAAGCCGTAGCCATAGTCAACCTTCTCTTCATCTTCAGCATTGGTAGCGATAGTTTCATCCCATCGATGGGGGTCCCATTTAAGTGGATTAGGGAAATGTTCTTCTGATCTTGCAGTAACACCTGGGGATGAGAGGACATTGTGTGAAGTCGGGATCACGTAAGGGGTGCCTTCTACTGGCATTGGATTCTTGACAGCCCGGATGATGGAGTGAATTGGTGCATGTATGCGAAGAGTTTCTTTGATGACCTTTGCATGCAGATCTAATTTTTGCAAGCTCTCATAAGTGAGCGGAGACTCGTCACGTCCGAGAATGCGGAGTTGTTCTTGATAGAGTTCCTCCGTTACTTCAGGGGAAGCTGCAAGATGCAGGACGATCCAAGCCGCAGTAGATGACGAAGAGTGCTGGCCAGCCATGAGTAGAGCAATCATCATATGGGCAATTTCCTCGTCGGGGACTGGTTTTCCATCTTTGTACGCGCAGGACATAAGGTTCCAGACCATGTCTTCTGAATCTTTTTTGCTGCCAGTCTTACGGCGTTCCTTTATAATTTCCATATATGTTTCAGTCATCTTTTTCTGGGCGGCATCACGCTTGCGGTTATGGGGAAGGGGCGCCCAAGGTAACATGAAATTAATGGGGGCGAAACCCATGTCGAGATCATGATATAGTTCAGCGAAGGTGGAATCAAATCTACTCCGGACTTCCTTCCCTTGAAGGGAACGCGAAGCGGTGTAGATAGTAATCTCGGCAATTGTTTTGCAGACGTCGAAGATACCCTTGGAGCCTTGAAATGCCGAGGAGTTTTGTACAAAACCTTCCACTTCGCTTGTAATCAAGCGAACATATGAGCGAAGTGCATCGGATGTAAGACCATATTTCACAAACTGTATGTGTCAACTAGCTAGAATAAGTATCACAATTCTTGTGATTCTTACTTACCTTCTTCTGCTCCATGAGCTTAGCATTGGGGCAATCGTACACCACATGGCGCCCAAACACAGGTGTCGTAAGCGGCGAATAAACCTCTTCGGCGCAGACATCTCGGAGCTTGCCATTCAGAATAAAGTCATTGCCCTTGGTGCCTAGGTAAACAGTTGTCTTCTTGCCGAGGAGGACGAACGTAAAAATATCGCCATACTGTAATAGTAAACGTGATGTTAGCGAGAACCAAGAATCACCCCGTGGGCCAGCGTACCTTTGCGCGGCAATTAAAGAAGAACGAGTACGGATCCATGCCATAGCTGACGGTACTACCAATAAAAGGAAACCAGTGGAAGACCACAGGGGGTTCTTTGGGGTTTTTGAAGAGAAGTTGTCGCAAGACGTTGAGAATCACAGAGATGACAAGCAGGGATACTAATCCCATGCTAGCGAGCACCCATGATGAGAAATCAGAGCAGCGCTCGCAGACGCTGTTGAGAGTAACAGCGAGAAGGCCCATAGTTGCGGAACAGCGGGGGGTGCCAGGTGGAAGAAATGGGAGGCAATGGCATGAAAATAAAGAGTCTCTAGATAGAGGCACCCTCCTAGGCCTCTTACAAGAAATTGAGTAGAGGTGTGACACCCGTGACTCTTCTCTCTTGGGTACTGGAATCAATGATCAAAACGCGAGAGATCGGTTGAGTAGGTGGAAGAAGAAGAAAATGTACCTTTTTCCTTTAGGAGTGCTAGTCTCAGGTGGCCTCGACCCGCCCACCGATTTTCTTCGGTCCAACCATGAACTAAGACTACGACGGAGTTATCAGGACTAACTAATAGTAAGGCACTACCGACCGCCCCGTGCATGTGGAACAGTTCCACAGTGGAAAATGAGAATCCTGGCGACTGGCGAATGGTAACAGACCGGATTTCTCACCACACCGCCACCTCAATCGTTCTACATTAATTGCCCAGCAGTAGTAGTACCTAAGTTTGAGATTTATAGCCTAATACATTCGTAGTTTACTCTAAAATTGTGTTGAAGGTACCTTTAGATTAGCCTAGCAACACTTCTTTCTCTCTATCATCTTATGTTAGTAGCATGAGGTGCGAGAAAACCCACCTTTGGGTTATGTCAAGGCATCGATTGAACTAATAGTATTGCGATCGATACTGAGTCTTAGTTGAATACTAAACGAAAGACAGTCAGCCGGTGATACACAACTAGCCCTCATATAGCTGATGGTAAGTATGGGATGGCACTGGCTCGCAGATCCAACCAGATACACTTCTTAACACCTTTTAACTGCTAATTCTCACCATCGCTTCTTCAGCGCCAGCTCTCTACAGCAGAATTCTAATACCAGTAACCCAATGCTATCTACAAAGAGCCTCAAAGAGCAGCTAACAATCCTTCATTTGTACTGACTCGTGCGGTCTTCTTCAAACAACACTGGATCCCCACGCTCTCCAAGGTTGACAAAATCATTAGGAGCACTGTTTTCGTCAGGCGACGTTTCGCATTCCTGGACAACTTTGGCAGGCCGGTTGTACACGCGCTTCCCGGCGCTGTTTTTGTGAAAAACTTTCACCGGGGCACCGCCTCCCTCCACGTGCTCACTGAAATGGACATTATTGACACTGCTAAGGAGGGTCCGTTCGCGTACTATTTTTCGCTTCGAGAAGTCCAGTTTTCCCAAAGCCCCGGTCAACCCATCTGTGCTGTCAGAAACACTAGGGTATTTCCCAGTAAGCCATGGATGTTCTAGACATTCGTCTACTGTAATTCTCTTGGTGACATCAACCGTGAGCATCTTGTCTATGAGGTCCAGAGCCGGATCGCCCACAGAATCCCAGTAGGGTGATGGATAATCAAACCGACCCATTTTGATCTGTTGCGCTAAAGTGTACGGGTTCTCGGGTGTATAGAGCTCATCGGAGAAAGGCGGAAATCCACAGAGACATATATAGAGAACAACACCAAGGGACCAGATATCCACAGCTTTTGTGTATCTGCGGCGGCGGGAGTCTTGTAATATCTCTGGTGCCACATCTACAGAGTAAGTATAAACAGTATCCGTGACAGTATTACTAGAGCAACTTACAGCTTGGAGTCCCACATCTAAGGGTAAGGAATATTAGCCAATGTCCCTGTATCAAAAAAAACTAAAGAGAAGAAGGATAAAAGGGAAGGACGGGAGTTGCAGCATACAATGTTGTTGTGAATGAGTCCTCACCAATAATCTTGGCAAGACCGAAATCGCCAAGTTTCACAGTCAGCTTCTTGTCTGCAACAAGGATATTCTCGGGTTTTATGTCCCGATGGACGATACCACGATCATGCTATATCTCAAGTTAGCTGCTGTTACTGTACAACGGAAATCTTTGTCACTACCAGATACTTTAATCCTTCAAAAAGCTGAACGAATATATGGCGTGTTTCAGTCTCGGAAAACTTCTGCATACTAACAATTAGGTTGAAGAGTTCGCCTTCCGGAGCAAGTTCCAGAACGAGATACACGCCACCACTTTCGTCGAAGGTGTCTTTGAGACATAGTAAATTTGGGTGGCTAACACCCATTAAAAGACCTATCTCTTGTTGCAAAGCGTCCGCCTGGGATTTTTGAGAATCGCCGGAGCGTTTTTCAAACACCTTAACGGCGTATTTTGTTCCTGTAGACCGGCCCGCACAGAGATAGACAGTTGCAAAGTGACCTTTCCCTAATTGTTGAAGGAGTTTGTATTGTTGGCGGAACCCGCTTGTATCCCTTGTGCGAGGGTATCGGAAAACAAAACGCGCCTCATCTAAGATAGTAACTTCATCACCATCTTCAAGTTCGCGGTGCTTGTTCCGCCCAACTATTGCATCATTAATAAACGTGCCATTGCTGGACAAATCCTCCAGAATCGCAAAAAACCCTCCTTTTCTATTTTCTGAAAAAATCAAAAAGTGTCGATTAGACACGGTGGGGGCGTTAACAACCAAGTCTGAATATATTGACGTTAGTGTTGCACGTTACGGTATACCTCGCATTGCTACTTACCGCATTCTGGGTGGCGGCCAATTAGATAACCGCCGGGGGGCTGGCTCTTCGCTTGCTTGCTTCCGGAGGATTTGTCTTGTCGTTGAGGCCCCTTTCCGGATTTGCCCTTGGACTTCACATCCGTGTGATCTCCGCAGCTATCCCGTTTTCTCAGAACAAGTGGCTTCCGAACCTTTTCATCAAGCGGGATAAGGTAGCCCCAAACCCCTTCAGCAGTCTCGTCTTCAACTTCATCGGCAAATGCTCTGGGCGGATATACGAATTGTGACAGAGCCTGCGTATCACCAGGAGGAGACGAACATGTTTGGAGAGTATCTGAATTGAGTGGCGTGTGGTGGCGTATCTGGCTAGAGTTATCTGGTGAAGTCGTGACTTCTTTTCTAATGTCCGTCGCAGTTGAGTTTTGTTGGGTTAGAGGTGTAGGTAGGTATGACTGATTCACCGGAGTAGCTTGTGATTGGTCTTGCGCTGTGGTTCTCTGAGAGCGTCGCGGTTTCTTCAAATCTTGTGAATCATGGTCTGTGCTGACCTGTATGACAATCAGGATATCAGTAAAATGGGTTGGACTAGTTGAAGAAACACCCACCCTGCTGCGTTTAAGGGAGCTCTTTTCATTTTGCGGAGCCATTCCTTTCTAATGCCTTGTCGCCGTTTCAAGATTGGGAAATATCGAATCCGTCATACAGCAGCAAGCGATGATGGCTACTTTGGGCGTTTGATAGATGCAAAGTGATGGGATGCGGGCAATATGGCTTGGTTTCTTTACTGGAGTAGTAACGCAACCTCTGATATCTGATGTAATCAGAGGGTGGGAAGGCGGAAGAGAGGGGGTGGAGAGAGAATGAGAGAGAGAGAGAGAGAGAGAGTGTGTGTGTGTGTGTTGAGGCAAGGGAATCGAGAAATTTGGAGACAATACTAATTTAGGTGGAGGTAGGAGATGGACAATGACAGAAAAAAGAGTAGAAAAAGAAACACAGACGATGTAGGTCCGGTAACGCGTATTCATATTTCAGCTCTGTATGTTTGTACCTCAAAAAATTATTTAATCTGACGCCAAGGAGTAGCGCCTTCTCAATACCGTCTTGCCTACTCACTGAGATCCTAATACTTACTACACGTATAGAATATGGAGCTCATTTGAAGACGTAGGCTAAACCTTACCTACCTATCCAGTAAGAAGGAACAGTTGTAGCTCTATAATTCAACGGAGCATGTACCTGACTATTTTAGAGGCTACATGAGACGATTAGTTCGGTTGTACGGAGTACCTCCTATGTACATCAACAAGAATACTCAACCGGGGCAGTTCTTCAGGTGGCTTCACTCAAATATTCGCCGAAAAATCTGATTTTCTAATCCACATGGTTTTACTTCGTGTAGTTCTTGAACAAGTGTTTGTCTTTTCATGTATCTTTTTCTGTCTGTGCTTGATCTTAAACACCCGAGAACCTAGGTCGTAATTTAATTAGCCAGGAGTAAGTTCGGTCTCCCACGTGGATCCGGGGAACACGTACTACATAATAATATCTAATTATGTAGCTCCAAACCGCTCAGGGGCGTCTCGGACATCTTCCTTTCGTCTCTCTCAAGATCGAGGAGACCAGAAAAAATACCTTATTCCCTCACGATAATCATCAGAATGGATGAGTGAGCCGCAGATTCACATCTCGGAAAATCAATTGTGCTGATTGGAATACAGGTTCTCCGCAAATATCAGATCCTCCGCGTTGGAGAAACTTGCAACGTTAGCAGTGAAAGCACCAGAGAGTGACGAAAAATCGGATATTGCGCGTCTCTTGCGACAATCTCAGTATTCGACGTCTCATCCAAACGATTTAGATGGCGTCTTGCGAAATCAGGCGCCGACGTCACGGATACCTATGGTCTGTCATCAATGCGCGTGTTTTATATATAACCAAAGAAGATAGTCTGACTTCTTTAGGGTATTCGAGAACTAGACGTACTAATCGCATTATGCAAAGCTGCTTCTTCTTCTTCTTTAGGCAACCCCGAGTATGCCTCTAGGTTGGTTTCTCAACTATCTCGGTATCTTCCTGAGGCTCACAGTCAGGTTTTCCGTCCTTCACCTTTTCTATATCTCATAAAACCTTCTCCTTGGGAGGCACTTACATCTAATATTACCTTGGCTCTCTTGTCATTGGGCTCTGAATCTCGCTATCCCTTGCTGCGAGAGACAGTTCTCAATGCTGTCGACAAGTACCTGGAGAATTGCACCAAAGCTGTTCAAGCTGTGGCGCCTTTCACGCATCATGATGCTAGAACAGATAATCATTGCGCCGTGCATGAAGCCATCGGCGTACTATCAATTACTACCTCCATGATTGGTTTCCTGGAGGCGTCCACTAGGTTTGCTTCTTTCTGGACAGCCACCGAGAAGTTAAGGATAATCGAAGATATATGGTCAATTCTGTCCGAGGAATTCTTAATTGCTATCGAGACAGCGTCCTCTACAGTACGTAATGCACATACATTGGAGAACGTACTTCGGGATTGGAGGAGATACACTCGGCACTATGCGGCCGATGGACGGCCTTTAGGAGTTATGCTGCTGCAGGAAGCGTTCATGCGTTTTGTTAAAGCATGTACGGCATCACTCATTGGGGCACCTGATCTATCCGAGGATGAACTACTAGGTGACTATATGAACGGAGTTGGCATCGCTAGGAGCCATGATGCAGATGAAGTATCTCTTATCAATCGTACGGCAGAAATCATCGATGATCAGATCAAGCTTTTGGAGGACGGTTCTGATTATCTGCAGCTTGGCTCACCTTGGCAGCAACGACTTACTTTCTCAGTTAAGGCGTCCGCCTTTATTGGGTATCTACATTGCGTGTTGAGTGGAAAAGCAAATAGCGAAGACTTACTTTCTTGGTTGGAGAGCACCCTGATGGATCCAAACCAAATGTCATGCCTCGAGCTAGCAACGGCAACTTTGAAAAGCGTCGCAATAGTCGCAAGAATGTCACTAAATAGCGCTTCTTCTGGAAGTCGCTCTCTCTTGCGTTTCATTGTCGAAGGAGCCGTTCCTGCTGGGCCCACAGCCTCAGTTGCTGCGAAATGCCTTGCTCAAGTTCTTGGCGTTTTATCTCAAGATGCTGTTATCACAACTTTGTACTCGCTGGGAAATGTCCTAAGTCCCGGCTCGGGCACAGAACAGGCATATAATGGGCAGTTGATAGGAGACACTTCTGGACATGTTAATGCTTTTGCTGGTTTCTCAAAAGCAAAGCAAGGCAGTGAGGTATCCCTTTCCGTCATGGGTGAGGAAGACTGTGTACATTACAGAACCGTTGTCCACGCCATCGTGACGATTGCCACCCACTCCAATGATGAGAAAATAAGTGCTCTAGCACAATCAATGCTGCTACAGAAGATCGGAAAACTGAGTGCTGCCGTTGATGCTTATATCATCAAGGAAACCGCTGCATTGTCCCTGAGCACTGGTCAAGGTGAATTCCAACTTCTCCTCAAATTCTATGGCCGCGCCTATTGGGATGGCATCACCAAGGGATATAGCAACGTTGCTAATGCGGTTGAGAGCGCGATGGCGTACCTCTCCGTTACGCTGCAAAGAAACACCCCACTTTATAGGGCATATTTGATTCATTTGCTGGAAAGTATCGTAAATAAGGGCGATGCTACTGATTTTGAAAATGAGCGGCAAAAAGATATCTCCTTAGCCCCCGATTATCTCACCCCCCTTTTGCAACCACTAGCATTACTTGTCTCCTGTGGAGGGGTCAAGGGAGAATACGTGGATATCGCAGATTATGATCAGGACATATCTACTCTCTTTCGTGATGCCTGGTTCAACATTGCTATTCATGGGATATCCCTTACATCGACTGTTGGTCGAACCCATATGAAGGAACTACGTTTGCTGGCGAAGTATTCGCCACCTCTTGTTTTTGAAGATCGTATGGAGGTGCTTGAAAGTGATGTGGAACTCAATACAATACTAAGACGCGGTATGGGACCACAGCGTCTCGTGGAACAGAAGAGAACCTTGATCATGGAACTTCCCAGTCGGGAATCCGAGATCAAGCGCTTGAATTATCCAAAAGCAGTTTTCCTTAATGCAGCGTTGCTAGTCGAAAGCCTCCGTGCATCAGCTGGAGACTGCACTAAAGTACTCAGTTACTTCCGGGACCCAGCCTTAACCACTACCGAAATGGCCAATTGCATGACTACGGTTGCAGAGAAAGTGGTGGACACTTATGTCTCGTTGACGCTATCTGGCAGACGCGAAGACTTTTCAGTCCCATTCTTGTCGAAGGAACTGGCCGGTTTCTTTGTGGCTTGCTGCCATAGAGTAGAAAGGGTGCAAAATGTTGCTGTGCTTTGCGCTAACAAGATTATAGAAGATTGTCCGTCGTCTCTATGCGAAAAGGACTCACTCTTTGCTCTCCTTGAACTCTTGACAGTTATGTGGCAATCGTGCCTTGAGGAAGAGCTTGATGAATTTGAGTGGAAACCCACATTCACGTCACCTACAGGGATCGTCAAGGTTCACCTACCTGACAATTATCATTTTAGAAGAAAGACTCTGGATGTGTTCCTTGAACGAGCCCGGGTGTGGGTCACGGCGGTGATGGATATCGCTCCCCTTGATATCAAGGGTCTTCTCCAGGTATATCCCTATTCTATTCCCTGGACCACATTCCTTACCGTAAGCCAGACATATTTATCTGCGTCCGAAGACAGCAATGGATTCGCCAATATCTCAATGGGCCGGTCGTTTGCACTTGAGATGGGATCACTCATTTCCAAACGCGATCAACGGCTGGGTAAGCTCAGCAATGCCGCACACGGATTCGTCTCTAACGCGCCTATTTCAATTAGGGTCAATTGAACAATACGGCGCTAACAAGGTCGATGTAGCGTCTGACTTCATGGCTCAGTACACCACACGCCAAAGATACCGGTATCCAGATGCATACCTATCCAAGATTTTAGGATCGGGAAATAGTCCGTTATATTTCTCCGTTGAAAGCGTCTATTGAGCTAACCAAATAACAACAGGTCACAAGATCGATGCTTCTACCCAGCTGGAGTCCGATGGGGATGCAGAGAATAGGCTGTCTGATCTGCATGAACAGATGAAGTTAGGGTGCGAAATACCATTTGTGGAGGTCAGGGATGGACTCCGGAGGGCTGCTGCTCTTTTGTGCAGCGGTGGTAACCACCACCCTTCAATTCCTCGTTACCTGGTCTCTTTACCCTTTGATATCTTCTCGACGGAGTCGATAAACCTTGGAATCTCTCTATGGCTGGGGGCGATCCACGAGAACCCAGCCGTGGAGTCCAAGATCCTAGTCGAGGTAATTGAGGCTTGGGAGAAGACAATCATGCGCAAGCAAGGCATGTTCGACCCATCTTTCGAGTGAGTGCTCTATGGTTATGCCTGATATCATTATGATTGACCTGTTCCAAATCAGTTACATTGATCCATTATACGCCAAGATCGAACTCCTGCCAACCGATAAGGCACTCATGCTACAAAAGCAACAAAAAGCTCACAAGATTCTTTCACCACACTTGCATGTTCTCCAGTTTTTTGAGAGCCACTTCAGCGCCATTCAGCTAGGGAACCTACAAGATCAACAGTTGTTCCATCGCCTCATGGACAAGACTACTGCGGGCCTCATGCAAACCAGTGGGCATCCCCTATCCCGCGAGCTTCATTTCCGTATCATTTTGTTTGGTCTTAAAGTACTTAAGCATTTCGGCTCTGCGGACCTGGCCGCTTCGTGGAAGCTGAAAGATCAACTACTATCAGCCGCCCTGAGTTGGTTTAGACATCCGCCTAGGTATGTTGCAGTTCAGTTCCATGCTGCTGAAGCTAATAGTTTCTGACATATGCATCTGCAGATGGTCTTTCGGAGGCAATCGATTGCAAATAAAAGCTGAAGATAAAGTCCTCAGTGACGTCGTGTCTGCTTTATTTAACGTCTCTAGCATTGCATGTCACACGTTGGGCCCGTATAAGTCATTGCAGGCTAAGCAGGATCTGCTTCATGCCCTTCTTGAGAATGAGCGGTCGCGTCTTAGGGTTTGGCTGTATCCTTTGGATCAAGATCGTAAACACTACATGCACCAGGCTTCCGGAAGCAGGAATTTTACGGAGGTTCGTTGATTTTAATTTGCAGCGCCTAACCCCTTATTCATTTTCCTCCGAGTGTGATCCTAACTTTTACCCCAGGAAGCTGTGTCTTTATTACGGCTTGCTTGGGCTGAGCATCCAGGGTTAGCCATTCAACTTGGTGCTCGTTTCCCTTCCGTGAAGTTGAAAAACGATATCCGCTGGTTATTACTCAACTTCCCGGAAAAGATTGTTGATGAACCCAGTAGCCTTGAAATCATGCTAGGTGCTACTCTCCCTGCAGATGTCTCATTCCAATTGAAGGTAGGCTTATTCATGCACAATCGACCGTTCTATTTCATTCTAGGTCTGACCTAAGTAGTATCTGCTATACTGGGCACCCGTAAATCCCACCGAAGCTCTGACTTACTTTCTACCCGCGTATGGGAATCACCCGTTCATCCTTCAATACGCGATGAAAGCGTTGGAAAGTCATCCTATCGATGTTCGTTTCTATTTTGTTCCACAGTTGGTTCAGGCTCTACGATATGATGCACTGGGCTATGTAGAGCGTTATATCATGGAAACAGCCAAGCAGTCTCAATTATTTGCACATCAAGTGATTTGGAATATGAAAGCTAATTCGTACAAAGACGAGGACTCTCAAGTTGTGAGTAAGGTGGCCCTAATCTGAAACAATTTTACTAACATGCGTAAGCCGGATCCGCTCAAACCGACCTTGGACAGATTTATGGACTCTTTGATTGCCAGCTTCACACACGATGAACGCGACTTCTACGAAAGGGAGTTTTCCTTTTTCAATGACATTACTGGTATTTCAGGGAAGCTCCGGCCGTATATCAAAAAAAGTAAACCCGAGAAGAAAGAAAAGATTGAGGAAGAGCTTCGCAAAATCAAGGTGGAAGTTGGTGTTTACCTTCCTAGCAACCCCGATGGTGCTGTTGTCGGTATCGATCGCAAGTCAGGCAAACCCCTTCAAAGCCACGCAAAAGCACCATATATGGCGACTTTCAGAATCCAAAAGACAAGGTCACGGCTTGAAGCAGAAGGTGCTACAGGTTCTTCAGAAAAGCACGTCTTAGCTCAGAACGAAGTAATAAATTCGGACCCTCAGCACGAGAGCTATGAAGTTTGGCAGTCGGCAATTTTCAAAGTTGGAGACGATTGCCGCCAAGATATGTTGGCTTTGCAGATGATTGCTGCTTTTCGAAGCATCTTTGGTAGCGTTGGGCTCGATGTTTGGGTATTCCCTTACCGAGTAACTTCGACAGCTCCAGGGTGTGGTGTTATTGATGTCCTCCCAAATTCAATTTCTCGTGACATGCTAGGCCGCGAAGCAGTGAACGGGCTTTATGACTATTTTGTTTCCAAGTATGGTGGAGAAGATTCGATTAACTTCCAGGAAGCACGCACCAATTTTGTCAAGAGCATGGCGGCCTATTCTGTTATATCATACCTACTACAGTTCAAGGATCGGCACAATGGGAACATTATGGTCGATGATGCTGGTCACATCATACACATTGACTTCGGATTTTGCTTCGACATTGCGCCTGGAGGCGTTCGCTTCGAGCGTGCACCTTTCAAGCTGACTTCTGAGATGGTTGCTGTGATGAGCGGCACTCAACATACACATGCTCATACCCCTGGGGGTGGTTCTTATACCCCTACAAGCACTCAACCATATCGATGGTTCGAATCCTTGGTTGTCAAGGCGTTCCTTGCATCTCGCCCGTACAGTGCTAAATTAGCCCACATTGTCTCCTTGATGCTCGATAGTGGCCTTCCCTGTTTCAAACCCGACACTTTAAAGAATTTCCGTGATCGATTTGTCTTGGAGAAGAGCGAGAGAGACGCAGCCGAGTATATGCGAGAGCTTGTCCGCAAATCTTACATGAGTGTCTCAACCAAGGGCTATGATCAATTCCAGCTATTGACAAATGGCATCCCTTACTAGACCTAACAGAATACCAAATCCTTGGTAATTATCCTGCCCCTATGATTGATTTGTTCAAATGCCACCTTTGAGGGAGAAAGAGGGGAGCAGTGCGCGGTAGCTCTATCTAATAAATTATTTGTGTGCTATTTTTGATATTGATTTACAACAATCCTCAAACTGCCATGTCGCTCGCGCGATGTTTCAGTCGATTAATCCCCAGAATCCTATTATATATAGTAAATTAAAGTCCCTGCCTCTTAAAACAAGCAGCCGGGGAACCGAAATTTCCTCACTTAGGTATGACTGCTACTCAATATCCATCTGACTCTCTCGATTTATCGCTTTGTCTAGTTGTCTAGGGGATGTTGATTGTATAATCTATAGATGTAAACTATTCTAAAAAGCAACCCATCAGCTCTCCGCACCCCATTGTGAGCCATAGGTTAATAACGTTAACAAATATTAGAAAATGGTCTCCCTGGAAAGGCTAGTCCTGCTATTCATTATATGTATGTACTTTGGAGTTTCGCATTAAGTATAGCATTTAGCCCATTTGATAAACATTCTTGCCCTGTTTAATCAAATCAACTAATGATGCATTCCTGGGGAGGAGTAGTCGGGGTCCATATTCCTACATAAAACAGTTCGGATTAGTGGTCTCAACTTTAGATAAAAAGATGAGCTAATTACTCCAAGAGTGGCCCGTTCGGCCCTAAACAACAAATATGAGTTCAGCAATGTACAACCTCGCGATCAAATGCTCGCAACCTTTGATTGATTAGGATTGTATATTGGTCTTAAGATTTCCTCTCAGCCAGTGGCGATAATTAATACACCTGACTGTCTGTGGGTCTGCTTTGTTTGTTTCATTACGCACCATATCTGTGCACATGTCTGCAGAGTGCGTTGTCTTAACTTCAATACTACCTCCGGAAATAGAATGGAAACAGCTTTATGGAGATTAGGTATAATGTATATGCCACGAGGCCCTTCCTCCACAATCTATGTATATTTTATATTTTTCAGGCCCCTTCTATCTAACACCACCTATCTCAAGAAACCATTAAATATAGAGAGAGACACATGAGGACTGCTTAGGGTGTCGATGACATACATCTGTACTATGATCTGATCTCAGTCTTCCACAGAGTATAAACAGCTTTATTACATCTACCATATAAAACGTTCAGCCTTTATGCCTTACATTCGCATGAAAATTTCGGATGAGACCATAATAATTGGTATGTACAAGACCAACAATCAGATGGAGATGGTGCTGCTTCATTCTGTTGAGCAATGACTCTGTCTTATGGGTTGGAAATAGACACGATAAAATAACAAGCAAAAACAAAAATAGGGTAGTGCGTAAAAGAAAAGAGACCAAAAAGCACACGACTTTGAAGTTATCCCGAACCCTTCGAAGCCAATTTTGTCCCATACCACTTAATACTGTTTCAGCAGTCTAGCAAAACTCATATCGCGAGATCAACGAACATATGGTCTGACCAGCAGCATCCTAATGGAAACGGAGAAATAACATTAGATGAATGAACAATATGATCATCAAGGTTGAACATAAGGTGAATTGATAGCATAAATAAGGCTAGGAATCTGCCCTCCATTTGGATCTTGCCTCCGCAAATAGTGCGAATGACAGAGATCTAAAAGATTCTGAAGTTTCTTTCGTTTCACAGACAAATCAGGGGTATATCGCGATGAGAGGTGGCCAGGTTACTGTAAAGTTAATCACGATGTGCCCTTCAAATTGCATCGTCTGAAATACCACCTCATCTGATCAGATACAGTAGTATCTCCCCTCTTCCTTCTTGTTTTGATTTTCTTCTCCTCGTGTGTCTCTTAAAAGCTACACAATCGTATGATCATAGGTGAGTCATAGGGAAAAGCAAGACAGAGATAAAGACGGCCTCAACAAATGAAACCATTAAGCTTAGTCCATAAAATCCCCACGAAGTATTTTCTCCTGAAAGAAATCCGGTTTATTCTGCCGAGGTTGCTTAGACATTTCCCGGGTTGGTTGCTCTATTGAAGCAATAGATGCTGCCCGCTGATGCTGCCCATGCTGGCCTGTGTTGGCTGCATGTTGGCTTTGAGGCGTATTTGGGGAGATGTTTCCAATCGATGGGGCACGCTCTGCCCGAGTCCGGAGAGCTTCAGACCAGTTGAAGCCTTCGCCTAATGGTCGCCAAAAAGCGTTAGAGTTATCGTTCTGAGGAAAATTTCTGTGTGTACTTGCAGCAATTGACCCAGTGGATCTACTGGCAGAAGCGCTGCTAGCTGGCGACGCACTTGAGCGTCCTCCAGCCACAGGTGACCTAGGAGAGGGATATCTACCATTGCCTGTGCTTCCTCCACGAACATCTCGCAAGGCTTGTGCACCAAATGAAACCCTTCGTGCGAATGGAGAGCTCGGTGTGACACTAGGAGGGCCATTTTCACTGTCTTCCATGACCGCGTCCTCGAGGCTTGCGGAGTTGGATCCCATGGAGCTGGATACGCTACTATGTCGTAAGTTTCTGGCCCCGAACGGAGAAGTCTGGGTCGGCGAGCCCGAGAGCCCTAGCGTAGTAATGGACAGCCTTCGCCCATGGTGCGACTGCGCGTTGGCTACGGCACTGGCCATTGGGCCCGTCGGGACGCTTGAAGTGGTCCCTTGATTCCCGGGCTTCGACAGATAATCAGCCAAGCCAAGACCCGACGCCAAGGAAGCTCGACGTTGTCGCGACGATGGAACAGAGATAGGAGAAGTCGAGCGGTTGTCTGACATTATATCAAAATAGGAGATGCTCAAGTGGATATACTCGGCAAATTTTATGGTATAGGACGGTCTTTATGACAGTGGCGTATCAAACTATGACTATAGGCTGATGGGCACGTTTGAGTCCTGAATGGGCAAGTAACACCCTTCCTGAGAGTATGAACAAGGAGAGGTGGCTAGGACAACTGGGATATCCAATATTGTTGAAGTTATCTGGTATGTGTCTCAAGGTAACGTAGGTAGTACGATATCAATCTCTGTTAGATAACTGGTAGAAAGAGGGAGGAACACAGAAAAGAGGAAAATGAAGATATAGTGCGCACAGAATTTCTGTTGGGAGGCTGTTAGTCAGTCAGGTGTGTCCCACAAACACACTTCGCATGAATATATTCACTGTCAATGGCAAGTATGATAGGGGAGGTGTTGACGATGGAGGAAGGCCTTTCGCCAAAGAGTGACAGGAGATGAGATGTTATTAATGATATAGACGATGGATTCAGGGAATTGAGGGGAAGGAGACAGGCTAGGAAAGGTAGGAGGATATCACAAAATATGATCGACTAGCTGCAGGGTGGGAAGCTCCTGGCGTTTTGGTTGTGTGTTTGGGGGAGAGTGGAAGAGGGGGAGAAAGCCTTCACTCATTCACAATGGTATGTTCTTGGCACAGAACTCACCGGTGTATGGATCTGAGAGGATGCTGGCACCTGGGGAAGGTGACCTCCCAAGGATACCCGGTACAGTGGAAAAAAACTACCTCATTAGAGGATCATTAGTTGAATAGTAGTAGTGAAAAGTCCAAGACCCGCTGGAGAGGGGAAAATAGAATCTGTTTCCTTCCACGCCGGGGTGGATAAGAAGAGTAGAAAAGAGAGAAGAGGCAAGAAGAAAGGAAGACATCAATGTACAGAGTATGTACAGTAAGGTAAGGTTTACCCCACATGTCTTCTTTCGACGGATTGACCGTGGGCCAGAACCGGTCTAGCCTCCTTGGGGTTGGATTAAAAACCCGGGGGCAAACTTGAAGGGTCGATGATTCATCTCTCTCGGATGGTGACCTCATTAAATATAAAGACCTTAAATTTTAAGGCAGCCAAGAATTCTTCAAGTACTAGCTACTAGTGAATATAAGCAATATCATATTACTATTACCTACCATTTAACTAGAGTCTTAGGTCCCAAAAACCTCATCTCCCCAGCTTTTGCTGTATGTAGTGTTTTAGTCGCCACTCCATCATCCCCCACTATTCCATGGGCGCTTAAATCCTATGCAAACTATACATAATATTATCCTGCTTAACCTTGTGGCTTTGAACATTGTCTCCTTGAGGATGCTTCTCCCTCTTGTTGCCCTTTTCTCTTATCCAGGGTAAGAAGTGTTGAATAGCTGCATAAGCCTCTCTCCAACAGCCGGCTCAATCTCCGTGCCATCTCGGGCGATTTTGATTTCTCGGTTTGCATTCCAAGGATTCCGCAACCCTCGCGTGCGATGAAAAGGAACTCGTTCAGTCGAGAGCCATTGAATCCGGAATGGTTTCCCAATAGATTGGAACCCTGACTCTGCTACCTCCTCTGCTACGTCTGCGACGCTCCTTTTGATTTTGCTTCTGCCCTCATCTTCCGAGGAGTCGGCTTCCCAGAATACCGTACCTCGGGCAAGATCATTGATGATGCGTCCCTTTGGGGCAGTGGATGTCGCTGGAGTTGGAGTCGAATCTAGATCTTCGGGCTCGGTTTGGGTGGGGCTAAGACGAGGCGGCATCTCCATATTTAAGCCGTCGCCTTCTTGAATTGGCGACACCATCCGAGCGTATCCATAATACTCGCCAGACTTATTTGCAGAGAAAAAAAGGTAGACATTATCCGCAGTCTGGTTTTCGTCAGTGCCAAGTTTCATGACATTGTCTTGCTTGAACTGCTTGTCCGCTTGCCCCTTTCAATTGATAGCAAGTCTTACCTGATAGGCCTGGTTCAGGTTGTTTTCATTATGTGCCTGCGTCGCCCAGGTTCCACTTTGCCGACTCAGTTCGAGGTCATCCATGGACAGGCTTTTGACGATAAAATATCTGTTGGGCACCCGGGAGTTCAAGTCCCTACTTTCGGCTATCCTTCGCACCGGCATATTTATGGTCTCCTCGTTCATAGTGTCGGCATCGTTCTCAGCTTGAAAGGAAGATACGACAGAGAGGCTCGATGAATCGGACTGGGGAGCAGGAGACATTGATCCTCGTCGCAGTCGACAGACAAGTCGTGCTCCGTGAAACCTGGAGTCGTGGAACCTTGACAGCGCTGCAAGGCAGGCCGCCTCAGTTTTGTAATTGACAAAGGCACAGTTGCTCTTCGATATGAGAAAAACGCTTTCAACATCTCTGGTGGCCTCCCGAGCGAAGTAGTCTTTTAGCTCATTAATGTCTGTCGCTGGAGGAAGATTACCAATCCATAAAGCATTACCAGATTGCTTTGGTTTCCTTGGGGGTCCTCGCGGCGTTGTGAGGGTTAAAAAATTGATTGGAAGTGCAGAGGGGTCTGCCAATCTATCGTTATCCCGAAAGAAAGGTGGACCACGAGCTGTTGATCCTGCCTCATAGCTTTTCTCCCTCGGCGTACCAAATGCCGAAGGTTGAGCTTGGGTAGATCTCATAGGAGTTGACCCATCCACAATTGTCATTGAGACATCATATTCCGAATCCAAGCTACGTGGCTTTGGCTCTTCTGGAAGAGTTGCTGACGTTCTTGCCAAATTATCTTTGGTATTGCGGGATAGGCCATGTGGCTGAAAGTGGATTGTTACATTCGCTTGAACTACACCCTGTTCACGAGATGCCGCATACGTGGGTGGAGTATAATAAGTCTGCCCATACCCGACCACTGGGACTCTTAGATGCGCAGGCGAGTTGTAGCCCAGCGGTGGGTATCCGGGATTGCTATGTTGAATGGGCAAATGTTGATGTTGATGTTGCAAATACGGCGAATAAGCTTGGGGAAACGGATTATTGAAAGGCATATTCATATTTGGTGCTGTCTCAGGATATACGGGCAACGAGTGCATTGGTGAATGTACAACTTCGTACCCAGAACTCGGAGGTATTATGTGCTGGGACATCGCACGCTGCCCAAAGACGATCGTTTGGGTTTGGTAGCCGGGTAACGTGGATCTCATGCCCAGCGTCGCTGAAGGCATCCCAGGCCCACTATGTCTTATATAAGTAGTTTGTTCGGGATAATGGTGTACAATTTGCGGGCGAGTATCCTGCAATAATTCAATAACTGGAAAGGCTGATTTTAGTATTGGAATCTCCCGTTTCCAAGTAGCTCGTGATCATGATAAGGGAGCCTTTACCTGTTTGTTGAGTTGCTGTTGCCGAGGGACAGGCTTTATTAGAGTTGTGAGATATGCTGCCCCCTGGTGCCGCGTTTGCTGATTCGGATTTGGCCGGGGCAGTATTTTCTATGGAGTTCGTCATGGCCGGATCGGACCAGAAAGCACGGTGAAAGAAAAAAGGTAGGCTCTTGACATAGTTAGTCAACTACTGTATGGTATACAATGTTAAGCCTTTAGAACAAGGGAAGCTATAGCTCATACCGTCCTGTTCCAAGGATTTATCCGCGCGCAGCGGTCCTATAACACCGTAGTGGTCCTTCACTTCAGCGTCTATGAACATGCGTCAGAAACTGCTAACGTGGCTTTCGAAACGGCCTTTGATGTGAAAATGTTGCCAATATAAGGGGGAGACCTGGCAGATGGTGATGAATGAAGGCTCAAAGAATTAAAAGAAACAGAAGAAAAGAAAAAAGAAGAGAAAGAGAAGCAGAGGAGAAGTAGGAAAAAGAATGGAGGATGAAATGTGTTAAGGACCAAAAGAAAAAGGGGGGAAGAAAAACGAAAACGAGAAAAGGCAAGGAGAGATTACACTGAATACTTTGGACGAGGCTAATGGAGGTATGACTTCTAGCCACAGGAGAGATGAAAAGGAAGACAGTGCAGCCATTCACGGTGAGAAGACCGTATCTCGGAAGTGAAGGAATGACAGCCTAGCGTTGACACTGAGGATTTATTCGGACTGTACAATTGTAATAAAGGGGGCTGTGTGGACTCTGGAAACAGGCCTAAGTACAAGAAAAATGTACGCACCACCTCCCCCCACGCACACCTGAATCATAGGTACTCTTCAGGGTGAGTGGGGAATGGAGAATAGCCAGATCCAAGTGTTAGAGTCATTTTCCATGAGAAGAAATCCCAAGGAGAAGGGGTTGCTGTAAACCGCTGGGGGCAGAGCACATAAGCTCTAAATGAGAGCGGAAGCAAGACAGCGTAATCTTTAAAATGGTAAAGCCTATGGTGGTGGCGACATCGCAAGACGGAGAATATAATAACGGCAAAGAATACAGTAAGAAGTGAATTGATGGAGAGTGCATAGTGGCTTTTGTATCACACCAAAGGAGGAAGAAAGCAGCCAGCAAAGGGCTTGCCTTCTTAGCCCTCACATTCCCTCGAACAGAAGATTAGGAAGGGCACATAAAAACGACCAGCCATAGAATTAAACACATGGACGAGGATGGCGATGCCTCACTTGGTTCTCAAGACATAACCTTGAACAGAGGCCGAATGTTGAAAGCTCCAATTGCAAATTGACAAAGACACGAATAATGTAAAATAAGAAAAGACTCCTTACCCTTTTTTCCTTTTCTCTTGGGTAATAGTCCTGGATGTTTGACGAAGAAAGGATGATTGTGGTTTTCCTCTGTATAAATGAAAAAAGTTTAAATTAGGAGTACCGATTGAAAGTATTATGTTCTGTTCGTCAAGGAGATCCAATCTCCAAAAGAGTGGATAAAACAGCTAAATGCGGTTTGTGAATGTGGGTGTGGTTTAGGTTCTTCCTAAACGCACATCCACTACAACTGAGGCAGTAAAAACTAGGTATGAAAAAGAAGGGGTAGGGAATAATGAATAATAAATAATAAACCCGGGAAAAAGCCCCTCCACATTCAACAGAGCCTACAGAAGATCGCTGTCAAAATGTGGATATGTCTTGAGGTGTGGGAAGGAATGGGAGGCACCTTGAGACGTGTCTGTATGGGCTTAGGTATAGGACAAGTAATATATCAGTAAGAAGGGAACTGCACTGGCGGCCAGACAACTAAAAGGGAGGGGGTGGGGGGGGGGGGAACAAGATGGAGGACTCTGCTAAAGGATTCACGACGTTTTCCTCGTTATCTTTCAGGCTTCTCTCTGTATCTGGCCTGCCCTCTGGTGTTTGCGGCCGTGGCCCGTGAGGCAATCAATATCCACAAGCGAGGCTTCGCCCCAACAGGTGAGTCTTCTCAATTGCCACACTAGGTCCTATGGCTCGATCCAAGAGCCCAAAGCTCCGAAAGGAGGTGATAGTAGAAGAAGTCAATGATAATCAACCCACTGGGTTTTTAAGACTGAGGAAATAGTTCCGAGGCACAAATAGTCGCACGCGTCCACTTGAGTGGGGAGATCCGTGGTGGGACCAGTATTATTGAAGGATGAATCAGAGATTCTGCGTATTGTCACTGAAAGAAAGCCCTTTGTCTAAATTAGAGACAGGAGGCCCCTAAACCGCGGTTTACTATTATAGGTAGGAGAGGGGGACAGGAGAAAAGGGAAAATAAAAGATAAGATGTATGGCTTAGTCAAGCAGAAAAGGATCTGATGTAGAAAGGTATGAAATGCAATAATTGACTCGATGGCTGGACCTTGCAGTGATGATTGGTCACTGTTACCATATCCCCTGACCTGATGGGAACGATGGATCTAAGTATATGGGGATTTGGGGCCGGTGGGCATAAGTCCTCCGAGCACAATCGAACTCTAGTGGCAAATGCTCGGGAAGAAGGGAACAGAAATTTATTGCCTAGATGCTGATCACATCTAGATTGATGGGAATGAGGCGATCTGTGGCTGTAAACGCCACTGCTGACAGGAGCATAAGAATATTTCGATGATAGTATGAAGTATACTGATTGACACACATAAGTCACCAAGAGTCGTGTAGTGGTATGACTGCATCCCCCACTGTAGTTAGTTTGAGAGTATAGGTACTTCCACCGTTCCGATGACTGACTGGCACCAATAGGCGACGAGGATCGGCCATACTGAAGGACTCGATCGTCAGTGGACACCGAGATCAATCCATGAACCGTGGCTTCACACATGTACAATATCTGCATTTATCGCGTAAAAGACTGGGAAAAGTACGTTGCCACCATTGCCATGGGAATTAAAGAACGAATTTCATAAAATACATACAAAGGGCGAAGACGAATGGGTGGACTTACCTACGGGAGGTCAACTGCAATCTGAACCTCTACGGAACAGTTCTGGCGAGTAGCAGTGGGGATTGGGCGTCCAAGTAGCCAATGCCATGGCCTCCGGATGATTATGGGACTTGGAGAAAGGAGACGAGAACCGAGGGCGTATTACACCGAGAAGGGGAAATAAAAAGATATCACTATAAAAATAACAATCTGTAAAGCAAGTCCCACCTTAAGAAGAGAAATTGAGAAGAGAAATTGGCTGATCCTAGCCTAAGACGGCGGGTCATCCAAATCACAACGGCAGGAGGGTACATTCCCACTAGGGCCCGATCTCCAAGCTACCCAGTGAGAATAATGGAAGATTCTGATGGGCTTCGAGACACACCTGGCTGAGTAGGTGGTCCACAGTTGGATGGAGACGTGGCGCTGGGGCACAACACCAACAGCACACTTTGATCATCTCCTCTGCCCCTCTCGGCGCGGGCCCTCTGACGGAGAAGAAGAGGCCTGAAAGATCATTCTCCCTGCATTTGTGTAACATCGAAAACCCGAGTTAGGGCTAGAGGAAATGTCAACTCGATGCCAGCGAACCTTCACTGCCTAGACGTCCTTTTTTCAGGTGGCAAGGAAATAAATACAGTGGGGAACGAGAGTAAATGGATTTGAAGGTAAAATAAAAGAATAAAAGGTAAAAGGTAAATTTTGATCAGTTGGTAAAATAAACTAAACTAAAAATAAAATTAAATTAAATTAAATTAAATTCTCCGCATCTCTTTTGAAGTACAGGGTAACTGCTTCGTAAGCTTCAAACCAACCTCTAATGCCGAGGGAAGTGAATGTTCCCACTTGACTGCTATTTACCTATCGGATAATGAATAATGAAGTTCTTCCCTAACATTCTTTCTGATTTACTAACCGATTCAGAGGGGGGATCCAAATTATCAAGGGAATGCAGAGGGCGGCTCCTAAACAGTAAAAGAATCCATCCTGAGGCTTGCAAGTACTGCAACAAACTCCACTTGACGGGATGGGATCCCGACCAATCAGTGATTCACCCATTGAACTTCATCTCATCCTTTCTAGGAAAATTTTTTAAACCTTTTTTTATCAACACAAACTCATGACTAGGGGCACAAGCCTAGCTTCCCACGTACCCGGGTATACTTTAGAATCTCGAGCAACTACATGCCAAATACATCAATCATTCAGTGTGACACCCTCCGTTAATATCGTTCCCTTACCCTTCCTTTTATAGTAAAATTGAAAAAGATCCAATATCGACACATGAAACTAATGCAAGTGAATGGAGCTTGTACATACACTTGACGCCCTTCATTTCTAGAAAGTACCATTTTCATATCTACGTACGAAAGAAAATTCCAGGATACTCCATACAGCTTGTGCCACACTGGGGCACGTAGTGTCACCTGATCAATCGCGCTAAGACCCTCTTATTTACCTTACGCCTGTAAATGCACTAGGATACTAGTACTATCGTTCGTGGTGGCTGGAAATGATACCCACCTAAAATACTACCCAGTGAACGCTCGAGCAAGCTCTGATGATCTAGCAGCACCGGAAATCCGTCGATGACGATTGTGATTGGTGGGATATTTGGCATGTAACCCGGGTTATGGATTTTATTAGGTAGATCGGGTAAGATAAGTAGAGCCGACCTAGGCGGTTACCTACTAGTACTTTACTACATACTACGTCTTAGTAGGTAACAAGGTCCAAGGTCCACCTCCAAAGTACTAGTAGCCAAGTATCAAGTTGACCTACTATGAGATTACTTCCATTAGCAAGGATCAATCACACAAGTAATGGGAGCGCTGGCAAATTATTAAGAATTACAGGCAAGGCTGGTGGACTGAAATCTCACCCCTTGTCTGTGGGGCTCGCAATCCATTCCCATGCAGTATTTAATAACCATGGACATATGTATGCAGAAGAAACTGATATTCGCCACCAGAAACCTTGAGAGAAACCACACCATTTGTTGCCCACTACGGTAATTGCTGCGGTAATCCAGATAACCATTGTGTGCTGAGACATACGTCAGACATCTTGGAGGCCCAAACCACTGAATGTGTGGCGGACGCGGAGGAAGAAAATCACTCCTTCTGAGGGATGCCTATGACGTCATAGGCTTCACGCCGAGTGTAGATCGTTGGATGTTTGTTCTCTTCGCTTCCTCCCCTTTCTCGTTTAAGTACACTAGTATGTGCGATGATACCATCGTGTTTTCTGCCATTCACGCCACCACAGCTCTTGCCTAATGGCGTTCCTTTGGAAAAAGGATCCGGGAGGATGTTGATGGAGAAAGGTGGAGCGGGAGAGGAAATCAAACATTATTGACCATACAATACCAATCGTATCATAATGTGATACTATTCCTTAGTAACACATGAAGGTACGGGGATACACTGCCAGTTAACCGACAGTGTAGGTACATATATATATACAATGTAAGGGCAACCAAAATCATGAATACTCAAAAGGGGTAGGGGGTTTAATACTGAAACGAGCTGAGATGGTATATAAATGAGAAAAAAAAGAAAAAAGTTGCTGTGCAAGTCACATATATCCTGCACTAGAGGATGCATAGGGAACAAAGTCTGAAGGAAAGGAGAAAACAAGGAGGAGGGACGGGACCAACCGTGAGATGAAGCGAAATATGAACAATCAAGGAGAAAACATGATAGACATCATATAAATGAATGCACATTAGACGAAACAGGTAAAAGCCAGTCATTTGAATTGATGTCCTCCAGAAAATGGATACATAAACCGTCCGAACCCGAGTCCTAACATCACGTCATGCCCACTTGAGCCTCATTATCTATAATTAATATTAAGGGCCAATCCACTGAGAAATGATAGTAGAGCAGATGAAGAGCGAAATCAATAATGCAAATAAAGTTTCATCGATCGATACCTAGAGAGGCTACTTTTCCTGCGAATCTGGCACCGGCGCTTCCTCTTTTATGTAGTCTTTCACGCTCTTTGCTATCTAAAGAGCTCGGCCCGTGAGAAGATGATATGGGATTATCACCACCTGGTCCTCGAATGCTGGGCAGTGTGCCCAGGCTGTCAGCGGTAAGTTTACCTGATACAGGTGCAGCCGATGTGTTGAATGCGGGTACTCTTGCGGTGCGTTGGCTCAGATATAGCTGAGCAGCAGGCGACAGGGGAATAGGAGGAGGTTGGGATGGAATCTCCGCTCCATTTTGGACAAGTAACTCAGCAATAGGAAATGGGATGGGTTTCACCGAGTTTGCTGTGCTAGGCCTAGACGAAGTCGAACCCGGGGATGCTGGATCAGCAGCTGCTAGAGCGAGAAAAACCGCATGGGTGTTACGGGAACGATCCGTGATATTCACGTTAGCGCGAAGTGCGATGCCATAGAGGACACCTTGGATGTCATTTTTCTTGATCGCGGCGAGAAGTGTTTCATCCGGCGTTGCGAAACGTGACAGCTGGGAAGGCAGTCGCTGAGTAAAAGCTCGTTCACTATACTTTGCAGTGATAAATTTCAGGCGCTGCTCCCGAGTTGAAGTCTCTGCTGGCTTTTGAGATTGATCCAACATTGCCTCCCAAACCATGTTGCTGACACGGTTGCCAATTTGCAACAATATTTCAACGATATCATTTGAGAAGGAATTCACGTCGAGGGTAAGGGATCGGATCTTCGATATATGCGTTCCAAGGGATCTGTGGATGCCGCTGCATTCGATGCACAAAATAATTCCCAGGTTAATAGACACCCACTCGACCTTCGACGCCGATCCACAGTCCGCACACCAGTTATTGCCTTGGTCAGCATCACGAACTGTCTGAAGTAGCCTAGAGGGATTGTCCTCGAAATCATTGCCATCACCACGTACGTAGCTTGGCCGTGCACCCACAGTAGTGCGGCGGGTTACACTGTTGTTTGATGCGTTAGCCGCTGTGGGTTGGGAATGTTGGCCTGAATATGAAGAACTCTTTCCAGTCAATACAGAACCGATATCTCGACCAATGGAGGAGCTGTCGTTAGTGGGCGAGAGTGGCGGAGACATTCCACGACCCTCAACAGCACTTTGTAACGCATTATTGATAGCTCGGATCCAGTTGCCCATATCCTCCTCCGAGGTTGCCTGGTAAATGCGTTTATATTGAGGAGTGATCACTTCGAAGCAGAACCTTCGCTCTGCATTTCGAGCCTCTCGCACAGAGGCCATTCGTAGATCAATAGGGTCCATATGTAGATCAAGCTTTTGTTTCCAGTTGCTGTACTCCGACAGTTTCCCCTGGTCCAACACAATCCAGAACCTATAGACAGAGCGTTAGTTAAGCGGCAACAATTGAGGGAAATGAGAATAGAGAATTGCGGATCGCTAGCTTACTTGTGCCAAGCTTGTTTGTTAATGCCTTTTGGATCGATATGGGATCCTGGCCGGGACAATGCCCAGAGCAGTCCCTCCTTCCTTTGCTGACCTATGACTATCGTTAGCCCAGGCAAACATACTTGGCTCACAAGGGCAGGACAGAAGTTTCTGGGACTCTTCTGGACGAGCGTACCACTTGAGCTTGCAGAAGCAAGTGCTACGATTGGCCCGGTTGAAGGAGCGATGCCCGAAACATTAGCTTGCGTCGACGTTGAGGTATTGCTAATCACACTCCGCAGTTGAGATCCTGTGCTATCCGCGCGTCCAAGCTCCCCTTCTGATCTTTGGGCTCCACTACCATTTCCTGATAGCGTTGATGGTACGCTCGAGTTAATCAACGAATCGGGCTCAAGATACATGTTGCTACTCTTTTCCAAAGCCCTTCGCTTCTCCTCCCTCTCTGTCCTCTGAAATTGAAATTCCTTATCTGCTTGGCTGACCTCGTGGATAAGTGCATCTAGCTGAGGGATCATATCATCAACTTTCTTGGAAGCTGCAAGAAAGCTTTTCGCTTGCGTATCAGCGTATTTGGTAAGATGCGACAGTACCTCCTGCTCTTTACGTCCACCGTGAAGGTCTTGCATGAATGACGAATAGTCGAAGCGTTTAAGCTCAAAATTCCGACGCTTAGCTTGGTACTTAGAGTCACTCTCCGCCCGCTTCTTCTCTTTAAGCGAATCTTGACGTTGACCAAGATAGCGACTAACGTATGCATAATAATCCCTGCTTTCTTCCTCAAATTCTTTCTTTTTGGCCTCGGCTTGCTTTATGTCATTATTGTAGAGTTTGATCAACGGGTCGATGACAAGTTTCTGAAGTTGAATGGTATTGAGTCTCTCGTAATTTAGGATCTGTCGCGCGATCTTTTCGAAATAATGATCAAGTGCCGGTTGTATCGCATTTGCGTTCGGAGTTGATGCGTCGTTTAGTGCGGACAAGAAGGCCTCCACGGCATCATTACAGGTATTCTGAGCCTGCTGGGCCGCCTCCGCTTTCTTGAGAACTTTCTTTATCTTTGCGCGCATATTGCCTGTTCTTTGTTCCAATGCTTTCATTGTAGCTCGAAATAATGGACCGTCTTCAACAATACTCATGTCTTCACCGGGTCGCGAATGGGGAAGATCAATCTTGACCGGGAGTGGAGGTGGTACGGAGTCCACCTCTGGCGGAGTGCCGGGCATGATCTGCGGGTTAGGCGTTGCATCCGCATCGCTGGAATGAGAAAGCACAGAGTGCGATGAGGGAATGCGATGTCGGGGCGGGACGTGGAGCTCTAACCTTGGCGAAAAAATCTGTGGGCTCGGCAAGGCACGTATAGTGTTCTGTACCCAAAAAGAGAAGTGAGCAAGTGTGTTTAGCCGGTTCGCTCTTTGATCATATTCCAAAAAGCTGCAGCTGTTCCTCCAGCCGCCCCCTTTGTCCTCTACTGGTTTGGGTGGCTTCCATCTCCACGACCATTCAAATTGCACCGATGGGCTGCCACCAGTCGAGTAATCCCCTACAAACTGCACATTTGAATTATTTTGTAGGTTGGGGTTGGCATGAAACTCTCTAGTGATTAGGTTGTCTAGCTCCTTTGAATTTGGCGCATGTGCGAAAGTCAGTCCCGTGACCACAGTGTCAGCAACTTCTGGGAGAGAAGTCGCAACACCATTAACAGTTGAATTTGTAGCATTGCCGGTTTGAGTTTGTCTCAATATGAATGTGAAATGGAAGTTTAATTCGTCTTCATTGGAAAGCCGCAAAAGGAACGTAGGCGCCTGGGCAGATGAGGAAGAATCCGGATCCTAACATAACATAGAGAGGGTAAGTAAAGCAGCTAGAAACACGTAATTAGGTACTTATTCGATTTATACCTGGATATATTCAATCGGGGCCTCGTCGCCGATATCACGCTTGGCGATGTACCTGCTTGAGGGAAATGAATTCGGGACGAGGTTTAACAGGACTCTCCGCCTGGAATCGGTTATAGTCACAGATGCGATAGTAACTGTGTAAGCGAACGCGGTCAGCAATTGTGATCACTACACAATGAAGAATCGGGGATAGAATTAGAACTCAACACAAACAGAGCTTTGCGGGGTAGAAGCATTGGCGCCGCGGGAGATAAAGACATACATTTGCTTTGATCCTTAAAGTACAGACTCCCCGAGTCATCCAACCGGCTTCCAACATTTCCCATAGTGGTATAATTTAAGGGACTAAGTCACCGCTTGAGCGTGTGTCCGGAGAGGGAACCGGGACAATTGGAGGTAACCATCGACGGTCTGCGCGCCCACAATCGGATGAAAGGGTGTCTTGCTGCCGATGTGGCTCTGAACGTAGCCAAGCAAATGAGCCGTCATCCAGTCTGGAATCCGGTGATCAGATGCTTGGTGAGGTTCACACGTCGTAGGTTGGTTGCAATGGAGGGGAGTTGGTTAGATAAAGTAACGTCGGTCGGAGATGAAAGAGGGGGGAAGAAAGGAATGAAGGGAAATTAAATCGGTTCGTCTTGTTTGGTCTTCAACCGGCAAATGTGTTAGGATAGTTGGGGTGTATAACAAGCCCTGTTTGGACCCAGACAGGAGAGGTGATAAAGAAAGGAGGCTGATAGCGGCGAGAGTTTTGAAGGGGAATGAGGAGAGGGATACGATTGATTGAAAAGAGTTCGGGACTTGGGGCTTAGACTGTGGTGCCTGAGGATTGATCAGTCGCAAGATTACTTGTCCCGCGCGCTATGAATGATCTTATTAAATGACCTTGCCCCTCGATAACAGGAGTTCTCCGTACACTGGCTTCTTTTTTTCGCCGATATTGTGCTTCTACTGTTGATCATTCGAAGTGAACAGACTTAAATCGGTCACTGGAAGTTATTATCTGCTATTATTTATTACTAAAATCCTACTTTTATAGCTCTCACTGTTTTTTACCAACATGATATACATACACTCCGAGAAATAGTATATTGAATACAATGCAATTTAATGCCGTTCCTCGTGACCAAAATCACTGGCGTTTTGTAGAATGACGAAAGGCTTCTTTATTTTCTCCATAGCAAGTTCTATTCTTGTTCGATTCTTAGCTGTCACGAGTGTCATTCTCGTATTCTAAATCCTATTCACTCTTTCTAGGCAACTTCCATGCGACTACCTGATGGTGACTGGGCCAAAGCCATTGGAAGGCACTAAAAGTATCGGTCTCAATTTTTCAACCTGCATAGATATTATTTAGTACCTCTACGTACTGCGGTTCCGTTAACACACCACCCGGTGTGAATGCTGCAACCCATTTTGTCAGTTCCAAAGGCAGGCATTTTGCTCTCTGCTCTGGTCGGAAATGTGCTTTAATGAGATAATGACATCGAAGCGTTGAGCCCAATGTGGTATTCGCAGCTGCTGAGGTATGGAATATCATGAAAAAGACAAAAGACAATCGTGTCACAGCTCCAAGAACAAATGATAAGGTGATCAAAAGGTCTAAAATACATGTTAGAGTACTGAACTTTCTAATACCGAGAGTAGGACTCTGAAGACTTCTAAAAGTTACCCATGAGACTGCTCAATAAATAGTCTCTAATACAACCTGGGAGAATGTCCATTATCAGAAATTAGGAGCTAAAAGAGAGCATGATACTAATAACACAAATAAATAATAAATTTATGAGCGACTCCGGGAAAGTAACGCATTTCAAAGATATTTACTACATCCTTTAGTAAAATCCATGATTACAGAGGGAGCAGGGAGAAAATTAGAAGCTATGAGCATAAAGCATATCTACCATAGTGATTATAATATACTAAACATGAATGGTACAGACGTTTCCTTCTTCCCCTCCTCCGCCCCCCCAAAAAAGGAGAAGAATTGTAGTAATAAATATCTCAGCTTAGAAGTTAGGAATAAATGAAGGAGGCAAAGAGCTAGAGTCTGAGCATATTTGGATTCGGACATTGGGTTAGCCAATCCTCCAAGGCCGGGACTGAGAGCCAGGGAAAAGCCTGTATCACAGTCCATTGGAATTGCTGGCCAATTGGCTGTCAACAGCAGTGCTTCCTTGGGTAATTTTTGATGGAGATCTATCGGTGCTAGAAACCTTTTCTAACCCCGCGCTGTGTGTCGGATCCCCTGTACCTTTGTGCTCCGCCTGCGCCCACTTCATAACCTGCCCTTTGACATCGCGCATGTCGTGCACCTTTTGGGCAAACTCGCCTCGCTTCTTTGATATGACGCCACTGCGTTCATCAAGTTCTTCCTCGTCTGAGCTTGATATGGAAAGTGATGAGGTGCTGCTTCGTTGGAGGAAGGCCATCTGACCGTTCTCCTTGTTCTTGAACTCCCTTTGCTCATTCTTTAATTCTTCCATTCGTGTCGCATCTTCTGTGCAGTCCAGTGTGGTGACGTGAAGACCGACAAAATTTTCGGATATGAATTTCTTCAACAGAAGAAGCTTCTGACCATTCGGACGGTAGGTACCGCTATCATTATCAATAAAAAGTTCATAGTCTGTTGGGTTAGTTGATATCTCTTTGTCCTCCATAGACTCATCCACCGGTATTTCGGTATCTGTGTGATAAGACACTTGGGACAAGTGCCGTCGATGATGCTTCCGCCGACGGAGGAAAAACTCGCCAGAGTAAGCGATGTATATTGATACATTGCTGTGCATCGTATGCTTGCTTAGCAAATCGATCCCAAATTCTTTCCCTGTTTCGGTGAAACGAAACTGGCCATCTAGAGTGAGGACGTATGTGAATATCCTTCCGCCCTGAGCATGGTGGACAAAATCGAGAAACTTTTGGGTAAGTTCAATGCACGGCGACTCGAATTGACCATTCAGGGTTGACCTATCAAAATTATAGATCCGCTGATGCTGATGATGTAGAGCTCGGTTGAGGATGCGACCTCGAAGGCTTTGCGAAGTGAACATTCCAGCCACAAACGGTTTAAACTCCACATAGCGATGATAGAGCTCCGCAGGCACAGGGCCCTTAAGCTGTATTTGAATCGCTTGGAAACTATGTCAAAGTCATGTAATGAGCTATTGCGCTATAAGTCGTGGGGGAGATCACATACTTGTACCGAGTAGTCGTTTTTTTACCATTGTAACTTTGTACTTCGTCTTTGGTGCCCGCCAATCGTCCAATAAGTGGAGAAAAATGTTTGAACCAGTAATTCGGCCCAACAGTATAGACTTGACCCCCTTCATTACCGGGAGTTTTCCCCAACAACTCCACGGTGATGACAAGATGCGACCCAACGTCCAGACGTCCGGAGGCAAGAGCGGCGATGTTTCCAAATAAATAGACTCGTTTGCTGCCCGTACGTTTCTTGACCTTGAATGCCTGCTCCTTGAAACCATTCCAGCGATCCGTAATCGAGTTGACTTCAACATACGCATTTCCTAACTTGTCATCGTGGTCTGCTGCATCCTCATCATAAACAGTGCACTTAAGCTGAAACCCTGACGCGGGGACGTTCGCAACTATCCAGTCACTCTCCCACACTGGATCCCGATTTTTGCGCACCGTTGGTGTTCGGAAGGTCAAATTTGTATCTTGTTTGTGTCGCTTGGGAAGGTCGACATTCAGCTGCGCCACTGTGTATGGATCAGAGGAGAAGCTTCCAAAATCGGCGCAGGGAAGGTTGATGCCCCGGTGAAAGGTGAATTTTAGGGTGTAGCCTGGTGGTGCATGGGGAAATGGAGTGCTATCGAATCCTCCCGCTGGCTCTCGCTGAGTAGGATTACTGTTTAAAGTAGCTTTCATAGCGGCCGCCCTATGCTGAAATTGCTTTGTCGTGTCAACGAACTTCAGTCCGTATTTGTCGACAGGATGCTGGGACCGCGCTCGCGGTTGAGAGTCTTCCGTTTCCATATTGTTCCTTTTCCCTTTCCCCCCCTTTTCTTTTCTTAAATATAGAGAGCCTGGCAAGACCGTTGTGTTCTAGATTAAGTATCGTTGCTGCCTACAAGCGTTCGGGGGGATCAGCGGAAATGCGGGACTGCGTCACTGCAAAGAATGGGATCCTAGTATTCATTCAGCTCAGCAGATGTACAAGAAACGAAGGAAAGGAATTTATGGTTGATACCTGGACATGCATAAAATTACCTATAATTGCCACTTCACCATTTTCACGGCACTTGGACTCAGGGTTCGAGCAACGCTAAGCTTTTTGCCGATTTTATTTTTTTTCCCCTTCCCCGCCAAGAAGTGAGGACTCAGGAGTCAGGAGTCAAACAAAGTCTTTAGGTCAATAGTGACTTCTCACCTGTTGAGGCAAGATGACATAAGAAAAGACTAAAGATTATCATTGGAGAAGATTTTCTCCTTTTTGTTTATTTACCCCAGAATACCTTCTCAACTAAGTAACCGCCAGTAAGGAGCCGTGACATCATTGATAAGGCTGACGGTGCGGATATTATCTAGCATATCAATCTATCATATGAGATGTCATATTGCATCCTCCGAAAACACCTCCAAAAATCTGATGTTGTAGGAAATAAGAGAGAGAGGCGCCTCTCTTCTCCCCCAAAAAGGGACAAATAGAAAACTAGCCGGGAGTACTGGAGTAAGCAATATCCATATTGTGACCACGATAAATCTACGCAAAGATATTCTTAAGGGCTTTTTGGAAGCGAGATGCCCGTGGCTAGCTTAAGCTTGGCTTGTTCCGAAAAACCACATAAATGACCTCCTGAACTACCCCAGGTATGATTAAGACCCTCGAAATAGGAATTGCATATCCTCTGGAGTGAGCTTCTCTAATGCTTCACCTTGATCTTTGTTGATGGTTCCGTTAATCAGATTGGCCTTCTTCTCCTGCAGTAAAACAATTCGAGATTCAACTGAATCCTCGATGCACAACCGTGTGATAACACAAGGCCGCCGTTGACCAATTCGATGGCATCGGTCAGCGCTTTGCCATTCAGCGGCTGGATTCCACCATCTAACAAGGACTATCAGCACGGCATACAAAAGCTAGTCAATTAACCAGGCCAGGAAAAACCTACGGATCAATGATAAAAACCCTTGATGCCTCGGTGAGGTTCAAGGCTACGCCTCCTGCCTTGAGGGACACAAGGAACACCTCAACATCTACGTTTTTCATAAAGAAGTCGATCGACTTTTGACGTTGCGCAGGCGTCATAGTCCCATCAAGCATGACAGTATTAAACCCAGCTCGTCGTAGACGCCACTCAACAAGTTGTAGCATCGACGTAAATTGGGAGAAGACTATCGATTTGTGAGTCTGCTTCTTACTTCTCAGTTTGTAAAGCTCATAAACGAGCATCTCGATCTTCGTCGACGATGTCCAATTCTCCATACGAATTCGATTTATGATGGAGTTCTTCTTGATATGCTCTTCTTCCTGCTCGATATCCGGTTGTTCGAAATCAATCGAGAGTGGGATATGACACCTAGGGCAATCAACAACTGAGTCCGCATCAAAAGATTGCACATAGTCCTTAGCACATCGACGACAGAATTCATGGCGGCATCGAGACCGAATTGCCTCCTCTGCTGGTTCGTCACAAATACTACAAACAAGCACGTTCTGACCATTTTCGGCGTGCTTCTTCAAGATCAGATCTGGATGATTTGCAACTTGCCGCATCTGCATAATAAGCCCAAAAATATTGGCATAGTTGTTCAGCATTACACCTCGGCTCACATAAGTATCAAACTGTCGAGCGGAGTTGGTCATAATGCTTCTGGAAAAATCACGTTCAATCTCCCCAAAGAATTCGTTATTTAAAACAACACTGAACATTGTCAGGGCAAAGTCTGCATTATCAAAAGATATTTGAGTGTACTCACAGCTTTGGTGGAAGCTCCATCGAGGCCGTGTGGTCTCGCTTAAGACGTCTAAGCATGATTCTATCAGTGATTAAGCGTAGTTTAGACAGAGCTTCCTTTCGGGCTTCTGGATTATTGCTCTCGGCGACTTTACACAGTTAGAGCGGCATCGGTCATTGTCAAAAAGCACTTACTAGGATTCAGAATTTCCTGATTAAAGATTGAGACATGACTGAACCCACTGGAATAACCATTAGTATTAAGAAGCTCGTGTAAATAAGGTATTGTATATACTGTACCTGTGTTTACAGTGGGTGCAGCGCTTTTCAGCATCTTGCGACCAATGAAGCTCCTGGCACTTGCACTGTTTACAAAAATAACAAGCGAAAGGACGAACTTCTAGGAAGCGCAAGAGAGAAAAGAACTCCCCGATTCGGTTTTGAACAGGGGTGCCGGAAAGGCACCACTTGTAATTCGCTTTGAGCGCAAAACACGCCCGGGCGACACTCGTAGTGCGTTGCTAGGAATGTCAGTTTGTTGCAGAAATCTGATATATAAAATAAACGTACCTTAATACTGTGAGCTTCATCGAGAATAAGACGGTGATAGTGGATGGAGTGAATAATACCTGTGGCATGTTAATGGATCCGGATATCATATAAATTAATTCGGTACGTACTGTCTTCTTTCACAATACCATCACCGCGATTCCATCCCTTCCACTCTTTTCGGTGTATTGACTCAAGGCCAGAATCTAACGTGATAATCAGACGAGACAACCTTGCATTTTAGGGACTGATACATACACGAGATCATAATCACGTCATATGCCTGGAGATCTTTTTCTGAGAGCGATTTGACTTTTGAGTTTGAATTGTGATATACAAGGACCTTCAATTGGCCATTCGTATACTCCTAAAATGATGTGAGACAAGATTCCATGTTCACTCTAGGGGGGCAAGACAAACCTTAATCTCAGATTGCCATTGCATTAAAGCAACAGGGGGAACGACAACGAGGGATGGCTGCCCAACCGGATAATCAGACATGAGGAGGGAAACCGCCTGGATTGTCTTCCCCATGCCCATCTCATCGCCTAATAAACCGCCCTTGTACTGGGATCTCTCTTGTTGCATCATCCAATTCAAACCTTCCAGCTGAAATGACTTGAGATTTCTCGATATGCCAGGGGGCTGATCTGCTGCTACTGGAATAACAGGAGGACTGTTTCTAAGTTCATCCCACATTGTCGTGATAAGTGGATGTTGGTTTTCGAGCTTTTTCCGTTCTCTCAATGCCTAGAAAGCACATTAATGGTATATTCCAGGGAAATTGGAGATAATTAAAAGTTGATAACTCACCCGATAGGTCATCCGTGGCCGTCTAACTATCGGATCCATAGGTGCAGAAGCTCTTGATGCTCGTGTCCGCGTTCGAGTGCCAGCTCTTGATCTAGTTGAGCTCCGGTGTCTTTGTGTATCAGGAATCGCATTCACACTCGACATAGAGTCGCTTTCAGAGATATCTGGTTCACTCTCGGACGTATCCTCCGCCACAGAGATATCATTTTCGCTGTTTGACACTATATTTCTTCCAATACTCCGAGCAGAGCCCCTCGTCCGGCGTGCAGGCTGCCGCTTTCCGATAGTCTCTTCTTCGGTGTCATCGCTTTCGTTATAACTTAGCTCAGTCAAAACACTATCGCTGTCGGTAGAATGCTCTAGTTCAAAGCCAACACCACTTGAAGCCTTGCGTCGTTTCGAGAATGGCTCTTGATATTCCCGAAGCTGAAGAGCCTGAGCTAGGGTTGCATCCGAGCTTTCAACTGCGGAGTCGTCTGCAGTCATATTTGAAAGAACTCTCTTGGGTCCTTTCCGTATGCTGAGAGACATTGCACTAGAACGTAGTTCCCGAGCACGTACCGAAGCACTGACTCTTTTCTTTGGTCTATTTAGGTCCGATTCGGCAGGAGTAAGGGCAACGCTACTTGCTGGGGTACTGTACTCGTTCGTTCCATCTCCAGACGTATCGTCAGGTAGGGCAGATGATAAGGTGGAGGGTGTAGGCGACTGTCTTTTTAGCGGGATAGCGACTTCAATTGTCGTTAATTTATTGCTGCTATGCGATTTGATAGCGCTCAGATCACGTAACCCACTATCCTCGTCCTTAACATCCGTGTCCATTTTTGTAGGCCTAGAGAAAGAAGAACGTGCAAGTCTAGCAGAAGTGCGTCGGGGTAATACGGAGGGATCTGGAAGAGTTCCATTATTCAGTCAATCTCTTTTCTTTTAGCAATCTTTGTGACAAAGATTGATGATAGTAGGAGACAGGGAAATGTTTAAAAAACAATCTCACTTGTGGTTGAGGTCTTCCCAGACCTGACTTTCGCTTCCTTCTTTCCCATAACGGACAGTATATTATCTCTTTCACTTTAATCTTTGAATTGGAATGAAAGAGGCCTATGTTGACTGTGGGCACCGTTGATTCAAGCAAGAGCCTGCAAGTGGCAAATCTGGTTGCTGCAAATGGTACCTGACTACTAGGCAGCGGGTATCGGCAAGGGGAACAGGAATATGAATGGAAGAGTCAGGAAAAGAAAACAGAAAAAAAAATTTTCACTACTACTTTACCTTCTCTGGTGAAAGCATTAAAAGAAACCGTCAGCAAAACACATAACTCAAACACATTTGTTTCTTGTGGGTTGTTCTCTCCAAGTCATCAAGAACACGAGCTACTAAGCAGCCTGCCGAGTCTCGCGTAAAGTGGAACGCGAAATCACGAGTTCAGATTGCCACCTTGAAAGCTCAACTCATTTCCATGTCCTTTGAGAGACACTTTTGGCACAATGTAGGAGGGAATCCATACATTGATTACATTCTTCTTATACTAATTGCATAAAGGACGAACAGAAGACAGACAAGAAACCAAATTAGAGGCCCGTATGTGATATCTTACGCTGTCTGTGCCACCGAGCTCCTTTAGCTAATCAGATATGATAGACACTCTGCACTTACCGATTTCCTGGCTGTAAGTGGACTACTACCTTACCGATCACCTATTCTCGTTGATGTCACTGGCTAACTTCCCGACTCAGTCCAATAACATATCCGCTACCCAAATCCGAGAAGATTATCAAAGACGTTTGGGAGAGACCGAACATCAAGCTGTTGGTGAAGAACCATCGGGCTCTACGGAGAATGACAATGCTGAAGAGAATGTTTGCGAGTCTCCGGAGCAGAAGAAGAAGCGTAAGCGAACGGAAGCTGTCATTCTAGCAAAAATCAAACAGAGCAAAGAATTTGCACGCCGAAAGGCTCGGAGGATAGGGGATCCCAATGATGACGATGATTTAATCGCAAGAGAGATTTTGCATCAGAGATCTCGACCGATTCCAGGTCAACTAGAGAACTGTGAGATGTGTAGCAAGCGCTTCACGGTTACTCCGTATAGCAAAACTGGTCCCAACGGGGGGCTCCTCTGTGCAAAGTGCTTCAGGAGCCTAGAGGGTGATGAAAAGAAGTCTAAGGCTAAGAAACATGGGCCAAGGACTGGTCGCAGACAGAACCAAAGCAAGTTACTCGACGGTGTTTCCCAGCAAGGTGCTTTGAGCTTAGTTGAAATGTGTACGAAGGTACAATAAAATACTTACATAGCCTCCTACGCCTGTTATTGAAATACTGACCCTTTACCTAGAAAGTCGCCGATAATATCAATGATGTCGAGGAATTTGGGGACTTGCCTTCACCACTACTATATCGCCTTAGCCAAATATTATCCAAAAGACGGATCTTGACACCTAGGACCCTCAATTTGTTTCTGCGACCTAACCTAGACTCTATCAACATTTATGACTCCGCTAGTATGTTTGCAGATATGTATCCAGCTTCCTGTGGCTCTTCAACTAACAACGTTTTAGAACTTGAGACAGACGACTTCCAGAGGATATTTGCGTTCATGCCTAGTCTTACGAATGTCAACCTTCGCTTTGCTGGTCAAATGAAAGATAAGGTTATCAGATATTTACTAGGACGCGATCTTAAAATCAAACGGTTGCAGTTGGATGCTGCTAATCTTGTATCGGACTCATACTGGCAACGGCTGTTCGGAAAGTTGGGCTCCCAGTTGGAAAGTTTGAAGCTGTCTAACCTTGACTTTTCCCTTGACGACGAAACTATTGAGGTGCTGTGTAGACACTGCACGGAACTTCGTTGCCTGAAGCTGAAGCAATGCTGGAAGGTGGGCGATAGCTCCCTGCAAGCCCTCTCGTCCTTGACATCACTAGAACATTTATCCCTAAACCTCGTTCGGGAGACAGAAAACAGTAGCCTTCTTGATTTAGTTTTCAAGATCGGTCCAAAACTACGGACGCTTTCTTTACAAGGCTTTCCCAATGCGGACGACCTTTTTCTGGAGATCATCCATGAGAAATGCTGCGTTCTCTCAAAGCTTCGCTTATCGGACAACAGTGTATGCACCGACAAAGGGTTCGCTAGACTTTTCACAGAATGGCCAAATCCGCCCCTGGAAATTGTTGACCTTTCCTCTACACGAGATGTGGATAACTCAAATCCAGACGGCCCTGAAGATACAGTTGGCCTCGCCTCTGAAGGCCTCATTGCCCTAATGAATCACTCAGGCCCAGCAATACGGAAACTAAATATATCATCTTGTCGTCACGTTTCGCGTGCTGCCTTCGAGGAAATTTTTTCGGATAACAAAATCTACCCCAACCTGAAGGAACTGGACATCTCCTTCCACACAGCCATGGATGATTACCTAGTAGGTCGAATTTTCAAATGTTGTCCTGCAGTCAAGAAGCTGGTCGCTTTCGGATGCTTCAATGTGAGGGATGTCCGCGTTCCTGTTGGTGTAGCGTTGATCGGAGGATTGAAAGCCCAAGACACCATTATTGTTGAGGGCAAGTCTTAACTTACGAATGTTGGCAAATGAAGCTATGTCCCTTCAGTCTAGTTTGATGGGGACTTCAATTTTTCTTCTACTGTAACACATGCTTATTCAATTGGGTGTTATGGAGTGCACGCGCACAAACAATGAGGAAGCCCTTCGTCTTGTTTACTTTCTTATCTGGTTTTTGTTTTAATGGCCATGCTTCTGAACTCTTAACATACTTACGGAGTACTTGCATGTCAACTGTAGCCTGTTAACCGTAATCCCATTTATAGTACATACCCAGTAAACTTACTCTGTACATCTTAGCACCTAACCTTTATCGGTTGAGTATCATATGGATGGCACGACAGTACAACTTAATCCAATAATGTATTGTATCCAAAATTCATTTTAAGATACATAGAATATCAAGAAACATACTCCATTCATGCTAGACCATGGTATTCTATACATTAGTAGCGGTCAAAAGTTATAGCTAAGGGCATGTATGGATGGCACCAATTTGCCTCAGTGTAGAATCTGGATAGTCTACGTACATGATAGGGCCAGGAGACATCTATGATAACACGGCGCAAGGGACTTTTTGAATGATTGGGTTTGATGCAGAGAACTAGTACTTAACTCTGCACAGCAATTCATTATACTACCGTCAAATAGCACGGCGATTATGGACCATGTGATATACCCCTATCCTGGCAGTATTTAACACGTCTTAGAGCGGGATAGCTTTAAGTGGGCCCTGGGACCTTAAGACTGCAACAATGATACCAGATAAACTACTAGTAGCTTCTTAAGAGTATGAACATCTACACTAAAATAGAGGATAATAAAAACACTTTTGATTTGTAAATTCTGTCCGCCAAGTGATTGTGTAATTGTTGGTTATGCCCTTTTTTTTTTACTTGCTTAGTTAAACCTACAGCCAATTTTAATGGATTACCGCCAATGAACATAATCAATTTTCTATCTGGCATCTGTTTTTAGATAGAGCAACAAGGTGGGTGGCGAGTATGATACTGACCTTGTAGTGGGGAACCTGAAAAGTTTATTGTCGTCAATAGAGAGGCCCTCTTTTTTTTGGAGGGAAAAAGAAAAAAGTAAAGAAAACTGGAAACTAAACCCCCACTTTACCACATTTGTCACTTAAAGTAAATACTAATGAGACATATAGAAAGTGCAAACAAGTATTTTCGTACTTCATATAGTATTAATTAATCTTAAAGCTCTGGTATCTGAATATTAACATTCCTCTATACAGTACTTTGTACTACTATCTAGGAGGTTCTAGTTGGTACTGTACAAGTGTTTGGTGCGATGCTCTTATCTAGATTGACTTCCGAACCGTCAACTAATAAATATACAAAAGGGCTAACCAAACTAAGATAGGGCGGTTTTTCCTGGTCTTTTCTTTTTGCTTTCGCTCCCTATTCCATAGGTGTCTCATGTATTTTCCCCGTCCGAGTAACCATTTGCCACCAATTCTTTTAATTCAACTGTAAAGCAGTTCGTCAGCTTGCCCCTGGAAAACCCACCAGGGGTATTTACGTGGACAGCATCCCGGAATACCGGTGATGGCCAATTTTTGCGCTTTCGAGTCTAATCTCCTTGCCCTCTCTTCCAACCATTTCCCTCCCCTCGTTTGATCTTGTTAGCAGTGTGGTGAACAGATTCAACCAAAATTGGAAGGTTACGGAAGTAATGGATTCATGGACTTTTGCTTGTTTTCCCTTCCATGTTGTAATTTCCACTCAAGAAGTTTAGTAAGGATACGTGATCTCAAGCCAAGAAAACTCGTAGGCATAGAGACAAGTAGAAAGCAATGATGCCGTGGAAAGTGAGAACTTGGAAGGAGGTTGCTGAGTTTATATACCAAGACAGCTATACTCAGTGAGAAAAGGTGCAAACTATGAGAAAAATACATGAGGCTTGTATGTACGTTGATAGAACTTTAAACTGCTGAACAGTGAACATAAAGATCGGGGTTCTATGATCTTAAGTATCCAGGGGAGGGGCAACGAATAAAGAGATGAGATGAGAGACTAGACATCACACAATACGGAGAAAATGGATTGTATTTCCAGAGTGTAGCACAAAGTATATATTTCAAAAAGGTGGTACTATGGAAGACTATGAAGCACTAGTCGAGGCCCATATCCACAAGGGAGATTTATTGACGAAGATATGGTCTCAGTTTGGGTGGTTCTGAGATGCAATGTGGCGCCGGTTCTGATTCGCCAATAATCCCTTGTTTCTCCTGACGCGGATGCCCCAACCGCCTGAATGGATGTTGACAGACTGTTATGTGGACAGTAAGTTGATCTCAGTATATTGAGCTAGGTGTCGCTGACTCTTTTAGATCCTTTTCCCCTTCTTCTTTTTTCTCTCTCTAGACTAATTTTCTCCTCTCGTCTCCCCTTGACCTGCAATATTTGAGATATCATTACTTGTGATTCCCGTTGCTGTCCACCACGCACGGTACCGGAGAGCTGAGGTCACACCTGTTTGCTATATTTGGTGACCAGTGACCAGACTAGCACCCAGCTCCACACTCCACATCAACCCCTAAAGGTGTGTATTTGAGACTGGAAAGCGAGAACTTTTGGATGGTCTTGCTCTTTCTCGCAACTCTTTTATCTCTTCGGTACATAGTCTAGTACGAGTACATATATTACAGTATTATTGTTATTGTTATCGTCCCCTCCCTGTTTACTTGATCTTTTTTCCCCCTATTCTTTTCTTGTCAATATTTTCTGCCGTTCTTTATTATTATCATTATTTTTTGTCTATCCTCTTTTATTATTATTTTTCCCCCTCCCTCCCTCTTTGTCCATTTTTGGCACCCTCTTCGGGTCCTTAGCTGCCTTTGCTCGACATTCTACCCCGTACTTGCCATTCCGTCTGATTCTTTTTGAGTACACGCGAAGGGGGGCAAATAAAACGTCCATCATCCCGTATGCTAATAATAATTCATTCCTAAGACCTGTCGGTGGTATGTGAGGGTCTTGTCTTAGCCAGCCTTTATTGCCTTTAGACAGTGTGGAAACTGCCTACCACTACTTCCGCTTGTTCTCTCAGCATTCTCCTGAGACCCCTTAATGACCTGAACACTACAGCCACAATCTGCCCTTTACACTGGTTTTGGCCGTCTGTGACTGTCACTCCATTCCTCGGTGTTCTTTCGATTAAAGCCCCACTAGGATCGGAATCTGAGTGATTTGGCAAAGGCCCAGAATCAAGCCAGAGGCCACTGCCGCCTTGTTTATGGGAAACAAGTCGCGCGACTGAGAAGGGGCTGCCAGAATTTTTTTTTCAAAAAAATTTTTTTTTTTTAATTTGTTCTTTTTTTTTATCACCCTACATCTCAGGACGGACATCCCGGAGCTTGTGCAGCTCGCTAATTCTATTACTGAAAGTGGTTCCTTCCGGCTTCACTAGTGGTCGCGACCCTCAGTCTTAGCACAGATGCCAATCAAGCTTCCCAAAGGCTTTGCCCGGCGTAAATCGTCTGGCAACGCCTTAGAAGAGGTGGAAAACCCTCCCCAACAGTCTTTCCGCGTTTTTGAGCGCCCGTCGATCGAAAAAAAATCCTATAGTGAAGGCAATCTTTTGGCGAAAAGGCTAAGCGACGGGCAGCGGTTTTATCCACCAGCAGAAGATTCAGACAACATCTTCGCAGGGGTTGACAGCCCAGGTCAGAGGAACCTGTATGGTCTCACTATGAACTCTGCAAACATTCCCAGAAATGAAACGGCTGACTAGAATCATAACAGCAGAAGCTTGCATGAGCGTCCAAAGTCCGCAAGATTTCACTCGCCAACACACCATCCCACCGATGGACTAAATCCATCTGACACTCAGGCATCTCACTCCCGAAATCTGTACGATATACCGATTCCCCCTCTCTCTGGTGCACTGCGAGCCGCTGGTCGAACCTTTTCCTTCGGTGGCAGATTTTCAAAGGCCACAGCACCAACCCCTTCGCCCCAACCCTCCACCCCAGGCCCCTCTAGAAGTCGAGCGATGACAGCCAGCACGACGAGTACAGCGACTCCCCCGAAAATTCTAGATACGGACTTGCAATTTGGTCAAGGGGAGGACGAATTTCATAATATGTTCAACGAAGTTGGGAAACGTGAGGCTTCTCGAGATAGAACGGGAGATATGGTATGATGCATAATAGAGTTTAGTCGTATGCGAAACATTGTTGTTGACGCTCTACGGCAGTTTTCATCTTCCCCTCCAGAATCGGCAGCCCGCAAGCAGGAAAAGATACCGCGTCCAACTCCTATCAATACCGACCGATCGAAGGAAATTGAGCCCTCACCATACTCCTGGGATAGCCGACACTCAGGAGAGGGTCTTCTAATGTCAAGCGATTCGCCCCAGGACGATAGCTCGGAAATGCAGCAGATAGTACATTCTCATCCTATGTCTCCAGGGGACCGCCGAAAGTCCTTACCCTTATCAAGCGCAGTGCCGGCGACAACTACTTCACATCGTTCGCTGGAAAAACCTCAGGTTGTGTCTGATAAAAGTCTGAGGAGGAGTGTTCTGTATGCAAACAAACGAGCTTCTACACCCGTTGAAGATGAAGATGCCAAATTAATCATGGAGTCTCTATATACCCATAAAAGAAGCTCGCAGGTTCTGTTAACATCTGAGCATGGGGATTCTGACGCGGAGCATGACACTCCACTCTTCAGTAACGGCCATACAAATACCGCTGATCGCTCTGACCGTTCGGATGCTGTTCCAACGCTCGCAAACAAATCTCTGGGAGTGGCTGAGGACCATCCCGACCCTTCTATAGCACTCCATGCAAGACTTGCTGCGCAGTACGAAGAAAGGCAACCTGCACCGGCAACGTCGAATAAAGTCATGACACCTTCGCAATTCGAACATTATAGGCAACAGCAGGAGCTCAGAAGATCTAACAGTGACCTGTCCAAGAGCGAGGACTCTGCAGAGAGCGATTTCGATGAAGAGGACGAAGCAGAAAAAAACCGCGAAGTAGAGAGGCAGCGACGGAAGCAGGAGGCTCATCTTTCGGTGTATCGACAGCAGATGATGAAAATGACCGGCCAAGATACCCCAACATCAGCACTCCGTCCAGAGGCAGATCGGGTCAATAACAGTGCGCCGAACCTGACAGTTACACCATTGAACCCGGGTACTAGATCAGGCAGTGGGAAGAGTAGTGAGGGCGATGAGGACGAGGAAATTCCCCTAGGAATCTTAGCAGCGCACGGGTTTCCCAATCGGAATCGGCCTCCTAGCCGCCTTGTCCCTTCTAACTCTATACCCAACCTTCGAGCTTCATTTCACCAACCTTACATATCATCTTCAAGTTCTGTTGCAGAACATGAACCTGGTAACCGTTCCAGCCTCCCTGTTTTTGCCAGAAATCTGCCACGGGATCCGTACTTTGGAGCAAGTCTAGTCAATTATTCTAATAGAGAATCTTTGGCTCTAGGAGGTGGTTCATCGGTTTACGGGGGTCCATCAGTTGCCGCTAGTCCCTCCCCTGCATTGCCACCAGGGGGCTTGGTAGGGGTGATTGCTACGGAGGAGCGAGCAAGAGCAATGAGAAGAGGCAGTCCCAATACACAAGCTATGTATGAATTTCAAGGTGGGCCGTCAATGGTTCCTACTCCGCCTAGTGGAATCCCCAGGCCCTACACTATGATGAGTATGAACCCTTCAGGCCCAGCTGGACCTCCACAAGGAGTCTCTGCTACAGAGCAGGCACAGATACAGCTGTCGCAGCAAATGTCGAGTATGATGCAGATGCAGATGCAGTGGATGCAGCAGATGATTCAGATGCAGGGTGGACAGGTTCCATCTCAACAACCAATTCCACCTGTAGGCTTACCTGCTACAGCCGCGGCTACCGCAGATATGAGACCCTCTTCAATGCCCTCGGCTGGAGGAATCAACAATGCTCCTCCTGGTTATCACAACGATCAAAGAACACTTAGCATGCTTGATCCAAACGTTTCTTCTCGCCTTAATAGCCCAGCGATGCCGTACGCTGTGGGAGGCAACCGCCCAAGTACGCCAGCAGGACAGGGCTATGCTCCGTCCATTGCCCCATCAGAGCGCAGCAATGTTGGGCTGGCGCCTCGGTATAGGCCTGTGTCGATGTTACAGCCAGAACCTGGATCAGCTGCTTACCCCTTTGTGTCAAAATCGTGGAATGATGAGAATCACAAGTCGACCCTCTCTGTTGCTTCGCCGGATAGATCACAGTCAATCATAACGGCTACCCATCCAATATCAAGCGGTGGTAAACCCGCAATCTCTAGCAATATGGTTCATAGCGCCGACCCAGACGACGACGAAGATGAAGGCTGGGCCGAAATGATGAAGAAACGAGAGAAAAAGCGCAGCAATTGGAAAATGAAGAAAGAGACGTCGAGTTTTGGAGATTTGTTGAATGTGGTACATTAACGGAATCGGTGGATAATTTCTTCTTGCCGGTCATGTTACGAGTATATTTTCGTCGCATACACTTGCGCTTCACTAATTATTTCCCTCATCTCTCAATATATTCTTCGATGGTGGTATATGAACCAGAACTTGTTTGGTTAATTTCTGTTTCTCTTTTCTTTTCTTCTCTGTGCCCTGTAAGGGGAGAAAGGCAAGGTTGGCGTTTGAAGGTTAAGGATTTTCCTCTCCATATTAGTGATGTTTCTCAAGTGTGCTCTTCAGCTTTCAGCGCTTGTGCCTTGTGTATTCGGTAGGTATCTTATAGGACATACTATACAAATAACGTCTTGATGACAATACGATCATACAAACTGAAACGGCTCTTTCATCATGCTTTCATCCCCGCTTCGTTCCTGTTATGTATTTCAGCTCGTGCGGCTATCACAGCCACATGCATGCAACTGCTACTCTGCAAGGCCTGTTCTACGATTCCGGTAGCTAGTAATGTCTCCGTGACGAGACAGACTAGCGCCACTGCTAGTATACATCATAGGCTACCCCTATATAAAGTTTCCCTATTTGCACTCGTGGGCATACAATGCTCTGTCCTCTTCATCGCCCATGTTCCTTTCAGCAGCATCGTTATCAACTCTAGTTTAATACGACTCGCCCAGTTTTGCCTACGGTATCCAGTCACTAGGTTGTAGGTCCGTGGCTTAAATACTTGATACCTCAAGTTGTGCGCTCGCTAAAAATGTTCACATTGATGGGGAAGATCGCCGATGGCAAGGTAGTTGTTACGATGCGGCTTTGGAGGTTAGTCTCAAGGCCGGAAACATCATGTCCTGCAGGAAGGAATCCCAGTTCTCTGATGGAAGAAATAGATGCTGTAATCGAAGGCATATTAGAGCTAGACGCCAATAGTGGGCTGATTCTTCAAGGCTAGCTTGTCTACGAGTCTGATTTGGGGGACATGATGTCACACAGTGGAAATAAGAGAGGTATATTAAAATTATATATATTTGAAGGGGAAGTGGGAAGGGGGGATTGATTTAGTTGCCTTTTATATCATATAAAATATCAGCCAAGGGTAAGATATGAGACATGTAAGTGTGCTGAGTGCATGGAACATGAAGAAACATCGTTATTTTTCTACCCACACATGAATCGCTCTCAGGCTGAGCTTGGAGCGGAAGACAAAAACTAGACACATATAAATGTTACAATCACGTGCCAGTGGATCACGGGAGTAACCAAGTGAAAGGATCATTTATCACAATATATCACAGTGCCAGCATGGAGTCGCGCCTGCTCCTCTCTATTATTTTACCCTTTCAGTTTTATCTCTTATCATAATCGCGTTAGCTTTTCCAAAGTACCTGAACACCCCTTTTCCATTTTCCCACAAAATTATTGTTATATTTGTTGCTGGTACCGCTCTATCTTACCTGGCGAGATATAATCGAAAGCAACAGTTCAAACAAGATATAAAGCTTCAAGGGAAAACATCCTAGGCTTTGTGAGCCCGAGGCTTTCCATTGATTTTCCCTCATACTGGACAAACAACATTCAAGCTGATTTGGAATTGTTTGATCTTCACTTGACTCAAGATGAATGCCCCTGACCGGTAAGGAAAGCAATATTTTTTGACTCGTTTATCTTGAGTTATGCCTATAAAAAACACCATTAAAAGGCTCTGCTCTCCTTTTGCTGTGTGGCGTTATGTTAGTATAGTCAAGCAATGGGGTCCTGCTCGCTGAGAAAGGAAGGAGAAAGGTTCTTTCGTGATTTCTCCTTCACCTTTGACTGAGAATGTGAATCAATGATAGTAGTAGAGTTAAAGAAGCTTTTGTTTCTTTCTCCTTTTCTACGCATGCGTTTGATATTCATTCCTATTCCCTCTCCCTCACCTCTGTCTTTTGCCGGGGCCCTTCTGCATACTACCTTCCCTTTCCCCCTTCATTCGCTCAGGGACCATGAGTCTCAGCAAAGAATATATTGTCCCCACGGATATGGCCGTCGCACGTCGCGGCGGTCCTCCCCGCAATGGCTGTCAATCCACCATCAAAGTTTCGCATGACCAACAACTTAGGTCTGCTTAATCATACCTCATCTACAGTCTTTTATGTGATCTTGTGTCTAGCTTCAAAAATCATTATTGGAGTACTGGCTAACTAGAATTCGAACCAGTTATGAATCATTCGTGCTCGCGAATGGCGAGAGCAAAGTTGAGATGGAGATCGATACACGTACGCCTCTGTTTGAATTCTAATTTACTGGCAGACACTCAAATTTTGCTACAGGTATTCCTTCCTCTGCCATCTTCACTTTTAATAAGGAAGATCACACTCTTGGAAATCTAATTCGCTCCCGCCTCCTCCAAAACTCTCGTGTGCTTTTTGCTGCTTACAAGGTATGCAACTTGTGTAACCTGCTTCTTCAAAAGAACCTCCAATATCATTTGACTTTGAGAAGGTTGACATGTGTCTGACATGCAAAATTCAGGTTCCTCACCCGCTTGTGCCGAAGTTCGAACTCAGGGTACAGACCGACGGTGAGATCACTCCCAAAGAAGCCGTCGTTGCCGCGTGCCATGAACTTGTTCGAGATCTGGGTATTTTGTCACGCGAATTCACGAAGGAATATGAGCTACGGAAGATGGTGGGAGCCACCCAGCAGCAGCAGGATGGCGTACAGGATGGAGCCTAGGTGGTTGTGGAATCATCAATCAAAGTGAGCTGGTTTTCGCTGAAATCTTTATTTCGATTCTACGCAGCTGGTTTTGCGTGCGCACGGTCCTGTCTAACCCTTCATGTTTATCCCCCTTGACACCTGTAATCAATGACGCTAGGTCTACGGCATGACCCTGGGACTTTGTATGTTATTATGTACATACGCAGCTCATGGTATGTTATGTATCCTCGTCCGTGCTATTCGATCTATCATATCACATGGATTGGGAAATCCGCCTGATGTATCAATGGATGATCAACAAAGTAAATTATGGAATACCTGTGGCTATCTAGATTTAATAGTACCTAAGTACTACATACTAGTAGTTCCTGAGATCCGGTGATTGCTAGTAGGTACCATAACTGCGGCTTAGTTGGGCAACAGGTCCGCTTTCTATTTGGGATTAGCGCAGCCGCTCCGCGTCCCTGACCTGCGGCCGTCGTCACTGGCAGCTCCTGATCTTCCATCGCTGCCTGCCCCATTGGCTTCTGTCCTTCGTTCAGCTCTGTTTTCCCTTTCATTGTCAATACATCACCTGTTAGATCTTCTTGATTATCTAATTTCCTGTTAGCTTTTCTGATGCGAGCGCTGTTTTGGTAATGTACTCCTCGTCGAATTCCTTCTTAGGCGGCGCCAACAGCGCTCGCCCGGGACAGCCATCCTTCATGCACCAATCTTCATACTCTCAATTCCCACGCGCTCAGCAACCCCCCCCGCATCAGCAACAGCATCAGACGGGGTTTGCCGCCCAGCCTACCGGATATGGTTCCCAGTTGTCTGGATTTGGAGGCTCTCATCTGCAGCCTCAACCAACAGGATTCTCTCCAGGGCAGTTACAACCCCAGGTCACCGGTTTCCCGCAGCCGCAGCAGCAACCTGGCAGCTTTCAGACTTCTGTGCAGCCATCCCAGCTCACAGGGCTCCCCATCCAGAGTCAACCTCCACAGCTCCAAGTCCCTTCGACTACCGGCTTGCCTGTTCGGCTGGCCCCTCAGACCTCATCCGAGATAGCAGACTCATTCAGGGATAGCGCTGGTGCCGCTCCACCCCCGCCCCCCAAAACCCCAGGAAGCAAGATTCCCAACATTCGGCTTTCGTTCATTACCGCACAAGACCAGGCTAAGTTTGAGCAGCTCTTCAAATCAGCTGTTGGGGATAGTCAGACGATGAGTGGAGAAAAGGCTAAAGATCTCCTTCTGCGGTCAAGGCTTCCAGGGAGTGATCTGTCAAAGATATGGATCTTGTCGGATACCACTAAGTCAGGCCAATTGTTTTTCCCGGAATTTGCTCTGGCTATGTATATGTGCAACATACGGATCACTGGCAGAGATTTGCCAGATGCTCTCCCTGAGAAGATCAAGAATGAAGTCTCCAGTATGGTAGACATTATTTCGTTTCAGGTTCCTGACACCCAACCACAGCCTACTATCCCAACAAATGTCCCAAGCTTTGATGCGCCGTTATTGGAGAACAAGTCTGCCCCTCCAGCTCCCCAACAACCGCAGCCTCATCAGCCGACCAATTCCCAGCTTCTGACGCAGCTCACAGCGCAACCAACTGGATTTCTCGCCCAACCAGCTAACTTCCAGTCTGGTCAGGCATCTTTCCCGGGCCAAAGCTCCAACCTCGTTGCGCAAGCTACAGGCTTTCCCGTGCAGCCCCAGCAACAGTTCCTACAGCCACAGCCAACAGGTATGATGGCCAATCCTCAACCTACAGGCTATAGTGGGCCCCGGCCCCCTTTGCCGCCGATGCCCACTGGCTTTGGGTCCAGCCTTAGTCCAGCACAGACTGGCGGGATTTCTGGCTTGGTCGCACAGCCTACTGGAGCCCCCGGTCAATGGGGCTTTGTTAATGCACCATCTTCTGGATTGCCTAATATAGAAGCCCTCAAGCAGCAACTTATGCCCCAACCAGGCCGTGAGGGTGGCTTTTCAGCTGCTGGCCTTTCTGGAAATGCCCACATCCCTTGGGCAATCACCAAGGAAGAGAAAAAGATCTACGATGATTTGTTTCGGGCATGGGACGGATTCCATAAAGGCTTTATCGGTGGCGATACTGCTATTGAGATCATGGGACAAAGTGGCCTGGATCGGAAAGACCTCGAGCGCATTTGGACACTGGCTGATCCCCACAATAGGGGCCGGCTCAACATGGATGAATTTGCTGTGGCCATGCACCTAATATACAGAAAACTTAATGGATATCCCGTCCCGAGTCGTCTCCCTCCGGAGCTAGTGCCACCATCTACAAGAAATCTCAATGACTCTATAGGTACTATCAAGTCGATGCTTTCTCAGGATGCAGAAAGTCGAAAAGCGTCCGGCGCTTTCCTGCAACCGCAGAAAACCGGTGTCAGCTATCTCAAGGAACATTCATTCCGTGGCGGTGGTGCAGTGTCTCCTGGACTTGGCCGCAAAGATGCTACCTTGTTCAAAAACAACGACGAAGCTGCTGCCGGGTATCGTTCTAGTGCCCGTCGCCGTGTTGGAAACACCGGTCGGACGCCTTCGCCTGCTGCGTCACAAACATCGGAGGAAGAATTGTCTATTGATCAACTGAAGAAGAAGATCCGCGAGGCCCAAATTATGTTAGATGCGGTCGACTTCCAGGACGAGAATCGCTCCGAGGAAAACGATGCCTTGGACCGTAGAGATCGCCGGGAAGCGGAGAGCCTTATGGATCGAATTCGGCGTGTGCAGGACGACATAGACACACACCCGGATGCAGCCTTCCGCAACCTTGACAACGGTGCCGAGCGAAGGTCCCTACGCCGTCAGCTTCAATCTTATGAGGACCAAGTTCCTCAAGTAGCGTCGGATGTTCGACGTATTGAACGAGAGATTGCAGAAGCTAGACTTGAGCTGTTCCGCCTGGAGGACGCAAAGGCTCACCCTAACAGTGCATCAAATATTGTGGGCACTGGACCTGGGGGCGCAGTGACAGAGGCGGATCGTATCAAGGCTCGTGCTCGCGCCAGAATGCAAGCCCGTGCCGCCGAGCTCGCCGGACGGCCCGCCCCTTCCTCGCAAGACGATGATGGAGCCACGGCTCGACGAGTTGAAGCTCAGAGTGCTAATATTAAGTTAGACAGAGAAAAGAACGATGCTATGACTCGTGGCGTGGAGGACAGCGTTAAAGAGTTTTCTCGAAGCCTTGAGGATAGCCTGAAGGATGAGAATGAGAATTCAACACGCGAGCATGAAAGGCGGCGGTGGGAAGATGCCCTGGGGGTTGAGGATGTGATTCGAGACTTTATTTATGATTTGAAACGTAGCAGCCGAACCGCCCATGTTAGGAAAGAAGAGTAAGTTATATCCAGCTTCACTCCTTACCCGCCTTATTCATTCCGCGTTCCCCATACTCTCTCCATCCCCCCTTGGGTGAGATTGGAAGCCCTCCTTTGATTATACTAATGCCAGTCGTCAGGGAATCGCGGTCGGCGCAGGAGGAGCGTTCTCGATACGAAGAATCATCAGCTGCCAAGCCTTCTCCTCCGTCAAGGGGCTCCACTGGTTCTTTACCTGGCTCTACCCACGAGGACCGTGTTGCCGCCGCAAGAGAACGAGCGCAGAGGCGCATTGCTGAACGGATGGCAGCTGCTGGCCTCAAACCCAACAATAACACGGGGGAAACTCTTCTCCAGCGTCAGGAGCGCGAGAAAAAAGAGCGCGAGGAGCGGTTGAAGCGTGCGGAGGAAGAAGATGCTAGGCGTGAGCAAGAAAGGCAGCGCCGACTAGCCGAAGAACAAGGTGGCTCTACGGAACTAGTTAAGCCAACTGGCAAGAAGCCCCCGCCAGCACCACCTTCGAGACGGGGCCGTACAGACAGTGCCGGACAGGCTGAAGCTAAGAGGGCGGCAGAAGAAGTTGCCAAGGCAGAGCAGGCAGCCCGGGAGCAAACCATGCGAGAGGAACAACAAGCACAAGAGGAGAGGAAACGCCTCGAGTATGTGAATATTTTCCATATTGAAAGCTTCCAAATAACTGACAAGCTTTCTTCAGGGATGATACCATGCAACGTGAAGAAGAGTTCCAGAAAGAGAAAGAGTCACAGGAGGCCCGTCTCCGAGTACTTCAAGAACAAGTACAGCAAGGCAAGATCAAAAAACAGGAAGCGAAGCGGCGGAAACAAGAAGCAGACCGACTAGCAAAAGAGCAGGAGGCAAGGCTTACTGCTCAGCGTGCTGAACTCGAGATGGCCAAAGAACGGGAACGGCAGTTGCAACTGGAGTTGGAAGGCTTGGACGAGGGAAGCTCCTCTGACGAAGAAGGCCCCGAAAATGTCACCCCTCAGCATAGCACCCCAGTCCAAAGCCAGGTTCACACTGAAGTGAAGACTGCAGCGTCTGCTATTCCCTCGGCTCCGGTTCCTGCTCCTGCTCCTGCTCCTGCACTAGGGTCGGATGGGCTATCTAGTCCGAGCGGCTCCCCAAGCAGCAACCGCAGTACCGGACTATCTCACCTTAGTCCAGAGGCTGAGTCGAAGAACCCTTATTTCAGAAGGATCAGCCAGCCTACAGAGGGCCAAATTGCTGCACCGCCACCTGTTCCTCAGGCCGCTATCACTTCCCCTAAAGCTGATGTTCAGTCTACTAACCCTTTCCATCGTCTTGCACAGCAACAAGAGAGTGCGAAGCCTGCATTTACAACAGCGGGACCAATAGAACGCGTGTCTCGTGCACGTCCTGAGGCGGACGATGACTGGTCTGCTGCAGGATCAGACTTTGATTCTTCTTCAGACGATGACGATGATGAGCGGCCTGGTGGTGGTAGTGCGAAGCAGCTTGCAAGCATTTTGTTCGGTACCATGGCGCCGCCGCGGCCTCTGAGTGCGATGGACGAGAAGTCCCCTTCAAAATCGTCCACCCCTGTGCCAGATACTCTTGCAGCTCCGTCAGCGGCGCCTGAGTCAGATGGAACCTCGTCTAACCCTGCTGCTACTGCTGTTGCCTCTCCTCCACTACCACCTCCACCCCCACCGCCGCCCGCACCGGCTTTCTTAGCAGCGCCTGGCTCTGACCCTTCGAGTGCGCCCCCCCCACCGCCACAGCCTGCACCTCACATGGCGCCCCCGCCTCCCGGCATTCCTCCGCCACCCGCTCCTCCTGCTGCACCGGCAGGAGCATCTGATCGAAGTGCCCTACTAGCTTCGATTCAAGCCGGTAAGGGGCTTAGGAAAGTCCAGACAAATGATCGGAGTACTAGCTCTACTGCAGGCCGTGTGCTAGGTTAGAAAGTAGTGTTTGAAGGACCCAGTGGAGTCAAATAGCCTTGGATATGAATGTGGGGATGAAATGAGTCATTTGCAAAGTACCAATTGAGCAGAAAATCTATATCCAGCTTATACTACCATAGTTCTCTCGTTGGCTTTCGTCTATTATTGAGGTTCAGCATGTGTTATATTATTGTAGACACCCATGACTTAAGATTCGAAAATTATTAGATAATCACGCAACATTTGTATTTACCAAGAGCTTATTATATTGGTGCATCTAGTAATATATCCGCAGCCAATGACCTTTATAAAAGAACGTTGAACAGCTGTAGCGGATACGAAAACGTTTCTAAGAATAACGACGATAATGATAGCAGGATACCCCAAGAACACGAAGGCTCAAGTTAGGATTTCAGCGATGACGTTTGTCAGAGTACTGATGCACCATAGAACCACTAACCCCCAGCCGATCTTTCGGTCCATGCTCCACTTGTTCAACGGGACTACAATCAGTAGCCCTACTAATGTGGTTAGCAAGGTGGCGCCGCTAATGATGAGAACCTTGGAGATGGCGATCTCATATGGAACCCCATCCGTGACTACCGTCTCTGCTTTTGCATGAAGAGTCATGTACAAGCCACCTAGGCCAATCCCTAAAAGAATGTTCAACATAGGTCCACCAAAGCAGGCACTTAGCGCCATGACTGGGTAACCTAGGCGGGCAACGGTGATATCAGCCACAAGATCGCCCAGCGAATTTCCAACGGCAAAAACGGTCAACCCGAGGAGAGAATCACTGATGTTCAGGATTACCCCTAAGGTTTTGAGGAGACTAACGACCTCAGTAGCTATGGTTGCAATCCAGCATATGGCAACAATGAAGCCTAGGAAAGCCAGCAAAGGACGCCATGCATTTGGAGGGTGTGAAGAATTACTATGTCGCAGACTTGTGACGAGACCAGTAATGCACATCAGTGAAAAGAAGAGAGATAATAGAAATGGTAGTAGCAGATTGTGGATGTCTAGATCAGAATCAATGGCTGTCCAAGCAATCAGAGCAACAAAAAATGGACCAGTGAATAACTGTATCCAAACCAGCCACAGACACCACTCTTTCGGAGGTGGCGCCGAAGGGTCCGGCAGTGATTGAGCGGCGGGCAATTCGGAATCCCAACGTTGCCGTCCTTGCCTTGATTGACTTTTGCGGTTTTGATCTGAGACTTCTTCAACAGCGGATCCATGGTCGATAGCTCGAAGGAGCGGGCTATCCTCTGGTAGCCTCACCACGGGCCCTGGGTTTTCTCCGTCTGCTGAAGTCACTACGACTGTTACAGGATCCGCACCGGTTTCGGGCTGTGCGGGCTCAATGACCGGAACAGTAATCGTTAGTAACAGCACACTAGGGGCTGCAACCGCCCCTAGCATCCTTTCCCAGAAGCTCTTCGTCTTCCATCCGTCCAGAGTAGGGAAAAGCGTTCGAAAGATGGATGGTAAAAGAACTGGGGTGAAGGAAAACAGCCACTGTATCTGGGGCAAAGGTTGAGGCCTCCCATTGCTATAGATACTGTCATGTACTTGTAGTTCTTCTGTGGGGCTAGAAGTAGCTGGTAAGCGTATACTTGGTGCTTTAGAGGGTACTGAACTAGATGTATCAGGGAAAGGGGGGAATGGGATAGAAGGGCTCTCCGCTAGAGCATCACTGGATCCGGGGGCGAATGAAGTTCCGCGCGGGGAAACGTCAAGAGGAGATCGTGAGTCGGGTGTTTCAGCCTGGTAGTTTGGAGGGTGAAAAGTGCCCGGGGGTGCAAGTAATTGCGGGGTTTGTGGACGTGCACGCCCCCATGGACTGGAGCTTTGCCATACATGCCCGGAGGACGATGGTGATAGCTCTGACTCGACACTCTTATTCGATTGGTGAGACCGTGTCTCAGCGAATGCAGCCTGGCTATCTACCGAGGGTCGAGTAACAGCAACGTACGGCCGCCTCGCAGTAGAATCGAAAACGCTGGTGTCGAGTTTCAACCCCACGGCATCGTCAGCAGACACAGCTCGAGTTCGGGTTGAGCCCGCCGCCACGCTGTTAGGTGACAAGTGGGTTGATGCAGAAGGCTTGCTGATCCATGGGTGGGAGGCGACAGAAATAGTGTCGCGCTCCGGCAGTGCATGAGCCTCGTCATGATCGTCGGAGTACATTTGGAGGTCGATTGGGACGTTTTGATGAGTACTTCGCGACCGTTGAAGCGAAGAAACGACAGACTGGAACTCAAGCGCACCAACCAGACTTGGCCTGATTGGGTTTAGAGTACCACGCCTGTGTGTAGAGGGACGGTACACGTGCATATTATCCCGTATTTCTGCTAGATACCGGTTCCGAGTTTCATCGTCTTCCCCATCTTTCCAAGGGGCAGCTTCGCATCTCTCCAATGAGTCAAAATCATGGATTGAAACACCGTGAAGGAGACTAGTAGATTCAGAGGTTACCCCGGGGTCATCCTCTTCAACTTCTTCTATCTCCAATTCTTGATTTTCAGGAATGTGGAAGTGCGAGCGTGCAGCTAGATCCCTCTCGTAGACACGCCGACGGCGCACAAAGTACCAGTGCCAGGTCACGACTAATACGACATAGAAGCAATATAGACCGACCATCGCGGCAGATTCCCAGGTATGGAGGCGACCATCTGCCAACAACAACATACTGAAGCTCACAGCCACTATGAAATACCCAACGTCGCGAACAAAGCTCCTCCGAGCAACTTTGAATGGGCGGACTAGTGCCATCGACCCTGCGACAACTGAAGTAATAAAACTCGCAGCTCCAAGCAGCTCTCCAATAGCCAAGCTACCACTATTAGATTTCATGGCAGCAAAGGTAGAAAAAACATCCGGGCTTCCGTTTCCAAAGGCAAGAAACGTGACACCAGTCAAACTTTCACTCAAACCAAGGGCGCCGGCTAAAGTGCTCAGGTCGATACACAGGAAATCACTGGCGGCAATCCCGATAGTACTGAAAAGTAGCGAAAGCCACAAGACAAGAATTATGAACGCAAATGGCTTGGCATCTGCAAGAGAGCAATAATAAAATTGAAGGTACGAAAACAAGCCATCTTCATGGTCAGGGCAATTCACGCGGACGTAAGAGCACTTGTCGTATGCTTCACGAACCAAGCGGCACTGTAAGGGAAGATAAAATTTCTTAGTAAACCATCCCGAAAAGATTGTTATGAAAAACGAAATCTAAGATTCCCAATACCTCCAGATCATTATCACGCTTGAAGATTTGTTGAGTATCGGATCCTCCTCGTACGAATTGTTTGATAAGAGGCGCAATTCCCTCATCATTGTATAGCCCAAGAGCCCAGCTAAAAGTCGCCAGGCTCGTAATCACCATGAGAGTCCAGTAGAAAGGCCGAACAGAATATCGGCGGCCCGCTGGGCGGCTCAAGATTGGCGACAGTACTCCAGACATAATGTAAGATGCGACGGCATCATGGGCAGCAGAGTGAAAGGCTAGGCTCTGGCAGAAAAGACAAGGTAGCTGCTCTGAAAGTCGAAAAGTTGGGAACAATTCTCATTGCCGTAAGGGAAACGGAGTTATCTACCTATCAGTGTGAGTGAATCCACGCGGTGAGATACTAGCCACTCATTGATGGAAAGGCGGAGAAAGTGGCTAGCAGGTGGCCACCTACTATTGGATTCTAAATGAGGCTGTGCACCTCGGCAGTGTTGAGTACGTCATTGAGTTGAGTGTATGGAGTAATGCTAGCCAATAGTGTGTGAGAAAGAAGAGAGAGTACAGAATCAACAAACAACTCAAAGCATATCAAAAATAGGTGTATGCATGACCAAAAGGGTCGACTTTTATAGGCTCTTTAGGACATAAAGAGGTGGTAATTACATTCCAAGTGTCACAAGCATTGGAGGGAGGCGGTCGATCCATATTCGGTTACATGATATCATGTGACTATACTATCTGAATGAAGCTAGTACTTGCACACTTGGTTGCCTTGGAATGGCGTATGTTTTTGTTGACTCCCAATTTGTTTGTCCTTGTCGGCCAAAGAGGAGACTTCAGTGCATTCCAGCAAGATCTCGAACTCAACATTTGGCTACTCACGGAGAATGATTATTATAAGCTATAGCTGCTTAGTTGATACTTAGACTTTTTACTTAATTTTTCCCTTTTCACATACTTGTCTTTCTGTGGTCCTCTAAATATTCAACCCTGACGCGGCGGGGAGGTCTCTCACAATGCCCCGCGTAGCGAATCCTAAGCATCGCCGCTCGGGCGGTGCCTCTACCCCCCATAAGAATTCTCCTATCAAGTATGTTTTCAATGTTGATATTGTCTTTGATTATTTTTCGTCCGAGCCGGCCCAGCTGATAACATAAGAATCCCACTCAATGATGACATGGGCGAAAAGGCAGCTCGTATGGAAGCCCGACAGGCTCGCCATGACCGCCAGATGGATCAAATAAAAGCAGCTGTGAAAACACCCATGCCCCCTCGAAGATACACTGGTCATGAACGGGGATCTAGCATGAGCCCTGCCACACCTCGCGGATCAGGACACAGGGGCCGAGAAAGCGATGTCGATGGTCGGAGAGCCGTAACCCCGATGAAGCGAGTACCAATCTTAGCCAACTTTGAGGAATGGATGAAAATGGCAACCGACAACAAGATCAACGCAAATAATTCATGGAATTTTGCCCTCATTGACTACTTCCATGACATGTCCTTACTAAAGGAGGGGGATGGTGTGAACTTCCAGAAGGCCAGCTGCACGCTTGATGGATGCGTCAAGATCTACACAAGCCGAGTCGACAGTGTTGCAACGGAAACCGGTAAGCTTCTGAGTGGTTTGGCTGATAGTCGCGAGAGAAAGGCCCACGAGGGTGGTGCAGATGACGACGGGGCTGCGGATGAGGACGAAGAAGGGGAGGGAGCGACAAGGAAATCTCGACGGAAGGTATAGTTATCTATGCGATTAAGTCAAGTAATACAAATGGCTAACTGATATCTTGAAGGCACAACGATCGCACGAGGCCACACTTGCACCTTCGTTCGCCTCACTCCAGCTGAAAAAATTCGAACTTGAATTCTCAGTTGACCCACTATTTAAAAAGGCATCGGCAGATTTTGATGAAGGCGGCGCAAAAGGCTTGCTGTTGAATCATTTGGCAATTGATGGGCAAGGACGAATCGTCTTCGATAGTAGTGATGATGCCGCTGAAGAGAGCTCGAAAGATACGGATGATGCACGCCAAGGGTCGGAGGACTCCAAACATCAAGAATCTCCATCGTCACCCCCAAAGCAATCTTCTGATGATATATTTACAGACAATGTGGAAATTGACATAACTGCTCTGGCGAGCCAGTTCTTCCCAGATTTGGAGCGCCTAGAAATGCAGGATATCTGCCCATCACTTAAGAATTTTGACCTTGGAGACCCGAGTGGGTCGTTGGATATACCTTTCCTTAAAGCCCCCGAAGTCTGGCGGAATGATAAGTGTCATGAGGAGGGGCCGCATCCAAATGACGCATCTGGAATCATGCTCGATGACGACAATGCTGTTGGCTTCGATGACGACGACGCTACTTTGGCAGGCTTTGATCTCGGCGGAGATGCAGGTTTCGGTGATGGTGGTGAGGCTTGGGCTCGTGAGGCTGCTTTGGAGCCGATGCTCAAGGTTCACCGTGTCGATCGCGACAATGACGAGATTCAGGATGGTGAGGAGCTGGACAATGACGACGCATATGCCATTTCTCTCACTCATCAACCTGACAAGCGTGACCATGAAAACATCCTCAGCTATTTCGATAATGCCTTGCAAAAGAACTGGGCAGGCCCAGAACATTGGAAAATTCGTAGAATCAAAGAGCATACTGCGGCAAATACTGCGAGTGCTGCTCCAAAGCAGCGAAAGGAGAAAGAACCCTTCGAAATCGACTTTTCTGCCCCTCTGGATTTGTCTGTTGCTGAGTTGATATATACTCCAGCAAGCTCCAACTCCACCATATCCTTGCCCAAGACACAATGGAAGACAAAAGGTCGCAACCTTCTCCCAGATGATAAACACTTCAATTCGCGACAGTTACTTCGTCTCTTTCTAAAGCCTAAGGCCAGGATGGGCACGAGAAAATTGATAGGATCTCGGCAGTTTAACCGACGGAGGGAAGACCGGACAGCAGACAATGGCGACATGGATGAGGCGTTCTGGGCAAACCATAAACCGGAGAATGACGTATCTCCCGATGAAGAAGGCGCCCCTGGTGCATACGATGCTAATTTCTTCGCGGATGATGATGGCCTCGCGTTCCCCAATGGCTTTGGCTTAGGTGATGACGATGATGACAACATGCCTTTTGCAGATGCTAGAGAGATGCTTTCTCCACCATCCGATGGACACCCGGGTAACTCAGCAGGGGACGGTGGCGGAGCTTCGGGGCTTACGGCGCTTCTGAACATGGTAGGCGCTACTCCTGGCGCAGCGTTACAGAGCGGAGCCGGAGGATTCGGCTCACAGCTAGTGACCCAAGGCGGTCGAAGAGCACGCCCTGATTATGTTGCATATGCACGAGTGGCTAAGAAGGTGGATGTTCGGCGACTGAAGGTGGAGATGTGGAGGGGCATGGGTGAACGCTTGATCGCATCAACAACTTTTGGTTCCTCTCACGAGAGTCAATCCCACGAACCTGCTGAAGATGACGCCGATGCACCCCCAACACCCACGCCCGTGAACGAGAGCCTAGATCGAGCCGCTGAAAACGATCAACAGCAAGAAAATGGCCAACTCCGATTCACGCAAATTATGAACTCACTCAAATCTGTCTACCCCACCGAAACACTACGTGACATCAGTACTTCTTTCGGGTTCATTTGTCTCCTTCATTTAGCTAATGAACAGGGTCTCATGCTGCAGAATGATGATGGTTCTACCAGTCTCGGCGAAGGCAGGCTCGAAGATATCTTTGTCACAAAGGATAACAATGCGGTCCTTGAAGAAGGAGCTATGTGAGAGTGACGTCTGATTTCTGAGTGAATATGGAGTCGTTTTTCTGTGTAAGGATCATGGCATGTGTTATATCAGGAATGTGGTCTGGCTTTGGGTTAATGTCGAGTTTATATTGCAGAGGAGTTGGAGGTTTGTATCACATAATGGGATGGTATTCGTGTCTTTATTCTATTCAAGAAGTCTAATGTTTATCTTTTCAGTCGGAATTCAATCACAACAGGCTCATTTGTGAGTTGATTCTTTTTCAGCATTCTTCTATCTATATAAATGTGGAATAGGCTTTATCACACTAGTTGGGCTTGTGATTCTTTTTTATAAAATCTCTGAGGTATCTAGACAAATTAACAGTTTTTGAATCAGAAACATATTAGTTGGACGCTATCATAAGGACCATATTTCACTAGGTTTCACCTCAGACGGATGAAGTATGAACGCGTACAGTGCTATATAGGGCGATGGGTAAAAAGATTGTCAAAACAGAGTGTGAAGATTGGCGAAAGTTTGGGGTAAAACGTAATGTCCTGCATCTGCCAGCCCGGAAAGTATTCGAATACTTGAGTATATGGAACGAGAAAATGGAAAATAAGTACATATATCAGTGTTTGCATGTTAACCCGCAAGTAGTGCAGTACGAATATGTCATATATTAACGAGGACCTTGAGGGAAATTGGGCGACATCGGACTCGAATAGGCCATTGGAATTGGGACAGCATCGTAGGCCCGTTCGCCTGGAGCAGCAACCATGTGTTGGTTAATATTGGGAGCCGGGATAGAAGCAGTGGGAGCCGAGTTAGGGGCAAAAAACTCCCTCTGTTCTGTTTTAGGGGTTGCTTGTTGTACACGGATGGGAGGCGCTTGCAACTGAAAGGCGGGTTGAGGTTTTGTTGGAGACCGAGGCGTGGCGAACTGAGTCGAGCATGACTCGCCATTCTCGGCTATTGAATAAGGGTCTTGTGAAACAGTAGTAGATACCATAGGCGCCTTTTGAGCAAGAGGGAATCCAGGGGTATTGGGCGCGGACTGGAGACGGAGCTGAGCAAGGTACAGATCAGACCTTGCCTTGTCACGGCGGTCCATTGACTTCATAAGCCGTCTTTTAGTCCAGAACCGATAGAAAACAACCGCATATATAAGGATGGCCAGCACTTCAAGGACAACCTCAATGATAGCGCACACCAGGCCCCAGTCCTTATAGAATTAGCATCGACGCCATAATTAAAGAAAAATGAAAGAAAGGAGAGAAAAAAACTGAAGATTGCAGTTAAAAGGGTGAACCAACTCACCTGCAGGCGACAAAGGAGGGCGTAGTCGATATCGTTGTGGAACAGAGTTTCTCTTGTATTCTTCTTACAAGACCAGCCCCAAAGATCCTGGCTATTTCCATTGGCTTTTTCATTCTGGTAGAGCGCCGCCGCGATGATCCACATGATAAGACTGAAAATGAAGAAGCACACTGCAATTGTCTGATAGTAAACGGTAAGCTTTTCAGCCCGCTTGTGGCCGCCTTTCCAATAGCCCCAAAACACAATAAGGCAAGCAAATAACGAGACACATGCTACTGATAGGAGCAAATATTGCGTCCACGGATTGGTGCCATTTGCCCAGGCGGGAAAGCCACCCCTAGAAGGCAATGATTTGGTGGAATGGAATACGAACAGAGTCAACGATAATATTGTGACAACAATTAAACTGCAGCCGAAGTTCACGAAACGCAAAAACATTTTGGCAACCCGAACGCGAAGTTTAATTCGCTATGATTGGTTAGCATAAAGACCCAAATAGATGGTACTTCTTCCTCACTAACCAGGTCTCTCGCGTTCTCCTTTTCTGCAGACTTTTCTTCCTTCTCCACATAGAATTCCTCACGAAACGTAGGGCTAAGTGGATTCAGTGTGCGCCCAGGAGTCCCTGGGATTTTAAGAGCACTTTTGAGTGGTGAAGTTGGTAGTTGATGGTGTGGTACGTGCTGCACGGGGTCATTTGCAGCGACGTATCCGAAGCCTACGTCAGACACATCAAGCGGGGTCTGAGGCTGATGAGGAGGGTCTGCGAACGGTGACTTCCTGGTCTCTGTGGGGCCAGTTGGGGATTGGACTGTCGTTGCTTCCACGAAGCGAGCTGTTCGAGGGCTTCTCAGCGATGATGCTGATGTATCCGAAGAGCTCCGGTCTTCTACGGTGGGTTGTTGTGCAAGTGCCATTGGGTGGTCGTTATGTCCGCGAAGAATATCTGCAGGAGTAACCGCTTCGTTATTCAGAGGATAGCTTTTCTGACTGCTGCTCGATACAGACATCGATGAGCGGGCCTAGAAGCCAATGTTCATAACAAGTTGAGGGGCCCCCCAAGACGAAGAGAAGTAGCCCACACAGCCCTTCTTCTCTAGGCTTTGAAAAGCGGCCTTCTATGAGCGATGAAAGAAGCACGCCTAGCAATAAAGCAGCTTCATGTACACTATTTGGAAGATGGAATAATTAGCTTTGAATAGTTAAAAGTACTCATAAGATGAGACAGCTTCATGGCCAATGTTCGAAGGACAGAAGGAAATACATAGCTATACCTTGATCAAGAAAGTGAACGAGCTATCCGTGGTCTCCCGATATCGATCTATCAGAGTTTGGCCGGATTTATATTTGGCTGCAAATGATGTGAGCAAAAAGAGTCACTTCAAACCAGTATCTCGACAATTCGAACGATCTGCTCCTCTGCTGACGGTTCCTTGGGCACAATTCGCGAAGCCAGCGCTACTTGGGCCAAACCAGATTCAGAAAAAAGATAGGATGTTGGGCGCAGGAGAAGGAAACGAGAAAAAGATTTCAATCAGAGCAGCTGCAAGAGGCGTTTTGAACATCACTGATGGGCTTTGGGCTTGTCCTCCAGCCGGCGGGGGAAGGGGAATGTCTAATGAGTTCATATCGGCCGTGTGAAGAGAAGAGAACATTAAGCGCCCGGCAACTGTCGAACAAGCCATGGTTGAAAGTTGATTGGAGGACAGTCAAAGGAGCACAAGGCCAGGGGCTTGTCTCCTAGGACAAAAGAGGAGGGGCCAAGCTGAAGGATAAGATGAGTGGATGAAGTTCCCATCACTAAAGCAAAAAACCTAGCTTATCACAGTGGGGGGCCTGTGAGAGTGACTCCAGTCACCTCACATATACATATGCAGCGTAGACGCAGGTCTGGTCACTTGCGAAGCGAATGAATAAGTCGCTTTTAGTCTCTTGTCCCGGCGCCAACACTGATCGTCCTTCCTGCTCAGCCAACCATGGGCCCTGGAGAGCCGCTGGGATTAGATGTGCATGGCGTTGATTCAAGTTTCTGTCAAAACAACAACAACAACAAGAACATATTATTCCCAGTCTTAATTTTATTATTAATAGTGACAATAATAGTCTTTTTGTTCGCCTACTATCGTAATGTACTAAAATAAGCGCCGACAACTTCCCATCACATTTAATCACTGTCACAGGAGATGATTGGAGTCTCATTAGCAGAATTATTAAATGAAAACAGGGGATCACCTGACATCCTTTGAGGAGATATAGTGTGTGCCGAATTTGTTGACATATAAGAAAACTTCCTTTTTTTGTGTAAAAGACAAGGTTGAATCATTAATAACAGTACTCTTTACAATACCGATTTAGGAGAAGAGTGTGGTTGACAGTGGAGACTAAGCAGTAGAGTAGGGTAGAAAAGAGCGGAGGCACAAGTATGTGACAACAAAAAAGATGAAAGAAACGAAAGAAGATCGTAAAATTAACAAATAGAAGGGGGGTAATGGAGCCCTACTAATTGGCTGCAATAAGTGGTCGGGCTTTAAACATAAAGTAATCCTTCAAGTCCTCTACCCCTAGTTAATCCAGTAGGCACAGTCATCATGAACTTCTCTCTTTCATCAAAGACCTTATATTTCCCAGGGCCCCAGTGTGTCCGCTTTTGGATTGTCAGCAACAGAATAAGCTTGCTCGTGTGCTTTATAAGCAAGCTTCATGGGATAGTTGGTAATAACTCCCGCCGCAAAATCGGTAACGACGTTGAGAATTTTCTCCCTTTCCCTTGAACTCGGAGTTCTTTGATGACAATGTTTCAACCATGATCATAGGGAGAATACCAGTTGTTGGAATATTGACATTGGCAGGGACCTGCTTGCTATTATCTATGGTCACAGTCCACAACCTGCTATCGCTATCTTGAACTCAGTACCTTAGACCATTTAAGAACAATGACGCCTCTTCTTTTGAGCAGTCACTCCGCCACAATGCTGCCAGCGGGCTACAGTATCGGTAGTACGCGATCTGTGAGAGAAACAAGGGCAATGCTCACTTTCTTTGTCCTTGTTGAACGGCTTCTGAGAGTTCTACAGCTAATTCAAATCCGATTGGGTCAGCTCCTGTAACAAAAATGCCCTTCAGCACGAGTGAGTAATCTTGTGCTTCTCCAATCACTGAGTCTTGTCACTGATTACTGGCTGTTTGAAGGGTATGGGCGTGCCACTGTCGCCATTAGTCGACGCAGTCGTGCTCCCACTGGAAATCACAAAATAGTCGAAGGAGATAGCCTTGATATTGCTGACTAGAACTGTCGTAGACTGTACATCCACTGCGGTCGCGTGGTTGTGCATCAATTCAAAGCACTGGTCGGGATAATGAGGGGGATTCCCCTCAGTTAGAAGAGGATATTTGTCGGGCTTGAAGGCATCAGGCTCTGCAATGAGTCGAGGGGCCGTAATGGCAAAGTAGAACGTCGGTGATAAGCCAATCAATGTAACCTTAACAGAGGCTACGTCTTTGAGGAGAGTATGGGGCGACTGGAGCCTCCGCAAAGGAAGCCCCAATAATAACTACATGGAAATTGGATGTCATTGAAAGGATAGTGGGAAGAGGTGGAGGGAGAGACAGCCTTGGGGTTGAAGTTCTATGATAGTAGAGTGGTGGGTTCAGGAAATTGGAATGAAGAACATTTAGCATGATAAATGGATTCAGTATGATATATACATTAAGGGCTGTCCCTAACGGTTGCTACGTATTTTTATAGCGTTGGTAATCCGAAGTATACCATAGACTGTAGAATTAGTAATTTGAGGCCTATGTTTAGTTAGCTAAGTGGTGCATTCTGTAAAATTGTCTCAAACATATAGATAATAGTTGAAGATGGCTGAGTGGTACTTGGCCGATGCCAACACACTGAAAAAATGGAACGTTTCCAGTTGCTGAATAGCTCTCAAGACGCCATCATACCGTATGATTTTCAAAAGATGTTTCTTTCTGGCAGTGATAGACTCCCTCTCCCTTCATTCTTCTTCTTTTTCTACGATACTCTCTTACGCGTTCCTTGTTTCGTATTCCTTGCAAAGCGCAGAAGGGAAGAGAGATGGAACGCAATTGGTAACTTGCTGAGGTGCAAGCAAACAACATTCTTTTATCGATTGAATTCAGAAGTCCGATTCTCAAGGTCCCCTGTTCAATCCATATGAACGCCGGTTATAGGGTGTATTCTTCACAGCGATATTACTACGAAGGTTCCCAATATCCGGCAGATGAACAATTCAGCGTGGTGCAATCTTTAAATAACGACGATGCTGGCTGTCATTCCCTCACGGCAAGCATTCTGTTTTCTGAAAGCTGCGAAGCTTATGAGGCATCGTGAGGCTTATGCATGCTGATATTATCCGAACGTACATACTCACTAGCAGACAATAATTGCACGGTTTTCCTCGGCATCACCACCAACAGACTCGATCTGAATAGGGGTTGACCAGTATCACCTGGCCAATGTCGCCCTCAAAAGACCCTTCCTAACGTCTCCTCGCCCAGGAACGAAAGTGCCTGCCCTGTCTTTGATGAGCAAGGACTTCAACCGCGGGTGACAACAGGTGTTGCTAGCTTTTAGCCATTGAGTTTGTTGCATAGCTCGATTCTCAAAGCCCACTCTGCAGTATAGACCTGAGAGGCAGTAATAGAGGCTTCTGAATTGGTAGTGGTGTCATAGGAGTGCTGGCCCCGTTCAGTTACGCAACACCAAGATGTTTTTGTTGCTCTAAAAAAAAGGATTCGAGGGAACCGGCAAATTGCATTTCCAGCTATTTCCGATTTGGTTAAGCTTTAGCTCAAGTAGCTCTACATTCCAAACACTCCATTGACACATTACCCAGATCATCCTAGCTAAGCTGGACTTGACCTACTGGGAGATGTATGATTAGAGCTGGGCAACGTGGCACCAAACTCTTCGCGGGGAATTTCTAGCTCTATGGAGACGTTTGCCCCTTTACGGATTACATAGGTTCGCGAATTAGACTGGTTTATCTTTTATACATCCCAACAAGAGTGAATTGGACGCCACAATCTCCCAACCCCTCCCGAAATGCTGTGTATTAATGCAGGAAAATCCAATTATGCATATATCCACGCCACATGTGATATCGGGGTACGCCGAAGCCTTGCTTACGCCAAAGGCGTATCCTTAACCATGCGGCTGATGAGCGTAAAAGCTAACCTGCAGATACATAATGGCGCTGGTCTAATAGAGAATGCAGGTGGAAAGGATAAATGAAACACTGGATCTAGACATAGCATAGATGGAGGTAGTCACGAGCTAACAAGTACAAGTCGGGGAGGGTACGGGCTTGGAGACAAGGCATATCCGAGTTGAGTGTAAGATTAAAGGAGGCTTCCATTCGGCCCGATCATCCACCATTTCAGGAATAATGTACAGATTATGGAAAAAGAACGATTTCTCACCAGGGAACCAGTTGAAATCTCATGGATGTCTATGGGATTGATGGATCCTTGGTGGAACGGACTATGATTCCTACCAATCATAAACCATAGCTAGAGGGATCGATCAGTGAGTAGGTAGGGTAGTACTACTGGTGCTTAGACGGCACAATAAACAGGACGGGAGCTGCTGAGGTACTCGCAGGTAATACGTTGTACTATCCTACTAGGTACAAAGTAAGTTAGTACTAGGTATCTACTTAGTAGGGATCCACAGGACTGTCAGACGAATCAGAGGCTTCTTTAGCTGTGTCAGGCAGGCGGTGGGCCGGTACAGCCACCCAAAGATCCCCACAGGATTCTGTACTATGGATGGAAAACAGGCCATGAGTGGCCAAAGGCACCAGCTTCTTGCCAGCCACAATGAGGTTTGCGGATGGCAAAACATAGCCTCGCTGCACTCTCTCATTTTAACTCTGGCGGAAGGAGGATGCAATCCTTGAATGGATGTGTTTTCGTACTGTTCTTGATGGTGCACCCTTAAGATATACATGTAACCAGGTTTAACAGATAAACTTCACATCCATGATGAATGTACGTACATACCGTACGAGTAGTTCTGCAGTGTCTTAGTTGTTTTAGATACATTAATGTACATACATATCCGAAAGTCCCTTACCTCTTGACATCAAGATCCTCGGGATTGGTTCTATGGCTGTGCTCCTCCGACCGTGGCTTTACTTAACCCCAGGCCGACTTCCAGGCTTTCTACATCTGGGCCCAAAATCGAGCCTCGAATCCAGATAAAATAATAATGGTAATGGAAGTGCAGCTTAAGAGTATATATAGGCTTTGCGTTACACCATGCAGCTCGGAGAACGCTATTAGTACTCTACTATTACCTAAATTACAGTAATACAATTAATGTGTGGCGACTGAGGACACACCGGGCTATTCGATCTGATCCGACTTTCTTCAAGAGATCTGTAAGTCATGCCGAGGGCATTTCTAAGTTGCTAGTACTTAGTGCTAAGTAGTAAAGTACATACATATATACATACATGGTAATCAATGCTGCGCCTCTTTGGTGCCTGGCGACCCATACTCCGGTATTTGGAATTACTGTGTCTTACTAGAGCGGCGTTGGAAAATATATAATTCCGGTATCCAGCGCACTCTCCTGGTAAGCAGAGCCGCCTAGAGTCTGGTCACAAGTCGTTAGACCCAGTGCAGTCTCCAGCCACGCCTTACCTCGTGTTCATCCTTCTCTCACTTTTGCAGTCCTTTTTCCTTCTTTTTGCTACTGATTCTTTTTGGTTCCTTCTTCCCCTCATCCTAGTTTCTTTCCTTTCTGCACTTTTTCCTTTCTTTCTTTTCTTATTTTCGTTTTCTGTTATTATTAAGGTTTCTCCAATATCCATTGCTAGGCAGAACCACCGCATCCGCTTTCCAGGCACCTTCGACCCAAACATATTCGGGGGTCCGCAACTAACTCGGCGACTGCATCGTCTCCTGGATCTATCCATTCTGCCACAGCCTGTATCAGGTTTATCCATGCCTTCCAACCCACCAACTTTACTTCCGGTTTCTTCTACTAATAAACGGGTCTTGTAATTATCCCTTTCCTATTTTGTATTGGTCCCTCCACAGGTGTATGTCTCTGTCAGCCTCGGTCTTTTTTTAATTTTTCTTTTTTTCCTGTTTCATTTTTCCTCCCGGGTGAGGCTTGGTCAACCTAAGTCTCCATCCACAACCCGTTCATTCATTCCCTTGACTTGTATCTCATCCGTCTGGCTTTCTTTCTTGACAACCCCCGGCTCTTCCACCCCTTGCCTTCTTTCAGTCACTCGTGATCCATCGAGTCCGACTGTACATTGACGGCTTGTCAGCTTTCTAGATTTGCATAATTCCCCTTTCTATCGTTTCCCCGACAATCGCTAGTACCAGCGCCCTCTGCAGCCTAGCCGTCTCCCATTACCCGTTTCGATCCCTCCAGATGGGTTAACCTCAACCAGATTCAGATCGATCGAGCAGTACAATAGAAACAAGCATTCTCAGTCTGCTTGCAAGGCTGCTCGCTATTTTTATCCCCGTGCTGCAAGGCCCATTTTGTTCCTGTGGGACTTAAACCTCTGACAAAATATCGCCAACGCTGAACCCCCCCCAAGTCAGCTTGCGCCACAATCGGATCCTGGTGAGCGCCCCACGCGACAGTGCCTCTCATGGCTCCCTCTTTTCTTAGCTTGGCTTATTGGTTCTTCTTTTATACACCTGACGGCCCTCTATCCATGTAGCCGTCTTTGCTTATCTTGCTTCCACTCTGCAATTGTCTGCAACCCCCCCGCAAAACGTTGATTTACTGACATGAGCTCCGCTGAAGTAGCTCCCCCGTTCGTTCGCCAACCATTCCAGGCTGGCTTGAAGCATCCGTTATCCATGGCTGCGTTGATGCAATCAAATACCGAACCTGTTACCATTTCCAATCCATTGTCTGGATCCTCCATCATCTCGAGCCCGCCGGAATCTGTCACCTTTTTAAAGCATACGAAACCAGACTCGAGTCTGACCTCCATTGCCAGCGCCGGGTTAAACGTTTCACGGTCAAGAGACTCATTGCCGCCCATGGCAACGACTACACAAGCAGCTGGCTCGGTGGGCCGGCCCATAGAAAATGAGAAAGAGGTTGAACAGAACAGCTCGCAAGTGGCAAGAGAGGCTCTCGGTGCAACAGAGAAACAAGTCAATTCGATTAACGACTCTATACATATGTCCGATCAAATGCAGGTTGATACTCATCCAACTTCAGGCCATGCCTCGGATGCCTTTGTAACAGCTGATTCCAATACCTCCCTTATGAATACCTCAACTGTTGCCAGCCCTGGCCCGATAGAGGACTCGGCTTCACAGGATGGGGATCGTCCACGCCATAGGGACGAAGCGGACTTACAAGACGCAAGTAACAAATCCTTCTCTTACCCTATGCCGACCGCAGGCCTTAGTGACCCCCGCCGCGGTCTCAGCTTGCCAAGTTCTGGTTTTAATAAGGCCGGCCAGCGGTCCCCGTCGGCAAAAAAGCATCGCTGTCCATACTGTTCTACGGAGTTCACAAGGCACCATAACCTCAAAAGCCACCTTCTTACCCATAGTCAGGAGAAACCGTACGTTTGCCAGACCTGCCAATCGCGTTTCCGGAGACTTCACGACTTGAAAAGGCACACGAAGCTCCATACTGGAGAACGTCCACATATCTGTCCAAAATGCGGTCGTCGATTCGCTCGTGGCGACGCTCTCGCTCGACATAACAAAGGCCAAGGGGGTTGTGCCGGACGTAGAGCGAGCATGGGGAGTTACGCTCCGGAAGATGAGTATGGTGATACTGGTGGTCATCCAGGTGCAGATGATACAATGGATGGCCTTGTTTATGCGGAGCCCGAACGTATGGATGAGGAGGATGAACGACGCATGAGCATGCCCAGCATCAAGAAACACGATGTGCCCACAGATTCTATTACACGCTCCAATACCTCAAATAGCTTTCAACCGCGGCAGCCGAGCACTTACCCCCCGATTGCCGCTGGCAGGCCATCTCCAGGGGGTCTATTTCCGCCTCCTGCGAGCCACGGTGGCTCTAGCGCATCGGCTTCTCCTATCTCACAACCTGGTAACCTGACATTTCCTCCCCCAGGCCAACCTTCCGGTGCTTCAATCTTTCAACCATCAAATGTCACGGAAAGCCCAAAACCTCTTTCGCCGAATGCACTGTCTTCGCACCAGCTAGGTCACGGTCCTGAGAATGTACAGCTTCATCGCGCCCACTCTCCCGGCATGACGCAGTCATTCCAGCAACAGCCATATACCAGGGCAGGGCCGTCTCAGTCGTCTGTTACAAATCATAGCACTAGTAGTTTAGGCCTTCCCCCACCACAGCCTGGGGCTCCCCAGCTCCCCCCACCCCCTGGCATGACTACGTCAGATTCTCGCTTTTCGCTCCACCCTCAAAGCTCTGTACAACCAGCAGCAGCCCCTGCAAAGCATACCCCATCCCACAGCCATTCCAGCAACCACGGTGGGCCTTTGACCTCAAAATCAGGGCCGGAAGTGACCACAAACAATAATGGACATCTGTCAGGGTCGCATGACTCTAATTACGCCGACCAGAATCGGGAGCGAGAGGATAAGCTCTGGGCATATATTCGTTCTGTGCATGAGGAATTAGCAGCATTGAAAACTGAAGTAGCCGCTTTAAGGGCGCAGCTTGCATCGGCAAATGTTAATACACTGACAACATCGACTCCAAGCGTTACACAGCCTCAAGTAGAGGCGAGCGCTGTCAGTGCTGGCCAGCGATGATTGCACGCTACTTTTCTATTCAAACTCGCCCCTCCCAGTTTTTAATTTACTGCCCCTAGCTTTCGGTTGATAAGTATTCTTCATTATATTCGCGGAATATGACCGGAACCATCGGCCTGAATTCAATACCCTCCACATGACTTATTGCATGTATCTCCGTTATATCACGATTTTTCCTCGCCCGTTTCCACTTCTCCTTTGTCCACACCCTAATGCCTTGATGAGACAATATCTAAATTCAACGAAGGACTTGTTGCGAGGCAGGTCCAATTTTCATTTGTGATCCTCATATTCCATAATATTCTTACCCGTGTCTTTACTACACCCTTCTTTCCTTGACGTCCCGATTTCCCTTTCCCCCTTCTTTCCCACTCAAACAAGGGTATGTAGGTGTTTGTTTACATACAGAGGGGTTTCTTCCTTTCTCTTTTACCTTTACTCTTGATTTCCCCTCCCTAATCATATTTATGATAATTTCTTACTCGTATTACCCTGCATTTTTGTACGGAATTGGCCTTTTTTTCTTTTGCAGCTCTTAGGGGCAGGGAGTATCGGGGGCAAAACGTGTTATCATAACCCAATTCTTGATGCGTATGCATGTGGAATGGTTATCTTCTCTCTTCATTGTAGAGTGCAAGTAGTCCATGTCTTCTCTCAACAAGAATTCGGATATGTTATAAGTCTGTACATGCGATCTTCTCCTTTATGGAACCTTGTATTGTACGAACTCTAGCCTTGGCTACTAGTAATGTTGATTCGTGCGCTGGTTTGAAGAGTAGTGACCTTTTGGGTCTCATATTGCTACTAAACGTATAGCGTCCATGTGTATCTGGCTATCTATTCTTGATGAGGTCTCCTTTGGCCCACCCAACCGACGAACCGCCCCACGTCTGCCACCATTGCTTTAGGCACTCCGCCCAACGTCTAGCTCCGCTGTATCCACAATGGAATTGCCCCGCCAGCGTTGGACATGGTTGCCATGGTCCATTCCACCTGATCTGACATAGCCACGACTTGTTCAACACCAGCGTACGACGCGAAGAGTGTTTTCCGAGGTTCTGAAGCGATGATCTTTTCGCGCAACAAGTTGGAAACCGACTCCGCCGGTTCACTCGTGAGCGGGATCTGAACGGTCATAAATCCTTTGCCTCGAGAGGTTCGAAGGCAAGTGCAGATGGCTAAGATGATGGAAAAATCTGGGAGAAATCAAAGTCGTAGGGTGAAAGGTGTGGGTGATTAGGTTGACTGGCTGGTATGTCAGATTTAGTAGTAAGTTAACAGGTAGCTATTGGGCACATTTGGTAACGTAGTCAAGTAGCTACTACTAGAAGTGTAATTTATTGAAGTACCGGAGATCTGAATTAACATGGTTGAGGAGAGGGAAAATATGGCTCTTAAAACTTCATCTGACACCCACCACACACCTCGACCTCCTGCCAGCCGCCTTCAAGCTGTCGCTCAGTGGACCAATCCAACAGTAGTTCCACCCCCGTCACACCGAGAGTGTACTCCATCTCATTCTCTGCATGAATTTCCCTCAACCCGGACCGGAATTCCTCCCAAGACGCTGAGCTGTCCACCGGCGAATTCTGATGGACGCTCCTGCGACAGACCCAGAACTCCTCCCTGGGAGGTCACAGATCATCCCACAGATCATACGGGAAGAAACATGGACTTGGGCGGTGTGGCGAGGTCTTCAGTACTGACGGAATGTGGTTAGGGTGAAGCTAGAAAAGCGTTCGCATCTGTTAAGATGTGGCTCAGAAATTCTTGGGGTGAAGAGCGAAGTTGGGTATTATTAAGGGAGGGATGAGATGGGAGAATGGTAAAGGGGTTCGGGGTGACGCGATGGAAAGGAGGCATTATATGGTGATAGGAAATGAGAGCTTTGGCCTTAGAAGCATAAAGGTGATGTTTGGTACTTAGTTGAAATGGAGACAGGTATTATTCGTCAGCATGCAGGCTCCCTCATATTAGCTCTCCATTAGGACTTAGTTGTATGTGCGTACCGTGATATATAACGGAGGTTTTTACACGCACAAAAAATCTTTAGTTGTCTGCAGGAAACATGCGATATTGGATATAGTATTTCTACTACATAAAGCCTATAGTGTGTCTACTATATAGTACTACTTATAACGATGTTTTGTGTCTATAGCTTGCATCTCCGCGGGTAAACATAGACAGTCGCTCTTCTAGGATCCGATACACCCATCTTCATACTGGTTGAATCCTAAGGGTTCATCATAGGAAACGTACCCCAGGGCCAACACTACCGGTATCAAAGATCTCGATCAAACCAGCCCCGAGGGCCTCTCCCAGAACCCAGCGAAAGTTCATACCGCATAGGTCCTTCCATTTCTTTGTTCTACCTGGTAAAACACCCGCGTGATCGCCCCGTATCCTTTTCGCCATGCAGAAACTTCTATCTGTTTCGACTGCTCCATCCCAGCGATCGCGAAGAAGATGAAGAGGCACCTCGCCATAACTTGATCTTTTAAGAAGCGAGAAGAGATGCATTCGCCCGGAGCCTAAGAGCCGAAGATAAGGTCCTGTGTTTGGGAGGGATAGAAACAAAGTTGCCGTGTGTGATTGAGAGCGACTGCCGCTATCATTAGAGGCAGCGTTATCACTCCGACTGGCTGAGTTGCCAAATGAAGATGTGGATGAGAAGTTCGGAAGTGAAACTATGCTCGAGGATCCTTTCGCTAAAGACGAGGAAGAGACCAGAAATCCAGCACGGATCAATGCCATACACTCTGGCGTAGTAAAAAGGACGCCAGGAACGGCGAACGTGGTGCCGAGCCGACTGAGCACATCCAAAAACTTGTCTGAGAACAGAATATCAGCGATTGGATCTCTCGCTTCGTGTAGGAGAAGCAATACCTTTGAGTTGTGTTTCTAGAGGACTGTTATGCACAAGCCTTTTCCAGTCTTCGGAAAGAACTAAGCAATCGCCTAGGCCGACCGCGTCGTTTCCCCTACCCGGAACGATTAATCGACGGATGTGACCAGAATTTATCAGATCTATGATTTCTCTCTCCACCTTTGTTGGCGCATGTAGTAACGCATGGACGTGTGCTACCGAGGCAAGTGGTGGAAGTGACCGACGAAAATTCAACAGTTCAGCGGTACGGGTGCTGTTCATACCAGTTCGAGGAGGCAGGTCCTCAAACATGCTGTCCCGAATGTGATATATAGCCTGAACAACATTCTCTACCGGAGTAGTCTCCGAGATATATCGTGATATTCCAATGTCCGGAAGGGGCCCTTGGTCGTACTCTTCTTGATATTCGCCACCGAGGCCATTGCTCTTAGAATTAGCGGATGGCTCTGCGATAACTTTGCGGCGAGCATGGCCAGCAAATGGCGAAGAGCGGGGCCCTGTGTTGCATGGTTTCTTTCTTTTCTTGATACCGGAAATAGGAGCAGAGGTAACTCGCAAGGGCATGATCCTGAACGGGAGGAAAACAAGGAAAATCAAGTATTGTACATATATGTACATACTTATGTAGTAGTAATCTGATAAGAAGCGATAAGGGTGGCACGTGATCTGCCCCTCACCTCCGCCGGCCCCCACCAATCAAACGAACTCTGAGCCATCGCTATATAGAGTCTCATAATAGAGTACTAACTACTTTTATCTAAGTACCGGGGTCATTGGGTGGTACGATGTATGTTGTTACATAGAACATGTTGTCCAGAATATTAAACGTGGTCAAGTCTAGGGAGGAATTGGGTTGAGTGCTAGTGCAGCAAGCTTGTCCTTTTCATGCCAGCAGGTTTTCACATGACGTAGGAGTGATGAGGAAGGATCCAGCCAGCATCATCTTAAATTCTCTCCGACAGTCCGCCTTCAACACCAAACTCTTTGTTTAACCCTGTGGGCGCGCCATTTAGTCGGTTTACGACCTTTTTCTTTTCTTTTACTGTGTTCTGGGACCCTTTTCCTTTTCCTTCTCGATCAGCATTTTGCGACTGCCCCTCTCTTTTTCCCCTCACCTCCATTTTCAAGTTTACCCTGTGTCGCTAATAGCTACTCGCATTTGAAACCGCCACCATGACTATTTATATCGCTTCGCTGTATGTAGCTTACTTTTTTGGTCCTATTCTCCTTTGGTCTGCAGCTAACATGGCGATATCTCAGATTTCTGCCATATACCGTTAACTTCCACCTCAACGAGTCGAAAGATCGCTCACTCCATACCGACTCTGAGCCTACCACGAAGACACCGACCCCTGTAGCTAATACAGCTATCAGCTTATTTGAAAGACGGAGCGGCGATCAAAAAGTCGATCTCACGACTGGTGCCACCACCGAACATGAGCGGTTCTTCTCGTCAGATCTCGCAAAGGCGGAACAAGAGCAATCTGGATACCCATTCCCGGACGTAACTCAAGATGTAAATCTTTTAACGGAAAGTGAAGCACACTCTCCTGCATGGGGTTCGACATTATCTTTAAACCAGCCGAGACCGCGGGCAACTATTCCGCCGTCACCCTCCATCCTTAAGCACCAGGAACTTACTCCCACGACAGGGTCTCCGTCTAAGAGATTAGATAAGGAACAAAAGCCAGTCTATATCCACCGCCCTATTGGATTCCACCATAGTAGAGAGAGTAGCCGAAAAGGTTCCTTCTCAAGCGCTGAATGGACAATTGAGACGGCGGAGCAGGGCAACGGGGGCCTTCGCAACGCTGTGCGGTCAGCAACAGATGCAGGACAATTGGAAGACAAGGTCTGGGTGGGTACACTAGGAATGCCGACAGATGCCTTGTCTAAATACACCAAATCTGCAATTGCTGAAAAGCTTGAGGATGGGTACGATTCGTTGACTGTCTACGTCAGCGATGGCGATTTTGATGGGCATTACACTCATTTCTGCAAAACTATTCTCTGGCCTGTGTTCCACTATCAGATCCCTGACAACCCGAAAAGCAAAGCATATGAAGACCACTCCTGGATCTACTACGTTAAAACCAACCAAGCATTTGCCGAGCGGATCGCACGAAACTGGAAGCGCGGAGATTCAATATGGATTCAGGACTACCACCTGTTGTTGGTTCCCGCCATGCTTCGTAAACTGCTACCGGACGCCGAGATCGGCTTCTTCTTACATATTGCCTTCCCATCTTCGGAAGTTTTCCGTTGCTTGGCCCCTCGGAAGGAACTCCTTGAGGGCATGCTCGGCGCAAATCTTGTTGGCTTTCAGACCGACGAGTACTGTCGTCACTTTCTCCAGACGTGTAGCCGCATTCTTTGCGTTGAGGCTACCAATGAGGGCGTCCAGCTAGAAGATCGATTTGTCAATGTAAACAAATTTCCAATCGGGATTGACCCTACTTCATGGGACAAGCGACGCAAAGCCACCGACGTTGAACAGTGGGTTAAAACCATTTCTGAAAGATATGAAGGGAAACGATTGATTGTCTCTCGGGACAAGATCGACGGAGTCAGGGGAATACGACAGAAGCTTCTCAGCTATGAGCTCTTTCTTAATGCGTACCCTGAATGGAGGGACCAGGTATGTAATCAGTTGTACAATAACCTCACCCTCCGCTCTCCACTGTTCATAACTGCTAAACATTTCCGGGTAGGTGGTGTTGATACAAGTTGCAACCAGCACGACAGAACAACCTGAGCTCGAAGCTACAATTTCGGACATAGCCATGCGAATCAATTCTACTTTCTCAACTCTGGCTCACCAACCACTAGTTTTCCTCAAACAGGATCTTGCTTTCCCACAGTATCTCGCTCTAATATCCGTTGCGGATGCTTTGATGATTACAAGTCTACGTGAGGGCATGAACCTGACGAGTCACGAATTCGTTTACTGCCAAGATGGGAAATACCGAAACAAGAAGTATGGATCACTGATCCTGAGTGAATTCACAGGAAGTGCATCGGTGTTTGGTAACCATGCTCTTTTGGTCAATCCTTGGAATTATCGACAGTGTGCGGAGGCAATTCACACCGCTCTATCCAGAAGCGAGGAGGAACGCAAACAAGTGTGGACTCAGTTACACGGTGCAGTTCTTCAAAATTCGACAGCCAATTGGGTCAAGTCTTTTAGTGAGACTCTGAACCGAGTCTGGAATGAGCAGTCATCGCGTGAGATCATGGCAGTTCCACGGCTATCGATCAGCAAACTTGAAGAGGCCTATCGCCGGTCCAACCGCCGGCTTATCGTTGTGGACTACGAAGGTACCCTGGCTTCTTGGGGTTCGCCGAAGAGCATCATTGTCACTACGCCGCAACGAGCTATCACGACACTGACGGAGTTAACCGAGGATCCTAGGAATATAGTGTTTGTCATGAGCTCCAGGATGCCAGAAGAGATGGAGCGATTGTTCCGAATGGTAGCGGGCTTAGGTCTCATTGCAGAGAATGGATGTTTCGTGCGCGAACCAAAGACGGAGGAGTGGTTCAAATTGACAAATAAGGCCCAAACAGATGCTTGGAAGGAGGCTGTCCGCCAAATTCTCAGTTATTACCAGGAGCGGGCTGAAGGCAGTTGGATTGAACAACGTCATTGCTCACTCATGCTCCACTATGGATCGGCTGAAGACCAAGTCGCTGCCTCTCGGCTAGCTTCTGAGTGCGCAGACCATATCAATGACTCTTGTGCCAACCAGGGTGTTCATGCCGTCATGATGAATGGAGCACTGGTTGTAGAGCCAGCCGACACAAATAAAGCATCGGCTGCAGCTATGGTGTGGCGGCATTGCCTTGAACGAAGCAAAAGCGGCCACAATGGGCGGCCAGACTTTCTGTTAGCCATTGGCGATGGTCGAGACGATGAGCCAGTGTTCCGTTGGGCGAACAAGCTCGAGAGCGCCAAGGCAGTAGATTACGCTATGACGGTGACGCTGGGATCCCGTAGCACGGAAGCTAAAGCAACCCTGACCCAAGGAGTAACAGGTCAGTGGAAGCCATTTACGGATAGTTGAGGACATCATGCTAACTGTATCCTTTCTAGGTGTCCTTTCTTGCCTGGAGAGGCTGGCTGTGTCATCTCTGGATCAGTGATTGTCTATTTAGGCGGGCTTTCTGGGGACCATAGGTATAATAACTCTCAGGATATCATGTCGAGCTATTGAGCATGCATGCGTTGAGGTCGAAGCATCAATCTAAAAAATATTCAGGCGCGATGGGTTGAAATGTTACAATCGGGATATTTAGATTGTCAATACGAGTACGCTAGTTCCTTCAAACATAACGGGAATTTGTAAAGCCCAATACCTACATACAGTGCTGACTTCACCCGGCAACGGTCGCGGTTAGTCAGCCTTCAAGGTAATTAACATTTCGGTTGAATGCACGGAGAACCGAGGCTTTTGCGGAGATGCAAGGTACTTAACGTCCAATGTTCCGTAGGCCTACAGGTTCATTTACCCTCTTTTGTTACATCTAATGCACAATCACCCGCAAACCCCAAACCTCGCTTTGCGATAAGGACACCAAGACAAACTACAGCCATGACTGCTCTTCCGGTGAACAGCCCGGTGTTCGAAGAGGCGATCAAAGTGACACCGCTCGACTCGCATCGTTATTCGGCATTGCTACGAGATGAATGGTGTATCGGAACAGGTATGCTAAATGTCTATTCCTTTACCTTGCCCGTACCCATCCCTCCGCCCCCAGGCGGCGGTTCCGGATAAGGTAGTCTAGTTTATATATTGAAGGAAATGAAAACAACTAAATTATTTATGCAGTTCCGCACGGCGGATACACTACCGCCGTCATATACCGTCTCGCCCTTACCCATTTCGCGCACACGCATCCGACTTTGTACGATGCACCGGCAACACCAATATCAATTCAACTTTCGTTTTTGCGTCGCACAGCTACCGGCCCAGCTATTCTGACAGTCCAAGATATGAAAGTAGGGGCGCGCACCAGTACAATCCATATCAACCTATGCCAGCCCAGCGAGAAGAAGGAAAAGAAAGGTGAGCTAGAAGTGAAGGTGGCCGGCTACGTCACCGTGAGTCCGCCTACCGCTGAAATGGGCGTTACCTCCAACACCAACTGGAGTCTACAACCAGCTGCACAACCCGGATCGGGGCCGAATGGCAGCGTAAACCTAGCGGCGCTAGGCCAAACTGGCCGGGATGGTAAGTGGGTGCTTCTTCAGTCCCCCTATCCCAATTTCCGCCGCGCAACCCTGCAGCTTGAACTGTATGGGCCTGACCCGGCAAAGGGGAATCCCAAGGTGATCGATCAATGGTCGCGATTTCGGCCTGGCGGGGATCGCGAGGCACGTTGGACCAACGAGGCTGTGGCATTTCTAGTGGATATGTTTCCAATGGCGCTTAGTGGGCTTGACCAGATGGCATCGGCAGCGTCCACGCAGTCGCAGGAGTCAGCGGAACAAACTGCTCGGTTTTGGTATCCGACTGTCACATTGAATATCGACTTCAAGAAGCGATTACCTGTGCAGGGTGCAGAATGGCTATACAGCCGGGTCCATACTAAAGTGGTGCGGGATGGCAGAACAGATCTGAACGTGGTGGTGCTGGACGAACAGGGTGATGTGGTGGCATTGAGCACGCAGGTGGGATTGGTGTTGAGCGCCAGTCGGAACCTCGGGCAACGGCAGACGAAGATGTAATTGACCTATATTTACCATAAGAACACGTATATATGTACATAACTATAAAGTGATAGATCTATCTACACACACACACACACACATGTATATATATCGCATACCGACCACTGTATGCATTTTACAAACTTGATGTGGTTTGGAGCCAGAACGCCATGGCATCAGTGGTGACGATCAATTGATCCGGATTCTCCTCGTCCGCTTGAACGACCTGAGCACGCACCCAGAACTTTCTCCCGACTCGACCAACCACTTTAGCACGGATGATGAGCAAACCGGGAACCGTGACAGGTCTCTTGTACCGTATATCCAACTGTGATGTATACAGTTTTCCACGAGGAGTTAACTCCTCCTCCCTCCCTTTATACTCCGAAGCATCCAACTCCGGCGGCGGAGAGTACAAGGTCACCGCCAAAGACATTGCCTCATCAATGCACGTTGCGACAATGCCGCCATGAGCAGTCGATGGGTGTCCACTGACCCCTGGCGTCGCTAGATCCAGCAGCATGAAAATATCCGGGGGAAAGGTAGAAGGCTCCGACGAGACCGGATCAGCGGTGGGAGAGGGCCACGACGGATGGGCGGCGGAGAGCGGGGGGAGCCATCGACGGCGGAGCGTCAAACAGTGAGGGATGGTGAACGAGGTCGCTAAAGTACCGGCGAAGTAGCCATCCTCGCCAGTGGAGGGCTTTGGAAGGCGTGACCAGGTACGGATGGGATAGTATTCCGGGTGGTTGAGGAGACGGTTGGCGTGGGGATGGGAACGAAAGGGATGGAGGGATGATTCTTCTGTTAAGGGAGCATTCATGATAGATGGGGGTATGGAATCGGCCATTGCTGTTATCGATGGATTTGATCCCGATATGGGTTCTTTTTCTTCTCTAATTTTTCGCGAAGAGAGGAAGGGATTGAATGATTAGCGGTGGTTTGGATATGGATAGGGATTAGTCTTTCTTATTTCATTGCGTCTATACTACTCCGTAGATCATCCTTTTGCAGATTGGGTTAAGATAGCCTCAACCTCGGCTACAGGTTTGGCTTGCCCGATTGGTCCGGCCTAACGAGAGATAAAATAGTAAGTACTAGTATCCTCCAATCTAGAGAGCTTCATCCATTGGGGTATGTGTATATGAAAAAATATTAATAAAAAAAAATCTTATCCATGACTGTTGAACAAGAAGAAGAGAGAAAATGAATGAATGGAATGAATTATGGGGGTCTGAATTCCACCAGAGCAACTTCCTTTTGATTCCTGCAGAGACAATTCCCTAATTCCAACCTGCGCTAGCGTGCCTCCATTGGGCCTAGTGTCGTACCTCGATTGATTCCATAATGAGGGCACATTCCAACCATGGAATTTTAGCTTCTGCTTGTGGTATGGACGAAATTATCATCATGGTAACAGTAACAGGGGGGTGTGGTGGAAGAGAGAAATTAAAAAAAAAAAAAATAAAAAATAAAAAATTGAAACGGGAGACGAGAAGCAGGAAAGAATACCAATAAATGACTGGAATTCTTTCTCTTTATGTATTAAATCACAATAATTATTATAATAATAAATAGAATAGTAAAATAACAACAACAATACATCATAATTCTTCGTTAAATTTCTTCCCCTGCTGAATGTTTAATTAAATCTGGGAAAGAAAAAAATGACATACGGAGCAGATCAGAAGAAACCCATTTTCCTGTCTCGTTTGTCTGGTCCCTAGCGTGTCACCCCCGCTTGAGATATAAACAAATACCCGTCCGTCCATTCAATAGTACTTTCCCAGTGGTTAGTGACTTGTTTTAGGAGCTATACCAGTGCTACACTACTGTCGCTGCAGATAAATTCCACCCCCGGCTTAAAATTCCACTTCTTTCCTCTTCCTTGTTTTCCCCCTTGTGCTTTCTCTCTTATCTCCTACCAATTCCCGCCCCTTCCAATTGTTTTCCTCTCCCCAAGCGTTCTTGTATCTATCATCTTCTCTCCATCTCTGGCTCGATTTAACGTCAGATCCCATCCGTTCATACTGTCCTCAAAATTATTGAATACCGATCAATTGAGGACCTTATACTATCCATACATACACACCACCACTGCCACCCCCATCCGTCAACCATTAATTATGTTGCCGATCCTGTTTCTCTCCACTCTGGTAGCCTCCGCCGCAGCAGCTACTACTGCCAGCAACTACACCTTCCCTGATGGATTCGATTTAAACCAGGTGAAGCAGGGAGACAAATGTAGGTCTTCGCCCCTGTTAACCGTTGTAATATAATGCTTGATATGGCATGATCCACAGAAAAGCAGACTCTAACAAACATCGTCAGCTGCCTGGTGTCTCGCCGAGCGGAACGCCTGCCCAAAGATCTGCGGCGGAGTCGCGGAGAAGAACACTTGCGATTCGGTATGTTTAAAGCACCCCCTCCTCTAAAAGCAGTATGAGTCTCTAGATAAGTCTAACAGTCGCAGCAAACTCTTGAGTTCACTTGCACATGCTCCAATGGCACTGATGCCGATGTCGCGCCTTATGCGCAGACCATCCCTTTCTATGTTTGCCAGGAGAATTATAGGCAATGCATTCAGCGCTCAACTGACCTGGACGGCGACGAGAAGTGTAAGAAAGCTCAAAGCCAGTGTGGCTCGAAGAATGTTTCAGATGCCTCTGGTACATCTGCATCGACTACTACGGCCACATCTTTGCCCAAATCGACTGGCTCCTCGGGATCTAGCAACCACGAAACCTCATCCACTGGCACCGCCACGAGCAGTGGTAGCACAAGCACAACGACCCCTAATGCTGCCGTGGGCATGGCCCAAGACCATGCGACTGGAATTCTGGCAACGGTGCTCTTCTTGGGTCTCCACCTCGTTCTGTAGGGTGGTAGCTTCTGATTGCACGGCCATGGCCTGATCAGAATTTGATCATGACACACGCGATTACAATCATTTCCAAAGAAAAGCCCCGCTTGATCTTGATTTCTCGTTTAACCCTCTATTCTTTGCGTCTATATGACTTACCGTGCATCGTACTATTCCCCCGTTCTTCACGCCACGGTTAATGAGCTGTGTTATGGTTTTGTGCATGCGTTTGGTCGTTCCTTTACGATTCTAGTCGACGATACTCCATATGGAAGAATAATAGTCCTTCTTTGATGTTTCGTACAGTTTCGATAGTAGATACACAGTAGTGGTAGGGTGAAAAGTAAGGCAAAAATCTACTTCGTGATCGTCACTAGTATAAACGCTGATCTATCGCAATGCGCGCCAAGACTTTTTCCCACAGTGAAATTTCTCCACCCGCCAACCAACCACAACCACGACCGAATTCAACTCTCCTTCTCTTCCTCATTTTTTTTCATTCCTTTTGCTTATCACCCGTCACAGTCCCTCACCATAATGCCCTCCCCTACTACCACCCTCCTCATCGAGGGTTCCTTCAGCGAACTCGCCGACGAGTTCGCCCAGTACCTCGACGCACTGCGCAAAAGCGAAGGCACCACCCTTCAGACCGAAATCTCCCCGCTCTTGGAACCCCTCCGCCAGCAGGAACAGAGTGACGCTGAGCCCGATCGGAAACTGCGTGATGAGGTCCTCAAGAAGTTGGTCTCGGCGGCATCCGTGTTGAATGCTGCTCCAGAGAAGGGTGGGTGGTCCCCCCAAGTCTTATCGCCCAAGCGAGAATGATCGGGATATCAGACTGCAGGGCAGGAAAGAAACTGACACGCTAATCATTAGAGATCATCTCCGCCTACAATCTTCTCGTCCACCTGATTCACCACGCCTCCGACCCTGACATGTTCCTCTCCCGCATCTGCTCCTATCTCGCCAAACCCATCACCTCTTCCTCTCAGTTCGGTCCCTCGCTGGCCATCTCCATCCTGTCCACCATCTTCAACACCCTCGCTCCTACTGATTCCAGCCGCTTCCATGTCTTCCTGGCTATTGTCGCAGTCATCCGCCAGTCTGGCTCCACAGTCGCTTTCGAGGCTCTTAAGCCTCACTTGACCGCTCAACTGCCTACCTGGTTGTCCTCTTGGGAGCTGGATGAGGACGAGGCCCAGCGCCTGCACCTCGCCGTGGCAGACGCCGCTCAGGCTGCTGGGGACCCCGAATTGGCACAGACACATATCGTGCAGGCTCTGCAGACCATTCCCGCAGCGCAGGCTTCGTCCAAGGAGGCCCGCGACCTCGCCATCCGCGCTCTCACCTCCGCTCTCACTCACCCCGCCGTTTTCGACTTCACCCCCTTGACGGGTTCGGATGCCGTTCAGGCCCTTCGCTCCAGCGACAGCACCCTGTTCGAGCTTCTTGAGATCTTCACCGCCGACACTCTCGACGCTTACGAAGCTTTCGTCACCGCCACTCCCTTGGCAGGTATTTCCGGTGGTGTCCTAGCCGATGCTGGTGAGGTGCTGCAGAACAAGATGCGCCTGCTAACCTTGGCCTCTCTGGCCGCCTCGACCCCGTCCCGTTCCTTGCCCTATGCCACGATCGCTGCCGCTTTGCGTGTCCCGGCTGAAGACGTTGAGAAGTGGGTCATCGATACGATCCGTGCTGGTCTGGTCGAGGGCAAACTGTCTCAGCTGCGCTCCGAATTCCTGGTGCATCGCGCTACCTACCGTGTTTTCGGTGAGAAGCAGTGGGCTGAAGTGCAAGGCCGTCTGATGGTCTGGCGCCGCAGCCTCGAGAACGTTCTGGGCGTCCTTCGTAGTGAGCGGGAGCGTTTCGTTCGTGAAAGTCTGCAGGCTGCTGCGGCAGCGGAGGAAGCTGCCCAGGGCAAGTCGAACGACAAGGGTAATAAGTCTGGAGACCGTCGGCAGCGCCACGGCAATGCCCAACAATCTCAGCAGCAACAGCAGCCTCAGGAAGTGGCTGCTGCAGAGTAACCGACTCCAAGAGAAAAACACCACGATACACATCGGAAAGGGAAAAGAAGAATAGAAAAAGCTCGTCGTGTAATGGCTGGGAAGAGGTGTTATGTTGTATTTCCATTTTCTTTCGTCTGTTTATTCTTTGGTTCATGTGTTCTCCCCGGGCGACATTTTTATCGGTTCATGGTAGCTATTTGTTTCTAGACAGGTTCCCACCTGGCATGTAGTTAGGATTGGGCCCGATCAATGGACACGAGTCATGTCATGCATATACGAAGTGATATATCATTCGGATTGTATCTTCATCTATATTGGCTGTATGGAACTTTGATATGTAGACATGGTATGTAAAGAAGAGTGAAAAAGAAAGAAAACCACACCATCTATAAAGCGCTATTCACACCCACAAAGGATACAAAGATCGCTGACACCGATACAATATGGATGGGAACAGACTACTGCGGATGAACACCACGGGCCTTGAAGCCCTCCTGAATACGAGCATACACCTCCTCAACAGTGCCCGTAGCCGACACGGAGACAACCTTATCTTGTTCCTCAAAAGCCTTCACAACTGGCATACTAGTCTCAACAAACGTGCGGAACCGCTTCCGAATAGACTCGGCATTATCGTCATCACGACCCGAGGTCTCCCCACGCTTCAACAAGCGCTTCTCCATAACCTCCTCGGGACAATCCAAGAACAACGTCAGCTCCGACGGGCAAACGGTGTCCTCGAAGAAAACAGCCTGATCCAACTTCCGTGGGAACCCGTCGACCAGGAACCGTGCCTTCTTGCCCTCCCCGGCACTGGCGCCGTTCTTCAACGCTTCCGCCATCGCATTCGACAATAGCGCCACAGTGATCTCCATCGGAACAATCTTGCCCTCCCGGATATAAGTCTTGATCAGTTCGCCATACTGGCTGCCTTCGCGGATCTGCTCGGCGCGCAGCAGATCACCCGCGGATAGATGGACAAACCCGTAGTCGCGTACGAGGTTGGCGGATTGAGTGCCCTTGCCACTTCCGGGACCACCGAGAAGGAAAACGACCGTGACTTCGGAGGGTGAGAAACGAGGGGTAGGATGTTCGGTGTTGGCCATGCTCGCTTGGTCAGAGAGTGAATAGACCCGTAGGGAATGGAAGTTAAGAATCAAAAGATTGAGAGTCGGATTTCGGTTTCAGAACGCCGGTACGGGATTTTACGAGGAATATGTAGGATCCGGTACCGATACCGATAATTGCTAAGAAGGGGAAGATTCGAAATTGAGAGCGGTTGTATTGAGAGGAGTTAGAAGAAGAGGAGGAATAGGGGCGGTGGTGGTACTCTTGTCGGAGGTGGTGGGGTCGGGATGATCTTGCGGGTTGATTAAGAGAGCAGGCCACACGGGAGGGAGCTAATAAGGCGGAATGGCGAAGGGCACCAAAGCGGGAAGACATCTAGGAAAGAGGAATAGTATCGAAATCGTTGAATGCAGTTGAAAGAGGGAAGACGGATTAGGGCTCTTTTTTCGGGGAAAAGAATATAGAAAAAAGAAGAGCTGCCTGCTTGTTTTGACATCAAATTGCGGCCAAGTGAATCAGGATTAGCGTGTAAAGACTTGTTTCAGTATTTGATGGTATCACTTTACTGTACTGTACTACATGGTACCACGCATACATAGATGGCCATGTACAGTACATATAGTACACACTCGCCATTAACTGGACATTATTTACTCACTCTTGAACAAAACAATCAGTGCATTCTCAGTAGTCCTCAATAAGCCATTGACCCTGAACTCACAATGTGTCTATATTTTACAAATGGTTGTCATTGGTCACAGCTGACCATTGTTCTCGTTCTCTATTCCTACTTATGTCTGTCATTCAATACTCAAGGTCCCTTCAATTAGATCGATGTCTTCCTTGTTCTTTTAGCCTTTGCTACCTCATCTATTTCCATCCATCATCCCTCGTATTATTTACCATATTCTAATATAGCTCAAAGACGCTCAGGCCACTTACTCCTAACTTCGTTAGCCATCAATAACACTCCGCAACCATGGCACACACAGTCAGGCGTCGAGGAAACAAGAATACATAAAGCCAAAGATTTTCTGCCCAACCCGGAGAAAAGCCTGAGTAAGAAGCCCAGAATACCTATTTTAGGAGAATAATCTCTCACCCAAATGTAAGTCATTCATCACTTCCATTGTCCGTTAGCCCTAACACTCTAGAATAGACTCAGTATTGCGGAAGAGCTCTCCGCCAAGGAAGCTAGAGGGTAAGTTAGGTTCTATTACTCGTCTCTAGAACATCTATTAATAAGTACCCTAGGATAAACCAATCCTCGCTCATCTCAGACAATACAGGCTGAGGCGAAGATATCAATGGCTCCCAAAATGAACCACCCCCTCGACAGAGCGAAGTTGGACACTGTCTCTTCATCTTCACGAAATCATGCATGCAGCGTTAAAAGCTTGGCAAATGTCTGGCCTAAGGAAGGATATTCAAGCAACAAGCGCCCACTTGGATCTCCAATGGCTTCGAAAATCGACGCTAAACGACACAGGGCGGACTATCCAACGCCAATATCGAGGATTCTACTTGCTCAACCTGCTATCAAATGCATGGAAGTACGAAAGGACAATCCGGCAGATGCTGTGAAGCCAAATTTCTCTGAAGTATTGGCAAAGCCTGCCCCGTTCCTTCATCTTCCTGCAGAGATCCGTTGGCTAATCTATCAATACCTTTTTGAGCCACATCGTGTCGAAATCCTCCGTTGCAAGGATAAGAATCCTGATCTTTCCAGACCAATTCGTTACCGACTCTACCATCGTCAGCAAAAGCCCCGCAGCCCGTCTACGCAGGTGATGCATTCTAGTGGCCACCGTATCCAGCGAACTCCACTCTTACTCAACCTTGTCTTCACTTGCCGGACCATTTACTGTGAGACAATTCTTCTTGTATACTCAACAGCGCAGTTCATTTTCAATTCGACCAATTCCATCGTGCGATTTCTCAGTACTACTTCTGAAGATGCACGAGCTGCCATCCGCCACATAGAGCTCAACCACATTATGTACAATGAGCCACGATTGACAGCTTTCCGCCAATACAAGATCCGCAGTGACATCGCTTGGTACAATGCCTGTGATGAGATAGCAGCAACTTGTGTATCTCTGAAGGTGCTTCATGTTAAGCTAGCAATCTACGACTGGCCCATTCGATTGGAAATAGGTGAACTTTGGTCTATGCCACTTCTACTATTCGGTCACTATGACGGGGGCTTAGATTATGCGGGTATCCAGCTTCAAATGAGAAGGTTCAATAGCGAAAGTCTTCGGATTGTGGCGCGCGCCCTAGAGCAGGAACTTATGAAGCCAAAAATGTTTCAGATTCAGGAGGATGAACGACCAGCTAAGGACTTAATGGGACCGGTCAAGGCAAGGAAGGTATTGAGACTAGTGATTTAGAACATCAGCCGCTTAATATAAAATGGGTCCCTGGATCCTGTATTCAATAGTTTGGAAGAAAAGCTATTTACATACGGAGCTGCATCTTACCATCGCTGATTATTATTTTGTCCTTCTTGGGTCTTTTCCGTTTTCCCGATGGGATATCCAAAATATAATCCTCGATACAACACAATTCATACTTCAGTAATGAGGAGTATTGCTCTCTATTCAGCTAAATACTCAATTCATACGTATATCGTAAAAAGATTAGAGAGTACATTATCCAAAGACATTAGCGCCAGAAGTATGCAGCGAAACACTTTTTGATATGCTCTATAACAATATACAACATGGGCTTTTTTCCCTTTGTGAGATCGTTGGGAGATAGTGTTAGGGCTAAGGTCAGATAGACCGCTCATTCAACGGCTCACCCTCCTCGGACGCAAGTTCGTTGTATGCCTGCATACTACGGCGCCAGAAATGCAAGTACACGCCCGCCAGGGTCCCGCCTGTAGAGCATAGCACCAAAACAAAGATCAGAAGGCCTCCGACCCCATGAATGAGCTCCCATGCTTAGTAGATGGTTTCGGCCACCTCTTCAGCCCTGAGATAAGTTTCTTCGACATCATCAGCGTCATCAGCGACGGCTTTATCCCCATAAATTATCGAACGGTCGTGTGGCGTTGGCTTGACATCGCCTTGGAACCCGGCCAGTCGCCAGTTATTTAGGGTTTCAGTGCGTCGAACGTCAAAGGTGCCAAGGACGTTTCCATCCTTATCCATTGCTTCCACGATACCTAGTCTAGATAACTATCCGCAATGTACATCGTCTCGAAGTCGACTTTAGTTGTGTTGCCTACCAGCACAGGCACCCCGTTGCGACTCACCCGTATATCCGTAGCACCGTTCCGTGAAAAATGGAGGTGAGCTCGGTTTCATCCGTCCCATAGACAGACGAGACCACGTCCGGCGGTGTGCTAAGCTGACCCGTAAAGTCAAATTTGTACGACCGGTAGGTAGAAAAGCGCAAGGAAGCAAAGCTAGCTTGCATAAGGACCTTGCCCTCGGGAGAATGCTCGGATTGATATCCCCTTTTCACTCCATCCAACAAAGACCTCTCCAATGGGCAGTTTCTGGACGCTTCCGCGCAGCCGCGTAAGGACTCCATCAGGGCGGTTGTAACGTGCAATGGCTTTCGCGGTCATGGGGAAAACACTGGTGTGGAGCTGCACGATGAGAGCAGCGGAGGTGAGTTCTCCCTGTTCAAGCTCATCCGACGCATTATTGAAGAAGGAAATCGTCGTGTTTGTGTGGCGTTGGACTCGACAAAGCGAACATGGTGCTGCTTGGAGAATGTGAAGTCTTGAGCAAAATCGGAGTTTTCCCCACCAAGCCGCCAGACGATATGTCCATCCTGTCCGGAAATTAGATAAATAGTGTTCGTGAACCGAGCCGATAGTATATAGTTCCAGCAGCGTTCTTGCCGACGGCGTTAACATGAACATAATCCCAACCAGGCTCCCCAGAGGCTGGCGTCGATGGGCCCACTTTCACAGATTCATGGATAGGAATACAGCCCTCGGAATCCCAATCATAGAGCACCTTACCAGTAATCGTATCCATTTCAACGAAACCACCTGAGACAACCCAGCCGTATTCATTGGGACGGCCAAGATTCCCCAGATTCTTGTACTTGTTTCGATATGAGCAAGCCAAAGCCGTCTTTCCGCCATTGAGAATGTTGAATTCATGCATGTTGAACGCCCCAAGGTCATTGGTGACAGAAACAGCTTTCTCTGCGTCGTAATTTTGATCCAGAGCATACCCGATCCCTTTTGTCCTTGCCACTATCCTGATATCCGCTGCAGGATGAATGAGAACCGCCATCAATTGTAGGTACCACCGTGAAATCAAAGATATTGCGGTTATCAAATAGGCACGACCCAGCCCAAATAAGAATCTAGATGGACGTGTCAGTCAAAAGATCCTTGTCGTCTTGGTCATTTCCCAACGCGCCAGTACGGAACGTAGGCCGTCTGCATCGTATATGTAGGGCCCGACTTGGCATAGCTTCCATTGCTTCGTTGGGGCTTCTGGGTCAATCACGCCATAAGGCACGAACCAGTATCCCGGACTTACGGATTCGCGGTCAAAGTAGGCAATATTGAATTTCAACGCTCTGATCTCCGGGAGCTATGAACTTGCCAGAATTATGATCCTCCGGGCGCTGGGTTAGACGGACAGTGACAAAGGACATTAAATCATCATCCAATTCTGCAACAATACCATGAGAGCAGAGGAAAAACAAGGCTAGGAAGGAGGAAAGATAAAAGCACTTAGACGACATCAGAGCGGTCGTCGTCAGCCGACAGATTTGAATGCTGTATACTACTGACTACTCCGAGTCGGGGAAAAGGCGGCATCCCCATTTTTCTTCTTCTTTTTTTGGAATGAAAAAATAGAAAGGAAAAGAAAAAAAGGAATTGAAGGAGAAGAGGAAGCCAATAAAACTCCGCAATGAGTCTATCTGATCATATACCGAAAATTGTCCAGTGACAACGTAAGTGCTGATATGGAAGCTGACGATCAAGTGAAACGGACAGTCTTGGCGGCTGGGGAAGAGTGGAGCAACTTCATCCGTTCATTCCATTTATTGGGGGGTGTGAAGTTGTGAGGTATGCCGAGCGTCTTCGTTGTCCACTTGAAGAGTTGATGAAGGAGAATTGAACGGATACAAGAGGGAAAGGCACTTGAGGCTGGATGGTGATATTTTATTGACCAATGCCGTGACCCATCGGCAGTTCACCGTCCAATTATCTCTTTTTTCTCTCCTCTTCATCCCCAGTACTTACTAGTAAACTGAGTTCCTAGCCTGGTGTCTTGCAAGGAAGCAAGCCAAAAGAAAGAAAGAAAGAAACCAATAAAAAAAATTATGATGCCGGTGGAGACCAGGTATATATTGTATGGTCATCTCATAAGAAATATACTGGCGGGCTTGTAACTAGAGGCTAGTGGAGCTATGTCTGTCCCTTAAGTGTATAGAATAAAAAAGTAAAAATGGAAAATATTGCGATGACCTATTTGGAAGGCAAGGAGAAAAATGAATAAGTCAAATACTTCACTCGGCTATTTGGCCGCCTTTTTAAAACGCATAACTCGCTATACTAGGCTCGCCGAAGACTTTCGGAAAGTACGCAAGGATCTCTACTAAGGCAACCAACATGAGTGCTTCGGTCCCCAATAGATCGTTCAATTCAAGATATGGCGGGAGGATCTGTTTGCAAACCTTTCGGGTATCGATACGCGTGATATTGCCAGGTCCATCGTGACGGAGTGCGTCAGCAGCGAGAGCCCATGCCAGCGGGTTGTACAACACGCCTTCATGCGTATAAACACCACCAGCAGCCTGGTTCGCACAGATAGTCTGTAAATGGTTATTAGACACCCCCACACCCCTTTGATCCGAAAGGATAGCGGATGCATCACCACCACTCATAGGCTTCACGACCTGGTCGAACGACGAGTAGATGGTGGTCGTGGGGACGTACGCCGAGTCTCCCCCTCTGCTCCGCAAGACCTGGATGAACTTCGCATCCCACCCTTGCTGCCAAATCGATGGGGTGCAGGCTACCAGGTGCAGGAATGGGCATACGAGCCACCTTACCATGGTTCCATGGAAATCAGGACTGATAGCAATGAAGTCGCTCACTACGTCTCGGGTAGACGGCCAGTATTTCAGGGCCCACTGAATGTTCAGTGCGCCTTGAGACCAAGAAATAACGGCTGCCTTAGTTAGGCACAGAGCGGAGATATAGTTGAGTGCATAAGCGACATATTCTGCATTTGATTGAATGTCGTCCAACGAGGCCCGGGGTATATTGACCCAAACTATATCAGTTTCAGGTAAGGCACGTCCTAATTTGCCAAAGTTGTAATAGAAAGTCATAGCTGCGGGAACGGCAGTCCCAGGAACTAGGAGCACCGGTATTTTCTTGTTCTTGTCACAAGAGAATGATTTGGGAATGTGAATGGCGGCCCGGAGGATATCTTCGGCAACGGAATAAGGTGCATCCCCCTTTGCTTTGAATGGGTATATGCTTAGGCGTTTCAGTGATGGGTTGGTATGGTGGGGTGCATTGAACTTAGATTTGCCGTAGCTATTCGGAAACGATAGAATCTTGGGGGGTATCAGACCTGATGTGGCGATCTCATTTGCAAGTCCTAGGATATCCGTGGATCCATTTGCGAGGATGAAATCGAGTCTGTTCCATGCCGTCTGCACAGATTCATTTCTTGGAATTTTATGACTCTCGATATGTATGAGGTCTGGCAAGATCGAGGAGGCTATAGCTGCGAGTCGAGTATCACTAATCGAAGGGTCGTTCGATAAAGTCGATATGATGCCGAGATTGGAGGTTGGCAAAACGCGAAGCGCTGCCCCCCAAACCAATGTGCTCGTGGTAATATAGCATGTTAACCCCGTTATTGACCCTGACAGATTGACCTTCATTTCGGGACAACTACACCACAAAATCGCACTTCTGATGATCGAGAATCCACCATGACAGAAGTATAGTTCGCTCCCATTGCGGGAAACACCACCCCGTTTACCATTTAAGGAAAGTAAATGGCTTCAAAACTCAATTATAGGTAAGCTACATGTCTTCCATGCAATAAAAATTTGTTGGACATACATCATAATCCTACTATCATCGATGAGTTTTTTAAGTTAGTCTTACTGTCTATAATAATGGGTTGATCCCTGTATGTATGCTAACCGACTCAAGGAGATATGAAAATTGACGAATATTATTCCAAAATCATTAATATGTTGGTGCCTAGGCTGCAGTGCCAAAGAAACAAGGCCTTTTTGTTTGAGTATATCAATTCTACTACAACTGATTATGGACAAGTGCGCTAAACGGGCAACAGTTCGTCCAAAGACTGTCAGGTCCTATCATGCTAGCACAATCCAGCATATCTCATTCACCCCAATACACACATCAGTGATAGTGACTTGCAGACCTTTCAATGATCGTATTATTTAGTGACGAGGTCCGAGCAGCCAAGAGCGACAGTGCCCCCCTAGATCATGAGTTAGACGAATAAATTTCAATTTTACCTTATCACCTAGGAGCGGGGACTTACGAGGAGGTTGGCTTCAGTGCAGCACTTCGGCCCAGATTCACAAGTTTGATCCCAGGCGTGGCCTACGTGTATTAGTTAGGTAAATATCCTTGATTGTCTCCAATGGAGGTATAGAGGAACGGTGGCGACTTACAGGCCAGACCAATGGAACCAACAAGGCTTGCAGCATTGATTCCCAAATCTTTCAGAATGGGGTCAACAGTAGAGTCAAGAGGTGTTTTGAGTTCGCCACAGCACAAGTAAGGCTTGACACAGTCAGCGGTCTCTGGAATGGATGGCAGAGCCGAAGCGATGGTTACGCCGGAGATCAAGAGAGAGATGACGGCAGAGAGCTTCATTGTGATAATTGATAGAAGACAAAGAGACTTTCTCAGAGAGAAGAGAAATAAAGAAGTAAGAAGGCGGGCTTAGGTGGACTTTGAGTCTTTGAGGTTGCTCGCAGGTCTGGATTGGACATGTTCTAGGAGAGAATTTGTTCGCTTTATAAATGCAAGGTTGTGAGTGACTCCATAGGCAAAGCTCTACATTCATATTTCTTCCATCCCAAGATTGAGGCATGACAATCCAATAGCATTTCTAGAATCGTTATCTCGGACGTCTTGAGAGGTTGGTCCAGCTGTCGATATTCGGAAAAAGATTGGGTTCAAAGTGAAGTTCCTGGCGTCCCGACACGGAACACTGATCCACAATCTACTCAACTTCGATAAGAGGTAACCGAATTCCATGGGACGAGGTGAGAACGAAAAATGAGTTACGGTGGGGGCAAAAGGAGCAGTTATTCGAATAGATCTCAGCCCCACGTAGTCCATACAGGAACCAAAGTAATTCAAAGTAATTCCGGTGGGCCGGGTTATGTTATTGACCCTTTCCTATTCCGTGGTAGAAGTGCGGAGGTATATAATTAATGTTATTCTGTATGATTCGATCGATACTATTGCGGAGTTCAGAGAGAGAGAAATTGGCATAAGCCCTAAGAGGCGAGGAGTACAGAGAAGTAGCAAGTCGTACGCCTTATCAGTGGACCCCTACGCTAATCAGATCGACACAATGGTCGATGATCAGCATTCAGCCGCAGAAGCGAGGGGACTCCAAGGATAACGAGACAGAGCATTAGTACCTATCAGTCGTCAAGTCTATAAAATTGAGATCTACCGAGGGAAGAGCAATGATTGGGGCGATGGGACATTGATAAGAACGGAGTATCAATTAGTACCGATGCGTCACCGTAATAGCTGTTCTTCGGATGGAAACTTCATTGACCCATTAGAATCTACATTTACATACATACATATCTACATAGGTACTATTCGGGTTTACTGGGGTTTCCCAATAAAGATAGCCTTGTCCCCTGATAAGAATTCAGGAACTTGTGCCTCATGAGTCCTTACGTAAATGTGGAGGGAAACATTCTGTAGACAATAATACTCCTATGCAATGGGCAAAGATAGCATGTATCATAGGATTCGACCTAATGTATCTTTTTTAATTTAATTCAATTGATTTTTCTTTTTAGGGGGGCTGGGGAGGGGACCTTTACGATGATAACTCAGTACAATATATCTCTAAAGAGCACGTGATGTGGCGGTGCAGTGCAGATCAGCCAAGCCGTCCAGCCACAAGCCCACTCGCGACACAAAAACTCAACCGCAATAATCAATATCTCCGCTGCTCGTGATCTCACTGTCCGCCGAGATACCCTAACGGAGATATTTTTGTTTTCTTTGGTTTTACTTTTCCTAATTTCCCCGTTCTCCCAGTCTGCTAGTATCTCCAAACACCATGGCACCTATCTCTGTCGCCGACATCGTGGCGGCCCTGCCTGCGGAGGACACTTGGGGCCCCGCTACCTCGACCGACAATATGCTGGATGGTGTTCCATTTGCTCCCTTCTCTAAGGGTGACAAACTGGGCCGTATGGCTGACTGGACCTCTGAGTCCAAGGATCAAAGAGGTGGCCGTCAGGCCTACAACCGTAACTTCAGGGGTATGAACTAATCTAGAGACAATTACATACGGATCCACAGCTAACATGAATTCTGAATAGACCAGCAAGTGTACGGTGCCGGCTCCTCCAATCTTTTCAGCATTCAGGCTGCCGAAGATGAATCATCTTTCTCCGTTGTCGACAATACTCGTACCTCCGCTAAGCGCACCTTTGGCCGTGGTGGTGGCACCGTCTTTCGTGGCCGCGCTCAGCGTGGCGCGGGCCAGAGAGGCGGTCGCGCTGGCTTCCAGCGTGTGGGTGCTGGCCGTGGTCAGGGTGATCGCTTCTACGACAACCGTGCCGGTCGCAGCAACCGTGGACGTCGCTTCGGATGGAAGGACTATGATAAGCCGCAGCGGACTCGTGAGCCGTCTGTCAATGTGCGCCCCGACTGGACTATGCTGGAGGAAGTGGACTTCAGCCGTCTGCTGAAGCTGAACCTGGAGACCCCTGATGGCGAGGACATCGATTCGTATGGTTTCCTGTACTACTACGACCGGTCTTACGACAAGGCTCCCGTCAAAGGCGCCGAGCGCAGACTGCAGTCCATGGACCGTGCTGCCTACAACGTCACTACCTCCCAGGACCCTGTCATTCAGGAGCTCGCCGAGAAGGACCAAGCCACTGTTTTCGCTACTTCCGATATCCTGTCTATGCTGATGTGCGCCCCCCGCAGTGTCTACTCCTGGGATATTGTTATTGTGCACCAGGGCAACAAGATCTACTTCGACAAGCGGGAGGGCGCCTCGCTCGACCTGGTGACTGTCAACGAAAATGCCATTGACGCTCCTCTCGAGGTTGCCGAATCTTCCGCTAAGCAGGAATCGATTAACACTCCTAGCGCTCTTGCTATGGAGGCCACCTTTATTAACCATAACTTCGCTCTGCAGACTGTCGCTGAGTCCCAGGACGCCAAGGTGGACATGAAGAATGCCAACCCCTTCTACAATGCCGCGGAAGAGACCGAGCCTCTTGCCTCCAAGGCCTACAAGTATCGCCGTTTCGATCTGTCCTTGGAGCGCGACGAGGAGCCTTTGAACATGGTCGTCCGCACTGAAGTCGACGCCCTTCTGAAGAACCCGGTCAACGGTGAAGACCAGCAGCTGGTTGTCAAGGCCTTGAACGAATTTGACAGCAAGGCCCAGGGCTCTGGTGGTGCTCTGGACTGGCGCAGCAAGCTCTGGTCGCAGCGCGGTGCTGTCGTCGCCACAGAGATGAAGAACAACAGCCTTAAGCTTGCCCGCTGGACCACACAGGCCATCCTTGCCAAGGCTGACGGCATGAAGCTTGGTTTCATCTCTCGTGCCAACCCCCGTTCTGCCGCTGGTCACGTTGTCCTCGGTGTTGTGGGCTACAAGCCCCGCGATCTTGCCGCTCAAATGAACCTGAACCTGGGCAACGGATGGGGTATTGTGCGCACCATTGTCGACCGTATCCGCGCCCTGGATGCTGAGGAAGACGAGGAAAAGGTCAAAAAGTACGTTCTCATCAAGGATCCCAACCGCCCTGTTATTCGACTCTATGGCGTGCCGGCCAACACTTTCGAGGAGGATGAGGAGGCTGCCGCTGAGGCGGAGGAGCAGAAGGCCGAAGAGGATGAGGAGTAAATTTATGCCTGAGTTGCTGTCTGCCATGATATCATGTCGTGATTCTTATGTTCCTTTTCCCGGATAATTTTTGGCGCATATATTCAAAAGTCGTTAGAGCTATGAAGATTGCCCTCGAGGTCTTGAATGCCTTTCAATGATTCTACACGGTACCTAGATACTCTCCTCAACAACACATGTACCCGTACACTTGATACCTACCGCCCCTTGGGGATATGATACCGATACACTATTTCCAACATGTTCCTGTACTGAACTGCTTATTTACAAGATGATGACAGTGAACTACTATATATGGGTCTATGAACGTAGCTTTTCATGGTTGATTCATCTCTCAAATAAGTACGGTAGCCCTCAGTAGCTCCTACAGCCCGGTGACTGCAGACAAATACATGTACATATGTACATACGGATTCGGTCGTACAGTAGTTATACTGATACTCATGGAATCTTAATTCAATAAAAAAAAGTAGGTTCAAGCTTTATAAATAAGGGTACTTAGTAGTTTAGTATACAAATACACGACCCAAGAATTCATCTGATGCTCTAGCCAATTAACACACATACGACAATCTTGTTATGAAGGAACACGAACCAGGAAAAAGGAGACATCATAATCCCAAAGCTCCCCCCAAAACATAAAAGAGACAAGCCAAAAGCCAAAAGCAACACGACAAATCTTCGGAGAATAAACCATCAAATGAACCCCCTCACTTGTAGCGTATTCGGTAAGGGAGCTGTGCATGTAAGCGGGCTGCGCAGCTCTATATTCCATACAAATCGACCTTTTTGGATACTTGAATATCTCAGCAACCAGAAGTCGTAATAATATAAAATTTACATAGGGCAAATGCTATATGGCGAGCTTTAGGATAGATCTAAATAAAATCAAGCTTATCTATATGGTTGATTTCTTTACGCATTTTATCTTAGACTAAGCTTTTGAACGCCTTATTTAAAGGTGAAAAAAGGCCAACATCAAGCGATTGAAGATTGATTGAGAAATGAGACCGTATATAGATAGGAATGATATCGTTTTCGCTGTATATTTTATCGAATACAGGAGTAAAATGGCTGTCGTGGCCATCTAAAATAAGTAACCGATATTTTTGTAAAGAATTACACCTGGAATTAGCAACTCAAATACATAAGCCTTTCCACTAGGTAAAAAGACCCACTATAATCAACTCCGACCAGAATTCATGAGTGTATAACGTAATCGGTAAACGAGCGGCCACTGCAAGCCAGCGGCCAGCTCTGGTATTCCATACAAATTGGCACTTTTTGACACTCGAATATCTCAGCAGCCACTAATAGTAAGGATATAAAACTAGAAGAGGATAAATAACTATATATAATATACTATATATATAATGGAAAAGTTAATATAGTCGATAGTTTAGTTGGTATTGAATATTACAGCTGTATTTTTGATATTCTGGATCTGTAGCTTAAAATAAAGAGAAAAGAATTAAAAAAAATTAGTTACTGACTTATACACCGACTCTTATATTGTACTTTAAATTTTATATCCTTACTATTAGTGGCTGCTGAGATATTCGAGTGTCAAAAAGTGCCAATTTGTATGGAATACCAGAGCTGGCCGCTGGCTTGCAGTGGCCGCTCGTTTACCAGTTACGTTAGTTGGCGCCTACCTCTAGAGTAGACCCATCGATAATCGGAACGGAGCTAATTTTCCGGACGTGGCCTGGTGTCCGTGCACAGTGGCTTTAGGTGAAAGTTATTTAAGCTAATACCATCTATTTTCAATAATGTTACGGGACGAAATAAGCTGTTCTAACCTAAGCGTGCCTATTGAACAAGAAGAAATAGCTAATTGACAGGAATAACGCGTCGTACGAAATATTTGTGGGGTAAAGGCTTGGCAGCGATGCCTTAGGCAGCCTCCCATGATATAGGGCAGCCTGTAAGTCAGTCCCATAACATTAAAGAAACCAGCAGGAGAACACAAGACCAGAAATGAGCAGGTGGCAGGTGTATATAAAGAAGTGAAATGTTTTGAAATGGATTGGAAAAGTTTTCTGCCGCCACAATACACAGATCTCATGCCACTTCTGGAACAATATTATCCCATTCCAAAAGTGGCGGACCCACTTTTAGAAGTCGGCCACAACTATGTCCTGGATCTTAGGTAGCTTAATTCGTATAATGGTACACCAAATTCCTCCTAGGAATGACAGTTTGAAATAAGGGGGTAAAAAAAGAAGTATAGAACATAATAGTACCATGGACGTAGTAATGGGCCACAAATCCAAGCCTCGGGCAACGGCTTCATGTCACCCATGCCGAAACCGCAAAGTGAAGGTAGGTTTCACATACTACTCGCCCCAATCCACATCCACTTACCGACGTTACCTATGATAGTGTAACCGCCTGTCACCCTGTGAAGCCTGCATTACGCGGGGGATCCAAGAGGAATGCAAATACAGTGCCCCAAATGAAGATCGAGAGGCGATCGCGCAAGCGGAAATGATTACCGAACTCAGGGGCAAGGTGAATCGTCTACAGGAGCAGATGGCACAACGTGTGGCGTATCGGTCGTCGTTCAACGACCTCGAAGAGGAAGAGGAGACCGCCGCTATGGAAATCGTGTACTCCGCTCTGAGGTTGGGATCGGAGGATCTAGTTTGGAGAATCGTGGGGAGGATCCGGGATGGCGAGGACTTACGGGAGCTGGCCAGGGATGTGGCGCGCGATATAGGGATTGAAGATGATTGCTCTGTATGACTCTAAAGTTGACACCGTCAGATAACTTATGCACATGCGTAAGTCTAATATGTTCAGATCCCGTGGAATATTAACATTGCATTCCTCGTATAGGAAGCAATACCTTACCATAGAAGTACAAGTAACATTCTTTATAATTAAAACTGTACAATATTCCAGGAAACGAGAGGAATAAAATCCCCAGGATCCAAAGACAGAAGAGGGGGGAAATAAAGTAAATTAAATGATATATATCAGGTTTTCACATCAATACATTATCAAATCATAGCCGATAGAGAACCATGCTCACTGTGTTTTAATCTATATACACCACCCTAAGCCTCGGGGCCAAAAATAAGAATAATAAGAAGATAACCCCCTCCATTTCATGATATCATGAATACAGCGTGTCATCTCCGGCGCGGGAGAATCCCACGTCGACCTTAGATCCGAGAACGCTACTCAGGCAGTCCATGAGCTCGAAATCTTCCACCACCGCCCCAAACCCATAACACCGAACTTTAGTATTGAGCGTCTCAATAATAATCTTGATATCCCCTCTGGTCAACGAGCCATACATCTCATGGTTTTTTAAGCATTGAAGCGCCATGATGGGCGTGATTTGGCCGTCAGTCACAAGCTGTCGACTCAGGTTGAGTAACGTTGTCAGATTGGCATGCGGGAGGTCGTATGTCTGATGCGGAAAAGGTTGTTCAGGGGTTGTGTTGGAAATATAACTGGGTGGTGGACAGGAGGCCATTAATGCGTGTCCGGAGAAAGGCATATCCTCGTCGTCAGCTTCCGTAATAGACCGCCGGCAAAGGTAATCGGTATGCTCGCGACATGGAGACTCCAGCCTGTTGATTCACAGTTAGACCGGCAATGAAGGAGCAGATAGCAACCAAAACAAGGGATCACTAAAAGAGACGAAGACGGAAATGGTTGAGGGAAAGGGGGGGGGCATACGTCAGAATAAAATCGACTTGCAACTGAGGATCGTTCTCGAATATACCCGCTGGCTGGAGAGGTTGGCGACTTGCTGGGGCTATCCGGTCAAGAGTTGCCAGGGCATCACAGGGAGCAGCGCTGTAATTTTGATTCTGGGGCGTTAATTCTTGAGTTGGCGAGACGTCAATGTGCTCTATCCCATTCGCAATAGGACTAAGGCTGGACGATGGGGCGGAAACAGTAGTGGGCGGCGTTGTGTAAGCTTGTTGAGCTGATGGGGCTGATGGAGCGACAGCTGCAGGCTGCGATCCGATACTACTGCTGGCAAAAGGACTAGGTTGATATGTTCCGTTTGTTGGACTCGTGCGTTCTGCCCTGCGACGCTCCACTTCCGCCTCGTAGTTGATGCCATTCGCAGCGAGGATTTCTTTTAATATGTTGTTTTCATTGGACAAGGACCGGACCATCTCTCGATGCTGGTGGACAGTCAAGTTCGCCGCAGATATCTCTTGTGTGTAGGCCTCCCGTAACCGTGAGACTTCAGTCTCTAGCGCTCGCATGTACTGCTCCTTGCGTTCACGATGTGTCCTAAACACCCACAATTGGTATACCGTCATGACGCGGCCGAGCAAGATTTGTTGACGTACCTTTGAGCCTGACGATTCAATTCCTGGCGCCTTGTAAGGGCTGGTCTGCTGTCCGGTTTGGGGCCTCGCCGTTTTGCTGGCTGGCCATCTGGATAGACAGGCGTCAGTACTGAATTAGACACACAACGAACAAGGTGCATACCCCTCGTCACTTTTTTCTGCCCGCCTCCAAAAAATCTAAGCCAGTCTGTTCCCATAGAAGCTTTCATTAAGCTGCCCTGTGATTGTCGGCCTATAGTGGCATCGGGTTAGCGGCAGAAATCGAAATACCGGTAAAGAACGGTGATCACTAGGCGAGCTATGTCTACCACCATATCGCCGCAGAAGCAAAAATAGAAAACGAAAAACAATATAAAAGAAAGAAAGGAAGAAAGCGACCGAGCGGGGAGACAGAGTGCATAGCCATCTAACATGGTTCACGACATATGAAGTTTGGTAGAGCATTCGCTATGAGGGCTGAGGTCGCATTTCATCCTCAATTCCATTTCAACAGTATAAAACGAGCGAGATCCGCTGCACCTACCATTAAGTTCGTCATTTTGCCGATTTAACGCATCTGCCTCCAAAGGCAGCACTCCATCACTTAGTGAAGCCATAATAGTTGTATGTGTATGCGAGGAGAAAGGTAATGTGGAACGCGACCGGCGTAGAGATGAGGGAAAAGGCTTCGGCAGAAAAGGAACGGACGGGCCCGGTGGATTGGGGTCTGGATAGGTCTAGAGGTTAATTTATTATGGCGAAGGTCATGAACATTCTGCGACCGTTGTTAGCCTTGAAACAAACTACTCACCATAAAGTGGATTCGCTTCGTCCAAGCGTCCTTACCGTTGATAGCAAGTATGTATGTACATCCAAACGCCCCGGCAGACCGGATGATTTCCCCCCGATACGCCCAACTATGAAATTGAGTTTATGTCAACTAGGGGATTTCTATCCACAACTACAAGGCCAAAGGAAGCAAAGAAGGTATGGAGGGAAGGTATCGTGAAGGAGGAGTCGGAGGGTTGTAGGGAAGGAAAGAAGGTAAGAAATCACACAGAGACGAGAGAAAGGATGTGGGACGAAGAACCGGTCGTCAGTTGACAATGGATAAATACTAAGAGATTGATCCACGGACTGTCAAGACCTTATTGGTTCGATGGTTCAGGTCGGCCCGTTCTTCAGCGGCCCCGGTTCCAGTTTAGTTGTCTTGGTCTTTGCGGAGGCTGGAAGAGATCGGAAGGGACACCTTAAAATTGGGATTATCGTCGATAGTGTTAACAAGTGAAGGGAAATAATAATTTGGGAAGTCATTATGGCAAGTGAAAGAGGGTGGGGCGCCAAAAAGAAAAAGAAAGAAAGATCCAAAGATCACTGTTTGTTCTTTCGTGAGTTTGGTGAGTTTTCCTGCCACTCGGATTAGAGATAAACTAAACAGATCTGACTCCTCGGCCTGGCTTCTGTCTAGGTTAATCAAAATGAGGTGGTACACCCACATTTTTTTTCTTTTTATTGGGGGGGTCATTTCTCTTCTTGTGCGGCCGCCTATATTGATTGGATGATTCTATTTCTAGGTGAAAAAGCAAGTAATGCATCCACCCGTGTGGAGGGTAAAACCGGACTCGCCCAAGCGCGATTAAGACCGAAACGAGCATCTATCTGGTCGTAGATATTTCCTTTCCCCTCCAGTATTTGCTCCTGGGCTTTTCTTGTAGTGGATAATGTCCGAAAAGACCGAATAAATCCTATACTACAATACTCAACTAGGGTTATGCTTGTTTTGAATCAATCATTGCCGTTATATCAATCGAAATTCCCCATGATGGGAGTTGCACCGTGAGTGCTACCTTGTTGATGGTGAAACGGTCGCTCAATCTTGATAGTTGTTCCATTGAATGTGAGATAGTGGTCATCTCGATGTGAAATATCCAAGGCTTCAGTCTGTTTTAGATTTGAAGCAAAGGTTGCCTTCAATGTATGGGGGAAAGAGATTGTCAAGTAGACAGGTCAATTTGAGTCTCTTTCAGGTGTTTCCGATTGACCATTGACTGGTACCAATTAGGTTGGCAGAGGGAACGTTGGGGGGAATCCATTCTTACCACCATTTAATTACCCTACCAAAGAGTCCGGAGCTTCTAATGGCCCTAGGATACGAAAGGGCGGTTAAGAGAGAGAGAGAGAGAGAGAGAGAGAAAATAATAGGAAAATAATACTAACTCTACCTTTTATCCACTGGTTCTCAGGTGGTATCCTCGTATGTAGTTGTATGTATATATGGAGAACATGTACAAAGTAGTATATATCTACATACATACCTAGGTAGGACCATGCAGAGTTACATTACATATATACATGATACATACAGTAAGGTCAGGTACCATCTAGACTTCGTGTTCATTAGTGAAACAAGGTTATCACCTGAAATCACTACAGTAATGCCATAAAATTGGCATTCGTCCTCTACTTACAGAGTAGGTAGTATTACGCTTACAATGGTTAGATTTCCAATTGGGACACAGGCAATGCGTACCTAGACGTAAGTATTAATTACTGGCAGTAGCCCCTCACCAAAAAAAAAAAAAAAAAAAAAAAGAGAGAGAAAAGGACCCATTTCGTCGGTAATGGAATTGATGGACCGGCTCGTAACTCTTGTTTCTCTTTTCTCCACGCCTCCTCCCTCCTTTAAAACAACATCTACAGAGTAGTAGCAAGTTTAGACTAGACGGAGATCCCCATAGGAGCTTCTACTTGGGAACCATGACTAAAGTGCTAGTAATGATAATCCACTTGAGAGCCAAGAGATCGGAGTCGTAAATCCAATGTTAGTATACTATCGATGTCGATCCGGAACCTATTGAAGGTTTAGATTTGTACCCTCTGGGAAGGCACCCCACTTCCGCATGACTCGCCGAGCTTTTCTCCTTGGAGTCTCGTTCTCTGTTCTTCACAACCCATTTTTAATGATTGCTTTCACCTTCAATTGAATCAGGTACTAGCAATGCTTGTCGATTGAAAATTTCTACAGCATCGCTTAAAGAATAGAATGTGAAAAAGAGCACTCCGCGATGGTGCAGTCATATTACCCACTGATGTCATGGAAAGATCGGAAATTCTTGTCCACATCTCAGCGCCATGCGGGGTGAGCGACGACGCCCGCTATCGTGCTCAGGCTGAAGCCATTCTCAGTTTCCAGGGTGCCTCACGCCAAGTTATAACTTCAAGAGCAGACAATAGTAGGAGTGATCATGATGATACTACCTCTGCTGCCACCAGCGACGGTCTACCTTCCAACCGCACACCTCCACGAAAACCTGTGATCCCTCTTAATGATATACCCAATCATCCGGCCATCATGATATCTAATGGGACCATCGCTCTCGAAAAACAGCCACATAGTTGTTCTCAAACAGAATTCCTTGATAGTCCAGTGAGCGTTATTCCGGACTCTCAACCTGGGATGTTATCTTCGGACCCCGACAACCTGCAGAATGTCGATCGTCAGCCATCTACTATCCCACCCCCTTGGCCCCCTTGTTCTCCGGATGTACCCCCCACCAAGAGAGATCGGGCAATTTCACTGTCACGAAGGGGTGGCCTAAAGAAACCTCGCCATATCCAGCGGAAAACGGAGGAAGCTGATATTGCTCAAATTGGTGATCTCGCTGTACTACCCACAACAAGCTTTCCTATTCCTGCAGAGATCAGACCCCCATTACCTCCAATATCGAAAGAACATTTTATAACTCATATTACTCCAACCCTAGAAATGCTAGCTACTCGCCTGAAGGGAAGGACATACAACCCCCTCCAACAAACTAGAGAACTACATAAGTTGGAAAGAGGCTACTGGTATCTCCGTATTAATGTCACCGAAGCGGAGACACACGAATCTGATGTCTCCACAGAGGGAAGTAACGGAGCTTGCAACTGGGATATATCTATGTTCTCTCGCTTCTGGTCTTTCTTGGCGGAATTTATCAAAGAAGGTCGTGCTGGTTGGGGAGTATGGTGTATACTCGAAGATGTGCCAAACACTCAATTACCGCATGATAGCCTGCGGTCTGCGTGGCGAGAAGTGAATATTCGCCAGCTAACTCTCAAAACTTATGCATGGGGCGAAATTGCTTTTCATGTATACCTTCTCTTGTTCTTAGCTAGCGAACGCCGGGTTCGCAAAATGGGCGCTCAGTGGCGAGATGGCCGGGGTGATGTCGTTATCCACATGCCATGATATGTAATACGATGACCGCAACCCCTCTTTAAGGAGTACTGTTTGCACATACATACAATGATACATAGATAAAACATGACAAATGTAATGTGAAAAGCCAGAGAAATCATGGAACTAATGGGTATTAATTTGCACCCTTCAGATGCACTGTCGGCTGTCAGGTCCACCGGGGGGAGAGTTATTTTGACGATTGTAGTTCGCTGTACACGTACAATCAAGCTATACATAGAAAAGGTAGTTCATTGATCTCTGTGCTTTGGTTAGATAGAAACTATTGTACAAAAAAGTAAAAGATGACAATTTTGGAGCAGGTACCACCGGATTTTATCGCCCTGGGCGAGTTTGAGTGTGGCAAAGTACATGCATTGTCGCAACCAGAGAGAATACTACTACTCTCCACTATGCTAACTCCCCACCGACTAAAGGCAAAATAGAAAAGAGAAGCTGGAGTACTGTGATAGAACCAAAATAGTGAATGTGAAACGCACAGAGATATTGACTCCAATATGTCAGTCAGCCTTGATCAACGAAAATGCAGACAAAAAACCTGTTGACGCCGTATTTCAAAGAGACGAAAGGTTATGAAAAGAGAAAGGAAGCTCTTGCACTCAATAGTTCAGCTCACCACTTCCAGTCCCGCCAACCGCATCAAGGTCCTCATAGCTCTTAAGGCTGCGGCCTTGAACGGCTTCTCGTGGGCCCATTGCTTGCTGGGCAGTACCAGCTCCCATAGCATCGGCAAAGCCACCTGTACCAGCAAAGGCTGCCGCAGCAGGGTGGCCGGGGGGGATATACGGGACACCGGCGTTAGCTGGAAGACGACCACCAGAGCCATACAAGCTCGGTATACCACGAGCTGGGCTCAAACGACCGCTTCCTGCAGTGGCATGCCGGGGACCACGGCGATCATATGGTCCTGGCCGATTATTGTAGCGGTTATTACGACGCATGGCACCTGGCTGATGCAAGCCGGAATGATCGCCAGAGACCAAACCATTTCCACTCCAAGAACCGGCTTGGTTCGCAACACCCATAATACTAGACAGCCCAGCCCCGGGTAAACTCTGGAAACCCCCAGGCACATTGCCATTATGCCCAATGTACGGCGGCATGGCCGCAAGGCTGAAGCCACGAGGAGTGCCAACTTGAGTTTGGCCGGAGCTGAGAGGGAAATGGCCATTACTATTTGCGTCAGACCGAGACGGTGCAATACGAGCAGGGTCTAAGACATAGGCATTCACCAAGGAAAGCTATTGCATCATTAGTCTTGCATCGCTTTGAAGCTTAAGAACTCGAACTTACGTCACTGTTAATGCTCTCAAACCATTCGGCGTGACGCTTTTCCACATGTTTGCGCCAGAAATAGTCCGCCTTGAAGAGTTTGGTGCACTCTGGCACTTTGCAACGGTATTTGGATTCATCCTCCTGCTTGACATACTTCGCTAACTCTTCCTCCAACGCCTCATCAACGGGCTTGCCGCCCAACTTCCGAATATCGACATTTTCTGGCTCGAGAATCTGAAGGAGCTTATCCTCAAATGTCTTAACCCAGTTGAACGCGCGCTGTAGCTGCTGCTCTGACTTGGAACTGAACCGTTGCGGTCGCTTTTCGTCGACGGATGACTGCTCCTCTCCTTCGTTCGGTTCTTTCTTTTTAGTAGGGAAAGGCTGGCCGAGGGCGCTCGCTCGAGCTACAGCTTTGGATTGTGTAGTGAGGCCAGCGCGTGGCCGACGAAGATGGCCACCGGGGCACTTTCGAGTAAGCTCATGGACAGAGTCACTCTCAAATACGCAAAAGAAGCAGAAGTTATAGACCCTACGCAGGTACTCTACCATCAAGTCAAGTTTCTTCTTCTTCGCGAGGAGTTCCTCGTCGTCCACTTCGTCATCATCCCAGCCTTCCTGCTCCTCGCCTTCTTCTGCTTCGCCCTCATCCATATCATCCGCGTCAAATTCATTCCTTCTTTTCTTGACACTGACAGGGCCCGTGACTGGAGGTTGCAGCCAACCCTTCCCACGCAACTCTTCGACACGCTCTTCGATTTTAGCATAGCCGTCTGCGTTTCCACCCATCTCAGAATCAAGTGTTGAAACCAGTCGTCGGGCCAGTTCCAAATCCCGCTCGATGCGCTCCGGAGCGGAAAACAAATCCCACAGCGCCTTTTTGCGAGGTTGGGACGGTGGGACATGGACGCCGACATGGCACACGAAGTCCCCGTGAACTGGGTCATGTATCGTCTTATCATTGATCGCATCGAGTGCCTTTTCGGCGGCGGTCACGCTCACAGCTCCATTTGCCACCTTGTCATGCTCTATATCCTCACCTTCCTCTTCTCTTCCATCCCCTCTCTCTACCACGGTAACATCCGGAGCCGGGTGTAGCATGATCCATCCCATTCGATGATACTTCTTGGAAGGATTTGGATCGCTAAGGCTAAGCCATTTGAATCCGCCATCTTGCTCTCCCAGATGCTCCTTGCAGAAGTCCTCTATTTTTTCACGGCTCACATTTGGTGCCAAGGTCTTAATAAGCAAAGCCGGTTGAGACAACGCTTCATCTCGCAGCTCCCCACCCCGAGTCGGGAGCAAGTCCAAGACACCGAGCGTCTCGCCAACAGCTGTAGTTTCGCCTTCTTCCTTCTCGACGACACCACCTGCTCCGTCGCTCTCACTTTTATAAATTCCCTCCAGGGTGAATTCATCAAACAAACCACCATCTATATCGCGCTCCCATTGTTGATAAGCTCCGGCACGGAAGTCCATCAGGCGACGGCGGAGAGGATCGCGGACTTGTGGGACGTAACGTTCTTTGAACCACTCTTCACTTCGATGTTGCTGTACGAATGTTCTGGCCATCTTAATCTGAAGATCTACCTTGTAGGTATCATAAGCGTCCTGAATCTGCGCCCTCTCCCTCTCGCGGTCTTCACGAGCCTCGCGTTCTCCCTTGACACGATCTGATGGGCGACGTCCGCCATGCTTTGCACGTTCCTTTTCCTCCTTGATCGACTGTTCACCGCGCCACCACTCCGCGAAAAAGTTAAACCCGACCTGGAAATCGAGACTTAAGGGATTGGGGAGGGGATTGGCTGGGATGGGTCGCTTCCCCGAATCTTGCCCAGGGACATAGCGATCAATATTTGCAACGTTTGGGGAATGAGCACGGCGGCGATCCTCACGTTCTCGGAGAGAATGCTCACGGGGCGCAGCATAGTAATCATCTCGGGAAGCGCGGCGGTCAGACGGTTCGTAGCGATCAATCATAGCAGGCGAGCGAGAGCGTCCGCGTGGGCGACGACGATCCTGGGAAACTACAGCAGCTTTCAGATTAAGCAATGTCGCTGTTAAGGGCAGAGATGGTCTTAGATACTTACTAGGTGACCTTCGTCTATAAGAATCGACTGCTGCCCTAGAGGTGTAAGTGTCCCCTTCACGGGTCCTTCCGGGAGACCCATAGCCATCATAAGAATCCATCTGGGAAGGGTGGAAGAAAGATTCCAAGTCACTATATCAGATGCCAGATGTCCTAACTAGGGCCACGGTCAAAGCGATATGCGACAGGGATACTGATTAGTAGCTCGATCTAGGAGTAGTCGGGACAACCGGAAGGTTCGCAGAGACGTTTGGAACCGTACACGTAAGCTAAGACCGAAGACCATTAATATTAGAGCAAATCTTTTCACTTCACAGGGGTGTCTGGTAGCTTGGACGTTGACGAAGGGTAAAAGAAACGGGATGTGCTGAGAAAAGATGAAGCTGAAGCTAAAGCCCGCCAAGCGGGAGGGATGCAGGAAAGGCATTTTTCATATAGTGACAAGAATCAACCTGAAACTGAGAGGTAAAAAAGCAGGGTGCTCGCGAGAGCAAGAGAGAAAATAAAGAAAGAGAATGGTGCACAAATTGCAAGAAGTACTGTAGGTCTCGTGGGCCAAGGGGGGGGGGCGCGACGAATTAACCGACGACTTCAAGATATAGAAGAAAAGAGCAGTGAGCAGAGTAGGTGTCAAGGATTGGCCTAAGTTAAGATAAAGTGGTATACTCTGATAGAGAGTGACAAGATGAAGCAGGGAAATAGGGGCCAGATGAGAGACAAGGGTGGTGACTGCAGTGAACACGATAAAAGAGGGCTAGACAGGCGACCTACAAGAAGCCTTATGAAGAAGGATGAATAGATGTAATACAACCAGATGCGGACAATCCCTAATCACGTCCAATCCAACGGACTCTAATGGGGACAAGACAGCTGAACCGGGGGGATAGAACCGGACAGTTGGGGAGAGGAGGCGGAAAGCTGAGAGCTGAAGGCGAGTGAGGAATGGAATGACTAATCACATGAGGCTGGAGAAGGAAAAGTTGTAGGACCGGCTCCTAAACCAGAAGAGGATTGGTGTGAGCTAGATGTCTAGGCGGAACCTCATTGGAAGACCACGCTCTCATATTAAAGTATTGTACTTACCTCCTCCTCCTCCTCCTCCTCCTCCTCCTCCTCCTACTACTACTAAGTCCTAGACTAGTAGCGGGTTTGTATTAATCAATAAAGTCGTTGTCTGGTCAGGTCTATTATAATCTGTATTCACAGGACAGCTATTTGCTCAATGCCGAGTCAGTGACCCAGTCAGCCGAGCTAGCGGATGTCAGGAAGTATGTCTTGATATTTGTACATGACTAGCGGGGGAATCTTCCGTCAAAAATCACATGCGAGCAACAAGGAAGAGAAAAAAAAGAACGTTGAAATTAAATGAGAAACAACAAAACACCAAAACAGTTGGAAGGTCAGGTCCAATGATAAATGACAGGAGATAGTGAACACGACGATCACATTTTCTGCATCATCAACAAATCAACCCCAGATTTACCTTTGAATTTTTTTTTCTCTTTTACTTTTCTCTCTTTTCTTCTATCTCCCTTCATGCCTCCGTAATCCAAAAGCCAATCGATACTCACCGTACGTAGGAAACTAATCCACAGCAGATCCCAGAAGACTCATGGAACACGTCCCTTGTACGGCACTATATGAGAACATAAACCTTGGTATACCTTAGCACTTCTCCGAGAAATTCCTGTATAGTAATTTTACCACTGTTGGATTTCTGTTTAGGTCCCAGCCAAAAGCCTGGAAGGTTCATGGGTGCGGAGACAAGTCGAACGAAGTAATTCAATGGGAAGAGTAACGGTGACGACGATGATAATGATGAATTGCGGGATGCGGCAATAATAGGTGGCATTGGGACTGTGCCAACTTGCACGCAACCGCATCATAGTAATATCTGAGGGCCACAATTCAGCTCACCATCAACCTTCAGAGGCAGGTCGATCAGTCAGAGTAAGGCTGGATTCGGCAGTAGCTAAAGGCATGGCGTTTGGGACATCGTAGATCATCCAGAGTTTGTCCATCTCAAGAACTGGGAATAATGCAGATAGGAAATATAAAACCAAGATATAACAGAACGAAAAAGGAAAACGGCCATCAAACATTCATTCCATACAGCATTCCCGGCAAAATAAACATAACAGGATTCTTTGAATAATGAAAAAGATTTCGTACCAACATAACATAACGATATAAACATAACAATGGTAGCTGTCGGATAATAGTAGTAGAAACGTGATAGGTGAGTTGTCACACATCGCTCGCTACAAAAAGCAAACATAAACAAGCACCATGAAATAGAGCCATAAGGATGAATAGGTACGAACAAAGCACACAGAAGCGGGCAGGAAGGCGCTAATGATATGAAAGCAAATTCTGTTGTGAGGCATGTTGCTCAGCCGTCCTCATCAGACGGGTCGGCCGATTCATGTTCGCTCTCCTCAGCGCTGGTGCTAGTTTTTGCAGCGCTAGTCTTCGCCTTCTTCGCTGAGTTCGTATTCTCATCGTTAACATCACTAGATTTTCTTTTTTGTGCCGACGGAGGATTCTCACCGGTCGGCTTACTATCGACATTCTCTTGTCCACCCGGGATATTCTTTTTCTCCAGATTGGCAACTTCATCTGCTGTCAGGAATCGACCACCAGGACCCCGTGGTCGTCGCATGGCGTGATTATGACGCGACTCGTGTAGATATGGCTTACGCCCCTTGGACGTAAGTCGGAGTTGTTCTTCCAATTTTTGCCGGGCAACTCGTCGTTTCAAAATGCGATGGAATTGCTTTGCATTGACATAAAGAGGAGATTCCTCTACAGCGCCTACAGCCATATCTGGAGAAGGTTGGCTTTGCTGCACTGCAGGCTGAGGCGGGGGTGGCATCGGTGGTGGCACCGAAGGCCGGCCGACATGATTCAGAACCGGCTGGGCACTTTGAACATGGGGACTCCCAACATGGCTCATGCGACGCTGCTGCATTTGGGCGTTTTGCTGCATCTGTACTTGCGAACCCATTGGAGGCATTTGTCCTGACATTTGCGGCGGTGAGCGAGGATTCCGTTCATTTTTCACCTGTTGCACTCCAGCCATGCGTGGCGAGCCACGAGGTCCTTGTGGCATTTGGCCAGCCATCGAGTCCTGATGCAAAGGATAGAATTGCCCAGAAGCCGCCGCAGTAGCCATAGCCGCCGCCTGGGTTGGTGAGATTCCGTATGTCTGTGGCATAGCTGTGGTTACGCCGTATGATTGAGGAAAGTTCATCTGCTGATGTACTGAGCCCGGAGCATTTTGTGCCTGTTGGTAATGAGACTGCGAGGGAACAATAGGAGACGCTTGATGCGCGGGGTGGGCTTGCTGCATATGTGCCTGGGGATTGGTGGGGGAGGTCATCGACCCCACCGTTGAGCCTGGGTTCTGTGGTGCGGTTTGATACGGGGCAGCAATATGAGAAGGAGCATGTGGGTGTTGGCCATGAGGCTGCTGATATTGTGGAGGGTATTCCATCATGAAGTCACGATGGCGCTCCCCGTCACGCTTCCAAAGTGTCCCGTAATTGGGTTAATGCAGCTGTCAGGCACCAGGTAGTTGGAACCAATGAAAATGGCGACAAAAGCAATTGGTGGGTAAATGCCACTTATTCTGAATAAAGTAGAAGAGATCAAAAGGATGATAGGTTGTGGAAGCGCTGTTGTACTTGGGGGATACCACGGTCGCGCACAAGAGGGACAGCCGAGGAAAGTAGCTGCTTTTTGCAACTGATGATTCGATGAGTTAAATGCGAAGGCCTGCAGGCGCTGACCAGGAGTCAGCACGGAGCGCAGTGCCGACCGGTCACTGGGTGTTCCAGTGGGGTTGGATGGAGACGAGAAAGGCGCTTGCACCGGGGCGCTTACCTTAGGTTCTGTTTTGTTGATACAGAGTTCCAACTATCGGCGAGAAAACGAAGTTCACCAAAAGCGAACACCTGTTTCCTGGAACAACTTCGAACAGTTTCTGGAGGCAGTGAGTCTTTTGTGCGAATCCTTTTTACGTTCACCTCAGAGTGTAACGTGGTTGGGCTCTGATGCAGCGGACCAGGATGCCCTCGGCAGAATGTCGCACTTGATGCGTTGTCAGACGGAATGCGATATTCTGCTAGTGACGCACGATTGTCTATCGCCAGCACGAGGCAAACAAAGGGATGCGGGAAGAGACAAAAAATTGAAAATGTAAAAGCTACGCAGTAAATCTGAGGCGACAACTGGCGGGCTGCCTTCCGTTAATGTGGTTGTGATCCTTGTTAGTTCAGGCTCTTCGGCCACGTTCGTATGAGGCGGGGCCGAAGAAGAAGATAGTGATGAGGCTGTGCTAGCAGCGTGGCCTGTCAATTTCTTCACGCCAGGTAGATGAGGCTATCCTTGCTCCCAGTCCCCACGCCTAAAGTGCGACTCGAGAAGGGCCGATGCCAAAACGCGCCTAAAATGGTTTGGATAACTAGATCAAACTACAGAAAACCATCAGCATTCCCTTTTCTCCACCAAAACCTTCAACTTCTGATTTGTGCGCTGTCATGACAGGGAATCTGTGCAAGTGGTGGGGGAGGGGAAGGTGATATCGTAGCGGTAGTGTCTATTCAGGGCTGAAGGATGTATGCGTTGGCAAGCGGGAAGTATGATGCAGCCGGCAACATACCTTGTCAAAATGCGAATCACCACTGGGTCCGAGAAAGGCGGGTGTTTTCGCGCGCGCGTAAACCAAAGGCCCTAAGCAATATCAAAGCTGCTTTCCTGGTTGCGAAAATAACTTGCAGGTCTATGGAAGGACTGGGTTTGTCAGAGTACTGTATGCAAAACAAAAGTAAATTGAGAACGACGCGTGCTGATTGGGCTACCATAGGGCGGGGGGAGAAGGTATAGGATCACATTGAAAGCAGAACGCGACCATGACAAACGTGAAGAAAATGCGAAAGCCACCAGGAAAGTCCAAGGCATAAAAAGGTTGCAAGCGGTAAAACAAAGTGTACTTTGCATAAATGCGACATTGATACCAGGTCCATTTTTGTTTTGCGAATGGGTAACAAGGTGGAAAACGATGGGACAATATTAGTCGTGATTTGCAGGCCTCGATCAATGTGAAGAGCAAAACAACACGGTCAAGTCGTTGTTAAGAGTAATTAATTACCTGAGCAGCAGACGAATATCCCTATACCAAGGCAAAAGGGACGCGATGGGACTTGACCACAGCCTCCAGTCACGGGAAAAGGTACTGGGAGGGACGATGATTCGTGGGGTGAAGAGAAGCGCGACCTCTACCAACAAGAAGGCGGGCAGCACAAAGCTGTTCCGCGCCGCGGGTGTGGGCTGCTGCTGATGTCAGTCCGGTCCGGATTGATCCGCGAACGACCCAACAAGCAGTGAACCAGGTTTTGGCTCTAGGCAAGCGCGCGTGTGGGGGAGGTGCGACAAGGAAGGACAGGAAAGCGGTTGCAGATAAGGACAAAAGCAATGTAATTCGTGGGGTAAATTGACAGCTGGACGTGTTCAAAAAAAAAAAAAAAAAAAAAAGAAAAAGCGAGGGAGTAAAAAAATTCAAGAAAGACCAAACGAGGGAGATGAATGCGCGCGGTGGTTGGAGAATAGGTAAAGCAGACACAAAAAGTGATGGGATTTGTTGGAGCTGACCCTTGGAAAAGGTGCAGTGTAATGGGATTGGGTGCACGCTAGAATAAGGTGCTCAAATCATAAAACAAGATCAACGAGGAAAATGATAAGATAAAACAAAATGGAGTCAAGATAAAACAAAGCTACACAGCGTTGAGCAAGGGGCAAGCAATATTCCACGTACCTACGGAAGATGATTCGACCAAAACCGTGGAAATTTCAGAATGAGAATGGTCGGGAGTGATCAATCACGAGGAGAAAGCAGATGGGGGGTGGGCAAGAAAACAACGATTGGGTTGGACGAAAGGATCAGTGATCAGAAGCCAACCCCAACATGAACGAGTAGGAAAAAAGAAAATGGAAGATGGCCAATGGGTTCTGTGCAGCCAGTTAAGTTGATGACTGGAGGCACGCAGGGACTGGAGATGGCTGGATGACCAACGAGAGGAAGCAGAGAGAGAAAGCCGCAGCGACGAGAAGGGGCGGGCGATGGGGCATTTGTACCGGACGCGTTGACTGACGAGCTGACTGGCTCGGCGGCTCGTTTAGCGGTCGAGGCGGCGAGGCAATCAGACCAACCGACCGATTCACTGGTGGCCCCGTACGGTTCCGTATTGTCACCGTGCTTGGCCCCGCTTTTCTTTGATTTGGTTTATGTAAGATCAAAATCTGGAAATTGTGACATTGAGTAAAGGTGCAAATTGTTGATTGTATGTATGGTACAGACTATGTATGTATAATTATAAACGCACATACTGGTACTAGGGACTTCCATCCTTGAAAGTGTACACGCAGCTAACCACCCACCATTGACTAGATATCTCATCAGGTAGTATTTACCCGTATTCATTCCTAGGATTGCAGTACAGTATTCTTCCTAAAGAGATAAAACAAAAACATCCAACCTTAGATATACCTATGTATGTAGAGGGGGGAAATTAAACAAGAAATAAAATTAATCAAAAAAAAAAAAAAAGAAAATAAAAGAAAATAAAAAAGAAAAATAAATAAAATAAAATAAAATGCCTCTCTCTTTATCGCTCTTGTAGGTATGCGGTGTAAATCCGGCCATCCCGAATTTTGTGACGCGCATCATGTGCAACCCAGGGCCGGCGAATCGCTCTCGGGATTTAATCCATGTCAGTGACAAATCTACCAGCCACCCTCATTGGCTTCCAAGGAATCCAAGGAACGTCGGTCCGTTTTTACGAATTATGCATTAGCATGCTGACAAGAGGATTACTACTACTTAGTCCTGGTTACTGTGGCTTCAAGTCCAAAGTTAGTGTCGATTAACAATCTAATAAAATTGTTCATGACAATGACTATTGCCATAACCTCCCTAAAAGATTTTTCTCTCTTTCTCCCTCAGACTAAAATCCGAGCTGTATAAAATATGTATACCCAAGCTAGAGTGATCTCCGATGATTTCATTACAGGATCTCGGCGGATCTCGTGAGAACCTGGAGCTTCGGCTACATTGCTTAATTAGGAAAGACACTCGGACGACCTGGGTGTAGCGTATCACTAATGCAGATATTATCACTTGTCACTAAGCAGTGAAATAATGATTGCCTACACAGCCATAAAATATGCGCAGTAATGATGATGGGACTATTGGAGCCATACGACACTTTTCTGATGAAACTGTAGTTCTGAAAGCCCTTGGTTGGTAGCCCTAATGGAGAAAAGTTGATTTAATTACTTAAATTCCAGGCTACATTGAGATCCGAGTGGTCTTTTTTATGAGAGTAGATGGCACGAAAAGCAAAAGAAACACTTGAAGCCAAGATATTCTAAAGTGTCTGCTTTGGATTTTGTTTACCTACTCTGTCCATTGGTGGTTACAGACTTTAGGTTAAAGTAATTCGTTCATATCGCCGTTAGATCCTGGTACCCTACCCTCCTTTTAACTGTCTGGGTACGACAAAAGATATCGCATTATACTATCGAGGTACAGGGAGTTTGGTTAAAACTCATTAAAGTGATCGGGTCAACAGAATCATACCGAAGTTTAATGCGCTATATCTTAGGTGGCTGTATACCCAGAATGCTACACAGTCTTCAATTGCGGCACACAATAGCAGAGCAGATCCAATGCCGATCTACTTGACACCACGTGTGGAAGTTTAGCCACTTAATCTACAGACAGTTCAGGTTTTCAGGTTTGCTGTCATATTTACTATGTGCCAATACCTAAATATGGGGAGATAGAAGCTCTTCTACTCGACACGTCTCTTTTATGATGTAAAGTAAGCCATCTTGAACCTCGTAAAGATTGAATATCTGAACATTATTAATGCGGGTCTCGTACGTTACAGTATTGTACTAAGGTGTATCTATGATGATGGGTCCATACGGAGTACAGTAGGTGCCTGTGCGTAGGAATGGTTTCTATACTAAATTCCCTGATAAAGCTCTGACCATCTGACGTCAAAGGCAGTCCAGACACACCGCTTTTCAACACATAATGAATAGAATGCATTGAATTATCATTCATGACAACCTACTGTAGTAATACTTGGTAGTGAGGCTCTTCCATTATTCTGTAATGGTATTAAGGAAATCTTTGTCATTCCACGGACAACCGAGCTTGACTTAAGCTATGTACAATGTAATCTCATCGTTCAACATTCAAAACACATGCCCATATATATACATACTCTGAAGTATACACTAAACAAAGTACCATGGTATAATATAAACCGACCACACATTCTTTAAGTACCCCTCGTCCAACACCCTTTTCTACCTATGTGCTAGGTATAATTACTAACTTCTTGACCCGAAAATGATTTAGATCGTAGACTAACCTTCTCCTCATCCACCACCCGTCCCATTAGAAGGTTCCACCAAAATTATCAACCTGTATTAATGTCAATGTCAGCACAGGCTATGACGGTTTGCTCGACTGTTCTCTCTCTCTCTCCTTGTTATATGTCGATCCTAGAGTTGCACAACCAGTCAATGGTTGTACTTCAAACCCTGCCACGGAATCCTTGTCAACAATTCCGGCAGATATCAAAAGGCACACTTAACTTCAACCAGGCTACATTCAAAAGATACATCCTAGAGAAAGTATTTTGTCAGCTACAGTGACTAACGCTAGTACTTTCTATATGACTCTATCCTCTGTGCTATTCAGGCAATCTGGCAAATAGAAAAATCTTAGGCCCCCGAAGAGGTTATAATGAGCCCGTTTTGCCAAAACACAATCGGTATATAATCATGGACTGGAGAAGCTTCTTCCGCAGGAAAATCCAGGATTACACCCTGCCCAAACCAGAGTCTATGAGCGATCATCCTGGTCCTAATAAGCGGCATAAACCTGTGCAGGAGACTTGCCTTGTACAGTCTGGTAACGGTAAGCGTATCCTTTAGCTTAAGCTTACGCATTGGATATGCTCGATGCTAGTCTCTTAGGTATTACAGGAAAATCCAGGCGGTACCATCCAAATTAGATTCAACCAGTTGCATAAGAGTGATAGACTGGGTACGGAGCAGACGTACATGCTTCGCGGTCTAGTCTAGAGCGACTCGAAGCCATAGCAAAATGCGGGGTCTCAAGATGGCAGTCATGCCATGATATTACATCCTGCCCTGTCATTTCCAGGTGATGTCTATTGTCGTATTGATTGACGTGGCTCACTCTGCTTTATAGAATACCAGTACGGTTGATATCAATTTACACAAGTCTGATATGCTCTCAATCGTACGCATTAGGGAGGTTGCAGATTCCCAGATGCTTGCATGGGGAGCATCATTAGTTACCATAAATGATACCACTCTGGTGGCATTACGCCATTGGGGCTGGAATGTAACGCAGCACCTCCTGACTATCGCAAGGGGGGTTGTGAAATGAACAGGCAGATCTTGTCCAGGATGCGCGCCCAATGAGAGCAGATCCATGCCCTTTCACGCCTTCAAAGGACGATACCCACTGTGATGCTGACGTTAAAACTGAATCATTGGTTCTCAATACTGAGAAGGAGAAAAGCATTGCCATTTCATAAAATTTTCGGCAAGTCCTTAGTTGCACTCGTCACTATCATATTTCTACGGAATCCTACTACCAACTAGTTCAGTCCTACTTCAAGCTATTACTTTCCCGCAAAAAGCGGTCTATAGCACTTCATGAGTTTCAGGGGCTGTCTTCTTCCTTAGTAGAAAATATTTCGTTGGATGAATGCTCGGAGGCTGCTTTTTGAAAACAGTCACTCTCCAAGTTTAATCAAGAAGGCAGTACGTAGCTTTAGATCGGCTTTTAATCCAATATTAGAGACTGGTCTCATCTTTTATCCTTTTCTCTTTCCTTCTGCATCATTCCATGTGGAAGACGCAGTAAGGGAGAGTATGGTTGATTTGTTGTACATTCACCGTATGACAAAACAAAGGCACGGTAGCAGTGAGATATAGGGCCGGTAAGCAGATGTATACACCATCAAGACGACAACTTTTTCCAGGAGGGAATACACATCCGCATTTTACCTATGTACAAGGATTCTCCCCAGGGCTTAACCCTTATACTGTGGCACGACATATCGGGCATCCAGGCACTAATGCCCGTACATACTACCTATGTAAATACTATTCTTACCATATTAGAAAAAACTTACCATCGGGCAACTCATACATTGTCAGGCTACACTCGCTAATCATTCACCGCTTGCTACATGTTCATCTCTTACAGGTCCAGAGTGATGATCCACGGCACGTCTGCCAGTTGTACATGCAGTACATAGAAACTAAACAAGTTATTTGCGCGCTGGTATGAAATTTTTCGATGAGGGTTCTGATAGATATATATCACTACAGAAAAACAAGCTTGGAGTATAAAAAAGAAACAAGTACAAGCGGGCATCATCCAATATATCGCTACCTACCGTTTTCTGCAACATCATAAAGCACCCACATAGGCAACATCTCGATATATAATGGACATGGCCCATCTTAACTTCGTATATGTACACTGGTTACATCGGCCTGGAGACTGCATTCGTTTGGGGCTGTGCCCGAAACCTCGCATGACGGCTGCGTGATAATACTCAAACGCAGATGAACCCAACACCGTGGTAAACGACCGAAGTGCTGAAATATTCAATAGACGATCTCTGATAATCCACGGTAAATTTCTTAGGTTGCAAAGTACTAAATAGGTGTGTTGCTTTAGGGTGGTGGGAGGCAAAAATGCAGGTTGAATGCGGGAGCGTTTGCTTATCAATTGGATGTTTATCCTTTGACTCCTAAGATGCCTCGATAATATTTTTGTTGGAGGGAAGACTTGATGCTTCCTCCATCATCTCCTACCCTTTCACATCTAGGTTCTCCCTTTCATGTCTACCTCTCCGTCTATGTTTCCCACCGGCTCACTTTTCTTTTCTTTTTGATGTGCATCACCAGAATACACGGCTCAGGGGGGAAAAATGCAGGGATTTAATTAGAATCTCTCGTTGACTAATTGCTTCGATGCTACTCAGAATTGCTCTCTAGAAGTAGTCTATATGCACTAATATCCCCGATCCCAGTTTGCATATTGCTATTAAGATCCATAAATTTCTCCGTGTAATCGGTAGAAAAGCTAGTTGATATATTAGCGTGACCAAAATATCTGAAGAGTAGATCAGGGCTCCCATTGCCTTCTATCCCGTTTAAGGGCATTGCTTCTATTTAATAGCACAAGGCGCATACCTTTGTATATGTTGGCACCATACTCCGCTGTGGTTGTAGATGGGTTATATAGTAGTACCATTCTCCAGGAGAAGTAAATAGAAAGACTTACGGGGGTTATTTGCATATGATGAAGAACAATCAAATAGGTTGAATGTTTAGATCGCCCCAAAGAACTGTTAGGACAACAAATTCAAAAGAAAGGGCGTATTAAACTCTTCATTTGAGAAAGGGATTTATTAAGAAACTGCTGGTACTGGAGGATTCTGAACCATGGGGAACCGCTGTGGAGAACAATTGGTGTTTCACATAGTGTGTTAAAAGGCGGATCGGGGACTAATAAATATCAAAGCCACCTCGTACCTGCATATCAGTGTGCGCCATATCCAGGGAGTGCCCATTTTCTCGAAATATCTACTCCGGTTCAACAGCAGGATATATACATACAGCAGCAGTCTTACCGAGGAAGCATAGGTTCTACTGAATCAACACGATGATTGGCAGCGGTGTGCTCATGGGGCGCTTATCTAATCCGCCCGCCCTTTCGGTCTCCCTGCGGCTTTTCCGTGCCTGCGAAGGGGAGCAAGTCGGCCAGACTTTCATTCGATCTATCCTTGTCATACAATCTCTCCCACAGCCTGTTGAGTTTTCTCCGAGAGGCTCTTTACCGGCGTCGGCCGCGTGACTTACTGCAACAAAACATACTGGGCTCGGTTTTATCGCAATCTTTGCCCCTGAGACGCGCCGGAATTTCTTCCCCAAACAAAGTATATATGTACTACAGTACATGACGTCTTTGTTGACACACAACTTCAACCTTTTATACCTACGAAGTGAAACCAAGGAAGGCAAAATACACATTTAGGGGAACTGTAGCGGACGTGGAGTTAGCCGGGCTGCGATCTTCTATCGGGCGGCGCTCCCCGAGGCGTTCGCGACTCGAGTATTCCGATTGTTCTCGCTTGCGGTTTGAGAAACAACTCCTCAGCAGCCGGCAGATACTGGACCCGAGTGCATGGGGAATTGGTCATAATGGCTCCAGGAGGTGGCGGAAATATCAAGGTGGTGGTGAGGGTACGGCCGTTTAATAGCAGAGGTGAGTCAACAATGCGATACATGCCGAGTCCGTGCCTCGCATTCTTGAAGGCCGACTTACTAAACCATCTCTTTGGAACTAGAAAATGACAGAGGGGCACAATGTATCGTTCAGATGAAAGGAAACCAGACCGTCCTCATCCCGCCACCAGGTGCCGTCGACAAGTTACGAAAAGCTGGCGGGAAGGGCGCGGTAGAAGGACCGAAGACGTTCGCCTTCGACCGATCGTACTGGTCGTTCGATAAGAATGCCCCAAACTATGCGGGCCAGGACAATCTCTTCGATGACTTAGGTGTACCACTTTTAGATAATGCCTTTCAGGGTTACAATAATTGCATTTTCGCGTACGGCCAGACTGGCTCCGGAAAGTCCTACTCAATGATGGGATATGGCAAAGAATACGGTGTAATCCCTAGGATCTGCCAGTCCATGTTTGAGCGCATCAACGAGATTCAACAAGATAAGAACCTCGGCTGCACAGTGGAAGTTTCCTATCTGGAAATCTACAACGAGAGAGTCCGGGACCTCCTTAACCCATCGAATAAAGGAAACCTCAAAGTTCGTGAGCATCCATCAACAGGTCCATATGTCGAAGACCTTGCCAAACTGGCGGTGCGCTCTTTTGAAGAAATCGAAAATTTGATGGACGAAGGTAACAAGGCTAGAACCGTCGCCGCCACAAATATGAATGAAACATCTAGTAGATCCCACGCCGTCTTCACGCTTACTCTTACGCAAAAACGTCATGATGCTGAAACATCGATGGATACGGAGAAAGTCTCAAGGATTAGCTTGGTCGATCTTGCAGGATCGGAACGAGCAACATCTACCGGAGCGACTGGTGCTCGGTTGAAGGAAGGTGCAGAAATTAATCGTTCGCTTTCAACACTTGGACGTGTGATTGCCGCTCTAGCAGATGTGGCTTCTGGCAAAAAGAAAAATGCCTCGATGGTTCCATATCGTGATTCCGTTTTGACATGGTTGTTGAAGGACTCCTTAGGAGGCAACTCCATGACGGCTATGATCGCTGCAATTTCGCCTGCGGATATTAATTTTGAAGAGACTCTCGGTACTCTACGATATGCTGACTCTGCTAAGCGAATCAAGAACCATGCTGTTGTAAACGAAGATCCAAATGCGCGGATGATCAGAGAATTGAAGGAGGAGCTGGCACAACTTAGAGCTAAGCTTGGAGGTGGTGTAACCCCTGGAGGAGGGGCGGCAGGGGGTGGTGCAGCAGGTGGAATACCTCCTGAGGAATATTACTCTCCAGATACTCCTTTGGAGAAGCAGGTTGTCTCCATCCAAAAACCCGATGGATCTGTCACCAAGGTCAGCAAGGCTGAGATCATAGAGCAGCTTAATCAGAGTGAGAAGCTCTACAAAGATCTGAATCAAACATGGGAAGAGAAGCTGGTAAAAACCGAACAGATCCATAAAGAACGAGAGGCCGCTTTGGAAGAGCTGGGGATCAGTATCGAAAAGGGATTTATTGGTTTAAGTACACCGAAGAAGATGCCTCACTTGGTTAACCTTAGTGATGATCCACTACTAGCTGAGTGCCTTGTCTACAATATCAAACCAGGAACTACCATGGTCGGAAATATGGACCAAGGGAGTCATGTGGAGATCCGATTGAACGGATCTAAAATTCTCGCCAACCATTGTAAGTTTGAAAATGTGGATAATGTCGTTACGATAGTACCAGGGGAAGGTGCAGCGGTCATGGTGAATGGTCTCCGCGTTGACAAACCCAAACGACTGAAAAGTGGCTTTCGAGTCATCCTGGGTGATTTTCATATATTTCGTTTCAACCACCCTCAAGAAGCGCGTGCTGAAAGAGTAGAGCAGAGTCTACTTCGACACTCTGTCACTACAAGTCAACTTGGCTCACCTGCCCCGACCAAAACACATGACCGCACCTTGAGCAAGGGAGGCTCCGAGGTTGACGGTGATTCTAGCAGGGCTGATTCTCCGATGCCCTCTCAGCGTGGGCAGGAGTCAGAATGGCTTTATGCTCGGCGAGAAGCTGTCAGTGCTGTGTTAGGCCCAGATCACATATCTCATATGCCGGACGATGAGTTGGATGCCCTTTTCGAAGATGTTCAAAAAGTAAGGGCAACACGACGTGCGCTGGTTGACCACGAAGAGGATTCCGACTCCCTGAGTTCCTTCCCAGTCCGGGACAAATACATGTCAAATGGCACTATCGATAATTTTTCTCTCGACACTGCCATAACGATGCCTGGAACCCCTCGTCAGAATGGGGAGGACGAGGGCCATAATGGAGGAGATACAGCGTTACACTCTGTACGTCAGGATATGCAACGCCAGCTAGATCAGCAGAAGGAGGAGTACCAAGAAAAACTAAGAAACGCAGAAGTTTCCTCAGGTCAAGGCGTCGAAAATCTCCGCTCCGAGAAAGCTCGGATGGAAGAAGCTCTGAGAGCGGCAAAAGAAGAATTTGAAGAGCAACTGAGGAAGCAAAAAGAAGTTTTTGAGACTCACATAAAAGACATGGGTCAACCGCTCCCAAAAATATATGAAAATGGTTTCGCGAAGTTAGATGCCAAGGAGCTCGAAATCGCAAGAACGATCTTCCGTCATTGGTCGCAACAAAATTACGTTCGTATGGCGGAGAAGATCTTGCAGCATGCTTCTTTATTGAAGGAGGCTCAGGTAATGAGCCATATTATGGACAAGAATGTCATCTTTCAATTCGCAGTTATTGATCATGGACATAACATGGCGTCATCCTATGATCTCGTGCTGAATGGCATCTCAGGAGACGAAGATGTTGTGCTTGACGAGGCTAAAAAGCCCTGCATTGCCGTCCGCGTGATTGATTTCAAACAATGCGTTATCCATCTCTGGTCCATCGAGAAACTCCAACGCCGCGTTCAGGCCATGCGCCAGCTGCATCAGTATATCGACCGCCCGGACTACATTCAACACTTCAAGCTCGAGAATCCTTTTTGCGAGCCTTGCTCTCCGAGGTATTCTCTGGTGGGTGACGCCGATATTCCGCTCACAGCGGTCTTCGAGACACGTGTCCAGGATTTTACAGTAGAAGTTACTTCGCCTTACACGCAAAATGTCATTGGTATCATCAGGTTATCTCTCGAGCCATCTTCGGCTCAAGCACCGTCCTCAACTCTGAAGTTTAACGTGGTCATGCGTGATATGATAGGGTTCGCTGAATGGGAAGGAACTGACGTTCATGCTCAACTTTTCGTACCGGGTATTTCCGAGGAAGGAGGCGCAACCACTACTCAGATGATAAGTGGCTTTGATGAATCTCCAGTGCGGTTTGAAAGCGTACACAGCATGAGTTTACCGCTTTCTAGCCCGCGTTCCGCGGCTTTGAAAGTTTGTGTCTACGCGCGCGTGACTCAGATGCATCTGGACAAACTTCTCAGTTGGGATGACATGCGAGACTCGGCAGAGCCGCCCCCACAGAAGCGCAAGACCCCACGTATTCCGGAGTCAGAGTTCTACTCAGAGGAGAGACATGACGTATTTGCGAGGACACAGTTGCTTGAATTGGCCGAAACGGGTGACTACCTCCCTGTCGAAGTAGTACAGAATAATAGTCTTGATGCAGGCACATATCAGCTCCATCAAGGTCTCCAGCGGCGGATCATGATAAACCTTACTTACAGTTCAACGGAAAGTCTTCCTTGGGGTGACCTCATCAACATCCGTGTGGGCTCTGTCCGGTTGCTTGATCCATGGGGTAAGATACCCGATCAAGATCTCCAGACTCCTGACGTTCTGTTGAAATTTGTCCAGGAGCCAGTGAGGAAAGATAATGCAGACGGAACATCCAATGTCAGCATTATTGGCCAGTGGGACTCAAGCTTGCATGGCTCTCTCCTCCTAGACCGAGTAACCGCGGATAAGTATCGTGTGCAGGTGACGGTTAGATGGGAGCTTATCTCATCGCGGCTACAGGATCCTGTTCCATTTGAGGTGGATTTGACTCTTCAGATTCAAGGTCGCACATATGTGCGCCCGCAGTCTATGTTCAAGCAGTTCTTCAACTCGACTCGGATTGTGCATTCAACAGTCCGCATGTTTTCCTTGGCTGTTCGACCCGTCTCTGCAAAGCGCGCAGCCGACCTGTGGCGCATGAACACGCAAAATGATTATGTGAAGGGAGAGGAACTCTTGACGACTTGGTCTCCACGAAAGGTTTCGCTTGTGCGGGACTATGTGGCAGCTCGCAAACGAAGACAACGGATTGCTGAGCTAAATGCTGCCAAAGGGGCTCTCGGTGCTCACTGTCTCATGCCATCAACTCCGAGGAGCGGACGGTCGACTCCTCTCAGAAAATTAGAGCTTACGGACCGAAAAACTAAGCTTCTCCAAAAGTACGTTGAGCTTTGGGCGACCAAGACTGACCCTATTGAAACCATTCTGGTCCGGAGCAACACTGAGCCTCCTGCAGGCGGCGCAGCTTTCGCCTCTCGCGCCAAGCAACTATCCTCGGGCGATGATTCTAGTTCTTTCTCTGAGGAGGTGCCGCTGAAGCCTCGATTCGTTGCAACTATCCAAACCCTTCCTAAGAACACTTCTTCCTTGAAATCAGGGTATCTGCTGACGCCTGATGACACGAACAGCCATTGGGTGCGCCGTTTCGTTGAACTTCGCCGCCCGTATCTTCATATTTATTCCGTTCCTGAGGGTGACGAGATCAATGCCATTAACCTGCGCAATTCGCGGGTGGACCATGCACCCGACTTTGCGCGATTACTTGACGGCCCAGGCGTGGGAGCCGATCAAGGCGCATCACCCAGGGGCCGGCCCAACGTTTTCGCAGTGTATGGGTCCCAGAACACATTCCTGTTTGCTGCCCGGACCGAGGCCCAAAAGGTCGAATGGATCTTGAAGATCGATGAGAGTTACTTCAGCAACAATGCTCCCAAGCCGGCAGTTAGCCGCTCTAGAGGATAAATATTGCCTTTTATATTCATATAACGTCTTGACACGTTGGACGGCATCTGCGACATGCGTTGGACTTGTCCCTTAACTTCCCCCCTTTTGCCTTCTAAAACATAGAAATCGGCAATCGCCCTTATATCCTCTGATTCTCATCCTTCTCACTCAAGCGCACATGGCTTTCTGACATCCCAGCCACTCGGTTTCTTGTTCCACATCGGCGACAGAGAGTCCGGTCTGGGGTTTATCATTTGTTAAACTTGCCCCTTGTCTTCACGAAACACTTTCTTGATTGATTTTGAGATACCCCTGATACATCTTACACTTGCAATCTCCCTGTACATATTTGAGAGTATATTTCAAGCATAGATAAAGAGGCCTACTGTGTCCGCAGGCGGCAGTGGCCTTTGTTTAGTGAATAGTTTCCTGAGTAGAAGTGAATTCGCCTGTGAACTGAAGGGATGATAATCATAATATCTGCCTAAATTTAGATAATCATCTACTAACTAGTACTAGAAGGATACAGACCTGTCATCATTGGCCCGCGGATCTGTTGCCATGGAAACATATCAATCTATCATCAGTGAATCTTGACGTACAGGTGTCTATCGACACGCATTTCATATTCGTTCCAGCAATCCACGATTTAATGAATTTATGAAAGTGACATGACGGTTTTTCTTGTTCCCTCTATCAACACACCCTAGATTAGTGGGTACTCCGCTGCCGAGCATTGTGTGTCGTCTACCCTGTCGGAGCGACAAAATCGCAACCGTTGAATAAACAGGAGACCAAATTAGATCTATATATATTCCCATTACCCGAAAGAGAGAATTGTAAACCGACACAAAGTATACAACGCAAATGCACTGGTCGCAGGGTCAGTCCACCCGACTCCGCTTTTTGGGTATGGGCGCCGTGTGCTCGTTGATCGCTATAACATTCCTCATCTTCAGCACTAGATACTCCGCCGAAGTCGCCAAATATGCGCTAAAGGGCCCTGTGGGACAGCCTCCATTAACTTCTCGGCCTACATTCTGGAATGATTCTTCTTGGGAGTTCGAGGTTAAAAGAGATGGGAATGACCATGGTCTTTCTGAAGAACAGTGTCGCGCCGCGTTCCCAAAACTGTTTGTTGAGATCGATAAGACTGCTTCCCTTAGAGAGGATAATCCAATCCAGTTCAAGGATGTGGATACCTTGACGGTGGAAGATGGGATGGTGAGAGGTATTATCGAACAGGGCGAGGTTGGTGTTTCTCTATAATCCTAGGAGATTGAATGTTGACTTTTCCTACGACAGTTATATATTGTTGATTTTGGAGCAATGCCCGCCACCTTCACGCGAGGGAAGGCGACATTGCATTCATTACAACGCGCGTTGTCTTCGTTCCCGGACCGAGGTCGTCTCCCAAACATCGAATTCGTTCTTACAACGGAAGACTACAGCAACGGAAAGGGCCCAATTTGGTCATATTCCAAGCGCGACGAGGATAGCAATGTCTGGCTGATGCCGGATTTTGGATACTGGTCATGGCCGGAAGTGAGGATCGGACCATATAAGGATGTCCGACGCCGAATTGCCGCAGTTGACGACGGGGATATAACGATAAATGGCCAGGTTGTTCCTGGCTTGCACTTTCACGACAAGAAGAAACAGCTCGCTTGGCGAGGCAGCGTTGCCACTAATCCCCAGGTGCGTGGCAAATTATTGAAAGCAGCCCAGGGCAAAAGCTGGGCCAGTATACGAGTCATCGACTGGGATGACGAGAACGACATCCGGTTCAATCTGTTACCTATGGAAGAGCACTGTAGGTATATGTTCCTAGCACACACAGAGGGACGCAGCTTCTCAGGGCGCGGCAAGTATCTCCTCAATTGCCGTTCGGTGGTCATCTCGCACAAGCTGGTCTGGCGAGAAGCACACCATGCCGCTCTCATCTCCTCTGGTCCGGAAGCAAACTACGTTGAAGTCGAGCGTGACTTTTCTGACCTGGATAGAAAAATTGAGTTTCTAATTGACAATCCAGAGGCTGCTGAGCGCATCGCAAACAATGCGGTGGAAACCTTCCGCGACCGATATCTCACCCCGGCTGCGGAGTCATGCTACTGGAGGCATATGATTCGACAGTATGCCTCGTCTTCCAATTTTGAGCCTGTTTTGTATAGTACGCAGGCTGATGGGAAAAAGAAGTCCCGTGGGATCCCATTTGAAACATGGGTTCTGACTTCTTAGACTCTGTATGTACTATGTTTGTCCTTGTCTATTTGACTTTTTCTTTTCTGTTTTTAAGAAAAACAGTATTCAGTATATATGCATTGCATGGCTTGGTACGGTTGAAAAATAATTAAATTCATTGCCTTTTCTCTTTCTCATTTCAACCTAATGAGTAAAAGGTCTTGATTCCTTGGTTGTGTTATGACCTAAGTGTAGACCGTCAGGTTTACAGTAGTTAATAGTTAAGGTCGAATAAACAAGTCCCCCCATTCCCCTCATTTTTCTCTCGGTTTATACTCTATTTGGCAATCTCAACAATTTTTCCATGGCTGTCCTTTACGGTCCTATGGATATTTTGAAATCAGTACTGAATGATATGGATCAAGTCCCTTCAAACCTTCTTTTCTCGACGATGCATCGATCTCCATGCCATCATACATCAAGACAGAGAAAAGGCCCAGTGACTTGTCCCCAGAGTGTGCAGTGTAGATAGCCCCACCGGCCCCGAGTGGACTTAGCCAGAGATCGCCGCGATAAATGATGTGATACTGCAAGGATAACACTTTTTTTTCTCCGCAGATCTCTTGCGGGGTGGAACCTTTAGGAACCTTTATGGTTAAAAAGACTGTTTGTTGAAACCCCCAGCGGAAAAGTATCGCTCACCTGACGAGGACACGAGAAACCAAAGACCTCCTGACTTATTTCCAAAAGACCGGTTCTGCTAGTGAATCAAATGCTACTACTGCACAATGATCTGTCTTCCTACCATACATGGGGATAGACTAAATACCGACACGGTTTTTGAGTTTTTGGTTCTCAGGAAGTATCGCGATCGGATGACACAAGTTGCAGCAGTAGAGACTGATGTTTCACGCAAGGACCACAGCTGGACGGCACTTATTCTCCTTTGGCAAGATCTCCGTTAGAGGCGCTCCCTGATAGGCAAGAGGCTGATACCGATTCATTGAGCAGAACCCCACGAATGACTTCAGCACTTGCCTTGTGTTGGTTGGTCTTGGTTTCTCGATTGGTTGCGAACACTTATTTTACGAGTGACATCAACTAGTGATCCAAGTTGAAGCAGGGGAAATTTATGGACTTCATTGTATGGATATGCTTTATCTCATGGTCGACAACGCACACGGAGCCGGTTGAATGCAAGCATTACCACACTACCCTACGGGAAATCGAATCGGGGGAAAAAGAGTTGAAGGAGCGCCCTGAAAAGCCCTGTAACCATGGGCGGGACCATTCCAAGGGACAAACAAGCAGTGGAGATTCTACGACTTCCGAAGGCGTCTGGCACAAGAGTTTGTTGGCATATGAATGCCTTGGGGACTTGAATTAGGCACGTATGACCTCAGCAACACAATGAGTGTCCGGCGAAAGACACTTAACCTACTGGTTATCAATCAAATGCTTTGAGCATCATCGTTTCATGGACTATTGGCGGTCAGTAACCCCTTGCGTCTACTATCTTGTCTCCATCATTTCCGATCCTCACTTTCCTCCGGTAGTAAGCTCTTTGTCTCGATGATTCAATGAAAGGCTCGATGAATTTACCCTCGGGATAAACCGCCCGTATCCTCGTTTATGTTACGGATTCGGTTTTATGGGCCAGAGGAAAGAGGTAACAGAGAATGCCCTACAGCCGGCCTTGCGGGTTATGAATGCCGCTTTCGGAATCATGCGCGCGAACCACTTCTCGCTTTTGTACTATAGAGCCGAGTTGTTTTTCTTTTCTTTTCTTTTCTTCTTTCTTTCTTTCCTTTTTTTTTAAAAAAAAAAAAATCTACTAGTGAGATCGATCCATTTTTCTATCTTCCCCACGGCGGCATCCAGGGACCGCGTGCAGTTTATCCCGGCCAGAGCAATCGGCCTGGCAAAAGCTTCAGGGAGAATTTGAAATCGCATCCAGACTTTGCCACCTCACATCGTCTACTAATTCCATGCTCTATTGACTTGGCCCACTAACGTTCAACCTATGTCAAATGACGTTCTGCGATCGATCCCCCACACCTGCCTTAGTCCCAACAAAAATGGCGATGCATCGTGTACTTAGGCCCAGAGGCCCAGTCACTATTTTTATGTCCGGCATCAAATGACTAACAAAGTCACCTGGAAGGGAAATGATCATGCTACTAGATGCGGACAATGGCGTGCGTGCTTAACAGTTGCCACTATCACCTAAAAGCGATCAAGTATAAAGCATTAAGACGTCTGGATGAGATGGTATGTCTGTACAGAATTCTTCTCTTGCTGCCACTCGCAGACTGCATGCCTCCCAGCCCCCCTGTGAGCTTCTGACATTATCTTTTTCAACGATTTGTGCCATTAGTTTCCGAGAACGTCAAGTCTGTCATGTGGCTGCCCCAGCTCCTCACTTGGGCCATAGGCCTTGGCCAGATACCAAATGTGCTGGCCTCTCCTTTCCGGGTGCAAGAAGCTGGTGCCGTAATGGCTGTCAATTCTGACTTTCCAGATCCAAGCTTTGTACAAGCACCGGACGGCACATGGTATGCCTTTGGTACTAATGGAAATGGGAAGCGTGTCCAGGTGGCTTCATCTTCGGACTTCAAGACATGGAATCTCCTTGACAAAGAAGCTTTGCCTACACTTGCGGATTGGGAGACCGAAATAGACCACTGGGCGCCGGATGTGATAAGACGGGTATTTGATCTCTTCACAATCTGTCCTTCTATCGAGCGAACTCTTGTGCTGATTGGGGTTCTAGAATGATGGCAAGTACGTCATGTACTACTCGGGAGAGGCCAAGCAGGAGGTGAGGCACCATTGTGTTGGCGTTGCTGTCTCTGAGGGTACCGATCCTACAGGGCCTTACGTCCCTAACGAGACACCTCTGTCATGCCGCCTAGACCAGGGTGGCTCGATTGACCCGGCGGGCTTCCTAGACAAGGATGGCAGCCGATATGTGGTGTTCAAAGTCGACGGCAATAGCAAAGGAAACGGCGGTGACTGTAACAATGGTATCGCCCCCCTCAAACCGACCCCTATTCTTTTGCAGAAAGTGGCAGAGGATGGTTTCACTCCCATTGGTGATGCTGTCCAAATCCTTGATCGTGATGAAACAGATGGACCACTAGTCGAGGCCCCTAATCTGATCTTACATGGAGATACATACTTCCTCTTTTACTCCACACATTGCTTTACGGATCCCTTGTACGACGTTCGTTATGCAACCTCGAAGTCTATCACAGGGCCCTATGTCAAGAACGGGAAGAAACTACTCAAAACTGGTGACTATGGCCTTACTTCTCCTGGTGGTGGTACAGTCTGCGGCTGCGGTGATAGGATGCTGTTCCACGGCTTCTGTCGAGACAACACAAGGTGTACATATGCTGCCCGCGTTGACATAACAGGCGATCAGGTAACCCTGCTATAATTCCAACAATTTATCGATTCGTGCTCTGTATTAGATTGGAAGAGTTGTCGGGCCTCGGTTTCACTGCACATTACTTTATACGGCTAGCCCGTCATTTTCACTCTGTTTGTCTTTGTCTTTGACTTGAACCTATCCTCATCGTTCCCTCAGATCCAACACGCAAGAACAGCTTTAGGGCTCATTCTAGAGCTTGTGTTGACATCACTTGGTAATACATTTTGGGTATCAATATACTTGTCTAGCTGTTCTCTTTGATGACTCCATCTTTGATCCTAATTTGGTTGCATATCTTGGCATCCTATGTAACACGGCAGTTTCGTCTAATGTTGTCATTTCCATTAAGTATATGCCCGATTAGCTAAGCAGTGAGACCGTTGGGTATCTATCTACATGCAATGTACAAATCATCATCAATTCATTACTAGCCTGACTGCTTAGGGGCCTCTGATCCCCCTTTCCTTTTCGATTGGATGCTTTCTACCCACCTCTCAGCCCCTTCGATAGCACCCTCAGGGTGCCTCTTGTAGTTCAAGAGATATCCCTGAACCTCAGCAGCAGTGCACTCCCCATCTGGAATTAGCGAAGTAAACTCGTCTGCCAGGTTCTGGATTTGCTCCCGCGAGAATCGATGCCATGGGACCTCTGGAACCACGTGGCCCTTTTTGGATCGTTTCGCCCTTGATGACCGTATATCACCCTCAAGCGTGGAATAGATGGCTGAGAAAAGCTCTTTGATATCTTCAGACTCTGCATATCCGAATTTGATAGACATGTCGACCCGTCCAGGCCGAAGGAGAGCGGGATCAAGCTTCTCAGGGTGGTTCGTCGTCATGACAAGGATACGACCTTCACTGGCGGCTACACCATCAATCACGTTAAGAAGGCCAGATAGAGAGACCCCCTGCTTTGAGGGAAAAGAGTCGACGTCCTTGGATGTGTCGTTGTCTTTGTCTTCAGCGGGTTTGCCCGCCGAGTCGTTGCTACTATCGCTGACCCGCTTCTGCGTAATCCCAGCGCAGTCGACATCCTCCAGTAGAACAATGCACCGGCGGGGCAGTTCCTGGAACAAGGACATGAGGTCATCTTCGCCGAAGGCCTTGGAGCTCAGGTTGAGAAGATACAAAGGAAGCCCCATCAAACCAGCCACCGCAAAGCACAAGCTGGTCTTCCCTGTCCCGGGTGGTCCGTGGAGAAGATATCCCCGTCTATAGGGGATACCCCGATTTGAATACCACCTCCTAGTCCTGGGATGAAGATACTCTTTAATATCATCGACAAAAGCATCCTTCTGCGCCTGGTCGAGAATAACAGTGGAGAGGGGCCGCGGCGCGCGCGCCATGCACCGAGACCAATCAACATAATCACCGGGGCTCTTCTGGCCGCGATAAATGATAGTGCTGCTCCCGTCACGGCCAACATAAACCCGCTGCGCCTCGGCTAACAGCTCTTTCAGGACTGTTGGATCCCGTCCAAAACAGGACAAATACAGCCTCTCGGGTTCAAACCGCGCACCCCACCGGGACGAAGAAGATGTCTTATCGCCCTTCGCCCTCACAAACGCCAACGGTCGGCCGCGGAAAATGAAATAGTGCGTCCCCTCAGCAGGTGTGAATCGCAGGCGCTTAAACTTATCCCGATTCCGCGTCTTCGCCCAGTATTCGTCGAAGTTGTTGATCACGTTCCCGTCCTCGTCGTACTCGTCCTCTTCGCCCCACTGGTCACCATCGTCGTCAGAATCGTAAGAGTACGATTGATTGGAGAGCCGTGTTGCAGCTAAGAATCGTGTACTCCGGTTTGCAAATGGCTGCTGCGCCATCCAGTAGAGGAGATAATTGGAGATTTCATCGTCGAGGCGGATCTCAGCCGTCGCGACGCAGTGTTTTCCCAAGAGGTCCTTGAGCTTAGACGCAGAGTACTTCAGCACGGCAGCGAAGACAACACAAGTGATCATGTAAGGGAGGTAGAGGGAGAGGTCAATTTGGAGGTAAGAGATGAGGAATCGAGAGATGAATGTGTAACCTGGAATAAAGGCTTCAAGGAGGGCGGTATCAGAGGGAGACAGAAGGGGCGCAGTGGTCAAGTTCATATTGGTTTTATTGATAGTATTTGGAAGCTGCATCGACTCCATGATTTCTAAGGACAATTCAAACAGGGTCTACCTGCAAATAATGTTGGGAAAGGCCGGTCTCGGGATGTATAAGATGTCCTTCGGTCAAGTTATACCGGGGAAGAGACTGAAGGACGAAGCCAAATTTGAAGAATGAACGACCCAAAGAATCGAGTCAATCGACTGCTTTTCTCCCTTCTCCTCGCTTGATGTATCTAGCAACATGATGGGTATTCCGGTGTCTTTATATCATGTTCTTGTGGTGTTACTCTCCGCAGGCATCAATGCGCTACAATAGGTCCCCTAATGCAGGCTTATTGATAGATAGGCATCCATTGGATCTCGCCGTTTGATTGAAACATTGAAAGCTACGGGTTAAGCTCCACAACTATGAAGTTTTCAATATGTCTCCGTGATTGGTCATGGATTGTGGCACATTGCGGCTGGACTACTTTTGAGTCATCGTCGGGTACCCGATTAGGGCAAAATGGCTTTTGGGATCGACTGTGGAGATTTTCAGCCTCATCGCGGAGGCAATATTCATAGGATCAAATATATTTATTATTGAGCTAATCAAGTGATTGAATTATCCAACAGCATATATATATTATCTAATACAGAGAAAGTGGGTATCTTGAGAGAAAACTAGTATATACTATCCCGCTATCGTAGAGTCGAGTGGCTCGCGGATAACGTCGGAATTAAGGGAGATTGTCCTTCACCGTATCAATTAAATCGCCCGCCCAGTCCTTCAGATCCTCAATTTTATCCCAGAGAGTATCCCACCAGGTAAAGGGGCGATCATCTTTGCTGTCTGTGTCATCTTCTGGCTCATCCTTCGGCGGGATTGAGGGAGCAGCTGGAGAGGTAGCTACTGGGCTTTTGGAAGAAGAAGCGACCGGTGTCACGCTAGGCGATACCATTGCAGCGGTGCTACTAGCTGGAGGGTCCGAGGGGGTTTCAAGAGCTGAGGCGTCTTCATCCGAATGGAGGCCCACGGGTTTCAGAGGCAGGCGTAACGTTCCATTATTCGGACGTGGGTCGAGACCAAGAGTATCGCAGATGATGTTATAGACATTGACATTTTCTACCTTCGGTTAGTTCGTTTCTAACGCAAGATAGGATAACACATACGGAAAATTTCCACGCGGCTGTTTGGTTGATGTGGAAATGCAGGCCCTCGGGCGATAAAGATTGCCCGCATGAGCGGATGTTCGTGATCATACCCGTGGACACCTCTCGGGCGATACACCTCTCCTTTCTCCAAGGCGCTATGAACGTCGAAGTCAGGCCGTTCAACCACCGCCCAACCGGTTTTAGGAATTACCCAAAGAGGGGCGATGCGGTCATTGTTCGTAAAATGGTAGCGCTCGGGCATCGTCTCACGAGTGTAGATCTCAATAGCATGTGAGTAATTTACAGCGATACTCGCCAGCTGGTTCTGAAGAGACCCAAGATCTTCTGGGCGTTTAGGACGCAACCCACGCAATGGCCATCCATCAATGCGATCCACCAGGCTAAGGTCGATTAAATCATCCAGCTGTACCAAACGTTCGGTTGCCGTTGTGGCCATGCCATGGTCCGAAACAATCACTATGTTCACAATCTCGGTCAAGTTTCGCTGCTGCAGACCGGAGAAAAGACTGCCCAGCATATCATCCACTTGTGAGATAGTGCTCCGGATCTCCGTGCTGTTAGGTCCGTACTTGTGTCCATCAGCATCAACATTAGGAACATAGGCAGCAATGAACTGGGGTCGCTCCAAGGCTATTTCGGACTCATCCTCCAAACCAGGCATATCAAGATATTCCAGGATGCGATTGACTTTGCGAGGGAGCGCTTCCGAGCCATTGAACTTATCGAGAATTGTCGGCTCAACTCCGCCAATGTGTGCTTCGGAGCCTGGCCACATATGAATGGCAGTCTTTATCCCCTGGTTTTCGGCTGCCATCCATAATGGCTCGGCGTTCCACCACTTGGGCTGCATACTAACTGACGGATGGGTGTAGTAGAACTCCTCCTGCAACTCCGGATCCCAAAATGTATTTCCGACAATCCCGTGACTTTCAGGGTATAATCCGGTAATGAGGGTGAAATGGTTCGGAAAGGTGACACTTGGAAAGCTGGGAAGCATGTACTGTGGCGATATGCCTTCGGCAATGAGCTGGTTGAGGGTCGGGGTTAACCCACGATTAAGGAAATCCGCTCGAAATCCATCAAGAGAGATCAGAATGGTCGTAGGCGCGAAGAGAGCAGTACCGTTCGACAGTAGTGCTCTGGATAAGTTGGACGTCCGGAAAGGTGCTGATGCTTTGTATGCTCCGAGGAGGAATATAAGGAAAATAACAAAGATAGCGGCAAAGACCAAGGCCAGTTTAAGCCACGAGATGCGCTGAGGCCGCTAGAAGAGAAAATATGCTTAGTATGCAAATCATAAACGTATGCTTAGTATGTATTACTGCCATCATACCTCATCGCCAGCATACTCCTTGAGTTGTCTGTCCAGATCGGATGATGATCGGCTCAGAAGGGAGCTATCATCGTCCTCCCGATGTCCCTCTTCCATTTCGAACATCAACTCCCCCGAATCAGTCATTTTCTCATGCTGTCCTCTGCGCGCATTTCTCCTTTCCTCCCGCCGTTTCCGTCGGCGTTCTCGTTTTCCGATCTTTACACTTCCGCTGCTGGAGCTAAAGATTCGCCGCAGACCGTAAGTCGGGCCTCCCCTAATTAATAGCTTCTCCGTTTCTTCCTCATCATTCAGCACGGTACGATCATGCTCAGCTAATTCCAACGTGGTTCGAGACCGGCGGAGAAACTCGTCATCTTCGGAGTCAGAGTCCTGCTCTGACGGCGATCGCAACGACTCGGCATCTTCATCATAATCGCCGGGGGAAAGGAGAGAATGAGTAGGAATATTACGTCGTGTAGGCATGGGGATTGATAACGAACGACAGGGGCCAATCAATCCCAATATTTTATCAATACATTGAACGGGATGATATAGGCGGATTAGTGAGTGGACAGGAGCAAGGACAAGGGGACTGATAGACAGATAGATTGATTGATTGACGGTGCTGCAGGCCATTAACCCGAGGCGTGACTTTGATTGATGGCCTTAGTCACCAATTTTGTTTTGTTTGGTTTGACATATACAATCCAATCTCAAATATTTATCTATTTATTTGTGACCCATATTTAATGAATTGGAAAAATATAAATGATGCTCATTTTGAAACTTTCATACTACCTCACTTTAATTAACCTTCATTTCCATTAACGATAGGAAGGGTATACCAGTCTCCGCTTGATGAGACTTGGAGGTACCGGTTACGTACAGCCTTTAATTCGAATTAATCTACCGTATCTTTGCTGCCCTATACCACCAGTATCTACTCCACAGCACCTAATGTCTATTCGCTATGATTAGTTTTGATGGAAGCAGAATGGCGCTATTATCCTAACAATCAGGGCTTGTTCGGAGTTTCAGGGCTTCACTAGATACAATACATAGTATTATAATAATTTAGGGACACCGTTCGAGTCATCCTTGGGGAGGTCTAAAATTAGTGGCTGGAAGCCATAAGTAGGGGCTATTCAGGTAATCCAAGCTCTCTATGCAGAGTGAGATATATCCGGAGAGAAAAGTTCCAAATATCCAGCACAGACTTTGGAGGGTTGGTGAACCTAAACCGGACAACTCAAAATCAGGAATACTAGGCTAGCAATAGAACAGATACGGGATTATCCTAGAATCTCCAGCTCGAATGATATAGATGACATGTAGTGGCAGTACTCAATGACATATATAACGCGCCATTGTGTTGGCCGCAGTGCCAATTTTGCAGTTAGGTTATTCAAAGCAGTTTATGGGGATCTATTCCGGAGCATTCTTTGGCCAACCGGGCTACCTGTCTTCATAGAGAGCTTTGATGTCTAAGCTTAAACAAAAAAGACCGCAGGTTTATGAATTTGTGAGATCTTTGGCCTCACTACGGAGTATGGCCGAATTAGTCTATTTTGGGGTAGGCTCTAGCCATCGGATACTCAGACTAGGCAATACGGATTATAGTTTCGAAAAGTTCAGTACATCGCAGTGAATATTATATCGATAGCGATGGTCGCAACGAGAGAGCACACTTCAGATGCTATGACAGGTCATAAGTGGAACCGTTTATCAAATGTCATAAATAAAAAACACCAATACATCATTGGGTCCTCCAAGTCTATGGGTCCGCGGACGGTTTCCGGAGGAATGCACACTGGGATACAGGAAGAAGGAACGATGCATGAGGCCAGGGCTCATGTGGCCATCTGGACAAGTGCTTAGGTTGGGTAAATATCTCATGATCTTTTCCATAAAAGTAAAACTAGCGTGGATCTCATTTTGCCATTTCCGAACTCAGTGCCGCAGTATGTAGTAGCCGAAGAACGGAAACAGTTGCTGTTAGCTCTGCATCAAGAGCTTTGTTTTCCGGTCAGTATTGTGTGAAATAAACTCATTGTATTTCTTTGACTTGAAGGTGGGGAGTCCAAAATCTCCGCGTTAGCATCATTCAAGTAGGGAGCATCTTAAGCCTGAATCGCCTTACTTATTTACGCCTGAGAATCCTATCCACACCCGAGGGGATTCTAACGCCGAGTGTATCATTCGGATATTTGCCAGGAAATCAAAAGAACATTGACAATAACATCATTGGTTTAAGGACGGCATGAATCGGCTTGCCAACCTAGAGATATAGTTCGCGAGACTTAAGGCGCAAATCACATTGGCCATGGAAATATGGGTCTGGCATGGGGCACGCCCGTAAGTAATTTGATCAACGTGGGCCCCCTAGCTAATTGGTTTACTTTAGTTTGGTTCATTCCGCCCGGTCAATTGGGTGGAATGCTAGTTGGTAATTCATATATATCATCGCGTCTAGCAGTATCGTATCATTGTGACAAGGGAGAGTATTGAAAATCTGGCAGGACTATCAACAAGGAGTGACTAGAGCCAAGAGTTTAGTGATATAGCTATTTCCCAAAACCAACGATCAATAACTTCAACAAGCATACCTATCACTCATCTGGGCTATGTTTAAATTACATTTAGGAAACTAGTATTATAATGCATTCAATAACGTATTTCACAAACGGGATAGCCACCCCACGCATTTTGACCACGCTCGAAAACCTCACCCACTTCAACCACCAGCCATGCCTCCAAAAGCGCGCCAAAATTCAAGAAATCTAGTTGAGCAAGAGGGGAGAATCCTGCTTGCTATGTCTGCTTTAAAAAATCAAGAAATTAGTAGTATTCGTGAAACAGCACGCATTTTTAATATCTCTCGCTTAACTTTACAAACCTGACTACACGGTATATCAACATGCCTCGAAACACGCGACAATAACTATAAATTATCTTAAAATAAAGAGGAATTGCTTGTCTGATGGATTTTATCACTAGATTGACATGGAGCGCCTTCTAAACTATCAGATACACGAGAAATAGCTAATATTCTTCTTGCTAGCCGCGGTACTATACCTATTCAATCAGTTGGAGTGAACTAGATTACCAACTTTATTAAACATTGTCCTGAAGTGAAATTCTGCTTTTCTTGACGATATGACTATCAACGCGCTAAATGAGAAGACACTAAAGTTATTAAAGAGTGGGACCGTGTACAAATCACTATAATGCAGCATGGGATTGCATTAGAGAATATCTATAATTTTAATGAGACTGGCTTTACTATGGGCCTAGTAGCTGCTACTCGAGTTATTACTAGAGCTGATTACTATGGAAAAGCATGTCTTGTACAGCCGGGCAATCGGGAATGAATTACTTTAATTTGAATATATCAGCTCTATTAGTTAGATACTTTCTCCATGCATTATTTTTAAAGGGAAGGTCTATATAGAGGGCTGGTATTTCAAAGCTTCCATTGGATAGCAGGACTGAAGTTAGTTCTAATAGATAGACTACTAATGAGATAGGCCTTCACTGGCTTAAAAATCTCTTTATTCCTGCTACTACTAGTCATACAACTGGGAAATACCGGCCTTTAGTTATGGACAGCCATGGCAGCTATCTTATACCTTAATTTAATCAGATATATAGTAAGAATAATATTATTTCTATCTATATACCTGCATATTCTTCCAACAAGCTATATTCTTTAGATATAGGCTGTTTTCAGTCTCTAAAAGGCGCATACAGCGATTTTGTGAAGCAGAAAATAAGTTTAGAAGTCAGTGTTACAGACCCTTGCCTAGTGTGCCTTATCGAGGAAAGCGGACGCGCAAGGCAGAAAGTGATAGGACTACAGTTAAAGAAGAACGGATCATGGCTACCCGAAGATAAGATAAGAACATGTCACGTGATACCTACTCCGTCACCTACCCCGAGGGGTATACGACGGAGTATATAGGACTACGCGCGATGATTGGATATACCCCAGACCTACCCCCAGGGGAGTCACCACGGGAGTAGCCAACAGAGGATATATAAGGACACTCATTCATGTACTCAGTTTAGTTCTTCGTGATCAATTATCATTGTTACTTAGGATACGCCTTTGGTATCAAGTTAGTAATCGACTCGTTCGCACTTCCTTAACTACTGAGTATACGTACTTAGTAGGCCTGGCCTTTTGGACTTGAGTTACCCACGGAACATTGTTGCACGTCGTCCAGACCCCGGATTAGGTCATACTGTCGGATCCTGGATAGGATCATATTCGGAATCACATCGGATTCATTGCTCAGGTATAGTAGTATCGCAACGCAAGGCAGCTAACACTCATAAGAGCTCTTGCCCGAATACCCAGGCGTAACAGTCAGCTATATTAATGAGCTTGATTTTCTATAGATCTTTTTAGAGGCTCGCAAAAGTACTTTTACAATAGAGAATATTTAGAATAGCTTCGCAGGTACTGGCCTAGTCCTATTTAATCCAGATAGGATACTAAGTATATTAGATATTTAACTGAAGATCCCTATATCACCAGGCAGTCAGTCAACCCATTCCGCGCCTAAAACATCCTATACTACTAGGCAGCTAGAGAAGCAGGCATCTGCAGCAAGGAAGCTACTTAAAGAACATGCTTAAAGCCCTTTTTCTTTGCTAGAAGCACGATTAGATAAGATTATTAAAGGTCATGAATTGACTCTTAATGAGCTTATTCTTATAAAGAAAGAGATACGCAGACATCGTGCTAATAATAAATGGAAAGGCCAAAAGCGGAAGAAATCTGCTAGATAGCTAGCTATAGAAGAAGGCTTATCTCTCCAGGAGAGCTTAGAGCGATTCCAGCGTGAGAATGAGGTTCAGGAAGCTCAGGATACTATCCCTATAGATCCAGTGCTTTCTGCAGTTAGGCCGCGCGTACAAGCGCCACTGCAGTGTTCTAATTGTCATGTTCGAGGACATACTAGAGTTAGATGTCCTAAAACACTTAGTAATTAATTTATATATAGAAATGCAGTTGTTTTGGTGAAAAAGGCTCTAGTAATTGGCCCGCAGGCAGAAATCGGTGGCGGGTGGCTCCCGTTTGTGTGGCCATCCCGCTTGTGGAATACGTTAATAGATAGTTATGACTAAATAATTAAATAAGCAGCGCGGGTAGTGTAACGGTTATCATCCTTGCCTTCCAAGCAAGGGACCCGGGTTCGACTCCCGGCCCGCGCATACTTTACTTTTTTTTCTTTGCATCAAAGTATGATCAGGAAGGAGTTGGGATGAACCTAACTAAACAAACGGGTTAAAATAAAATGATTTCCAGCGGAGTACATACTGGATTGGGGTAGAGTTGGTGGGAACATACAGAGTATAGCTTTTGAATATTCCGCCGGAGCTAAAAACATTTAACAATAGAGATAAAAAACAAGCCGCTTTCTGTGCACTTTCTAAAGACCCAGTTCACTGGAATTTAGTCTATTAGTTGTCGCTACCTTAACTGAACGTAGATCCGACTTGTCTTGTCGATGCTTAGCAGATCATTAGGTACTTGACAGGGAAATTTGTTTGACGACTAATTAATGCATTTCGACTGTACCGTTCCTAATGTCTACATCACCTGCTTTATATCTTATGATTATTCACCGCTATCTGCTTGCCTTCTAGATGGACTTCGCTTCGCGGCTAGCGCGGTGACTATGCACTTGATAGCATAATGCTAACTACACTGTAGTAGGTAGGAAGGCAATGTAATAATAACTCCTCGATGGGATAAGCCTTTGCACTACGAATGTTAGGCGCACCTTACAGCGCCTGCGGTTGATATAGTAGCACTTGCGGTCACGTGCTACCCGCTCCGGTAAAATCCTTACCGCACCCCAATAGCTTCAGAAACCAGTGATCAACCTCTGTAAATGGTAGTAGACCGTTCAATGAAAACCCAGTCCTCTGCTCCTGCCACCTGCGGCGCCGTAGCACGCTATTCCCCTACTACCTGCGGCTCTCCGAGCTGCAATTAACAACGAACCTCCGCCTATTTCGAAAGAGGCAACCGGGTTATTACAAGGATATCACTCCGTTCGGCCCCTTAAATCATCATCCACCAAATGATGAAGAACAATAGCCAGTTGCCACCCAACCCTGGAGTCCTCTTGCACCAGAGGCTACTACATGGCCATTATTTGGTTGTCATCTAAGTGATGCCTGAGCGATTATGGCGCTTCATACTACCGCTACCCAGATAGCTGTAGCGTGGAAATACGACTTTGAATCGAACGGAAATATACACAAAACCAGATTACCACGCGGGCCCCCGGGAAATTTTTGGTTTTATAGTCTATAAAGGCTATTTATTACAGTTTCATTAGATAGCAATACGTATTCGAACACGCGTAGATTATCAACAAGTATCCAGGCAAAAAAACCCTAGGATCTGTCAACCTGGAACACGGGTCGCTCCAATATGCGCTTGATATCGGGTCATCTATATCAAGGTTATGACACCCGATAACTAGCCCTGGACCGCCAATGATGTCTATCCAGTGCCATTTCAGCTCTCTGTGCAACTCGGTAAATGAAAGCAATCAATTCAATCACTAAAAATAATGAAGATATCTGTCTGCGCGGGCCGGGAGTCGAACCCGGGTCCCTTGCTTGGAAGGCAAGGATGATAACCGTTACACTACCCGCGCGGCTAAGTTTTTACTTTTAGGCCATAATTTGTATCATAGATATATTTTGACATTCACCTGGAAATTTCCTCTCAGAGCAGAGACCGTCAATTCCTACAGATTCGGGTTTTCAGCTTAAGAACCATGCCGATTTCTAGCTGTTGCTGCGATTAATTAATGTTCATACCTGTCATAATAGAAAAGCTTCTCTACTCGCACCAGCCAAAGAATGACGGATGTTTTGGATTGTCCAGCAGTGACGATGCCTCCTAGGAAGAAAAGTATATTAATTGCTAGATCGGACAGGATTTGCACAGCTTTACTTAGGTATGGTTCAATTCTTGCTTGAATGAAATCCATATCCCGGGTAGAATTCAGCAGCTTCATACCATCTTCATGTCTGGTGTCTCATGAACTAAGCGATGGTACATGGGTGGTACTTGAGGGAACCACAATGTAAGGAAGTAACGTGACAATGCTAGAGAATTGAAATGAATGATTGTTCTTCACTATGTTATACCTATTCAAGCTACGTGGAGCCCGCTTTACCTGCAGTAGACTCGGAGGTAGAGACCTTAAAATTTAGTTCGCCTGGCCCAAGAGGAACGATGATAGTAGCATACAGTAGCCATGGAAAGTCATAGCGGCCCGGACCGTCAGCCATGCGACTTGGAAGTTAGGGCCTCGGTTAAGCATCCTACTCATGCGTGAGTGCAAACAATGCAAATCACCATGACCGTAATTCACGTGACTCTCGCTTGGACTATTTTTCGCACCGTCCAATCTCCCTGTTCCTTCCCTTCCGACATCCTCTTTCAACCGCAACACCAACAGTCGGGGCTGGATGCATCTGCCTTCATGTCGGCAGAGTTATGGCACCCTAACTGAGACAATGTGAGAGGCCTGGTTCGATAATTAATAATCGCTGATCGTTATTTGATCTGGGAAAAATAAACAAAATAGAAAAGTCAAATTTAGGTGAGTCAATTTTTTTCTCCAAATTATTTGTTACGACGGCAAAGGCATCTACCGGTGGGAATGCTCATTTCCCCCTTTATTTTTATGATGAACACCATTTTACAAGCATAGTTCACCTGAGGTTTTCGGACCGTTGAACGACAACCTTATACCATCTTTCACTTTATCTGATATTGCCTCCGTCTGTCTTGTTTACTTTCTTCTATCTATCTGGATCTGAAGCCCGTGGCTGACTGGAATTTGTATAGTTTCGAATAGGTAGTAATATGATACGTTCGATCACACAAAACGAACCCAAAGAAAGGATAAAAAAGGAGGTCCCGTTATCACTAGGCTACATCGAAAAATAGAAAACTAAATAGGAAAATAAAAAATAAAATCTAGAAAAAAAATATAATTTCATTTCTCATAAGGTTTCCGAAACCCCCGATTATATCTTGGTGATATGCATTGCTGCCCAACGTGGGTTGGATGGGGCAGCGGATTGGCGAATCCACTGGTCGTCGAAGCGTAGAGAACGTGATGGCTAGCAGTTTTATGGGTAAAGAATGAGCCACCACAGTCAATGGCACGCCCCCTTTTTACAGTTTATTGTGTTGTCATGAAACAGGAACCCCTTCACCCTGTCAGCCAACGTACTTTCAGCCTTGTCCAGTCCATGGGAGTTGCACGTTGGCACAGACGCTGCGAGATGAAGTTGTCAGTATCGGATGGTACGAAGAGGAGGGGTTCACTGGATTCTCAACCCCTCGTCTCCGCAGTGACATGCAGCAGGAGGCACCTCTTCCATGTTCCCCGGTGAGATGGAGGGGTTTGACGTGGTAGGGTTCGTAGCCAAAGGATGGGAGAATCAAGTGCAACTTTCACGAGGGGGATTTTCGGTGGATCCGAGTGAGAGTGGGGAGGTGAATGATAGGATTGAAGAAGGATGAGAGATATACATGCAGGGTGATCTCCAATGGGTGATGCAATCCACGGGATGACCCCTTTTTTAAGGCCAATAGACGAACGGGCCGAAGTGGGACCCGCTTCACCGCCAGATTGGGCAAGTACCGTTAATGGACTGCGGGAAAGAGGATCCTTCGTCCCGCTGCCACGTCAATTGGTAAATTATTGGCCGACGACGCAAACAACAGGTTGCACCACTATCACCGCCATGTCGCGCAGTATCAAATCATTTCCTTCCTTTCGTCCAGTGAGGCGCCGCTACTGCTGCAGAATGTGAGTCCGTCACGCCGCTCGGACACGGCGAATCCACCCCACGCTGGCCATTTCTTGCGCGCGAAAGATCTAAAAAGCCGATGATTCCCCCCTCCTGATCCAGTTTCTTCTCGATCTTTTCTACATCAGTCTTCCAACAAGGAAACAATCTTCCCAGGTTAAAAACAGAGGAAAAGAAAGAGGGATTCAGGAGAACCCTAATTTTGACTTTAATATCACCTCTTATCTTTACTTTCTACCTTTTTTGTGCAAAGAGATACCCCCCTCAACGTCGCGCATCACACTCCACTTCTCTACTTCCATCTTTCCCTGCTTGATTTGTCACAGTCAAATCAGCTGATCCCCCTTTCATATACCTTCCTCAACTTCTCTTAAGAAGGCTTCTTTTGCTTTTTTTTTCCCCCTCTTCTGCTTCTCTCCAGTCCAACCCGTGGATCTTGGAATTCAGAAAAAAAACTTCCCTCTGGTTACCAATTCAACCCATTGGATCTTAGTCCATATCCCGGATAGGACTTGCCTTGTTTGTGTTTTGTGTCTTCAGTCCCAGGCTTCTTGTCTGAGCAGTTATCGACGAATAACAGGTAGTGCCCTTCACCTTTTCCTTCTATGTTCTTTTTCAGTTTTCTCTTTCATTGTGTCTCGCGCCACGACAATCAGCCCGGATAATACTTTCGACTATGGACGACCTATGTGATACTTACCACATTACCGGACTTGCTGGATCACCTGCTTTGATTTCATTACCGTGCTGGATTCTTTGCCCCGTCTTCAATGACGGTTACTTGAAATAATGATGACCCTGGAAACAATTCGTCTCATAGCGACCGCTGTGAGACTGGACACTCTTGAGTGTTGTTTAATGTTGCACACTCAATCTCCCTTGGATGCCATTGAACCGTGACTGGACCCTGTGGACCCTACTTCGATCCGAAGTAGGGAATTGGATTATGATTGTCCTTGGATACCCCTGGACTTTTTAAATGAGAACCCTTCTGGACATGACCCACCACCCTGAGGATTTAATGTACCTTATGACCTGGATCACAATAATGAATGCTCTTATCGCCCCGTCTGGATCAATCAATGATACTTGATATGATGATTACCTGGAGGATTTGACGACATCAATGGGAACCAAGCCGTTTCGCCCCTGATAATGCCTCTTGACCTCCACACCTTGCTCGCAGGACTCTGTAGTCTTTTGGACTGATACTCAATGGATATTGCTGGTCATCGAAATCTCTGAAGGATCTCTACACGGCGTGTAGTTCGGACCTAGTATGCGTTATGGACCCCAAATGTCGCTGTTATTTTACTCGCTTCTTGTCTGGCCATTGTGTTTATAGTTGCCTGGATGATCAACGTCACTTAGCCTGGACCTTAGTGATAGTATCAATGGACATGTTTCTTTTGGTTGGTACACTCGTTGATTCTATCAGTCAATCGTTCGGTCAACTAATTGATTCTTCTAGGCCATCATTCTTCTCCGTGGACCGTGGACATGTGATATTTTGTTGAATGTTGACGTTTCACATATGGAAAGGTGTATTTACTGACGGTCCAGTTCTTCTAGTGCTTCTGCTTCTGCTTTCCCAGCCAAGCTGGATCTCAAATATATCACAATGTCTTGCCACATCAAGAACGACCCAGATCAGGTGTCTTTGTCCCAGTCATTGAAAAATATGGACCACATCTCCCAGCCCAGGCATACCGAAATAATCCAAGGAATCTCAAACATGACCTCCAGATCGCTCCAGGATGATGATCTTTCAAGCCAGGACAATTTCTCTTTGTGCTCCAGTACACATCAAAGCCATGGAACTCCCAACGGACTGCCATCATGGGCTCTGACAGAGGTGGACTCGCTAGACAGCGGTGTCATTTCGTCAGCCAAGCCAGAATCTCCAGAAGTACAAATGTTGTCTTTCAATTTGTCCCAGCAATTGATGCCTTCCACCGTGGGCCCCAGTGATGTAATGTATCACACTGGATCTGATTACTCTGGCTTTCATGATAATGACCTGGACTTCCCACATGCTCAAGATTTCAACCACTATTCCTCCTTGGTTGATCTGACTGCTTATGATAATGATGTCTCCGGCCAAAGCGGGAACCAGTCCTGCACTGATGATGCACTCTCTGTTAGCCACAGCTCTCACACAGACGACAGCCACCTGGCTGTCAGCGATGCATGGAACTCAATGGTGACGGACACCAGAAATTACCACGGATCAGCCCTGGACCAATTTTCTTCCAACATGTTCCATCCTGTGCCCGTCTCCCCCCCCTTGACGGAAGCCAGTAATGACGTCTCTGTTACTTCCTCTTGCTCTCACTCCGGATACCCATCTTTTATGACTCACGAGGATGCAATGCTTAAGGATGTCACTGCCACCCCCGTTGGAAGCCATGGTATCAATCTTGGAGACCCGTTGTTCCCCCTTACCCCCCCTCTTGCGGAGCAGGATCCTAACAAGTAAGTTTGTGTTATCCCCTTTACTTGAAGTGTGTCTAATCATCTTTTTTCTTCCCCTCAATAGAACTATCCGGGCTTCCAAGAATGCACGTAGACCAGCTCTCCACACCCCGCCATCCCAGGCCTCGGTGAAGCAGGATCAAGATTTTTTCCCTCCCCTGCCCAAGGAGCCCGCTCGGCAGAGATCCAAGGAATCCACTGAGTTGCGCAACCCCCGGGACCACCCATACTACTCATTGCCAACCCACGGTGATGGAAAGTACTACTGCCCTTTTGCCAACGGAGACAAGCCCTGCAACCACGCTCCCACTACCCAGAAGTGTGCTTATCAGTAAGTTTTGGCAAATCCATTCCAACCATGGGGCGATGTGACTAATGTCGTGTAGCAAATATCTGGATTCTCACCTGAAGCCCTACCGCTGCAAGGTGCCTGCCTGTATGGATGCTCAACTTCAATTCTCTTCTAATGCATGTCTCTTCCGTCACGAGCGCGAAGCTCATGGATTCCATGGTCACGGTGATAACCCGCATCTCTGCCTATTTGAAGGATGCGACCGTTCCATTCCCGGATATGGATTCCCCCGCAGATGGAACCTCTTTGACCACATGAGGCGTGTCCACGACTACGCTTCTTCTGACCGGCCCAGCTCCCCCGATGCTTCCCCAACTACTGGCCAGGCTGCGAAGAAGAAGGAAACTGTGGGACGCAAGCGCCGTGTGACTGGTGTTTCTGGGGCGCAGACCATGAAGCGTACCCGCTCCACCCAGTCACAGACTAACCCACTCAAGGCAGCCCAGCAGACCTCCGCCCATCATAACCAGAGACTCCAGAACGCGGAGAGGAACTATTACAACTGCCGCTCGCGACTCCTTGAGGAGCTGAGCAACATCACTCCCCAGGATTCGTCGATGCACGAAAAGGTCAATGCCAGCCTTCAGGAGCTGATCACTCTGGGTTTGAACTACCGCCACATCGAAGCCAGCCAGGCTGCTGCCCAGATGGCCAATGGACTTCCTGCTTAATCAAGCGTAAGAAACCTCAATCATGCCGACAGCCTGTTCCCCCTCAAAGGTCATCAAGGATTGGATGATTCTACCGTTTAAGCCTCTCATGATAGCCATCATGGGAATCTCCTATGGATGTGTGAAAGAACCGCGGAGCCCATCCGTGTTCATATCTCCGGCCCCTACTAGATGTCCTATTCGTGTACACAGGATTTCTCTCCTACCTTCCCGGTTTGCCAGGAGCACACTTCCGCAGCAACGATGTGTCTCAGACCATCGTCCTCCCTCGGAATGCCACAGTGGATCTGGGCAGTTTCACTACTGCCCTTTCTCGTCGGGATCTTGTCTACTTGTGCAAGTAGCAGTCTAGAGATGATTGCGGTGGCAGTTGGGGCTGGAATGCTGCAACTTTGAGCCACAAATGCCGCAAGGCATGGCCTTTTGAACTTGTGTTTCCAACGGAAATACTCCTTTTTTATTTTTCCATTTGACACATCTGCAGCTTGCTGCTTTTCATGTAAATTTTTTTTACTTTCTTGTCTGGGTTCATGTTTTCAATTTCTTGTATTTCCTTTAGAAGAAAAACACTGGCAAAGCGACACAAAGAAAAACGAAAGAATAAACGAAAAACAATACATCGACGCGACAAAAAAAGAAGACAGAAGGACAAAAGACAAAATGGTTTTGGTGGTATGGATCTTTTGGAGTTACTTGCGCCCCTCCTTTCTTGTTCATATTTCCTGTGCAGCAGCTGTAATTCAGATTGCTTGCTTTGTGATTATTCTGTTTATTGTGCGTTTGTTCTGACTTCAGTCTGGATATAAAAAAAAATACCCTGGATATTGTTTTTGATTCTCTTACTATTGTTAATGCTTTACTCTTTTGGGTACATAGTCCCCTTCTGTTTATATTAAATCAAAAGTTTCTGTCAAATATGGAATCATCTTATCACGGAGGATCGAAATTCTCCATATATCGAGCTGGTATACCTACATTTACTGTTCGATAGATCATCAAGTTGTTAAGATCAGATCAGGTCATCATTCGTAAACCATGATATGGCAAAATCTATGCTTATATACACGTAAAAACTGAACCAACCAACTTCTCTCGCTTTTCATCAGTAAACCAACCTCTAAGGCAAATCGAAACTAAAGACCCTCGCCAGCAAAGTCCGCATTCAAAAACCTTACGAAGGCATCCCCAACCTGCTCGGCCCCAAGGCTGGCCTTATTTCCCGCCACATAAGCCCGATTCAACGTAATCCACTGCCTTCTCAACCTCTGCAACCGCGGCACTGCGAGTATACCTCCAGCGCCGCCAAGCTCATCCGTCGTCCCGGTCGTCGCCACATGCGCCGGGACAAACACCGGCGTCGACACCTCGGGCACAACAATCCTGATCCCGTCATGCTCCTCAGCCTTCGCCAACGCCCCCTCCGCAGACGGATTCTCCAGCACAAAACTCCGAATCGCAGATACCACCGCTGTCGTCCGCTTCTCCATGGTATATAGCAGGGACGAGTCGGTAGCAGCAGGCTGCACCGTCGCCTGGTGTGGTTTTATCTTAGGACGTTCGCTCCGCAACGGTCCGGAGGTAGTTGCCATCGAGGGCGCAACAGACACAGCATCCGACAAGGTGGTATTCGTGAGACCCGTCACGATAGGCAGAACCGGGTCCTGTGCGGCGACAGACGGATGTGGGATCCCTGTTAAGGCGGTCCAGATGTCGGCGCTTGGAGGACTAGCGTCGGACCAGGGGACCGTGAAGAGCGGCTTGTCCCATCTGCTGTGGGTGCTTGGTTCCTCGTAGCGGAAGATGAGGTTGTGGAGGAGGTCGGCGGGGTACGCCGGTTCCTGGTTGGTGGTGGTATCTGTATTGGTATTTTGAGATTGAGATTCTGACTGGGTGTGGTTCATCCTTGCTTCGTTGTTGGCGATGCATTGATCGATCGGCGTTCCGACATGCACCTGCCGGAGTCCGTTAATTGTCCGTTCCTGGGGGGAGTGATTTACACATTTGACTTCTGTAATAAATGGGGACGTGGGGATGGAGTAGGGGAGTAGCCGGGGGTGGGGGAACGCACAACGCAGCATGTTGTTCCGAGCGCTTTCGCTTCACACCATAGCTGGTATCTGTATCCCTTGATGTAGTTCATGCCGTCGAGGATGACGAAACTGTCTTTTGCGAGCATGCGGCGGGCGCGCGTGTAGGCCACACCACGGGCTTCTTTTTCGGTGCGTGCATTGTCGTAGACTGTGCGGGGGTGGGAGGCATCGTGGGTTGAGACGACGTGGATCTTGTAGCGTGGTTTGTCGGTGTCTTGGAAGAGGGTTTCTTGGGTTTCTTGGAAGGCTTTGGCAAGTTGGTTGGCGCGGTAGGTTAGACCTGAGCAGGGGTACCCGGTTAGGATTACGAGCTGGGGGTGGTCGGTTGTTAGAGTGTGTGGTTAAGGGAGGAGGCGAGGGAAATATCCTTACTGGCATTTTGAGGTGGGATTGGGAGTGGTTTGCGGTCGGTTTCCTTTCCTTTTTTTTTTTTGGGCGGATGGATTATGAGGGGTGCGGGGCACATGTGACCTTTTTATCTTATCGGGACTGGAATTTAGATCGGTATGTATGTACTGTAGTACGATATAATGTAGGGTACTTATTTGTGCTATATTATATATAGTCTGGCATTAGTTTCAGTACTATGCTCTTTTGCTGATTGTATGTATATCATACGCGGTTCAATCGCTATGTGAAGACTCAGTGGATCAGGAACTAGCTGGCACTGGCTTGGATACATGTACATACTCCTAGAATCAATGGTATGGGATGCTTTCATTCTGAAACATTATGCATTAATCCTGTGAAAAAAAGGTGAAGATAACCTCGGTAGTGTACCTGACACTGAATTAGGTAAACTTGGCTTTCCCCTTTCAGGCTTTATATATTTGCCGTTGAAAGCCATATAATACCAAGAACCACCTAAGAGAAATTGTGGTATCGCTCCATTCGGTGATACAACAAGCTTGTACTGTAGGTAAGCCAGATATGCTGTATTTTTGGTGACCATTGGCCATGCTAAGAACTGAGGTACCCCGATGTCATAGTGACTTGCAATTGCGCCAAAGAACCAATTCCAGATGTATTGCCTCATAGCTAAGTCTCTGAGGTCTTAGAGTTGTAGCGTTTTAAAGAGATTTCAGTTCGAGTATAGGCCAAACCCAGATGAATGTTCCTCTCAGGGTCTCGAAGAGGAGCACTAATGTGTTAGTAGCTAGAGTGTACAAAGCAGTCAACTAATTCTAAATTCAACGCTGTAGCTGTATCAGTATATTCCTGAACGAACTGTAAAATGTTTGTCATAAAATGTTTGTTAGGTGTCATGTAACCGATTGCTTCAAGGCAGGAGAATGACAGCGGAGCAGACATTTCAACAGTCGTCCAGTGGGTATGGCCATACTAGCAGATGGAGTGATAGAGCAGTTGATGTATGATTGTTGCTTCAAGGACGGAGCCGCCCTCGGGTTTAACTTGCCTACCACCAGAGAACGCAGCCATTGCCCGCTCAATTGACGAGCCAGCAGTACGCCGTCCGAAGAGAGCAACCTCCACCCTCGGCTCCGGATCTTCTTAACCGAAGACGGGTACATCGGCCGATCAGAGGTCTCAGGCAGCAGCATAAAGTTCACGCCGTAGTTAAGGAACAAGCTTCAGACGGACAAAGCCCGCCACGAATCAGAGACCACCGGGTTGCTTCATAGGATGGAGTCCGCACAAGCCGCGTAAGTCCCGGCGTGACAGGTGAGGCTCCGCCAATGCAGGAGCCAATCGGAAATGGCATGGATGGAAGCGTTGTTGTCCATCTGATGGGGTGGTCGTGGAACAACGCCTCATTCGTGCATAGGTGCTGGCTATCTGGCATATCTCCGTATAATCAGACTTCGACAGATCAAGTGGGGACCGTGGAGTAGCTGGTTGATGACGACCGGTTTGTGGGAACGTTCTGGAATGCGTTGCATTGGCACTGTCGGTCTCTGTCTTCGGTAATCTATTTTGGCTTGCGTTGTCCTTGCTTGGGAGATGTGGCGTGGGATGTTTGGAGTTGTCTTGGTTCCATGGGTTGCATGAGACTGCAGGTTTCATCATTTATAACGTGGTTTTGATGTGGGAATCACCTGGCATGCACTGGTTTCTTGGGGTCTTGGAATTCTGCAGGAATGTAGAATGGATGTGGGTCATATATGTATGGTATTCCTCATTATAAGATCAAATACCGAGATCGGGCTATAATTAGAAATCCTCGATGGTCTAACGGTCATGATTTCCGCTTGTCATCTTATTCTAAGAACAAGCGCGGGAGACCTGGGTTCGACTCCCAGTCGGGGAGATATACTTTTTATATCGTCTCCTTACAACCTTCTTCTTTTGCTCTGACCCTCGTTTAAATGAACGAAAGGGAAAACAATTGAGAACATCGCCGACTGGTTCCCACCTGTCATCCATGGATCGCCTCTGTCAAGTGAGGACCATGGGGTGAAATCCGTTTTAGACTCACGTCATCAAAAATAAACCGTCATGCACGATTACCGCATTATCCAGAGGACCATGGTGCCCTTCGGAGTGCCAATGTGCCGTGATCGGCAAACCCGGCTTTAGTCCGCCATCGTCAACTCCCCCAATCACCGAGCCAACAGCAGCGAACAGGACTGGTACCGCATTCGCCGTGCGGGAAAATAAAATCAGCCGCACCGATTGAATTGTCCAAATTAATGGGCAAAGAGGCAAACCTTGTCGACGGCGGAATCCGAAACCTTTCCTTTCAAATAAAAATTCGAATTGCATATTCCATGCTAGGGAAGCATACGGTTTAGATTCTCTTTTTCGTGTTCAGACAACCAATCCCTGGATCGGAAGACACAACATGCCTGGGGGGCCAAGAAGATCCACATCCCTTGTGGCTGTGGGGAGGACGATGAATTCATAGTGGTTGGATCTGATTAGTCCGAGCTGCGCTGTTTCACCTTGCGGGTGGCTGATTGAGCGCTAATGTTGTTAGGGGCATTGGTGGGTAGGGTCATTGGTTGCAGAGAGATTATTTTTACCGACGACGACCCAGTTTAGGAAATTCCAATCGAAGCTATGTATGTATGTATGTATCGCGTTATTCAGGGCCGGGACGGATGTATGCATAATTGTACGACATACATTCCTGTATAGGGTAGAACTTAGGGCCGTGTAGTGTAGTGAGGATGAGGAATGATGCCAGAGCGTTCCGTAATGAGACAAAGGATCCCATCATTCTGTACCCAATGGTGTGTGCCATTAATGCCTTTAGTTCGTTCAGTAAACTCGAATCTTAAAGTTACAGGTGGTCCTGACTCGCGTCCTTATTGCGTGAACTCCCGCGCTTCCGATGGAATGGACTGTGGTCCCATGTCCTATTATTTCGGTTGTCTTTCTTACCAACCAAATCGGTGTACTTCTTACCCTGTTACTATTCAGGTATTTTGTTCCCTTAGGCAGTAGTTCCTTACCTAGAAAATCAGGAGGTAAGATATCTAGACGTACGTGCCAGTCAAACTGTCCCAGTACTACACTTCCGAAGACTTGGAACCCTCGTTCACCATGTTTCATCGAACCATATTTTTAGATGGATCTCAATCATTATCAATCGATCCGTGGCGGACGGGGTTGCCAGCCGCTATGTTGGCCAATGAACAGGGTCGGCTCCCTCAAGGCAACCGCGAGCGTTACAGAACGAGATCTCATAGATTAAAGCCGATTTTTTCTATTGTATGATTCGGAGCAAATGCGAAACATTGTCCGTCCCCCCAACCCAGGCAATGCAACCGTTGTAGATTGCTGGATACTGTGGATGCAATGCAATTTTATTATTGTTATTGTTTTCTTTTGGAAGGAAGGGGGAAGGGAAAGCAAACGATAGAACGTAAGAGAGCAATAAAATAACTAAATGGAAAAGTGAGAGTTAAAAAAGAAAAAAAAAAAAAAAAGGAAGAAAGGAAAAGAAAAGAAACATGGTCATGATACGAATCCATCCTCGTACATACGTACGTGATACAGAAATACCGATCCAGTATTGAACCACTCACTAACAATGTGGTGAAAACACACTCCGGCCAGTTCCACTTTCTCTCCTTTAGTCTTTTTTTCAATCGCTGCTATAATTATTTCTTAACCCCCAGCCCATCCCTACACCGGCATCAGACGAACTGTCTGACTCGGCTGGGTTGGGCTGAGAACTTTCACTGCGAATACTTCAAGTCGGATCACCACTTCCCACTACTACTATTATTATCACTATCGCTATCAGCCATCCCTATCGCTATCGCTATCGTTATCACTCTCGCTGTGTACTATTTCCACTCAATAGCCAAGAATACCCTAATTCAGATACTTAATTGGAGCTGTTCCCCCCCCTCCCGTCAACGAAATTTAGAAGAATGATGTTGACCTCCTCTTCCTCCGACTCCAATTCGTCCTGCTCCAACAGTCCCATCTCTCAACACCCTCACCCCCAGGCCTACTTTCCATCTCTTCCTCGCCGCAGGGAACCCGCAAAATGCCCTCGCTACTACTCGACTCCCTTGAGGGCTGACTCGCCCGAGTCGACCCCTCTCCAGATGTACGGCCTGGAACAGCGTGAGCCCTCACTTTACGGCGACCGATCGTCGAAGCTATTGCGCCGGTTCTCCCACGCCCTGGACGACATCAAAGAGGACTTTTCCCTCCAACTGGACCCGCGTACCACCGCGGAAAAGATCCGTAGCAAGCGTCGCCAGTCTACCCTGATGCTAGACACCAGCGTCCCGGGATCCCGCTCCAGCTCGCTCTCGGGATCGGAGAGCCCAGAGATAGTCCCTCGTCCCCGTCCGATGTCGGTGATGTCGAAAGACCACGCCTTCGCTCCCCCGACGAGGAGATTGAGTCGGAGACTGACGATGCTGGGCTTCCGAAAGAACCGATTTCGCGGCCAGGCGAGCATCTCGCAGCCGAATCTGATCGGATCGTCGACTCAAATGTAAAGCCGACATGTCACATTTCGTCCCTTCCACCGCATCGAAAAATTCGAAACACCAATAATCAACCTAACACTCCTGTTCGTTTCCATACGCACACTTATTATAATTGCATCTTCGGCCAACTACAAGCATCCACGGCACCTTTCTTTTTCCAATGGGTAAGCACTTGCGATTGATTGACTGCATTCTTCCTCGGAGTTCAGGAAAGGCTGGCGGTACCATCCGTCGATACATTTCCTTTTTTCTTCGTCCTTTTTCTTCACCGTTTAATATCCGGCCAAAAGTCATTCCTTGGTTGCGTTTCCTAATCTCTGTTTTGTACCTATTACCTATATTCTTTCCTTAACCTTCATATGCATTAGCTTGGTGTTGGGTGTCTGGATATCCTTCCATGTTCATATTGTTTTCGTTGTCACATTTTGACCTTTTTTTTCATCTTGCGTTGCCCTTGCATCGTACATGCATATACAGGTTATATATACAACCCTCGTCCAAAAGTATATAAAGCCAAAGTATATATCACATTTAGGAATAAAAGAAATCCTACACTCATGCCTCCCTTGGTACACAATAGGTACACCATAACAGGGGGCAGAGAACCTCCATGGAAACCTCCTATTCCCGTAAAATTAAACAATTAGCCAATTTAAAAAAAAATCCATGTCTCACATTCCCATCTGCGGAATAGTGCCAACCCACTCTAGCTAGTCCATACTCAACAGTTAATATTTTAAAATGATCCGCATCTCGGAAATTAGCCCCCTCGCCCAAACTACTATCCCAAGCACCATTAGCTCGCCCACTTTTTATTGTACCCAACCCTGTACGCGCCCCGTACCGGACACGATGCATACCAATTGGCAATTGTCTCATACATAAAGGGGGTAGGGGAAATATGGACTCCGTACTGTACCCAAGAAGTCTGAACTAGGTCAGGGAACCTTGGGGACTATTGGCGGTAGTCTTGGCTAAGCGTTGAGCTCGTATTTGGGCCTTGCCAGTTTGGGTCGTGTTTGGCGATAATGGGATTAGTTTGGGGGGTTTTTATTGCGGACACGTGGGAGGCTCTTGGTACTTTATTATGATTATTATTATTTATTTTTTTTTTGGGGTCCTTGGGAGGTCTGGGGCTAAGATGTACGGAGTAAGCTTGCATGCGTTTCTTTAGGAAGCTGGCATGCACTGTAGGTTATTACGTCGTGGTGCGGAGAACTGGAGATTTGTTCGTTGCTATGGATGGCTTAGTTTAGTTTATATTTCTTTGTTGCCTGGCGTTAAGACACTCCATTTCGAATTGGAATAATATGTAAGTAAAGATATATTCAAAGAGAAAGATTCAGACCTATCGTGTTCTTGTCCGATACCCAATCATAAGCACCTGGTATAAAGAAAGTCCAGAAAAGGGAAAAAAAAGAAAACCACAAGAAACGCCAACCGAATAAAAACCATCCATCCCGAAGTATAATAATCGCTCTAAATAAGAGGAAAGTAAGAGAGAAAAGAATAAAAAAAAGGGCTCCAAACGAACAAAGAACACGCAAAGAAACAAACGTAGATGCCAAAGGATGAAACTCATCAATCGATCGATCACATCGAATCCTTCCCTCTCCCACCTATTCATCCCATCTTCCAATCTAGACCCGATAAAGAACACGATAGAGACACAATCGTATGCAAGTATCCTCTATACCATCACCAGTGCCCAATCTCATAAGAATAAAAGAAAGCCAAGACCGTGTGCCCACGTCACACAAACCAAGCCAGAACCACCACCCACCCCATCTAGTGTAATCTCGCAGCTTATAATGTGACTGCCTCTAAATCCCTCATGACGACCGACATCTGCGCCCGTTTCGCTGCCTCTGCGACGAGGCTGAAATCCCGCAGGAACGGTGCCGTAGCGGTCGGACCCCCAGACCCTGAGGCTTGATGCGGATAGGCCTCTGCCTGCTGGTGCGATTGCGATTGTTGTTGGAACTGCTGTTGCGGGCCGGTGCTGCTTTCGGACAATTGGTACTGCTGATGAGAGTATTCGGTGGTGGGTTGCTGCGTGTGGGGTTGGTGAGACGTTAATCGCCCGTGTATGCTGGTTGAGGAAGATGGAATTGGTTGCTTGGTGGGAGCAAGGCTGAGCGGGTTTTGAGGCTGTGGTGAGGTGGCGAGGAGGGATTGCGTCGTGGTGGAGGTGATGTTGTTGCCTGGGAATTGTATTCTTGGGTCCATTGTGGAGGTGGGATTTGATGTTGGTCGGACGAGTGCGTTGGGAGAGATGAACTCGATGGAGGTTTTAACGTCTATACAGGGTGTCGATTTTCTAGGAGGATCGGTGAAGATATTGGATTTTTTGCACGGGAAGAGACAAGGTGAGGATTTTCCTGATATGGGCTGATGCGGTGGGGAGAGAGTTGATCCAAGTGGGCGGGTTGATAGAGAGTGAGGACGGTATTGGAGGAAGTGAATGAATGGCGTGATGGAGAAAAGGAAAAGAGAAAAAAAGAAACGGAGGTAAAAAAAAATTTGGACGGAGGGTCTAAGAAACGAAAAAGAAAACACTTGTAGCAACACGTGGGGCTTTTGGATCTCCAGAAATTTTCTTTCGTTTCCGTTTCTCCAGATTAAGTATGACGTTGATAGAACAAAAAATTGATAAGATGATCTGGGAGTGATGACGCCGATAGAGAGATAGTCTTTCGCAATGAGAACCGAAAAGAGCAACAGTTTCTCTTACTTAAAACCCCGGATGATCAGTACTTTTGGGAGGAATCAAGGGGGGCAAACAAAGACCAGGGCTGAGAAAGGATTTTCAACGATCGACAAACCTGGTTTTACTCTGGTCGAAGTACATACTCCATCCAGGGTAGTAAGTATAATATAGTAAGTAGTATTCCATGAGTAATCTTGTTTGGCTTCCAATTGATGGAGAATTTGCGCATGCCGACAATTACCCGGTCAGTATCAGAACGGTATCTCCGCCAACCCCATGCGGGGATTTGGGCCATTATGCAGGTACCGTACTGTAAGCCACATTACCACCCGGAGAAGCCTCGGTACCAGCCGTAACCCCGCCACGTGATCTCATGTGACTGCCCTGGGACGAGATCCCCAACGCTAACCTCCTTCTGGCAATCACCCCCCCCACTACTCCACTATTTTTTTTTTTGGCGATAGAGAATTCAGCAGATGATTGTCGATTGCAGATGAAGATTCCTGGTTCGAATGATAGTTCTGCACCACCTGATCCCCCGGTGAATAGGGGACTCGACGACGATCGAAATGACGGATGACTTTGAAACGGGGGACCTCTTCCAGGATCCCGAGGACTTTTACGAGCCTGAAAAGGAACCTACCTTCGCCGAGCACCACATGCTCTCCGGCCAGACTGTGCGCGTGCGCTTAGTCGGAGACCATCCCCTTTATGTACGGCCCCCTGCTTGTCGTTACTCCCCCATCGCTCGCAGGTCCCCAACTAACACATCACAAAGGGCAACCTCCTCTGGAACGCTGGCCGAACAAGCTCCCACTACATCGAAGAACGCGCGCACGACCTTATTGAAGGGAAAGATGTGCTCGAGATCGGCGCCGCCGCCGGCGTCCCCAGCATTGTCGCCGCGGTGAAGGGTGCCCGCACCTCCGTCATGACCGATTACCCAGATCCCGATCTCGTCGGCAATATGCGCTACAACGCGGAGATGTCCGCGCCGTTAATCCCCCCGGGCTCCTCGTTACACGTTGACGGATACAAGTGGGGGAACCCGGTAGAACCGCTGTTGGCGTACCTCCCGGCTGGATCGACGGGGTTCGATGTGCTCATCATGGCGGATGTGGTATACAGTTACCCGGAGCACTGGAATCTGATCAAGACTATGCAGATGGCGCTGAAGAAATCACCCAACTCAGTGGCCTTGGTGATATTTACCCCGTATGAGCCGTGGTTTTTGCCCCGGACACAGACATTCTTCCCGTTGGCCGAGCAGAATGGGTTCCAGGTGACGAAGATCTTTGAGAAGCTTATGGATGCGGTCTTGTTTGAGAATGACCCTGGTGTAAGTGTATTATGTTGGTTTGTGTTGATTGTGGCACTCGCTGACTTATTTTTGCAGGATGAAAAGCTTAGGAGGACCGTTTTTGGGTACGAGCTTAGATGGGCTGAAGATCAACTAAAATAGACGAGGCATAGACTAGATACCATGGCGTTGGCTGGGAAAACATAGCATTGAGGTTACGCAATGCACGAAGTGACGAATCACGAAATAAGTGTCGCTGACTTTTTCTGAAGTATGAGTCCAAAATGCGCAAATTCAAATAAATGGATATCCCATAGTACGTACATATTGTTTTCAAATGGCCAGGCTTCTCACTGTTTCTGTACGCTTTTAGGGTATTGTTAATTAATTCTCGGAGAGCATTAACCACATCTTTTATACATATTTGTGGGCCAAGAGCTGATATATATGGAATTAGCCATAGGGATCTTGGCTTTCAGGTAGTGTTGCTTCATCTGGATCCAAATAGACGCGGCGAGGTGGATATACACGATGAATGCAAGTTGGACAAAAACTCTGCTGTAAAGTAGTCTGTATCAAATGAAGGTGTATGACAGATCAGATATAAAAGGTTGTATGTTTATCCTCTTAGCAGACGTACTCTATGCTGTATGTACAATGTGCAGGACACATTTCTGAAACGGTATAGGGTAGGACGGTGATCTACAGCGCTATAGCGGGAGAGAGTCAGACTCGTGGGACCGACACTTTCCGTGGCTTCTTTTAGTATGTCGTCCGGACTAGCACGCTTGCAGGAGTCTGCTTTGAGTCCGACAGATATGAATGCTATAGTGCTCAAGCCCCTTTTTGCGATACTGTTTTTCATTGTCACACCCTGATTGTACGATGTTCCGATTGTACTGCCACACCATATAACCATTTAGCTCTGGCGAACTCGGAAGCAACTATACGCGTGAGATAGAGAAGAGAGAGACTACAATATCTTCAGTCGCTCAAGGAACTAGAGCTCAAACAAGCCGTGACGACTCGGTAGATCTTGTCATGCATTTCACGATAATCAATACCTCACGCTTGTTGATAGGTATTTAATATGCAGAAGACTTTGTCTGTCTTATTGTATATGCATTTTTATATTTCTCTGGGCATCAGCAAATGCTCGAACAATTTTAGCGGTTACTGTGATCACTTTTCGAACATCTGATGTTGACCATAGAGGTTATATATTTAAAAGTGCCGTAGTACTCAGAACACTCTCCTAGAAAAAAAAGCCATTTAAGTAAGACTTCAATCTATCCTGCTATCTAAAGTGTTATTTATAAGCATGGATGCCTGCAACCGAAGGTCGCTGATGTTCCTACAAAGGCCGGGCTATTATTATGGTTGCCATAAACCACTCGGTCTTACGCCAGTTTCTTTGTGTTTGGACACTCTAAGGAGTTTGGTTTCGTTCTATCTCTTGATCGACTTGATTGTCAATATCGCACGTCTTGGCAGCCCTTGGCTTGCAAGTGTCCAATCCGAGAAGACTCCATATATGTGCGCTCCTATGGGAGCTGAGTTTAATCTTACTTATCCTGGAAACAAGTGAGAAGCGGAGGATGGATTTTTAGATATCATTATGGTGTACCCAAAGACAGCACCAGCGGCCCTTCTAGCCGCGTCCTTTTTCTGTGGCTTAATAGTCTGCTGAAAACTGGATATACTCACCCTTTGACCTCAGACGTACTTCCGCCCGTGCACGAGAGGCTAGCAGCCTAGTGATATTTAACATGATGCAACTATTTCTGCTCGGCCGAGTGGTATCATCCATTGGATCAACAAGTGATAGACCGTCTCGAGACAATAGGGGAGAGCTGATACGTGCGTTTGCCGTTGTTTTTATCAGAATAGCCGTAAGATCCTCCTTACTTCATGAAGATGACATGTGCTAAGCGTGGAAATTGACGGAAATCTTCAGGTCTCAACGGCAACCTACGAGCATCTGGGCTATCGCGCCATGGCCATGCTTCGCTCTGAAATGACTGCACTTGTATACCGCAAACTGTTGTCTTTGCATATAGATACTGCTCGCGAGTTCGGCGCAGTTTCCTTGGCAAGCTCAGATGTCGACTCCGTTGTCGAATACTTCCATGGTACCATTTGCGATACTTGGGCAGACGTCCTACAGCTGGGCCCCGCCACATGGTTTTGGGCAGCCCAAATTGGTGCCGTTTGCATAGTTCCTGTCATTGTTGCTATAGGTATGCTATTGCTGCTTTGTATATCTGCAGTGCAACGGACAATGGTGTAACCTGGTCTTTTTTTCCTTGTGTATGGGTAGTTCTGTGTCCCGTCGCCATATATCCTAGCTTGAGGCTACTCAGAAGCGCATCAACTTTACTACAAAAATATGAAGTCGATTAAGATGCTTGGGCTGATACAAGAGATGACACATGAAAGAAATTCTCCGCACAGAAGAGCTTGAGATTTCAAAGTAATTTCGACGAATATAGACAGTCAAAGCGTCCTTTGGTAGGTTCTATTCAATAGCAAGGTAAATTGCAAACTAACCGCATGTTCAATCCAATTTAGCTCTAATAGTGGGTCAACTGTCTGCTTTTGCAGCATATGCGATCGCCACTAGAACAGAAGGTTCTAATACCTTTACAATATCCCAAGCGATCACATCCTTGTCGCTGATCAGCTTGTTGCTCACTCCACTACGCAACCCGCTATTTGCCATTCCTAATACCTTTTCTTCCGTTGGATGTCTCCATAGAATCAATTTTTTTTTTGCTTCTGGAATGTCAAGAGGGTAGAAGAATGTTCAGACAGACATCGACTATACCGTCCCCAGTCAATCCACCGATTGCGTGACAGGGTACATCCACAGGGTTACGAACTTCTATTCTGGACTTAGCAGCTAATTTCAAGCTGAGGTTCGGCCTAGGCTCGGAGCAGTATACAGAGAGGCTGGAATTGAGGATATCCGGACCGTCCCTCACAATGATAGTAGGCCCAGTCGGCTGTGGTAAAACGAAGTAAGTGAAGACCCTCCTTGGCGAGATAGAGCCAATTGACGGGGGGGGTTTTCATCAGTGACCCAGACGTTGCGTCCTGTGACCAGTCACCGTGGATTCTCATGCTTCCACCCGGGACAATATCAGAACTGAATCCCACTTTTACGAATGCCGAGTGGTATGACTCCGTGACACACGCATGCTGCTTGGACACAGACCTGCGAGAGATGCCCACCGGTCATGACACAATGGTTGGTAGTCAATGCACCAGGCTCAGTGGAGGGCAAAAGCAAAGAATAGTAAAGAGATTACATTGTCGGGTCCTACAAATTTCGTGTTGAAGATTTTACAGGCAATTGCCCGCGCGCTTTTATGCACGAAAGCCCATGACATTCTTTGATGACGTCCTCAGTGGTATTGATCCAGTTGCTGAGCGGATGGTGTTTGATCGCGTCTTCAGCGCGAAGGGCCTTCTGCGGCAGATTGGTTGTATTGTGTTGCTCGTGTCTCAGTGGTATAATCCCCCTATTTCCCGAGAGCCCTTCCCTCTCCAATTTTAATAATTGTCTAGTCCATCAACCTACCTGGTACGGATTTTATCATTGCCTTGGGCGAAGACAGACTTGGAATATGGACTTTCTGCCAGCTACAGCCAGCTGATGGGGGTATATCTCAAGGCTGGATATCTGGATATCTCGGAGGGACCCAGGAATGAGCGCGAAGGAAATGTTAGAGCGAAATATAGCAGAGAAAAGGCATATGACGCGGAGTGCTTTCCAATTGTGAAAATGCAGAATCGGAAAAGCAATGATCTGGCCATTTACAGATGCTACGCAGCGGTTCTTGCATGGCGGAAAATCGCTTTTCTTCTTGTATCCCTAGCTATGGAATCTGATTTTGGTGTTTTCCGATGTAGGTTGACCTCGGCTTCTATTTATATTACATTTTAACTTGATGACTCGAGATCTTAGCAGTCTGGATCACTCTGTGGTCTGAAAACAAAACCAGCGTCTCGAATTTGAGGCTGAGATCTAACCTTGCAGCAGGCGATCTCGTGAACAGGTTGGCAGCATATTATGGGACCAAATATCTTCCCTGAATACTGACGATGACTTGGACAGATTTAGTCAAGACATGCAGCTAACTGATATGGTTCTACCTGGTGGCTTTATCTCATCAGGCTTTCGTGGGTTCCTCAGTTAGTGTTTACCCAATCAAACCGATGTTTCTCACTGATGCAACTTTAGGGCTGTTCGCGACCACCGCCCAAACTGGAGTCGCCATTGCGTCTGCGCCGCACATTGCCGTTTCCATACCTTCTCTAGTTGGGGTACTAGCTCTCATCCAACGTGTCTATCTGCGGATATCGCGCCAGCTACGTTTGCTAGAGTGGGTTATTTCTATCCACAGCATGCTGAAAAAGATATTTTCCAGGCTAACCGATGGCCAGGGTCGAAACTAAGGCTCCGCTACTTTCACATTTCATTGAGTCACTTGATGGTCTCGTTACGATCCGTAGCTTCGGCTGGACTGCATCGCTTACTGAGAAGACCTGTATATTGCTTGACATAGGGAGACGTTGACCACTTGATTTTGAGCTGGACTTCACGCGAGACATCACTTGGTGCCATTGCACGAACCAAGGAATTTTCCGAGGATACACCTATGGAAGTGCAGGATGATGAGACTATGCACGTTGAAAGTTGGCCAACGGAAGGGGTTATCTAGTTCAATGATGTGTCTGTCAGACACGATCCTGCATGTGGCGCTGTGTACTACAAAACATCACGTTCGCTCTTCAGCCTGGACAGCATCTCGGGCTACGCGGACGAACCGGAGGGCAAATGGAGCGAGCTCCATGCCATCTCCTTAACTACTTTCCTGTTAACTCTTTTCAGTGGTAAAAGTTCCCTCATCCTGTCTCTACTACGGATGGCCGATTGTGACATCCGGCCAAATACTCATCGACGGCTAAGACACCGCAACGCTGCTGCCTTCTATTGTCCGCAGAAATATCCGCTGCCTGACTCAAGAGCCTTTCACATTCCCCGCCTGTGTCAGGGAGAATCTCGGTCCGTTTGGCCACAGGTCCGATGGCGAGATAACTACCGCACTGGAGCGTGTTCATCTTTGGGAGACCATCTTGAACAAGTCATACACAGACGGATCTACTGCGCGCAACGCCTTGAATATTATGGTCGACGACAACTTCTTATCGCAGGCCAACGCCAACACTTGTTGTGTCTTGCACGAGTATTGTTGAAAGAGGGTACAGTCCTGCGTCTAGACGAGCCTTCTAGCAAGTAAGTTTCAAGAATTGAACGAGAAAGTTCCAGTATTAATGGCCTAATTGTGTCGAGTCTCGATGCCCACACGGATTCACAAAATCAGGAAATTATTCGATCGGAGTTCAGCTCTTACGCTATAATCATGGTCGCCTCTAGAATCCAGACGATGATTGACCTTGATTACGTGTTCATGATCGATCAAGGTCGTATCGTGGAGTTCGGAAATCCAAGTCGAGCTCTATGCGCCTCTCCCCCATTGGTATTAAATATATTCTAGCCACTTTCCTTAAGTAGTAAGACCCGCCTCTTGTCAGAACAACGAGTAGGAGCATTTACAGAGATATCAAGCCCTGTGATATCATGCAAGTTAAATCCAACGACACAGAACAAGGTTTGGGAAACTTATGAATACCATCAAACTCTTCAACAACTCAAAATTGTCGCTGTCCCTTGGCACGTTGAAGTTGTGGTATTGTGCACCACAGTGACGTGGACACTCTTTGTGGTGAAAGTATCCTCTTCTAACCGTATACAAATAAACCCACTAACCCCCCCCCCCCACCACCAAAATCTCAAGAGACTAGAATTGGAGCCTCGCATCCTTGACTTTGTTTTGGCTATCCTGAGAGCTTTTGAAGATGCTTCACCTCAAACTCATGATCCCAAAACCTCTCGATGAGTCGGTCGTCGAAATGCTAACCGCCAAACTAAAGGAGGTCGACGAAGACATTAATCTTACCTCTGTCGATCCAAAATTCGCGGAAGCGTGCTACTATTGTTCCGACTCGGGCGAGGCAGAGCTGGATGTCGTTCGAGAGCACATTCAACAGTTGCTAAAAGATCCGAACCCACTTATTCGCGGATACACGATTGGGCATCACTGGTAGGGGGATAACCTCCTGGAATGCAGAATATTAAGGAGTGGTGCTCATGGAACGGATTATCGGGGGTGGTTCCGGGCGAGGCGGTTGGGGTTCTGTTCTATCTTCCTACGTATATGCGTGTGCTAAGAGCGTGTTGGATTTCCTGTTTCTGCATAATAATCGTCTGATTAGATTTCCTTATGATGTTTTGAATCTATGGCATGTAGAAAACTGAGCGTTGAAGACTGCATATTATTAATTAGGCTGTTGTGACAGATAACTTAGGCGGCATAAGCAGCCCCATACCTCTGCAAAATACCCACTTAATAAACCCTAGTCTAGGCCCCTTCTTTCGCATTCGACAAGCAATCTGTCGGACGGATATATAGTCAAACAGGTCATCCAAACCGTCCCCTTTCGTGCACCATATGTTGACACCGATATATCCAACACTCTACCGTCTCTTCAACACCCTCGAAAAATAGTATATCTTAGGATACTCCGACATCCAAGGCTCCAACCACCAGGAAAATGTACGGCAAAACAAAACCCACCGCCCCCCACCATCAGCCTTAGGCCAAACGGCGCTAGAATTAGATCAATCCTTTCAATACCTCCCCCCAAGTTGGGGGCCAGAGAGGCCCCATTCACACGAGTCAGAATCTTGGGGGCTCAGCCCACTTGGCGTCGACTAAAACGAGCATTTTACTTAACGCTGCTCTCGTTTAGGGTAAATTGGACTGAAGATGAAGACACTAGAGGGCACCGTCTGCTCCTTATTATTCAGTGGTCTCGGAGTTCGGAGGGAAGGTTGGGTTTAATTCGCATCGACTGATAGATTAGTTTCTCAACCGTCGAGGAGCACTCGGTGATATCTTCTCGTTTGTTCACCTGTTTTTTTTCTTTTTCTTTTTCTTTTTTTTTAGCCTCATGAATCATAGTATACGCGTTTTAGTCTCTTTATGCTGGTTGAAGTTTTGTTCATTAACGTTACTATCAAACGATTGGTAATTACACTTGCCCTGACGATAATAATACCTACGGAATATATATAGCATCCTAAAATGAAACTCTACCACTCTATCTTCCTCTCGCTCCTCCCCTTCCTCCCTACCTACGCAACCGCTGTAGCCCTAAACGCAACATGCTACTTCCTCGACGGCAGCGTCGCATCCGCAGATGTCCCCTGCACCACCGACTCCACCACAAACTGCTGCAACAAGAACGACCTCTGCATGTCCAACGGCCTCTGCTACATGCAAGGATCCCGCGGCATGGCGTTCTCCCGCGGCAGCTGTACCGATAGATCCTGGGGCGCGCGCTGCTTTGCCCCTTGCTGTATGTTACTTATTTACACTTTCTTACTTCTTACTTTATGTACTTACCTTGCGTTTGTTACAATTTTTTTTTTTTTTTTTTTTTTT